CCTCGAGTATGGCGGCAGCTGTTCAGTGTGTCCATCTGGTCCAATGATGTCCTGCTCCTCTCCGTCGGGCCCGAGCACCCTGTGGTATCCGTTTCCATGACCGGGAAAGCCGAGGGGGATGGCAGTCTGAATGGGAGGCAGCGTTGGATGTGCAGGCTCCGCGGGAAGCGGCTCGTCCATTCCCTCATCGATGCCACTCTGTGAGTACATGGCGTACGGATGGGTCGGCCGTTGAAGTGACATGGACCGATGTGGTTGCCGTTCCGTGGAGGCGGTTTCCACACTGGCTGTGCGTCCCATCGTGTACTGCGGGTACATGCCGTAGGGATGGCTGGGGCCCGTCTCGAAGGGGTTCTCGCCGTTTGACGTCGTCGCGAATGATCCTGTGCTACTGACGGATGCGCGATGCGCCAAGGGGGACGGGGAGCTGGGCCCGTGGTCGTGCGTGCCATGTGGGCGGCTTTCGCGGCTTTCGGGCGGCATCGAGTCCCGGACCTTTGCCGTGCTATTTCGCGTCGCTGCCCTCCGCAGGTCGTTTTGGGGGGGTTTCGAAGTCGATGCGTGTCGTTGTATTGCGTCGGTCCGGTCGTGGTTCTGTCTGTCGCCAGGCCCTCCGCTCGCGTTGGCCGGTCGGAAGCCATCCGAGACCGAGGGCATGAAGTCGTCCTCATCTGGCTCAATCTCGTAGTCGTCGTCGAAAACATCGGGATTGCCGGGCTGCCGCGCTGGCTCGTCGTTGTTGCTGTTACGTCGCTCCATGACGCCAGACGCTCCCTGAGAGCCCTACTGGCTCTGTCCTCCCTGCAGGCCTCCTGATGGCGATGTGGGTGCGTCGAAGAAAACAATGGCTGGTGTGGACGCGATTGAGGTCGCGAGAAGCGGCGGGTGTCGAAGCGAGTGTGCTGTGGTGAGGCGTGAATGAGTGGTCTGGCGGTTTGGTGTGGTAGGGTCAAACCTGCATCGCCAGCCCTCGCCCAGAACCCCGGCAGATCCAATTACAGTCTAGCCCCGCAAGACTTCACGTTTCATCCGCCCCGACATTCACCGTCCCCTGATCTTGTTGCACAACCCGCACTTTCGGCAGTCTGCGAGCATTGTGCCTTTATTTGCGCACGATATTGTCTGCTGTGGCGCCCTTTGCTGCATCCCGAGCACTATTCATCCGCCACGCCCAATCACCCCTCTTCTTAATATGGAGCCACTATCATCAACCTCCAGCTCGTCTATACGCGGAGTAATGACTGCTGTGACAGTAGGCTTCGCATCGCCAAGTATACACCTGCGAATGCGCGCCGAACATATCAGAATTTGAAGCATCGCCGTCCATTGACCACAAGCGCCACGAGTTCGTCGGAAGCTTTGAGCAAGTGCTCTGGTCTATGCGAACACTCCCTTGCGTCCTCGAAATAGATTGCGCGCTGCACCCTCCGGTTGCGGACACAGATCCGTCTCCAACCTGCTCACTTTACATAGAGTGTGCGTGTTACATGTCGTGATCATCCACTCAAGGAAAATATGCCCAGCTGATGCGCTCTTATTTGCCGTTCAAGCAACTGCATCTTTTATTGTTCCCCTCACTGCCTGCTCGAATTTCCCAAAATTCGTCTTCTGGTGTTCGCGTGCTGTCGCTGGGAGAGGTCCACTCCTTCCAAGAAGTTGTGTGTTTCGATCGAATTGAAGGTGTTCCCACAAGTTGTACAGAGTGGAGAGGCTTTCTAAAATTTGCAACAGTAACCATGTCTTTATAGTCCCCATATAGGCGCTTGACGTAGATATCGGCCAGATTGTGGACCTGCCACGCATTTATTTAGAGTGACTATGCTTGGTGACGGTCTCTTCTAGGAGAAGTACAAGTAGTGCAGCTACTGCACAGAACGGTCTGCCTGTAGTACACTATGAGCATCTAGGCATCCCTTGCAGCTCGCGTGCCCTGTCGTCTTTGACGCAAGTAATCTCTGTGTAAGCAAGAGTTCTATGCGGCCAGATAAGCTCTTGCTTACTGTGCCCGTCAGCCTGAGAGTGTATGTGACTGCGACTGGCCACAGAAGGTTCAGTTATCACACGAAGCAATGCACTGCTGACTTTTCTTTTGTGCAGCGGTCACATGGACCAGGTGCAGACGGCCGCATAATGAATGCCAAACAGAGGCAACACAACAAATGTGTGAACAATCATCTCGACGACTTTGCGTATATACTGTCGTAGGCAGGACCGTTGTGTGGCATCAAGGGGAAAGTGAGTAGGTATAGTATATAGGAAGTGCCAGCTTGTCCGAGGGTACACATGGTATGTATTGCGCATTGGAGATGCTCGTCGCTGTGCTCGTAGGTAGAGTCCTGGAGTATCAAGTAGAGGCGGACTGCCGCTCAGCGAATGAGTCGTTGCTCATCGTGTGTTACAGCACGCGGTGCATCGCATCAATCCGTAGGGAAAGGAGCCTGTATTGCTATAGGAAGCAAACAGGACAAGAATCGAATCCATTGGTGGCATCCATGGTCGTACGATTCGAGCATCAGCTACGTGTCGCCGCGCACGCGCGAAGGCTGTGTTTTCTGGCAATTTGCAATCTTGACGTCCCATCGAGGAATGGTGGGACGGGTTGACCCATCCAACCCTTTCACTTCGTCCCTGGAGCTAGAGCACAACAGGTATAACCTGCTATAACCCTGCATGCCAAGAGCAAGGGGCTCGAGCAGGCGGATATTCTACTCCCGAACACGCCGCGCCGATTGCGGTGATCAGAGAATGAAACATTGAAAGATTGTACTGTTTGTTATGCGTTTGTGTGCAAGTTTGAAGGAACTACTTGAACAATATAACCTCAGAAGCTTAGAAGCTTGGAATGCGCTTTTGGGCGATTGAGCATGTGCCCCGCAGCTCGGTATTGAGACTCTGACCCGTGGACGCGAAAAAAAATCCCAACGCGACAACATTTGTCCAAGCGCGCGGGAACCGGTGTTGTTGAGAATCAAAAGCCCTGCACAAATCCAGTTATAAACTCTCACCTATCAAACCAGCGGAGTTTCAAGGTTTCTACTGCAGTCATTGCCACATTCAGATCGCCGCTACCAGACCGCACGTTTCTGACCTGCGTCGGCTCACGCAAGACTACTTAAACGAGCGGTGAACGCCCCTCCTTGCCAGCATTCTTGCCCCTCTCTATTCCTACACAACACCCAAATCTGCAGTCATGGCTTCTCGTCCCACCAATATTGGCATCAAAGCCATTGAGCTTTACATCCCCAGCCAGGCAAGTGAACACCACACAAGCCGTTGCAGCAGCGCCTCGAGTTGCCGGCCGCCTTGTTGACCAAGCCTCCTGACAATGTGTGCAGTGCGTCGACCAAACCGAGCTGGAAAAGTTCGATGGCGTCTCCCAGGGCAAATACACCATTGGCCTCGGCCAGACTAAGATGTCCTTCTGCGACGACCGTGAGGGTGAGTTCCCACCAGAGTACCCCGCGGCGCATGAGAGGTCGGCCCTCTGACTTCTTTCTGCTGCACAGACATCTACTCGCTCTCCCTGACTGCTCTCTCTTCGCTTTTCAAGAAGTACAGTATAGACCCAAAGTCTATTGGTCGCCTCGAAGTCGGTACCGAGACGCTTCTCGATAAGTCCAAGTCCGTCAAGTCAGTCCTCATGCAATTGTTCGAGGAGTCTGGCAACTTCAATGTTGAGGGCGTGGACACCGTCAACGCCTGCTACGGCGGCACAAACGCTCTGTTCAACAGCGTCAACTGGATCGAGTCCTCCGCGTGGGACGGCCGTGACGCGGTCGTTGTCACTGGTGACATTGCTCTCTACAAGAAGGGCAACGCCCGCCCGACTGGTGGAGCTGGCTGCGTTGCCATGCTCATTGGTCCTGACGCCCCCCTTGCCATCGAGGCCGGCCAGCGCGGCTCGTACATCAAGCACGCCTACGACTTCTACAAGCCCGATCTCACGAGCGAGTACCCCATCGTAGACGGCCACTTCTCCATTCGCTGCTACACCGAGGCCGTCGATGCCTGCTACAAGGCCTACAATGCGCGCGAGCAGACTTTGAAGTCGCAACAAAATGGCAACGGTGCCAATGGCCACGAGGAGGCTCGCGAGACTCCTCTTGACCGTTTCGACTACATGGCCTTCCACGCCCCCACTTGCAAGCTTGTGTCCAAGTCATACGCTCGCCTGCTATACAACGACTACCTCACCAACCCATCCAACCCCATTTTTGCTGAGGTTCCTGCTGAATTGAGGGACATGGACTACGCCACATCCGTCACGGACAAGACCGTTGAGAAGACCTTCATGGCACTCGCCAAGAAGCGCTTCAACGCCCGCGTCCAGCCCAGCATCAACGTTCCAACACAGTGCGGAAACATGTACTGCGGCAGTGTCTACGGCAGCTTGGCCAGCATTCTTGCCAATGTTGATAACCAGAGCTTACAGGGCAAGCGCATCGGTCTTTTCAGCTACGGAAGTGGTCTCGCCTCCTCCATGTTCTCGTTCAAGGTGAACGGCAGCGTCGAAAACATGGCCAAGCAGCTTGATATTCCCAACCGTCTGGAGTCCAGGCGCGTGGTCGCCCCTGAGGTGTATGACGAGGTAAGCATCCTTGGACACGGCGTTCGTATTGTTGTCGATATTTGTGACTGACTTTCTTTCAGATGTGCAACCTCCGTGAGCAGGCCCATCTCAAGAAGAGCTACACCCCCACTGGCAAGACCGATGGCCTCTTCCCTGGTACCTACTACCTCACCCACATTGACGACATGTTCCGCCGCTCGTACGAGATCAAGCAGTAGATGTCTTTCTGTCGGAACCAGACTCATACCACGACTTTTATCCTCTTCCGCTGCATTCTGAGCATTTGCAGGAGCCCACATCTGCCTCGGCATAGACTCATCTTTCGACCAAGGAGTTTTGGACGGTTTGTCTGTTTGGAGGAGGGCGAGAGCCGTCATGGTCCTCGGAGGAACGAACATTATGATGTATGTGACAGATGGGTTGGCATTTATAAATGGCAACTTTACAACGGCTAGTCAAGAGACTTTGCTGCCCTAATTTAGCTTCACTGCGAAGCATACATGTAGATAGAAGAACATTTGTTCATGACCATCACTACAGCGATAATATATCTTGCTCTTGTATTGTGATGCATAACGCCAGAAAAACCCCAAGCCCAATGCTATTTATTGTACATCCACCTCGCTCTCATACAAGTGTTCCGTCTGGCTCGCCAGGAAGTCGCTTGACACGCCTCTGCTCCCAGTCCTCGAGATCTTTCGCCTGTAACCTCTGTACCGAAGTCAGCTGTCGTGTCCACAGCATATTGCCAATGCTTAGTGCACTCACATAATACTCATCCTTCATATTCACCTTCCTTCGCTCCTGCCTTAACCCCATGGCCTCTTCCTGTGTAATCTGCTGGTTCTTCCTGTCGTATCGCTCGTATCGTAGTGCCGTGGCGGGTGTGAGCATGAAAGATCCAGCGACGATCGTGGCCATGAAAGGCAGCCCGAAAAGCAGGAATGGGTGCTTTTGCAATTGCTTGCGGTAGCGGGCGGCGATCGAGTTGGGGAGTGTGGCAGCAAAGGATCGAGAGGAGAAGGGACCGGGCATCGTCGCGGTGGTATTTGAGTTGTGATTCAGCAGAGGTTTGCGCATGCGCAGCCGAATGCAACAAGTTGTGGTTCGATATGTAGCTGTTCGCCTTCAATTGCGGGCACATGCGGGAGAGGCTAAGGATGGCTTGGCAGTGTCACGGGATCGCGCGATGGGTGATTTTGTCGTCGACGCGTGTTAGTCCGGGGGTAGCGAACATCACAAGCTCAAAGAGAAGGACCAAGAAGGTACACATCCACATCGATCATACAATTGCCGTCTCCGTGAAAAAGCTTTGGAAACTGCTACTATGTTCACGAGCCCTCAGTAGGGCCCCGCCATCATCTCGTGTCTGTTCGTACTGTACTCAACGTGGCCAAAGGCTGGAGTTCTTTCACTGCACCTTTTTCTCGATTCTCTTGAACAGCGCTAGCCTCGACCTTCCTGCGAGCTCGATCTTCCATCTCCTTCTCTTCTCACCATGACCATACGGTAACACAAAATGGCCCGTAAAGGCGGAAACTCAACTCAGCGGATGGCACCGCCGCCAACAACCAACGGATTGGCCACAACGCACGGGAATGCGAACCTGCCACCACCATCTACCATCGCGGCCCAGATCGTCCAAAATGCTTCCAATCTGCATGCTCGCCATGATGCTGCAACCAAGGTCTCGTTCGGAGAGCTTGTCAAGGAGTTCTTACAACACCCAAGCACCGACGAACCAGATCCCCAACTCGTTGCACTGATTTGCGTCATTGCTGAAGCAGGTCTGGAGGGCCTCTTCAAGGACGACCCGTTCGCCCAAGACCAACAGAAGGAAAAAGGCATCGACAGCATATCCGCGCTGCAGCTCATTATTCGAAAGAAGCCACATCTACTGCTGAGCATCAAAGATGCCGAAGAAGAAGGAAATCCGCAGCCGCCACTGTTCGTATGGCTCTTTCCAAAATTAATCGGCCTGCTGTCACATGTGACGATGCAACCGCTGCATCAGCATGCTCGAGACCTTCTCGGGCTTTCTCTCGAAGTCTTGCTACAGAATCCGTCATTTTGGCAACATGCAACTAGCGTGGCGACTTTGTACAGATCCTCCATTCAATGTATGTACAGTGGACACTCTTTCTTGACAACACTAAGCGAATTCTAGTCATCATAGCCGAGCTTGAAGCTGTCAGAGATCCATCAACACCACTGATACAGTCTTTCCGGGTCACGATTCCATCTCCGAGTTGTATTGGAGCATTCTGGCCTGAAAGCCAGCAATTTGTTGCGATTCCTCACGAATTGCAACGAACAGTCTCATCACAAATTGCAGCAATTTACATCGGATTCAGTCTTCTCTTGGCGTTGATCGGCGGTAGCAAGCTGCAAAAAGGACAATGTACGGACTTCTCTGCTTCTGAAAACCATCAGCCTTGGGTCCTGGATACTTTCCTTGTACTTTGGCAGCATTTTAGGCGATGGACTACTGGTTCAGAGAAGGGATCTCTTCAAGACTGGACGGTAGGCTTATACCTTGAGGTTCTACAAACGGTATTAGGTCCGACAAAAGACTCAGGACGTCGCGTTTCTAGATCTGCCAAAAGTGCGCAGAGTCTCATTCGTGGTCTAGCTAGCCTGCTAGAGAAGCCCAATTTGTCTGCTCCAAATCAGTTGAAACTCGCTCTATTGCTTGTTCGCTTACGGGCCGTCGTTTCTGATCTCTCAACGCCCGCATTTGCGTCTAGCCGCCGCCGCGTCAATTCTTCAGTCGTCATCATTGATGATCTCGAGACAAGCATAGCACAACTTTGTCACGATACCGAAAAGTTATCCAGCCTACAGAGAGTCTTACAAGTAGGTGTCGCGCTTGATCATCATAATTGACAAAGCTAATACTCCCCAGTCGGCGCTTTGCTTATGGACATCACCAGACTCTTGGCCTGTGGAGGTCTCAGATCTTCGGAAAGAGCTTTGCACGAATCCTCTCGGAGCCTTTCCAAATCCACAGGTTTTTGGAGAGGCTACCGCAGTTTTGAAGACTTTTCGGGCACTCAATCTTGGTGATGAGGACGACAGACCGATCAAGCGACGCAAAACTCTACCTGACTCTTCGGAAGACATCAATGAGTTAACCTACAAGCAATTGGTAATTGTGTTGAATGGAAGCTCGCAAGAATCGCCCGTATTAAATTTACGCAACCTCCATAACATCATACAGTAGGTTCAAGGCGCCCGAATCGCATGAACATCGCTGATCATCCAGGGAAACTTACTCGTCTATGCATGAAGAGCCAGAGCAGAGTGAGGAAGATCAACGCGAATTGCTTTCAGCCTTTGCCAAGATTGCTTGTGCAGGATCACGATCCTTAAAGTCTGGCGACCCAGGTTCCGGAGAATGGAAGACAGTCACATGTACGTTGTGTGACACGCCATCTACATCTGATAGGAATCTCAGGCCATACTGGAATGAGAAAAGCGATGGCGAGGTTTGGAAGGATGCTGTTGCCGCTATGCTCGTCATCACGAAAGAGCCAAAGTTTCAGAGCTCACCTAAGGCTCGAGTTCTGATGGCCTTGGCCATCGGCAGAGTATACAATCACATTTCGGATGTTGACTACCTTAACCTGGAGACTTGCGAGCTGGGACAATGGTTGCTGGGGTCAATGAGCAGATCCTTGAGAGAGCTCAAACTTGGTGCAACGTAGGATGTCTGTTATTCTCAGACGATCACAAACTAATCTATTCGTAGTCGCTCATTGATGTCCTTTCTGAGGAACGACATTTCAAGAAGCACGAGGCAGAAAAACAGAAGGTCAACAGTCGAGTTCCTCGGCGCACTTGCTAGAAGAGACGTCATCTCTGATCAGGAGACCCTCATCGTGTCTTATGGTTTAGTTGCACGGTATGGCGTTCAAGAAATCATGCGTCACGTATGCTAACAATGATTAAGATCTTGCGGCGAACTTGAGCTGCCCATCATCTTACATCATCTAATAGAGTATCTTGGGCACCACAATGCCTTAGTCTGTGGGCTTGCATATACTGAGGTGAGTTGCAAGCACTAAAGTAGGTACGGCTCAAAACTAAGAGGAACAGCTTGATGCGATCGCCGCGGATCTTGACACGAACACCACACAGCTCCTGCAACCATATTGGAGAGTCATTGCATTCTCCGTGATCAAAGATATCATCAACAAACCACAGAAAGCCCAATTACTTGCTGACTTGACTGAGCAAAGTGTTCGGCAATTGCTTGTATTGACTCAAGCCGACACACTGCCTCATCTGGTGCTCACGAAGAGGAGAGACATCATTGAAAAAATTGCACAGGCGCGACGAGCATCTGTTGGAGAAGTACTAACCCAACCGAAGAGAAACCTAGCCAAGATCCTTGCTTTGCTGCTATGCCAACCTGTCACAGATGTTGAGAGCAACACGATGGACACTTTGGCGGCCATTGAACCAGCTATACGAGAAGGCGCCAACAACAAACTGGAAGCCTTGATCGCGGCTGACATCACAGGCATCGCGATCGAGATCCTCTTGCTAGCCGCTGACCAAGATGAATCGAAGAAGAAGCTGGTATGTCTGCTTGTAGCTCTTATAATTTTCCAGGCTGACTTTTCAGTACCACCGTGGGTTTGGGACTCTTGCTATGCTGGCCGAGACGAAGCCTGGGCAACGCAAGTCAACATCAAGATCCAAAAGTCTTGATGTGTTCTTCGAAACGCACATCCTAGGCATCATCGCTCACTTCACAGATGTGATCGAGAGCCCTTTAGCGCAAGCCAAAGCCATTACACAACCATTGCCTGAGCGAAAACGGAGCATTGCAGCTATTGGTGAACTCATCAGTCTTGCTCGGTACAATGTGAATGGTGCACTACCTCAAGTAAGTGACGTACACTGGTCGTAAATCGCGTTGCTGATGTCGACAGTTCCGTGCTTGTCTGCAATCTGCAATGGCTGATCCAGACCTTTGCGATGAGACTTTCTCCATCTGGGTTGCATTTCTCAACGTCCTCGATGCTGGTGAGATCATGGTTGTCATCGATCAGACTTTCGCCCTCATTGTACAACATTGGTCGTTGTTCTCTGAGGAAACACAGCTTCAAGCCAGCAAGACGATCATTGGTCTCACGCAGAAATACGACACTCAGCTACGGGCGAGGATTGAGTATCTGCCCTCGCTCTCAAACATAGCAATGCTTTCGAAGACGGAAGGAGAACTGGTGCGGCTAAAGGCAATGGTAGATCCGATCAAGATCTTCCAATCTTTCGGTAACCGCTGTAAAGACCAGAACGCGGTCGTTGTGCGTCAGGCGCTCAAGGAGCTCGTCCCGTACTTAGACGCCAACCAGAAGCATCTTCACCAGTCACTCATCAGTCAAAAACCGCTACCAGTCCTCGAGGCCCTGACCCGCTCTCTGCTAGATGCAAGCATACGATTTAACGAGGATCATCAAGATATTACCACTATGTGTGCGCAGTGTCTGGGTATCATCGGCGGTCTTGACCCCTACCGGGTCGAGAGCGTACGCGAAAAGAAGCGAGTGCTCATGCTCTCAAACTTCTCGAAAAGAGACGAAGACATCGATTTCGTGGCGCTGCTACTTGAGCAAGTCCTTGTAAGGGTATTTCTGTCTACAACCAATGCGAAAGCACAAGGATGGATAGCGTATGTCATGCAAGAGATGCTTAGGCACTGCGGATTCAGTGCTTTGAAGCACACGCAGCCGCGTTCATCGCAGAACAGCACCGAAGCACAACGCTGGAACGAAATCCCTGAGGCTGTCCGGAATGTTCTCACGCCATTTCTCACTTCCAGATACTCTGTCAATCTCAATCCGGGTCTCCGTTATGAGGGTCCGCAGTACCCAATTTTCAACAGCAGCACTAGTCATGGGACCTGGTTGCAGACTTTTGTATACGATTTGCTACAGAAAGGTCAAGGCGTCAATGTCGAAATGGTCTTTCCAGTTTTAGCCCGTGTCATCAGGGGCTACGATCTATCGATCGCAACCTTCATACTGCCATTCGCAGCCTTGAACGTCATTGTATCTGATGACGAAAAGAACATGGAGAATGTTGGGAGAGAGCTACTTACAGTGCTCCAAACAGAGATACATTCCCCTGAACAACCTGATGCCACTCTGATCAAGCAGTGTAGTGAGGTAAGAACATGCCATTGGCAGCTTTGACTAGAGGAGCTGACAAGAAATAGAACGTTTTCCAAACACTCGATTACCTGTCCATGTGGCTTCAGGAAAGGAGAAAGGCTGCAAACGAAGCACGAGCAATGGCTGGCAAAACAGGTCGCGGCGTGTCCGAGGAAGATGAGATGAATGCCATCAAACAGATCAGTCGCGTCGAAGGTGTCCTGCAACTTATCCCGGCAGAGATCATCTCAAGACGGGCCGTCGAATGTGGATCTTACGCACGCGCTCTTTTCCACTGGGAACAGTACATTCGCCAGCAACAACAGGTCAAGGGTAACGGCAAACAATGGTTTGCCGAAAAGGATGAGATGCTGCAACATTTGCAGATGATATATGCGCAGATTGATGAGCCCGACAGCATCGAGGGCATATCAGCTCACTTGAGAGTACTCAATCCGGAACAGCAGATCATTGAGGATCGCAAAGCGGGGCGGTTAACAGCAGCTCAAAGCTGGTACGAGATTGCTTTGGCTGAGAAGCCAAATGATACGGAGACGCAAATCAATCTTTTGAACTGCCTCAAGGAGTCAGGTCAATATGGTAAGAGACTCGACGGGGCTAATTAATTAGTATCACGCTGACATTCACGCCAGATTCGATACTCAACTATGTGGATGGTTTTCATGCCTCCAACTCGTTGTCGAACAGCACACTGCCTTTTGCAGCGGAAGCGGCATGGTCGGCTGGTAAGTGGCCACAACTAGAGCGCATCCTAGGTTCTTCCCCAGCGCCAGAGAAGATCTCCATTCTCGACTTCAATGTCGGTGTTGGACGTGCATTGCTTGCTTTACGTCACAAAGATAGTACTGCTTTCCAGGCAATTATTACAACGTTGAGAGAGGCGCTCGCTGCAGGACTGTCTCCGTCAACAACCTCTTCCATACAGGCGTGCCATGACCATCTGGTCAAATTGCATGCTTTGTACGAGTTGGAAGCTGTGAGCGGCATGACCTCGACAATGCCACCGAATCGCGAAGTCATCCTCGAAAATCTGGACCGGCGATTAGACATCATCGGCGCTTACACTTCGGACAAGCAGTATCTTCTGGGAGTGCGTAGGGCTGCTATGTCTTTGTCACGGTAAATTAAATTGTGTGACCATTGAAGCGATGTATTCTAACACGCCATAGTATTGAGTTTACGAACTTGGATATAGCCGACCGCATGGCTGACTACCGGGAGACTTGCGCGCAAGGGCGAAACTTCACTGACTACTGCTTTCAATTCCGTGATGCATGCAGAGAAGCTAGGAGATACTGCGTCAAAGATTGAATATTCCAAGTTGCTGTGGAAAGAGGGCCACCATCGGAAGGCTATCCAAAATCTGCGTGGCGCAATTGCGAGCAACGCTTTCGAACAACTTGAAGATGTTGTGTCAGTCAACATCTCCGTTACCACAGCAGGTCTACCCGAAGAACATGGCAGCAAGATCAAAGCAAACGCCCAGCTACTTCTAGCAAAATGGTTGGATCGAGCAGGACAGACGAAGTCAATAGCTCTAAAGGAGGAGTACGCGGCGGCAGTCATGGCATATCCTAGATGGGACAAATGTCATTACTACCTCGGACGGTTTTATCTCAAGCTATTTGAGTCAGAGAAGCGACAACCGCTCACCAAGCAGAGCTCTGAATATTTGTCAGGGAGCCTCCTCAAGCTCGTCATCGAGAACTTCATTCGATCAACCGTTTATGGCACCAAGTACTACTACCAGACTTTACCCAAAATCCTCACTCTTTGGCTGGACATGGGCATGGAAGTCATGAACACTGCGCCGAGAACGACTCGTGACAAGGAGTTCCACGATCACCGGGCTTCGTATTTGAAGCACCTCAACGAATACCTGAAGAGGTATGCTGGGCAGCGAATGCCGGCTTTTGCATGGTACACGACCTTCCCGCAGATCATCACTCGTATAAGTCATCCCAACAAGAACGTTTGGGAGGCACTTCAGACGATCATCCTCCGGGTTGCATCATCATACCCACAACAAGCATTATGGAGCCTGTTAGCTGTGCTCCACTCGACGCAAGACGACCGTCGTGGCCGCGGTACTACGGTGCTTCAAAAGCTACGTGATGCATCAAAGCGCAAGGGTGCCTCTGTTGACCTGAAGAATCTGATCATTCAAGGTCAGCGCCTTACGGACGCGCTCTTGGCTGCTTGCGATGCACCTGTAGAGCAACGCGTTGCCCATGTGAGTCTATCGAGAGACCTTGGCTTCAGTCATAAGCTGGCTCCTAGCCAATTGGTCGTTCCGATCGAAGCAAATTTGCTTCCAAACTTGCCTGCAACCAACGACAGCAAGAGCATTCGAGCTCATAATCCGTTTCCACACGATGCGATCACTATCAATGCTTTCATGGATGACGTTCTGGTGCTTTCATCGCTACAAAGACCCAGAAAGGTCAACGTGCGCGGCTCAGATGGTCGGTCTTACGGTCTCCTCTGCAAGCCGAAAGACGACCTGCGGAAAGATCAGCGCCTCATGGAGTTCAACGCAATGATCAATCGCGCCTTACAGAAGGATATTGAATCCAGCAAGCGTCGTCTATACATCAAGACGTACGCCGTGACACCTCTCAACGAGGAATGCGGAACCATCGAATGGGTCGAAGGGCTCAAACCCATGCGGGACATTATCATCAAGAACTACAGGCAACATCATGTTTCGATTGACTATACTGAGATACGTTCGCTCCTTAATGAGGCTTCGTCTACTCCTTCCAAAGTCCCCATCTTCACCGACAAGATCCTCGGCAAATTCCAGCCTGTCTTGCACGAATGGTTCGTTGAGACATTCCCAGAGCCAGAAGCATGGTTCGCCGCACGCCTACGCTACACACGCTCTTGCGCCGTCATGAGCATCGTAGGCCACGTTCTCGGCCTTGGCGACAGACACGGCGAAAACGTCCTACTCGAACAAGGCAACGGCGGCACCTTCCACGTTGATTTCAATTGCCTCTTCGACAAGGGCCTCACATTCGAGAAACCAGAACTCGTCCCCTTCCGCCTCACGCACAACATGGTCGACGCCATGGGTCCACAGGGCGTCGAAGGCCCGTTCCGAAAAGCCGCAGAACTCACATACAGTCTACTTCGCCAGCATGAAGATACGCTCATCACGATCCTCGAGACGTTTGTACACGACCCGACGGCAGACTTCTTGGGCAACAGGAAGAGGAAGAAAATCGCCGGTGTGGCGGATACGCCCCAGGAGGTACTGGATATAGTGCGCACGAAGGTTAATGGCTATCTAAAGGGCGAGTCTGTGCCACTGAGTGTTGAAGGGTATACTGATGCACTTATTGCGTCGGCGATGGATCCGTTCAATTTGGCGGCGATGTATATCGGGTGGTGTGCTTTCTTCTAGCGGGGATATGCATGGTTTGGCGTTGTGGGGTTTATTCGCAAGGCAGGTATTCATAGACAAAATGAGTTGGCTCTTATGCTGAAACCGAATTGCACTAATGACTAATTTATGATGGATTGTTGTGCCGATGATCCTGCGCAAGACGTCTTTGCCACAGCAAAGCCGTAAGGTTTCTGATCACATCTTGGCCCTTCGCCTCGGACATGTCAATCGAGAACCTAGGGGCAAATGTGGAGTCAAGCTTAGAGTAGATCGCCACATCTCATAGAAGTCGATGTAATTTTTCCGGTCAGATTTTAGCTTAGCTTATTGGGTTGAGATGCATCGAGCGTGCGGTGGTACTCTCGGTGATGAACAAATTGTATACTTGTAACAGCTCCAGTGATGACTGCAGTCAGGGCTACCTTGCCCGCTCTGAAGAGCAGACGGGTCTTCAGATATAGATGAAGGGTTGATATTTGTCGAGAGTACCAAGTGAAATCTAGGACAGCTTCTAGGATGACACAATGTGAAGACAGCCCGCAAGTCAACGAGGCTGGTTGAATTGAAGCTTTACTTCTCATACAAATATTAATAGAATATCGATTACACGCGCAATTGTACTATAGTCATCCACTTCATGTCTTCGTCACCAGCTCACAACACCTTCTACACAACACGCAATAATGAAGGCAATAGCTGTATGAAGACCGAAGTCCTCGATAAGGTTAAGTATGTTTCATGCTAGCCTTTTGAGCATTTCATGTCGTCGTAGCGACGCATGTTCCCCAAGAATAAGTTTGTACAAGTGGCGGTAAAAGACTTCCGCGCTGTTAGGGTATACAAGAAATTATGTGCGTCCAGACAAGGAGCTTAGGTGCAAGTGCCGAAGCCCTTTTGACATCCCGTACCACAGTGGTCGGTGGTCTTTCCGCACCAGCCGTACTGGGAGCAGCAGTTGCCAAAGGTCGACTTCTGGCAAGTGAAGCCATTTGCACCGGAGCATGTGCCGTCTGTGGAGACCTTGAGAGCTGGGGTGGTTGGTGTGGCAGCCTTGGAAGAGGTAGCAGCCTTGGTGGTAGCAGCCTTTGAGGGAGCGGCGCCGTTGGAACCACAGTTACCGAAGCCAGATTGGCATCCGGTTCCACAGTAGTCCGTGGTTGAGCCACACCAGCCTGCTGCAGAGCAGCAGTTACCGAAAGAGCTGCCAGCGCACGTACTTTGGGGTGTTAGGGCCAGTACATATAGAGTAGGATTTGCAACAACTTACAATTGGTTGGTTCCACCACAGGTAGCATCGGTAGAAACCTTCTTTGAACCGGTAGCAGCAGGTGCAGCGGAGGACTTGCTTGTAGTAGGGGCCTTGAGGAACATGGTGTTAGACGAGTGCAGATAATAATATCGATAATCCAACGCGAACGATCGGAAGAAGAAGGGGATCACTGGCCCTCAACGGGTTCAGTCATGGCTCCAAGAAGCCGATGTACACAATCCGGGGACGAAGTGGTGCCGTGGAAAACGGTTACTGTCGATCTCCTCGCGGTTTCATTGATCAGGGTCCATTCGACTCAAAGTCTGAGTCTGGAGGCCTTTGCAACGGACGTTAGATGGCAGAGCCATGGAGTCTGGTACATGACGAGAGAAACACATGCGGACGACTCTGCAAGAGGCATGCCCTTTGAGGAAATTATGTACTTACAGTTCCAGCGCCACCAGCAGTGCGGTACCAGTTGGCAGCAGGGTCGCCGAGACAGTCACCAACGGTGACACCCTTGTATCCCAGGTCGGTAATGGTCTTCAGCATGTACTCGGTCAAGTTATTTGCGGTCTGCTCGTGAATGTCATGCTGGATGTCAAGCCACTTAGCACCACCCTTAGCAGTCGCACCGCCCTTAGTGATGTTACCGCGGAACCAATCCTTAGAGCGCTGGATCTGGTTGGGGCTGTCCTGGTTGTAGTCATCAGTGTCAACGTCGAAGTAGATGACGTGGTAACCGAGATCAGCCATATCAGTCTCACACTGGCCAGTGCAGCTAGAGTAAGGTGGGCGCATGTAGGTGGGGATCTTTCCGACAATGTTGCGGAGAGCCATCTCGTTCTTCCACATTTGCTGCTTGCGGTCGATCTGGGAGATGGCACTGAGGTCCAAGTGGGTCCAGGTATGAGAAGCGAGCTGGTGACCCTCCTGGTCCATGCGCTTGAGGACACTGGAGAACTCGGGGGTAATGTCGATCTGGCCCTTGTTGATGTTGTTACCAGTGATGAAGAATGTGGCCTTTGCATTGTACTGCTTCATCAAATCCAGGATATGGGCGGTGAAAACCTTTTGTGGGCCGTCGTCGTAGGTCAGGGCCACCGTGCCGGGAGTGACACAGTTGTAGATACCATCGCCTCCATATTCGACTGAGCCAAGCTTGGTACGGGCAATAGAAGAAGTGTTGGTACCAGCGGGTGTTTTGTTCTCTGGGCAGCCAGGGCCGTGTGCGTAGTCGCAGCCGGGAGAGTAGCAAAAGTCGTCCTCAGTACCGCAGTCTAGAACTCATCAGATTGAAAAGTATAGAGTTCATTCATACCAACTTACATCCTGCTTGGGAACAACATTGGCCAGCAGGGCAGGAGCCAACCCCTTGGCCACATTGGCGGTCATCCTGGCGAGCCTTCAATGACTTGACATCGGTCTTTGCGAAGTCGTTGACCGTGGCGAAACGGGCACCGAGGTTAGACAGAATAGCACGAGCCTTGAGGTCCTTGGGGTTCAGTCCAACGATGGTTGGGAGACCGTTACCAGATCCATGGGCGCTGACAAGCGGCGCAACAGCCGCAACAGCGGCAAGAGCAGTGGAAAAGTGCATATTGAACAAATTCGTTCGGTCGTATTAGAAAATTATCAGATGTAGATTGTCGATGATCCTAAAGGAAGCGAATGGATAGTGATAGCCTAGGTGACTAAACACTTAATGACCTTGTTGGTTAAGCGAAAGGGTCCGCAAGGAAGGCGGAAATGTATGCTTCGACAAGAAGGTGAAGAAACCTTAAGGGCGGACGAAGCCGCTGTTTATGAAGAATGAGATCAGCGTCCAGTCAGGTATCCTTGCAAGGCGTGTGCTAAAGTTGACTAGGGAGTGCGATTAAGGCAGAACGGCATGGATGGCGTGTCTCATCCTTGTCCGGTGTGTCGCCGATGAGGCTAGAGAAGTAAGCTCCTCTTGTACAAGTTTGGTACCGTGGACCCATAGTACCGGCTTCGCTTCGCTCTGGAAGATGTATTATTGGAAATGCCGGCGTAGATAGCGGTACGGCCCCATCGTCACGCAGGGAACCGAGTCGCAACACAACCGTGGAGGAAAATCAACAACATCGCCTCTCTGAATAGTCACAAGATCTGTAGATGAAGAAATCAAACTTGCGACGTCCACATTGGTTCCTCGCCAGCAGGAGCTCGGAGTATGCGTTCGCGTTAAACATGATACATGTTGCCGAGGGGTAGTATGGCGATGACAAAACAACGAGTGATTCACAGTTTGACGTACCTGCAGTACAATGCCAATACTCATGTCTCGGCAGCATCATAGTTTTCGTGAGTCGTATCGGTGCACACGCCAGAAAGGTGTCGCAAAAGGCTGCTGTGCTACAGCGGATGCATGGCAAACCCGAAGACGCCATGGGCTCGGGCTGGCTCTTAGCGGCCAGCTTTTCCCCTTGTGGCTTCGGCACCCAGATTTATCAATATTGGCAACCGCTGCCCAGCATGCTTGAGGTACCCACGACTCTTGGACCGGAGCTTGTCAAGAAACAAGAGAAACGGTGATCCACTTTATCATATTTCAACATTGGAATCCTACTTTTAGAACTCGTGGTATTCGAGGCAGGGAAGCGTTGCGCATGAAAAGTCCTGGTGCGAAACATTCAGCATGGATCCATGGTAATTTACTAGCCCCTGATATTAGGCGCTCCACAACCCCGACTATAGACTGAAGGCGGAGGAGGCGCTTCAAAGCGAATTCTCCTTTCTGAGCATGCCCAGCTTGACAACACACAGCCAGCCACATGTTCTACGCAGCGGGTCTCGACATTAGTCATGACCGATAACGAGTCGCTGGCTGTCTTGCATTCCCGACTACATACAAAGGCGGGAGCAAGTCGCCCGACTTCGATGCCAACAGACGCCCAAAGTGGATGACGAGGGTCTGCTGCAGCAAGACACCAAATGGTTGAAAAAAACGATACTTCAAGCTGTAACACGCCATAGTCGGCGAAGAGCGGAAGACCCTCGTATCCCCTCTTTTCGCCACGCAGCCGACTCCATCTAACGTTTGCCGTACAAGGCCGATTCCACGACATCCGCTCCCAAGCCTATCCTTTCCAAGTATGACATGATGGTGGAAAGTACACACATGAACACAAAACCGCGTCAACAAGGCTTTCGGGAATACCGCGCACAATAAAATCCGATGTTAATCCTTGGATACGTCAAGCTTTGGAGCAACCCCTGGCATAAAGTTTCACCGACGTTTCTCTTGGTGAAGTGGGGCTGGATCGTCGACCCTAACGTTCTCATCGGTCTCGACACTCAACATCCGGTAACAAGTCCAGTTCACCACCATATATGCGAATAACCCGTCTACGAATAAGGTCGTGCCACTTTTATTGGCCTTGACTCTTCCAATGCCGTGGCAACAGGGACTTTTGGCGTACAAACACGCGGTGCTCACAGCGCGCCTGTGGATGTTTCCCCAATGACTGTTTATTGAGTGTTACGCAGCTATCAGGTCATATGTCACAGAGGCAATTCTCGAGGGGTGTGGCTCCAAGAAATCGTGTGCCACGTTTTCTGTCATCCCTCGCGTCTGCAGCCACCGATTAAAGCCTGAAGCACCGAGCCAACTTCGGGCGGATGCGGCCCGACCAAATGTCCAAACTGATCTCACTCTCCACTTCGTCGTGTTCGGAGATAAGGAGGGGTTCGAATAAGTTTCCTTCAGCAATTTTTCAAAGGTGAATTTGTCGGGAAAAACAGGAGGCGAATACGGACGTTTGTTTTCGCACGCGACGATCAGGTAGCTGTCGTGAAACACTGTGTACCGAAATACTTAGCAGACCATGTTTTACACATGCCGCTTAGTACGTCATGATCGCCTTGTCAGGTGGTTCCCGTAGCTACAGACGATCGTTCTTTCTCGCATGCGTTAGCGTGTCTCTAGGCAAGGCAAAGAGACGAGTGTCTCAAGAGAACGTCCCATCGCGCTGTGGAGGGTCTTCTCCATAATCTTGGGTTGTACAACCCCACAAATTGCGATCTCCTTGCTGATCGTTTTTGGTAAATAGCCATGGCGTACTTGGGTGCAAACCATGAGCTCGACTCGGGACAGCAATACTTTGTCGAAAGCTGGAAAAGCTTCAACACTTCTTACGTAGATTACGAAAGATCACGCTATTTGCTGCTGGACCCTTTGGAATAGTGAAGTTTGACGTTGAAGCAACTCGGACCTAGCTACAAAGCAAGACGTTGGCTTGTAGATCAGCGCTCCAGATCTCGATCACCACGAGGAAGGACCGCTGCCGCTCGCCATAAGCGGGATGCCTGATGTACACCAACATATCGCAATCTCTTTAAACGAGAAACGACATGCTGGAGGAAAAAGGAAGGCATGGCCCGAAAAAGCACTGAGATGCACCGTGCTTGACGGCATCACGCCTCGCTCGGAGATACACGGTCCCCCCTCCCCACCACTCAAGCTGATATAGTGTCAAATGATGTGTTGCAATCGAAACTGAAAGACAAATCAGATATGTCTTGTGCCTGCGCCACTACTCCAGAGAACATAATGATTCAAATGCTCATATCATGTATCTTTCCCTTAATCATCATCATGTCCATGTCCCATCTAACCGAAAAGACGTCAACAATTCATCCGTCTGCATCACACTCTCCTTCCAGTAACAGCCCCATTCCGTCCCGCCATCTCATTATTCACAGCAATTGCCAACGCCGTGATGTCACTATTAACAGCCACACTCCTCACCTTATCATACGGAAACACAACACTCTTGTCTCTAACACCCAACGCATCCACAAACAGCACATTCGGGAAACTCTGCGGCGTGAACGCGTTCCAGGCTTCACTAACCAAGTCGTCGAAAGCATCGGCTGCCAAATTCAAAATCGCGCGCTCGGGAATCAACACGTCTTCGGGCTGTTGCGTCATCAGCCAGGACATTACGTGGAACGTGTCTTTCCGGGCGCTGATGTCTCGATTCGCGGCCAGTTTGGCGAGTTGGTCAGATTTCATTCTGGCGCGGTCATTGGTGTTGGAGTATTGGTCGTAGAAAGGGAAGTTGGCAGTCGAGTAAAAGCCTTGGTTGGAGTAAGTGCCTAGACTGATGCCTGAGGGGAGCTGAGCGAAGATGAAGACGGAGGCGCGGTCGGCAATGAAGTCGCCGAGGACTTTGGTTGTGAAGTCGGTGGTGCCGGGGTTTGGGGCGGTGTAGCGGTTGTTGATGCCTTTAAGAGTATCGAAGAGCGCGTTCCATTGGGCTTGCGAGAGGGCCTTATATTGGTTGTCGGTATCGAGAGTGTGGGAGAGATTGATGATGATGAGCTCTTGGTACTTTGCTGTGAAGTCGTTGATCTGGCGGATAATGTCTGAGACGGCCTGGCCGTTTCCTCCCACCCAGATATCTTGAACATCATTCTCAAGTGCGCTGTAGTGTCCGCTAACCCATTGGCCATTCGACAAGACGGGTCGAAGGTCAAAGTACCGAGACCCAGCCATGAGCTGCTGATAGAAGTCGAGATACTGAGTTTGAGTATTTGCGAAGTTTGCACCAATAGTGCCTGGCTTGAATGTACTCATTCCGGCATCATGCGACCCAGGCATACAGATTTGTCTCAGCGTTCTATTGGCAAGTGATCCCATACTTTGCTGCATCCAGTCGACATAAGTCCCGCTGTTCGACCACCACTGGCCAGCTTCATCTGTTGACATGATCCAATTCACGGTGGCATCGTGCCGAAAGCCAAGGTCTACTTGGGATCCCTGAGGACTCTGCTTCGTCGATAGATTGTCAAGCGATATCGTGAGCTTGTAGTCTGAGGGTTTTCTGGCCAGTACGGAAAATTTGCTGGCTGTTCCTGCGATGTTGTAGTATGCTTCGCCCGCATCGTCTCTCGTCTGGCCCTTGGTGCCAAATTCGACGTAAACCTTCGAAGCCTTTCCTATTCAAAGTTAGTCTCTCTCGGAAGACCTTTCTGGAGTGGAGATCGAACCTGCGTTCGCCGTAAGCCAGCTCCATTTGTCCATCTGGTAGCTATGTGTACTACTGACGCCCCAATCAAATGGAGACCCATTCACCAAAGTCATATATCCGCCGTAGCCCATGGTGAAGCCCTCTGTTGTCGTTTCTTGGTCTCTGTCGCATCCACTCTCATTCAGGGCAACCTGATCAAGTCTTGCTTCAGAGCTAGCAAAGCCGTCACAGTACCTTCGAAGCGTCGATGCATTCGCAGTGCCATGGAGGGCAACTAGTATAAGTACCCCCCATCTTTTCCAAGATCCATGGCAATTACACATGTTGGTCAGGCACCTCGACATCCCTGTATCCACCCAAGGCCCGTTCCTAGGCCTCACGGCATACCCGTAGCTATACGGATGCGCGCCGCTGTCAGCCAGTCAATCGGAGCACGGATAGCCAGCAGTATGTTGCTATTTACAGGGTTGTGTGTTTATGTGTGGGTTTGTCGCATTCAGCGTGGCGGTTAGTGGTGTGCTCTGCGGAATTACTGAAGGCACCTTCCCGATTGGCCTGGCGCGGGATGAAGTGGTGTTTCGCCCACGGGCGTGCTCGTCCAACAGCCACTCCGGACACGGAGACGCTCGTGGAGATGGACACTAAAATACAGAGCGAAGCGATACGAGGGTGCTTGTGATCTGCATCAAACATGGTGGAGTGCAGGGTGAGTGAGGCTTGAGTTGTATTGTGACGCTAAGACAGATACGATGATCTATACAAGAGTTCATTCACATAGACACATTCTCGTACACGATCTGTGCAGCTATAAACTATAAGACCATCAAATCGTGCTATGGTAGATTGGAAACTTTAGAGCTCGTGCATCGTTCACCTAGACTATGCCATCATCGGTCCACTGTAATCATCCAGCCATCGCTCAATATCTGACCGTTTGCATCCTCACCACCCCAGACAACAGCAGTTGCTCCATCGACTTCGGTGCCCTTTGCGACCGCGAAATGACCTCTTGCACCCAATCCTCTCTTCGGCTCGCCAGGGACCTCCTTCTCTTCTTCACCCCTGGTATCGACGTGCTTATACAGGACCTCGGCCCATTGCGACTCATGTGTATCGCGCTTCATTGTCGCTCGTATACTGTCCTTCGTTGAAGCGGCGGTGGAGCTCTCGGGTGGCAGCTGAAGTGCCCAAATATCGTCCAAGAAGCCAGAGTTTTCGCTCTCGCCGCCAATGGCCAGAAGATAACGCCGTCCTTGACCGGTTGTCACACCAACAAGACCAGAATTCGAGCGTGCTTGGGGAGCAGCAGCTGTGGTAGCCGCTTTCTCGGTATGCGGAAGCTCTTCCCAGCTCCAGCCGCTCGTCAGTGGAGTAGTGCCACCCTCAGCGTGCTTCCATACATGCGATGCATCGAGCAACTCCGTTGCGCCCGAGCTGAACGTCTCAACGCCCTTTCCACCAAAGCGGTACAGGCGATCGCCAACAAGCGCCAAGCTTGCGCCATCTCGTGGCTGCCCAGACGGGGTGGGGATGTTGGTCCAAGTTCGCGTCTTAACATCAAAAGCCAAAGCATCATTCGATAGCTGTCCAGTCGTGACATTTCGTCCTCCCACCACAAATATTGTACCCCATGAGTCTGACTCGGCTGGCTCGGGAACGAATTTGGAAGGATCCACAGGTGCTTGCGGTGCTTTCTCTTGATAAGTCACAGTCTTCGGGCCTGGAAAATCTGAGCTCGCCGCTGCATGACCAGTCCGCTGGCTAGGATACAGCGTGTCAGACGTGGGATCCAGGTAGGTCCATGTGTTCTGCACGGTATGGTATGCCCATACCCTGCCCTTCTCTTCCGAAACATTGCCTCCCTCTCCTCCAAAGATGTATATGCTGTCTCCAATGACCGTAGATGTATGTCCTTTCCGTGAGCTCGGGACGTCGTCTAACCCGTTCGCGGCTCGTGCCGGAAACGTGGTATAGTCGGCTTCGAGGACGCCGCTTGAAGGCAGTATGACAACATGCATGCCATTGTCCGCGAGCTTTCCTGGTTCAATCTCTCCTCCAAATATATAAGCGCGGCCTTTGAGAACTGACACGGTGTGGTGGGCTCGAGGTACGGGGGCGGACGTTATGCGCGTGAGGTTTGCCTTGATCGGAAGGGTCGGATGGGTGATTCCTTTGATCAGGGCGGCAGCGCCTTCAAGTAAGTTTTCTGCAGCATATAGCGCTCCGGCAGCGGCGGGCTCCATTGCTGGCTGCAGCGTTGAGCTGCTGCTACGTTTGTAGGGGAAGCTGAATACTGCAACAGTTATACTGGCGACGTGAAGGACCAATGTTGAAAGATTAGACACAGGAAGGATTTGTGACTGGGATGATGAAGAGTATAGATTGAGTTGAAGGTTGATTATGTTGTTTGTGGAGCTGGGAGCTTGAGCTCACCAAGCTCATGCCGAATGACGTCATATCGAAGCTGAACCCTGTTAAACGATTGCCCAGCGTTGAGCTATTTCAAAACAGCTTCCCAGTTGAGATCTTTTTACCTTGCGTAACCATATCATATGCTTCGTGACCTTCGTCTTGCTCGCGGCAATTCATGAGCCGGATGCAAGGAGTTTCATTGACGGGTAGTGATCATCCTGAGATCCACGAGAAGAGCTTTGAAATGGTGTCTGAGGTTATTGGTTCTGTTTGACCATGGGTGGTAAAAAGGTCGTGCCAGCCATCAATGTGAGCTTTGATAGAAGCTTGTCATGTATGGACCATCGTAAAAGTGCTGGATCAGATGTTGGGCGAAAGTTGATCTGACTTCACGCATCGTTCAACCTGACGTGACTTTAGCATTGGCAAAGATGGCACATAGAGGGGGAGGGGAAGCTTACCGTTTCGATGGAAGCTTGCAAAAAGCTACGTGCCTCAAGACCAACCCAAACTTTGAGCATAGAGAAGTCACCGCCGCGGATCATCGAAGAGCCGCTTTGCGCGCTAAGTTGTCGTAGGATTGGGAGAGCACTGTTAAGCGTCAGTTTCTGTGATATTGTTTTTTGCACAACACTTACCCTGCGAAGAGGTCTAAGTTAGGTTCGAGTGTCCTGCCAATACCCTCTAGAAGCAGGATACTAAGAACCACATTGACAAAGTCTCCCTCGAGACGGACATGGTGTGTCCGCACCATCGACAGTACTTCGTTGAGGATATCGCCGATCTTGATGTTGCCCAGCGCGAATGTACGGCTCTTTACTCCAAGGACCAGATGTTGCATACGTAGAGCGAAAACCTCGCCATCCAACACCGCGTCGGGCTGTCTGCACCGTTCGACCATCAGATGGCCTGCCTTGTAGCCGTCAAACTCTGCGACAGCTTTGAAAAGATCAAGGAAGTTGGCGCGGTTTTTCGCGTTCAATTCCGTCACTAAGCCTGTGTCGATGAAGATGAGTTGTGGCCGATATCCCTCGTGGTCAATGTCTTGGAGTGTCGACTTCCATTTTACGGGATCCTTCTTGTGTGGTCGTAATCGCTCCAATACTTCTTCAGTAACATCCAAGGATTCCTTAGGGCCAGTAGTACGTTCTTCCTTGCGTGTGAACATGGATACGTCCAGCTTTTCAGGCTTATAGAATCTGACCATGATGTTGCCAGGATGTAGATCAGCGTGGATGAAATTGTCGATCAGTACCATTGTCAAGAAAGCATCTAAACCCTCGTCTGCAATATCTTTCTGGAATACGCCACCTCCATTCTGTAGAAAGTCCTCCATGGGAATGCCCTGCGCAAACTCCTCAATAAGGAGATTTCGCGTGGTGTATTCGGTGTATGGGTAGGGAAACCACGCAGTTGTCCTTTCCTTGAAGTTCTGCCTAAAAATTGTGAGGTTCGCCGCTTCGATGCGCAGATCAAGTTGAAGTCTCATCATTTCACCAAATTGTTCTACCTCGTCTGGAAACGAGAGCCATTCCATGGTAGGTATGGCATTGATGATAGCAGCGAAGAAGGCCATGATGCGAAGATCTCGGCGCACGATTTTCTCAATCTTTGGGTGCAGCACTTTGACTGCGACATGGCTTGAAGGCACTCTCGATGGTGTACTCTTCAGAGTCACGTCGACGCCCTTCTTGATCTTTCGTGCAAGATTTGGCTTTTCTGTGTCGATTGCGTTGTCCTCTAGCGTTGCGAGATCTGGCTTCAGCTTGGCCTTGTATACTTGTGCGATGGCGCCCACACCCAGCGGCTTTTCGTCGAATTCGTCGAATATGTCCTCGAATGCGCGGCCGCCAAAAGCAGCCTCGATTGTCTGCTTCGATACTTTGAGAGAATGTGCGGGTGCGTTCGAGTGGAGAGTGGACATGATGAGACACATCTGTGTCGGGAAGACATCTGTTCGAGAAGCAGCCCATTGTCCGAGCTACCATATAGTTAGCATTGTGCATTGGGACCTTGGAGTTGTCTTACTTTGATGAAGGCTGCACCAGCCCTCTCCATAGATGATACCAGGAAGCCGTACCACCAGATTGTACCACTTCTCTCATTGTCCTTGTCGGCCTGCCTCTGCCCTATCCATATCGCTGGTATCGTCACTATCACCGGCACGAAGATGATGATCAGATGCAAGAATCGCAAGCCCGTGGCTATGGGTTCTATTATGTAGTCCTCGATGAAGAAATATAGGCCTCGTCGATACTTGGCAGAGTGTTGTATTGACTTGGGCACCTGCTCATCAAGCTCTTTTCTCGACGCCTCGAGCATGGCCTCTTCGTGGGTCTGCTCTCCATCGCCCGACTTTTCATTGGCAATGCCGACGAATGCTAGAGGGCTCAGGACAGCCCCACCCGCTGCGCCGGACCATAATATTGTCCTGCCACCGAACCGTGGAGTAGCGAAGTGTTGGCGGATGAAGTTGGCAGAAGTAAAGGATCGGTGGGTGGCTCGATTGAGGTACGGTGCCGCAGACCTTTGGAAGCCCTGGCGAAGACACTGGCGACCAGCAAAGAGGAAAGTCCTCATGGTACCAGATATTGGGCGGATGCAGCGCAAGACATGTCCATGAAGCGCGAAAGTACGATGTTCCGCGATCGTGACGTAGATCGGTCGTAGCTCGCTTGTGACACCGACAACACCGACCACAGGCGCCCTCCCGACACTGTCCGAAGCACGTGCCGTCCGCATTCAGTTGTCACCAAATACAACCACGACACATCACGCACATCGACGCAGGACGTTGTATTGTATGGCGATCGAAAGATTTTGATTTATAAGTATCTGGAACCTAGCAACGTACAAATGAAGCGAAGACGCTGAGCAGAAAGATCAAACCCCAATCTACGCAGTTACGAAACCCTCAAAGCCTTTGTCCAAAGACGCGCGCGTTAGCTCCTTGTAAAGCGGGAAGCCTCCAGCAAAGTTGAGCTGTTCTCGAAGCTTGCCCGGGATGTTATCACCCATGTACCAACTCTTGGTTTGAGGGAATAGAGTTTTATCGGACAATTCCATTACCGTCTTCCTCCACTCCTGCTCCGCCTCATGAGTTGGCTCGCAGTACTCGATATTCTCCTCCTTCATCTTCTTGATGGCATCGACAATCCAGTCGCCTTGGACTTCGACGCAAGTGGGTCCGTTGGAGAAGGCTGTTGGTCCTTGAGCCCCGTACAGGAAGAAGCAGTTACTGTCCAATATGTCAACATTCGTCGCAGTGGGTTGGATTTTCAGAACTTACGGGAATCCGGACATCGTCATTCCGAGGTAGGTGTATGTGCTAAGGATTTCCATGTTAGCAATGGCCTGCACGCTTACTCCACATCAACGACTTACCCGTTCTTCCACTTCTCCGAGAGCTCCACGCCATTAACGTCCTTCAAGCCCATGTTCTTCATTCCGCCAGTGACGGAGTCGAAGCCAGTAGCAAGTGCAACAACATCGAGCTCATGGAGCTTGCCATCAGCAGTGATGATGCCCTTCTCTGTAAATCTTTCAATCGGGTATTTCTTCACGTCGACTACCTTGTTCTCGGGTTTGTCAAGCATCTCGTAATAGTTCTGCTCCAAACTTGGTCGCTTGGTGCCGAAGGCATGCGGCGGCTCCAGCGGTGCGAGAATCTCCCGCTTTTCTGGGTCTGTTATCCTGGCACGGGTCTTCTTGGCCCAGAAGTTGTAAGCCTCACGGTTGGCTGCGTTGTCGAACAGCAAGTCCTTGTAGTTGGCCAGCCAGTATTCGAAACCGCCACCCTCGAAAAGCTTCTCGTAGAAGGCCTCGCGCTCCTCAGGACTGTCGTCGAAGGTATTCTTCTCGATGTAGTCATAGCCGAAGCCAGCGAAAGTGTCCAATCGGTGCTCGAAGAACTTCTGATACTCGCCCTGTTTCCTTCGATCTTGCTCTTCTTTCGTTAGGTTCTGCTGCTGCATAGGCAGGCAAAGGTTGGGCGTGCGCACGAATTGTGTCACGGATGCGGCTTCTTTTGACGTTTCCTGGGCGATCTGGACTCCAGTGGAACCCGTGCCGATGACACCAACACGCTTTCCTTTGACGGGTACTCCAGCGTCGGGCCAGAATGAGCTGTGGTGTAGCTCTCCCTTGAAGTCCTCCATACCAGGCCAATCAGGGAAATGCCTCTTGGCTGCGAAACCCAGAGCAAGCAGAAGATATTTGGATTTGGCAGTACGACCGTCTTCTGTCTCCGTTATCCACTTGCCAGAGGGCTTGTCAAAATGCGCTCCGGTGACACGGGTGTTGAATGCGCAGTCCTTCTTGATATCCAACTTCTTCTCCACGTGGTTGAAGTATTGTCGGAGCTCGTCGGTTCCGGGATACCGACAGGACCAAGTCCAGTCCTATACGGGTACGTTAGAGTTGACACAAGTGAAGATGTGGACATGCTATACACACCTTCCAGATTTCCGGAAGAGAGTATTCGTACACAGGAATTTGGGAGTCGACCCTGGCTCCAGGATAGCAGTTCCAATGCCAGATGCCACCGATGTCAGTTCCGGCTTCCATAATCTTGCACTTGAAGCCCTGCTGGCGAAGCTTGTGCATCAAGTAGATTCCGCCAAAACCAGCGCCGACAATCAAGACATCAGTCTCAAGTTCTTTGGCATAGTTCTCATTGTTCGGCGTGGCCGCCTCGTTGGTCGCACCGATGTCTACAAGTAGGATCAGTAATGGCCAATCTACATTTCATAATAGCAGCGTACCCGTCCTGAAGTGGACCATATTGTCGATGTTTTGCTGTAAGGTGGGTGTGTATACCAGAAGACAAGTAAACTGAGAACCCTGGCTATCAATCTGCAGGACGCATCCACTCGATTATATACGTCTACGACGGCCTGCCCCTCATAGGCTCCCTAGGTCATGGAGCTCTCCAATCACCCCTAATGTTGCAGCTAACTTGCATGGCATGACCACTGAGCGTCAAGCCCAGAACCCCATCCTGGTAACCCGTCGTCCAGGAACCACTGTCATCCACCTACTTCCCCTCGGCCGGAGGTCCGCAACAACTTTTTGGATAACGTCACGTCCAAGTTCCAAAGCAAGAGAGCGCGCGGAATAGGTCCGGAGTTGCGCCACGCGAACATAATAGCTGCTACCCGAATGCTTAGAGCCCCGCTTCCGTGGTAGTCATGCGGGGTACCCCGCGAACCTACGTCGCGTCTTCCCCTTTATGGTATTGCCGACTTCCAAATAATGATGGCAGCTCTAGGTTGTTCAGACGTTCGTACATGGCTATGCTGTTTCAAGCTGGGATCGTATTCCAATTGTCCATGTTTCGGAACTCAGCCACCTCCATCACAAACCTTTGGGACTGGACAACACAACATTGACTTGCTCAGCAGTAATTACATCAGTTGCATACACGATTGATGTCAGTACACTACGTGTCAACCGTCTGTCCGTCTGGAACCTTATCACCTGTGGAGCCTCATTCGAAGTCCAGATGGCGATGCTGATCAACACACCAGAACATGGTCCATCAGCATTGATAGGTCAGGATCAAAGGAAGCTCTCCTAGATGACTATGTTAGTTCTTCAGTCTAACTTACCATCACGTGCAAGCTGTCTCAATATGGGAAACAATATGCGGATCCGCACTGTTTTTCGTCGCGGTAACGGAGAAGATGGGTCCACGTGACATGTCAAATCATCATGCCACTGACGTTTGGTGAACATCAGAATCTGATTGGGATACTAACGATTATTGCGCTGATCAGGTGCTTCTGCAACTAAGAGCCGAACAAGCTCCGTTCTATTTACACATGGTGTCACCAGGCTGAGCAACATTCGCGAGCTGCTCACGCTCCAATCAATGAAAAACCACAGATTTCATGAGTCCACGCCGTGTGGAGTAGATATTGCCGCCTTCGAATGCACTTACAAGCTTCTAAGGGTTCTTCCGGAAACAGACATCCATGAACCGGGCTGCTACTGGACGTAGCTCACAACACCTGAATGTCTAAATTGCATCAATATCCAAGTCGAAATCTCCCGTAATTTCCACCTCATTATCAGTAAGCCCCTTCGAATCACAACCTGCAAAGCTTACAAAAACTCTTACTTCACGCCGAAGCTTGTATTTCAGCTGCCTCGCATGCTCCGAAACAGCGCGAAGATGCGCTTCTTTCTCACCCACTGACACATTTTTATCTGCCACACATCTCCCCGCAATCAAAACCTTTCGCAAGTCTCTCAAGTAAGAAAGATCACTCAAATCCAGTTCCTCCAAATGCAGCGGCATATACATCGATGACGGGGGCATCCACGCCACATGCTGTGTTGGTGCGACGTACACTAATCTGAATTCTCGCAGGCCCGTGAGGCGAGGAAGTAAGCGCTGGAGCACCACTCTTGAGCGTCTGGCGGCTCCGTACATTGTACTTGCGTCCCTGTGTACATCTATGCGGTCCAGGGAGAAGGACAGGAAGCGGATGTTGCGGACGATATGTTGGTGAGGGCTTTCAATGAGGTTTCGAGTGAAGATCTCGGCGGGACAGATGTCTCTTGAAGTCATGAGGCTTTTCATTTTGACGTCGAAGATTGCGGTGCGGGCGAGGAAGGATGTTGCTTCCTCGCCTATGTTGCGATCGACTAAGCATAGAGATGGGAGGAATGATCCTTTGGGCAGCTGGCTGCATGGGACTATGTGTGATTGACTGGGATGATTCCCTCCCTTGCATGGTACGAATTCTGGACTGGAGTGGAAGTATGACTCGTATATCTGGTAGCGTATCTCGAGGGGCAGCTGGGTGAATTGGTGGAATATCGGCGACTTGTTGATGCAGGGATTGAGGGCATCTAAAGTTTGGTCGAAGGAGTCCATGTTCGATTTCAGGGGATGTCAACAATCGAAAGGTACGACAAGAGCAGGTCAACAGTGGAATTTTAGGTTGAAGAAAGACCAACGATGGGATACATCACGGGTCAAATGTGGTGAGTCAAAGATCCTTCGCCTTGGCTATGCTATACTACGGAAATTGCCTACTTTGGAGAAGGTCAAATTAGACATGCGATACAACGCTGCTCTGAGGAAGAGAAAAGTATTGCTTATGAGTATAGCAGGAAAGGAAATTACGACCGAAGCCACCATAGATGTAGAACTTGTAACCCCAAAAAGGAACTGAATCGGGGTGTTCAAAAACGAATTGAAAGTATCAATGTGCGATGGCACGAAATGGTATGCAGACGATGTTTTGTGGACTGTTTGCTAGCTGAGAGGCAGTTGAAGTGACCTCTGACCTAAAGGGGTGTAAGTACTGAAGTAAACCGGCCCAGACAAGTGTCAAAAAGCAAAAATAGAGGATGCCCTCTGCCAGAATCGAACTAGCGATCTTATCATAGCATGCAATACTAGTGATACGCTTTACCACTAAGCCAAGAGGGCGGATCTGATCGGAGAATCAGTTGGCAACCAATGTGGTTTGATGAAGAAATGGCCAGAATGTTGGTTGATATTCCTCACCAAATCTTCTCTGGCATGGGATAGCCCAGCTGTGTGGAACTGGCACTGGCAGTCTGCGGAGAATGTGGAGCGGGCCGATAAGTGGACCGCTCCGCGCCCAAACCTGCAGCTCAACGAGTCGATATTTTCTTGCTGACGCGCGATTATTACAAGGGGACGGTCTTCGCAGAGTGTTTGAGTGGAGATTGCCAGAGTCGGCGCGTTATGTTTCTCCTTGGTGCAATCAATGCGTCATCTCCTGACTGCGCCCGAGCGCAAAAGGGCACGCTGTGTTGGTGTGTACCACGCGCCTAAGCCAGCGTGGACAGCGAGGAGACCAGCTGTCTTCAGGTCCAGAATCAGATCTAACGAATGACCCAGCACGTGCAGGTGCTCAGGTAGTCGTGTCGCACAGCGATGTGCTCGGGACAATATGGAGGTGCAGCCGCATGGGGGAACGAATGACCGGGATCAGCTTATTCACATGCCCGCGTTCAGACCGCCAAGACCCCAAATTAAGAAACTGGGAAACCTAACGAGAGCCTCAACCGCTGTCCTTTTTCCAATCTCTCACTCAAACACGACTCTTCACGCAACACGCCACAGGATACCACCAGCCAGGACTCACACCTGGCTTTCACTATCGACACCCGAATATTTTCCCATCACCATCTATGGGCTCTGCTTCTCCCTCCGCGACCGCTTCTTCCTACGCTGCCCAGCTCACCGTTGGATCTGCCTTTCCTTATAGCCCCTCGAACGCCGGACTGAACCAAAAAGACGCTTCGTTTGCTTCATTGGTTCGACAAGTAGGGGACGGCGGTCCACCTTGAAGAAAGGTGGACGGTAAACTTGGATATTAGTAACCCAAAGTTGAAGTGCGCAGTCGCTTGAGTGCCCTACTGTCTGCGCATTCTGATGCGACTGGCGCAGTAAAATAGCGCTACAGGATTGAACAGCAGTCGCCTTTACATAAATACCCATTACCTACTATCGCCGTCAGCCGCACAAATGGCGGTCTTTACCTTCGACGAAGACGATGCGCAGCTCCCTGCACCAAGGACGCAGGGGCCTGTGCCTACCATGAGCTACGCCGACGTCGCTGCGAGCGAGAAGATGGCGCTGGACGCGCCCCAGGTGCCCCTCCACGTTGGTACCCCGCCGATAAATATTGTGTCGCCAGGATCGAAGCGCGCAGTGCTGCTCCCAGCAGAGAAGCAGCCTCAAGGACCGGAGAAGTTGGATTTCGACATGGTCATGAAGAAGGCGCAGAAGAACAAGAAGAAGAAAAAGAAGACACTGAAGGGCGCACCGGCCGCAAACATCACGCGCGGTTTCCACACACCCGTCACTTCCGGAGGAGAAGAGTCGGACTACTCCATGGCTGCTACTCCGCGCTTCGGACCCGCTATCTCTGGACTTCCCAGCGTCACCAGCAGCCCTTCGCTCAGGCCCATTTCTTCCATGGGAGGCATTAGCAGTCTGAAGGCCCAGCTTGAGTCGTTGAACCTTGCGCCGAGGGAGGATTCACCGCTGAAGGGAGTTTCTATGTCTCGAGTTGTATCTCAACTGTCCAGCAACACCAGCATGTCCGGGTTGGACAGCGACAGTGACCGCACCGAGATGGAGAGCTACGAGGTGAACCTTGATGAGGATTTCAGCATGGATGCGACGTCGAAGGCCTCGACCATGCTCAACAGCGGCATGTCGCGCAAGATGACGGCTGATGACTTTGAGCCCTTGATGTGTCTTGGAAAGGGCAGCTACGGTACCGTGCTACTGGTCAGGCAGCGTGCAACTGGTCGACTTTTCGCCCAGAAGCAGTTCAAAAAGGCCTCGATCACAGTGCATAAGAAGCTGATCGAGCAGACCAAGACCGAGCGCAGCATCCTGGAGAGCGTCAACCGACACCCGTTTATTGTCAACTTGTACTACGCTTTCCAGGATCACGAGAAACTCTACCTCATTCTTGAGTACGCTCAGGGCGGTGAGCTCTTCCATCACCTTGCTGCTGAGCGCATGTTTTCGGAAGACGTGGCAGCCTTCTATATGGCTGAGATGGTACTCGCTCTCGATCACCTCCACCGCACCGTTGGCGTCATCTACCGTGATCTGAAGCCCGAGAACTGCCTGTTGGACTCAGAAGGCCACCTGCTTCTAACGGACTTTGGTCTCAGCAAAGTCTCCCTGGATGAGGACAACCCATGCAAGTCGTTCCTCGGCACCGTCGAGTACATGGCCCCTGAAGTTATCCAGGGCGTAGACTACGGGGCAGCAGTGGACTGGTGGTCGCTTGGAGCGCTCGGGTTCGATCTGCTCACAGGCGCCCCTCCCTTCTCTGGCAACAACAACGCCAAGATCCAAGAGAAGATCCTCAAGTCCAAAGTTGCCCTGCCCTATTACCTCAGCCTTGACGCAAAGGACCTCCTTACTCGTCTGCTGCGCAAAGAGCCCAAGAAGCGCCTTGGTTTCAACATGCCCAAGGACTTGCAGACCATCAAGAACCACCGCTTCTTCCGCAAGATCAACTGGAAGAAGCTGGAGGCGCGGGAGTTGGAGCCACCGATCATCCCGCTCATCACCGACCCAGAGCTTGCGGAGAACTTCGCCCAGGACTTTACCGATCTGCCGCTTAGTCCGGTGTTGACGAAGAAGTTTGACGACTTGATTAGCGATGCACAATCGAACCCATTCGGAGGCTTCAGCTTTGTGGCCAGCGAAAGTTTGTTGGAGTGCGGAGAGTGGGGCTTTTGACTCTCGCGTGTCATTGGGGTTGGTGGACGCGATGGCGTTGCTTCTTGTTTAAAGTCGGCTGCTTCGACACTTACATTGGATTCTCCGCATCGCTACCTAGGCTTGGTGCTCAGCTTGTTAGATCATCGACTCTTCTTATTGCAAATATTGTTCCTCTTCCTAACACAATCTTCGAAATGCAGTGGCTACAGTAATGACACCTTGCATGCAAACATATAATGTCGTCGCGAGACACAAACCGTTTTTGAAGCATGACGATGTCATCTAGCGGAACCAAACTTCTCCGCGTAAGCAGCAATCTGTCTCGCTTGCTCCCCTTTATCAAGGGAGAAAGAAACTTGGCCTAGCGTCGATTTGCGGTGCCGAGCAATCTTTCCCTTTGTTTGACATCTGCGCCGACAAAAAAAGCAAAGCTCACCGTTCTACAAGCTTCACTCCTCCCTCAGGCAAGATCTAAACTTGCAAGCTTCAACAAAAAGAAAACCAAGTATGGTGAAGTTTGTGCCCACTCGCGGAATCGAACCGCGGATCTTCGCATATCGTGTTGAAGTACGAGTGCGACGCTGTACCCCTAAGCCAAGCGGGCTTGCTGAATAACACATCCTCAAAATAGCTGTATTATAATCTAGCAGTGACATGGCCACACCGCGTGAAGAGGCTGTCGAAACTTTTACATCGTGTTCGAAAAGCCACGTCAGAGCCGACGGTGGGCTGTGGTGGGGCAAGGGAGGGGTAGCGACTGCGCTGATGAACCCCACTCGGGTATCGGGATAGTAGCACTGGGAAAGTAGCACTGGGAAATTGGAGCTCGCAAAGATGCAGACCAAACAACATTTACATGGGAAAATAGCTTAGCGATAATTGACTGACTGAACGGTTCGATATTCCAAGGCCAAACATGATCTTCCGACTCCTGTACCCCAAAAGTGGAATTTACGTGTTTCTCCATGCTCAGTCTCCCCACACAGGTGTGCATGATCTCTTCTGCGCACTGCTCGCAGTTTGCGGAGTAGTTATATTCCTGGGAAGCTGTGCGGGTTGAGGGGTGCAACAAGCCTTTGGGAAATACTTTACTTGGTCTTGAAGCTGGATTGGGAACTTTATTACAATACTGTTCTGCAGAAATGAACGAAAGACCGTCCAGCGATCGTGTGCGATACACATTAACTCGGAATATTTGGTCAAACTACTCTACGAGCACATTGAAAAGGAAAGAAATGTATTGGCATGTAGCTGATGCATTTCTCTACATGGCGATTGCCGCAATATGTAACATCAAGAAAGGCCTCACAAATATCCTGAAAGTGTAGAAAGTAACATCAGCCGTAGAATTCTTTTATACACACCCATCCACTCTAAGCCGCCGCAGTAGCAACGCCCCCAAAAAGACGCAACACCGCACTAAACACATCCTTCGGTGCTTGAGGCGCGCCATCATTATGGAAAATCTCCTCCAGGTCCTGCTGCGTGACAACTGGCTTGTCATACTCATTCTCGAGCACAAGATCGGCAAGCGCTTTGCTTGCGACTCCTTCTTCCGCCTCCTCAACGTCCTCTACGGCATCAATCTCCATGCTTTGGACCTCGGGTTCTTCCGACTTCTGGTGCAGAGGCAAGGCCAATGATCCAGCTGCCGGGCTTATGGTGCGAATGCATGACCTTGAGTCGAGTGCAATGTATCCCCTCTCGCCCTGGCCCTTCCTTGCTGTCAGGCCGAGTGTGATGCCTGGTACTGTATGCGACCATAATGGGTCTTTGTGCTCCGTGTCGTAGACGAACACTTTCGATGAAGCCTTCTTGAACCTAAAAGAGGGATTGTCGTTCTTTTCAAAGTGAGGCAGAGAGAGAGCGAAGGTTCCATCGACCTCGTTGGTCGCCAAGCGAACGACGGATGTGCGCTCGACAGAGTCGACTCCGGTGGTGTTGATCGATGCACAGTATACCATGTCATCGTTGACCAGATCCCATACAGTGATGCAGTCGGTAACAACGACGAGGCATCGGCCAACAATGCCCAAGCCGCAAAGTACCGTCGCGTCGATCTCGGTCATTGAGCGGCGGATCGCGGCATTGTCGGTGTCGACGAGGTGGATTAGTCCACGGTCAGACTCGGATGCACCAGACACGCCAGCGGCGAGCACTGAGCCATCCGGTGAGAAGGCCAGACGGGAAGTGCGATTATACTCAGCCTCGAGTGTCGCCTCGGCCAGCCAGACCTTGTCGGGATCGGGAAGTGTAATAGATCGGTGCAGCGACCAGTTGACCAGCCCCTTGTTGTCAGCGCCTCGCACAACAATACCATCGCGCAACCTTGTCTTAGGCTTCCAAGTTCGGATAATGTGGTCTTCACCGATAGTTGCGAAGATGTGTTCCTTGGGGTGTGCGACTAGGTCAAGCACCCTGCCGTTGCCACAGACATCCTCAAGGAAATGTGGTGCGTCAATCCTAGTCTCCAGTGTCCACTGTCCATTTTTCTCGTCTCGCCGCCAGATTTTGAGGTACACCTCGCGACGCAGCAGGCGTTGTTCTTCGGTGAATTCGGAGTTGCCTTCGTGGAGGAACGCAGTGTCCGCCCGAGGTGGTAACCACTCGTCTACTGTTGCCAGCCATTGTCCATCGTAGCTCACCTGGATGTGTCTTACATTGGGTTCTTTGATACGCTCACCGTCCGGGCCCATGTTGGGGTCTGTTGCATTGTTGCGTGTCAGAGCTTGTCGATCAACAGGGCGTTGGTTTGCAATGTCAAAGGTCTGCAGGTATGGCTCGGGGAGAACACCACTGATGTTTTGTCGTGGTTGTGATGCAGGTACAGTGAACAGGACCTGTTGTGTGTGTTTGGGATCCACGGCAATCGGTACTGACTGCAGAGCGTACAATGCAGGCTTCCCAGATTTCGTCTCCTTGGGCAGCTGCTCCGGATCCACCCGCCGTGTCTGCACTCCAACTATGTTTGTTTTAGCTTCGAGCTCGGTTGTCGATATCACAATCACAGAGTTGTTTGCGAGTGAGAGGGCGTATGAGGAACCGGTGGGGGAAACGACGACGCTCTCTATCGCTGCGGTCAAATGTGGGAGATGTTGGGGTTTGCCAGTGGCCAATTGCCAGATGGTCAAGACAGTCTCGTCGCCACCAGAGATGAGGTAGTTGCCTAGTAGGTGTCAGCGATAATTCAAAGCTCTGAGAATTGCGAGTCTAACCATCAAGGGACCACTTCACTGAGCCCACCGCATTTCTGTGCCAATGCAGTTTCTTTGGTCTCAGACTCTCCACACTATCTGTTCTACTCTGGTTGCCCTTTTGAACACTCTCCAGCGCAGCAAAACTTGCCAGTATATCCTCGAAGAGAAGTATGACACCAATCTCATCACCCACTGCTAGATCGAGAACGTCACGCTGATCTTGCGCCGACTTCTTGCCATTCTCTGGAACCTCTCGCTGGCGGAAGTATGTGTCGCATGTGGTGACGCGCTTTGAGAACTTGAGCTCGCGCCAGACATATTCGAACTCTTGCACAGCTGTCTTGCTGACCTTCAGCCGCTTGCCAACAGTGATCGAGTCGGCTGTGGAGATGATGACTATATTGTGCCCTGGAGGAGAACCTGGATGCTTGTGATTGCCGTAGATCGGTCTTGAGTACGTGTTTCAGTTCTGTTTTTGAGGCCTGTGATTTGGTGCGGAGAGCGTGCACGTTGACAACATGCTTGTCGCCTGTTTCGTGGCAGTATACGAGATCCTCATCGGTACCGGGCTGCGTGATGACCACCATGTTGCGAACGGTAGCTCCAATATCCCACCTAGCAATCTTCGTTCCTGCAACCCAGTCCCATAGTGAGATAAGGCAGTTCGAGTCGGCGACGTAGACGTGCGAGGGATTGGGTTGAAGATAGCGCATATGCCGTGACTACGCCCGTGTTGCTAGCAGCCAAAAAGTGCGAGAGGAGAGACGTGTCGGCAGCGTAGATTCTGAACGCCTTTGGGATTCGCGAGGAGCAGGCACTTTTCGTCCTGGGAGAAGACGGGGTCGGTAGGCAGAAACCATCCTCCTTGTACTTGGGAGACGGCCCATTTCCCGGGAGCCTTCTGCTTGTGCTTCTTCGCGGGCGCTGAGCTTTGCACCTCTGCCACCTCCGCTTTGGCGGCTTCTTTGCTCTCTGCCACTCTCTCCTTGAAAGACTTCTTCGCAGGCGCAGCGGGATCCTGTATGGGCGATTTCGTTGGTGTTGGCATCGCCTGTGCGCCCAAACCTTCTACCGGCCCATCACCATTCAGCTGCTCATTCTTGCTGTCTTTCTGGTCCTGCTTCCGCTGCTTCTTGCTCTGTTTCGAAGAATTGCTTTTGTCAGGGCCTCCATTCTGCTGAGCCTCTGCGTCCTTGATCGGTTTCGTACTCGATGGGACTGCCGCGTCCTGGTCGGGCGCACCGTTCGCCTGCGCTTTCCGCGATGCTTTCTTCGTCTTGTCCTGTGTCTGTGGAATCGCCTTCGGTCCTTGTGTCGGCTCAGCTACCTCTGCAGCAACCACATCTTCCTCCGCACCTGCCGCAGTTGCATCGCTCTTCCTCTGCTTCTTCGCCTTCTTCTGCAGCCCGGCCGCGCTTTCCCTCTTTCTTTTCAGCTGCGCACTAGTTTCCGCCATCTTGAACGTGTGCGCGAAAAAGGAATAGGAACAACGAGTGGTGAATTGGTGTTGGCGGACAAGTTACAATTCGCGAAGCTCGGCCCTAGCAGGTCGAAATAATTTCTGAAGCTTTTCACCGCCCGCGGCACGCTAGTGTGTTAGCGCGCGCGGGCAACTTTCTTTGACATGGCAAGGTAGCTGCGACACCACGCTTGGATCTCACCTTGTTGCTCGCAGTCTTCGAGAAACTTGGTCGCATAAACCGTCCGCATATATCCGAGTTGTCTATCGCGCCAAAATGATCGTCCCCATCCGTTGCTTCTCTTGCGGCAAGGTACGACTAAACTCCACAGAGCCCAAAGCGCGGCGCATTCTAACTACATTGTAGGTCGTCGGTGATCTCTGGGAGAAATACATGGACCTTCTCACCGAAGAGATGGCAGAAGGGTAAGCCTCACTATTCAGTCCCTATATACAGCTCCCGCTGTGTAGCCAAGATCCACAACCCGATCACACCCTCTGCCACCCAGCATGGCCCTTTCAGAGCTACACAAGACCAGCCCCGCTGACTCTCTCTCCTCCAGCGACGCCCTTGACGCCATTGGTCTCCAACGCTACTGCTGCCGCCGCATGATCCTCACCCACGTCGACCTCATCGAGAAACTGCTCAAGTACAACGCCAGCGAACGAGAACAGGCCAGGGCAATGCGCGCAGGGCGATAAGCGAGGGCTACGACCAAGGATAATTTCGCAACAAGAACACGCGTGCCAGGAATGAAATAGCGTCAACCTCGGAGTTTTGGAAAGGCATGGAATTGGCGTTATAATAGGTCGCAGGAGCATCACGATGCCTTCTGTAGCATAATGGAAATGAATCAGACAATAAATGCGCTACATGTCTTTTTGAGGTGTGGGCTTGGACAGGAACCACGAATCGCGCATCAAACAGTACATATGCTATGCCTAGGGGCGATACGTCGAAACTGAACAGTACGCGCAACGACTTGATTCATACACGATTCAGCAAAAAAACTCCATTCTGCCCCACCCGCCTAACACTCTCCCTTCCAATGCCCCTCCACCCACTCCGTCATGACATCCGTGAAACTCTTCCCCCCATCCCAACTCGTCGTATCCTCAATCCCATACTTCTCTCCCACATACTCCAGCGCCAACAACACCCACTTCTGGATAAATTCATTGTACATGAGATCGACCGTTTGCGGCTCATGCTCGGCGTCGAACCCAATAGCCGACTGGATGCAATTGGGGACGTTGAAGAATTCGATTTGCGAGTGGATTGTGTCGTCGCCGTCGGTGCCGGCGTCGTCCTTGGTCGTGTAGCCGGGGAATGTTGAGGGGTCCGAGGAGGGCTTGAGGATGTTTTGACCGTGGGATTGGGGCGCGAAGGAGCTGGGGCTTGAGGACAGGATGTGTGGGCGGAATCGCGCGGCGTGGATTTCTGGCGGCTGGAGGAATGTGTTCTGGTCCATCATTTCCAGCATGATCGGACCTTCGTTGTTGAGCAGCTTGATGACTTGGCTGGCGGCTTTGTACGGCAGATCAGGGATGTAGCGGAACGCAGACGTGAAGGGCGAGACAAGGAATTTTGTGTCTTTTGTGAAGGCGCCTTTGAAGATGTCAAAGCGGATGGCGCCGGTGTTGGTAATTAGGAGTGCTTTGCCTCCGGCTTTGATGCGGTCGGATTTGGAGACTGTGTCGGGGATCATTTGCTCTTCGATCAGGGTGAAGATGCTCTGATTGTGAGGGTATGGGCGGCGGTTGACCCAGTAGTCGTGGGGAGCACAGCCATACTTGTGGGTGAGGTCCAGGGATTTGCGGGCGTTGCCGATAGCTTTGGAGACTTTAAGACCGTGCTCGGTGGGAAAAGACTTTTCGTCTTTGCCGCTGTGGTGCTGCATGGAGAAGAGGTTGTTATCGATGTAGCGCCGAGAGAAGGTGAGCTTTGCCTTCTGAGTTGCAGCGCCTTCATCTTTTGAACCGCCAGCGTTGAGTCCGTCGATGGACATGAAGCCTAATGTCTCCATGTAGCGACCACTCTCGAGAGCTACAGAGCCGCTGTCGAAGATCTTGTAGTCCTGTGTCCTGAATTAGCACTGAGTGCTAAGGATACTGTTACGAATAGAGGTCAAAATTTCGAAGGGCTGACATTACGTACCCGAATGTGCGAGTGGCCACCGAAGAATTGGATCGGCGTATCCCAGTGCGCAGAGCGAATAGTCTTGTAGAGCACTTTATACTCTTCAGAGCGGATGTCGACATGACCAAATACGACGATCAGATCGACCTCCTTGTCTCTAATCGCCTCCATAAACCACTCCTCTTTAACGGTGTCCTCCACTCTTTGAACGACGGTATTATTCGCATTTCCAGTGAAGTCGAAGATGAATCCGAAGGCCAGGATACGAATACCCTGATTCTTTGTGTTAAACTTCTTGTAACGCGGTGCAAGCGGAACCAGCTTCCCTGTTTTGGGATGTATGATGTCCAGGTTGGAGGCTAGGTAGCTCCCTTTGAAGTCGGGAACAGTGTGGATATACTCTCCCTCAGCAGTATCGGCTTTGTATAACTCATGGTTACCGGAGCTGATCAGATCGATATGCTGCTCCTTGGCAATTTCATAGGTGAACTTTCCTCGCGGCTTGGAAGAATCATAAATGGCGTTGCCTTCAACACGATCTCCAGTATCGACAATCAGAAGGTCGGTGCCATCTGCATCAGCTCTATCGCGCAAGTGTTTGGCAAACGAGACATAGTCGCCCCAATCAGCTGAATACGAAGCTCTGTGCTATGGTAAGCAGTGCGAACAGCAACATGTTGACATATTGAGACGCAAGTCTAACTAGCGGACGCATAGAATGAGGATCCAGTTTAGCTGAGATAAGGTCACATACTCTTGGAGATGGCCACCCCACCAGCCGTGAACATCGGTAGTATGCAGGAAGTTGAGCTGCGCCCATGGTAGCTCACGCAGGGGTGCAGCTTTCGGCGAGGGAGCTTCTGGTTGGATGCAAGAACAGCTCTTGAGTAGGGCAACAAGAACAACGCTTCGATGCAGGAACATGTTGGGGACGTGGCACAAAGAGATGTCCCTTCACTTCGGACGACTTGTGAGGGCTGTCAAGGTGGCGATGCAGGTACTCAGGCCCCGTGCCTCCTCGAGTGCCTAACAGGTGCCTTGAATGACTAACGACTATGTAGAAGACGGCCTAAGAGAGCTTTTAAAGACGCGACTGTATGGCAACCAAACGACGATAGGGCCAATCAGGCAGTGACGTTGGTGCTGCACGGCACGCTGTACGCTGGCACGAGTGGTGACAGTGACAGGGATGGTCTAGTATGAATTCCGGAGCTCCGTGCATAGCAAGCCCTGGAGCTCAAAATAGTTTAACTTGATAGCATTTCCTCACACCACAACACCAGCCACCTCAACACCTGGCCCATCGACTTGCAATCCTCACGCGCAATTCCTCTTATTCAAGTCGCGCAACATGGCTCGAGCTGCAGGAACCCGCGCCGCGAGCGCAAAACCCGCACCCATCAAAGCAGTAAAGGTCAACGGCACTGGTACGTCACATCCATCTAACGAGTATGGACCGGTGCTAATTCGTCAAGGTCCAGCACGACGCGCAAAGACAGCAGCGCCCGCCATCACCAACGGCGATGCAGAAGATTCAGCATCCGAGTCTGAGCCTGAACCAGCCGCAAAGCGTAAGAAGAACGCGTCTGAGCAAATATCATCTCGCGCTTACAAACCTCTAGCTGCCGCAAAGGGACGCGCAAAGAAGACAGCCATCCCAGTGCCTGAGCCCAAGGCAAAGCCCGCACCCGCGCCCGCGAAGACCAACAAGCGCAAGAAGGACGAAGCGAGCGAAGAAGAGGCCTCGCCCGAACCTGAGGCCAAGAAGGCAAAGGTTGATGTAGATTCGCCCGCAGCAGAGGAGAAGCCTGCACCCAAGAAGGCAGCAGGACCCAAGGTCAAGGGCCCGCGACGAGTGCGCGGCGAGAAGAAGGAGATCATCGACGTCCGCTACACGGAGCCGCTCAAGGTCTTCGTCTTCGGCGAAGGCGCGAATGGCGAGAACGGCTTTGGCGCGACCAAGAAGGCCATTGACATCAAGCGACCGCGCTACAACGAGCTCTTGACCAAGCACGAGGTTGTGCGAATCGCAACCGGTGGCATGCATGTTCTTGCATTGACCAAGGACAACAAGATCTTGTCATGGGGAGTCAACGATAGCGGCGCGCTGGGACGCAACACAAAAGATGCAGTCGTACCGACGCGTGATCTCGACGCCGACGACAGCGATTCCGACTCAGAAGACGAGACGGGCGGCTTGATCGACCTCGAGGCTACCCCGACCGCCATCTCCGACGAGTATTTCCTGCCAGACACGACGTTCGTCGACATTGCTGCCGGCGACAGCTGCTCGTTTGCCATCACCACAGAGGGCGCCGTCTACGGCTGGGGCACGTTCCGCAAGAACGAGGGCATTCTCGGCTTCAAGGGCAAGGGTGATGTTGCAGAATACCCACAGTACATTGAGGGTGTCACCAAGGCCACCCAGATCGCGTGTGGTACCAACCACGTCTTCGTTCTCACCAAGGATGGCAATGTTTACGCATGGGGCAATGGTCAACAAAACCAACTAGGTCGCCGTCTGACGGAGCGAAACCTCACCGAGGGCTTGTTCCCCAGCAAGGTCGGATTCCGCGATCTCTCCTTCAAGAAGGTCAGCCACAAGCTGGTCTCCATTAGCAGTGGCGACTACCACGGCTTTGCGATCGCAGAGGACGGCCATGTCTGGTCATGGGGTGTCAACAACTACTGCGAGACCGGATACCCTGCCAACGCCGGTGCAGACGACGCCAACGTCTTGACTCCTCGCATCGTGGCCAGCCTCGAGGGCAAGCAGGTCCAGCAGGTTGCCGCAGGTTCACATCACAATATCGCGATCACGAAGGACGGACAGGCGCTCGTCTGGGGTCGCTGTGATGGTTCGCAAACCGGTCTGCCCAGCGAGACTCTGGCTAGCATTGACGACGAGAAGCGTCTGATGAAGAACAACGGCAAGCCCAAGATCTTGATTGAGCCTACCCCCCTCTCCGACCTGAAAAACATTGTCGCTGGCTCGTGCGGGCCCGACCACTCCATTGTCATCGACAAGGACGGCAAGGCTTACTCTTGGGGTTTCTCGGCAAACTACCAGACTGCCCAGGGTACTGACGATGACATCGACACACCCACCCTGATCGACAACACTGCTGTACGGGACGTAAAACTGGTCTGGGCCGGCTGCGGTGGCCAGTATGGTGTGCTTGCCAGCAAGAAGGACTAGTTTCCTCCTCTTCTATTTCCTTTGATACCAGATTGCGATTCCCATCTTCGACATCTACGTTTTCTTTTCCCGAGCTTTTCGAAGCTTTTCAGATTGGCATACAAGGCGTTTTTGAGACATGTGCAGATTCATGCATAGCGGTCTTCTGAGCTTGGGAAGGTTTAGACTTATTTCTGTCTGGCGTGGCAAAGGCATCGGGTCGTGGGCGTGCTATTACGCTTGATGAGACCTGGAGGATGCTATTGCCACTTGTAATAGCACAATATCATACTTTTCCTCTTGATGAAAATGAAGTGTCCTGCCGTGTGGGATTTGTGTGAGATATTCGTGTATTGCTCTTACAGCTAAGCGTCAAAGCTCGCCACTATGATACATAATATGCAGTTGCCGGCCTTTCCAGCCAGCGAGAGCTTTTGCTCCGTCCCAAAACTCCAACCTAGAATGACATGCTTCCCTGACGCATTGTACAGCCCTCGGCCCTCCTACCATCATATCGCAGCATCAGTCTTTGGCCCCTCCCTCGCCGCCCTCAACGTTCTCTGCACCTCCTCGTGATCCAAAACACTCTGCCCACCCCCATTCTCCACCCTCAGAAGATTCTCCTTATACGGATGCGCCCTCTCCTCAAACGTCTTCAAGCGCGCCAACCTCTCCTTCCTCAGCCTATTCTTCGGCAACATGCCACTGACCGCTTTCCTCAGCACCTCGCCGCCGCCCCACTTGGCAATCATGCGGTCCATGCTGATTTCCTTGAGCGAGCCCGGCCGCGTCGTGTGCGTGCGGTATAGCTTCTGGAAGCGCTTTTTGCCCGTCGTGTGGATGTTGTTGCAGTCAATGGCGACGACGTAGTCGCCGCAGTCGGTGGATGGGTCGAAGATGGGCTTGTGCTTGCCCATGAGGATCAGGGCGATGGAGGAGGCGACGCGGCCGAGGGCGCGCGGGTCGGAGCCGATGTCGATGAGGTGCCATGAGCGGGAATAGGCGAGGCGAGTCTGGGAGATTGTGAGTATGAGGACTTGGGGTGATTGTGAGGTTGGGATGCGGAGGTCCGATGCGTGCGTACCTTGCCTACTGTTTGCGACATGTTGGCTGTGTGAGGCCAATGGCCGGTGTGCTATCTGACCGCGCCTTTCCCCAGTTGATCTGAACCTTGCAGTGACCGTAGAAAACGACGGGAGGCGGGATCGGTGTGGTCGTGTCGCTCGCGATGTCGAATTGAAGATGCCAAGCCGCATGGAACAATTTCGCGGAAGCTGCGATGCAGCGCGATCACGTGTGGTCGGTATTCGGTCATTGCGGGCGATTTCAAATCGACCAAGTCAAGCACCACCAAACTTGCTCAAGCCTTTTGATTTCACATCAAAGATTTCTTTCCCAAAATGACGGTCCCAGTCTTCGAAACAGTATTCGCAGTGCCTATGACCTGCCAAAGTTGCATCAATGACATTGAAGGCAGCTTGCAGCAACTGAGTGGTACGAGCGCTGTCGGCTATCGCCAATACGTCAGAGTAATCACTGACCATGACATAGGAATTCACAAAGTTTCAGCAAACCTCAAGGACCAGCTAGTCTCTGTTGAAGGCACTGCTCCACCTTCTGCAATAGTTGAAGCAATACAGTCTACTGGACGCGATGCTATTCTACGTGGGTCTGGAAAGTCGGACAGTGAGTATGCGATTCTCCGGTTTCAGTGCTTGAGATTAACAAGCATATTCAGGCGCTGCAGTGTGCATCTTGGAATCACACGCGGCCCATATAGAGAACAAGGTTCGCGGATTAGCACGGATGGTCGAAGTAGCACCTGGTATGACCATCATCGATTTAAGCATACGAGGACTGTCTCCTGGAACTTATCACGCCACTGTGCGAGAAAGTGGTAACATCTCTGAGGGCCCTGAAACTGCTGGTGCTATATGGGAAGCTTCGAAGGCCAAGAATGAAGGCCAACCATGTCGGGGCATCTTTGGTACAGTAGAGGTAGGGAAGGGTGGTGTTGGCGCCGTCTTCTTAGACAAACCGATACACATCTGGGAGATGATCGGACGGAGCATCATCGTCGCCAAACAGCAGGATGGGAAGGTCAGTGTAACTTGATTACATGAAAATCAGCGGCCCTAACGTTTCGCAGTTTGACAAGAACGATCCGGATACGCTAGTAGGCGTCATCGCACGGAGCGCAGGTGTCTGGGATAGTAAGTGCTTTTTCGATTCGTCCGCTCGAGGCGAGTCATTGCTAGGTGTGAAACCATGCTGATAGTGCTATCGCAGACGACAAGACCGTATGCTCGTGTTCGGGGAAAACGGTCTGGCAGGAGCGCGATGAACAGCGCGATCGAGGCATGCTGTGAGCGAGCGTGAAGCATTGCCAAGTTGTATGAGGCTCAACAAGGCCGAAGAGGCTCTACCAAGCTAAACATGATGCTCTACCAAGCAGCATAGGTATGAGATTGTACCAAGTGAGAAATGAGGCTATACCAAGATAAATGAGGCTCAATTTGTGGTGATGAAGTGCCATGCGGATGCCGTGCCTGGTCGTAGATCTCCTGGGCATGTGCCTGGAAATCTAGGCCCGAAACTGAACATGCACGAACACGGACTGCGCGAAGCCTGGCCGGTTCATGCGTTCATGCCTGGAAGCCCCAGGCGATCGGATGAGTGGCTGCTGCACTGAGGGCTCGTCACGTGGGTGTCTCAGTCGGTAGCCGGCCATGTAACGCTTCTCAAACGCAGCCAGCTCACGATGGCAAGGGGGCAAACTCGATTCACTCGATGTTTGCTGCGGCGCGGCGACACTGGAGATCGGAGCGAAAGCAGCTGCCGGCTGACTGCGGCGCGTAGAAACAACATAGGACTCTGAACAGAGTTGGACGATGGCGTTGTTGTCAGGCTGGCATGGGACGGGTGTGCGGCGTGGTAGACAGCTAGACAAGGCCGTAACCGCTGTGGATATGGGCTTCACGATGCAGGGGGCCAATCATGTCGAGTCGTGCACGTAGCCGCGGTGCCAGCCAAGGCTTGTCTTCAGACGCGCTGGGACTCAGATTTGATCTCCCCACCTGAGCCACCCTGCAACCGCCCGCCAAATTCACTGTGTCTCCTCAAGTGCTGCGCTCGAAACCTTCTACTCCCTCGCCCGACCCGCCAACTTGTGCCTGATCACCTGCGCGCCGTACAATCGTTTTCCTGGCCCAAGTCCACCACCACATTCCCACCTGCACTACTCTTAGCTCTAATTGTGGCGTCACTCTCGCTACCACCACATAACCACATAATACCCGACGTCGCGCCCACCATATAGCCCCGGCGGCTACCCGTAATCTGCACGAAGCAAAGAGGAGGAAACTGACCTGAACGCGCACGAACCGGAGCACCGCCTGTCCATCCGTACCGTGGAGTAGGAGCAATTGCTCACTGAGACTTGACGACACCATACTGCCGGGTAACTAGTGAAAGAACCACTCGTCATGTCTCTGAAGCAGGTGCGTGCTCGTGCCGCCTTCGGTCCTTCCGCACGCAACCGCGAAGGACCGAAGGCGCCTTCCTTCCGAGAATCGATAACTGATAGCGGGGCAGGAAATCGAAACCTGGGTGGCAGCCCTCGCCAGCTACGATAACAACGAGTTCGACGAGGCATTAAAGGTCTTCGAGGGCATCTCCGACACGTCCAAGATCCTCTTCAACTGCGGTGTCATCCATGCGACACTCGGCGAGCATGAGAAGGCGGTAAGTGACGGATGGGCCCTGTCTATGCGCTCGAGCCCGCGCTGACACTCTACAGGTCGATTGCTACCAGCGCGCTGTGCGTCTGGACCAGTATCTCGCCGTCGCATACTTCCAGCAGGGTGTGTCCAATTTCCTCATGGGCGACTTCGAGGAGGCGCTGGCCAACTTCAACGACACGCTCCTGTACCTGCGCGGCAACAACAACATCGACTACGAACAACTCGGCTTGAAGTTCAAGCTGTATTCTTGCGAGGTCCTGTTCAACCGTGGTCTCTGCTACATCTACCTGCAGCAGAGGGATGCGGGTCTGCAGGATCTATCATTCGCTGCGAAGGAGAAAGTGGTTCCCGACCACGACGTAATTGACGAGGCTATCAACGAAAACGCAGAGGTACGATCGCATAGTTCAGATGCATGATCTGTATACTGACTAAACCCAGGGCTACACTGTCTTCTCCATCCCCGTGGGCATTGTTTACCGCCCCAACGAAGCCAAAGTAAAGAACTTGAAGACCAAGGACTACCTTGGAAAGGCACGCCTGGTTGCCGCGTCGGACCGCGCCAACGCCTTCACCGGATTCGCCGGATCTGAGATCAAGAAGGGTGCAACTGTAGCAAAGGACGACAGACCTGAGGAGAAGCTCTCGTTCGCCGCCACCAACTTGGTAAAGCCGGAGCTCCAGAGCCGAGTACGCCAACAGTCGGAACCGCCCATGAACCGCAACATGTTCCCACCGACCCCACCGCCAGAGTCCGACGGCGGCCGGAAATCCAACGGAAGTGGCGATGCTCCCGCTCCCATGAGCCGTGCTCAATCAGTGCGCGGTGGTGGTCCAAAGCCACAGCCACTGAACCTTGGGCGAGCAGCATTCGATCAGCCTGAGCCTCCTCGTCGTCAAGGTACACAACGCTCTGCATCTGAGCGACCTCCACCAAATCGCAGCGAGTCTCAGCGGAATAGGTCGCAGCAGCGTGATAATAAGCCGCGTCGTCGTGGATCTGACGACGATATAATCGACGACTACTACGAGGATGATGGCTACAGCCAGCCATCTCGCGGAAGCCGTGGCCAGTACGCTCGCTCGAAACAAAGCAGACGACCTGCATATATTGAGGAGGAGGACGAAGACGATTACGACGGTAGCGATCTCGACGATGCCGAGTTCGAGATGATGTCGCGCTCCAAGTCAAGGAAACGATCGCCCGCACGCTCTAACCGATCCGGAGGCAGCAATCGTGCCAACGTGGGCAGCAAGATCCGAGTCAAGGTTCATGCTGGAGACACTCGCTATGTCTTCATTGGCCAGGATACCTCGATGCGCGACTTCTGCCAACAGATCAAGGAGAAGTTCGGTGTGCGGAACAACTTCAAGGTCGAGTTCAAAGACGACGGCGACATGATCACAATGGCGGATCAAGACGATCTCGACATGGCCATCGACACAGCCAAGAGTATGGCGAGAAAAGAGAACAGCGATATGGCGAAACTGGAGGTAAGTCTTCCCCTTCATACTCAATGATCTTAAGCAACTGCTAACATGCTCCTCAGGTTTGGGTTAGAGAAGTTTAGAATTGAGATACCCCAGCATCATAGCATGCTACGACACCATTTCTTTCTGGCAGGGTACACTAGAGCGCCGCCCATTCTCCCCTTTATCTATAAACGCATATTCGGCGAGGCGCAATTGTGTGCAGGCCTTTGGTGGCCTGTTTTCCATTTCTCTCTATCAATCTTTGCATAGTATATAGCCCGCCATCTCTGTCGTTGTTAATTATTTAGCGAGCATTGCTCTCATTACTTGTCTTTCACAGCCGGACTGTTGATTTGTCCGGGGCGGGGGCTTTGCATTGTACGATTTGGAACGTAATTTGAAGAAACAAATATTTCTATCGCTATTATTCGCAAGGCAGCTTTTTTGATAATGAGTGACTTATTGGTGACTTGACTTTACTGTGCCTTAATCGCACGCGCGCAAACGACGCCACCAGCGCTTCCACACGCTCATCCATTCACCCACCTACCGCCAGCCAGCAAGTCCACCAACACTCACTCATGCTGACTCCTCACCCGCCGCCAAACCAACCCTCTTGCCGCCTCCTCACCCGCCGCGCCGCAAACCAACATCTCCCACGCTCACGGGACGCCTTCCATCCGACATCCGTTCAGAAACAACACGCTCCCACCACGCGAGTATCAGACCACTTAGTTTTGACACTTTTAGCGTGACGAAACGAGACGCAGCGTTGACGTGCTCGGGAAGGGGAGTGCGGGTTCTGGGGGGTTGATGTCGCACTACAGTACATTGTCTGAGCTCGAGTAACCAAGCATTCTGTCACAGGGAGGAGACAGGTGCTTGCTTGTCTTGGTAAAGGCTGTGCGGAAGCGTGTGGAGCGCGCGATCGAATGTTCGAGGAGTGGAGGGTTGTGGTGCAGATTGGGTTTCAGATTATTTGTAGTTCGGGGGAGGGGAGAGTGTGATGTAAGAGATCCGGGTGGGCTTAGTTCGGCCATGGATGAGGAATTGGAAGACTGAGATTGTGAGAATGAGATGTGTGGAGTAGTGCGAGTAATGTGTGTGTGTAGATGTTGTTTCAGGTGTTGTACAGATTTCTCGTTGTGGTCCTTTTTCGGACCGGAACTAACCATCAGTCATTGCTGTGTTCCTTCCTAAACGCCATCTCCATATCTGTTCTCTACTGTTTCCTCACTTTTGTACAGTTGTAAGAGATTTTCAGGGCGCTCTGGCTCGTCTTCCGGCTCGTCTGGTCTGGCCTCATGGCGTGTGCTTCGACATCCTTTATCGTAAAAATCATTTACGCGGGCAGAAGGATCTCAGCCCAGCTGCTGTGTAGAAATGTGACGCCAATCTGCGCATGAACTGTCAGCCTCTGTTCATATCATGCGCTACTATCGCATTCTTTGCCTGTGCTGGTGAACATCTACTGGGGACATCTCCATGCGGCTCCGGGGGCTTCTTACAGCAAACAGGCCAATAGCAGTGACGACGCTCCTGTTCTCCTTGTCTGTGAAGGCGTGTAGTGTGTTTGCTGCAAAGCTGGGCTCGGCGAGCGTGCGGCCCTTTCCGTGAATCTGCTTGGGAGGCATATTTGTGAAGTCGTCGAAAAGCACTACTCAGGGTGTCAGAGATGTAAAGCTTCAAATGGCGACTGTAGAGGCATACGTAGAGGTTGGAGGGGAATCGCTTTGGTGGGGTTGCTAACTTGTCGGTGATGCGCTGCCGATGATGCGGTTCGAGAAACTTTTGGGAAGCAGCGAACGAGCGTCATGTGCTTATGTCATCACCCCATTTGCTAAGAGAGCGAATCCCTCTTTTCCTCTCACATTGATACTTTTAGTTGTACATTTAAATGGATGATTATGTACAGGTGTATAACATGGCAAGTTACGAATTTCACTTCAAGTTCTGCTCGCTAGGCCATCTTCTACTCTCCACCTTCCCTCCTTCAATTCAAATCTATACAAGTGGTATCATGGTTCTACTCTCAATATCTGACGTCCCCGTTGAAATGCGTTGATAGTCTGGCGGTATTCACAAAGCCGTCAATTCGTAAAAAGAAAAGAGAAGCGCTACACAGATGTTCATCTACAACTTCGACTTCGTGCCCTTGCGGGTGACGGTGCACTGGATAAGACCGTTTGGATCAGTCTGGGGAGCGAGAACGGTCGCGTCCTTGCCCGTGTTCTGGATACCCTTATGCCATGAGAGGTCTACCAGGTGTGTTAGTGATATATGCAACTCGACATAGATAGTGAAACATACCAATCTCGAAGTAGTGCTTGTTGGGTAGCGCGTAGTCAACAGCGTCAACTTCAGGAATGGTGGCCAGTACCTTCTCGCACATCTTGTACATTGTCGCCTGGACACTGGCGCTCTCGTCCTCGGCAAAGATCTTCATGGTGATTTCTCTTGCAGCTTTCCATGCAGCGTTGAAGTCGATTGACTTTGACTCAGCAGCATTCTTGAAAAGCTTCCATTGCCACCCAGCCTCGATATCTGTGCTGAGAATACGGTCCCAAGTCTCGGGGAGTTTGGTGAATTCATCACGGTGGAAGCCGTGGAAGGCGGATCCGGTGCTCTTGAGTACGAGCAGCTTTTCAATCTTGGAGCGGATGGAAACACCCTGGCCTTCTCTTGTGACCGACTCGACGACGCGGAGCTCTTCGCCATCACGGTAGAACGAGTGTGGGTGCGGTTTGCCGTCGATATTCATGCGGGTCCATCGGTGCTGGATGATCTTGACGTGTGCCGCGTGGATATGCGGGTAGGTCGCGATGAAATGGTCGCCAATGATGGCGGCGAACTGCTCGGGGGGATCAATCGGGTGCTGCTTGGCGAGGATGTATGTGGTCTGCTTCTGGGTGTCGGTAGCAACGATGACTGAGTTGTCCGCCTTGGTGTATCTTTGGCGCATTAGTGGGAGCTGGAGTCTCGGATGCAAGCAGCTTACGAAGTCTCAATGTCTCCCTCTAGCAGGATGCGGATCGTCTGCTCAACGATGGTATGGGTGCCGGTCTTGGGGTCTTTGTCGACCTTGTATAGGCGGACGTTGTCCTTGCCATAGCGGGCATAAGAGAGCTGAGACATGATGAGTGAAGCCGTGTGAAGGGAGACTTGATAGGAGTCAGTCGGAAGCTAAGAGTGGGTGATGCCAGCTTGGAAGGAGGAGAAGTGAAGTAGTTATAGCATCAATTGGCGAGCTCTTATCTGATGACTACTAACGGCGTCCGCCGAACTGCACGCTGTTCCTTTTCACGATTAGAGCGCGAACGAGCTCTGGATGCCGACATCAGAGGCGGCGAGGCACGCGATGCCATTCGTCGGCATGGCTGTCGGCGACCTCCGCCATGGGAGCTCTGGGATAACGGCTGCAAGCGAACAGTGCACGTGACGCCGTCGGAGCTTGCCTCTACCATTGAGTCCACCCAGCATGGTAAAGGTGCTGCAGCTGGAGGAATTGCCGGGCCCAAATGCGGGAGACATCAGGCCAGCATGGCGAGGTTCGCGGATCCTCGAGCATGCAGCTGCTGCCGATGCGGCAAGGCGGGCCACATGAGAGGAGAGCTGGCACGGACGCGGACGCCTAGACGGGTCCCGCTCCAGGGCTGCGACTTTGGAGACGTTGGCGGGCAACGTCCCTGTAGATGCCCACGCTGGAGCCACGCTACACCATCAATTGCAGTCCCTCACCCTCGCCCGCATCCTCACTGTCCCTATCCGCCACACACGCTCACTAGCCACAACTCCCGCACCGCCGACGCAGTCTCCACCACCGCTCCTTCTCTCTTCAGCCACACGCCCCCGCCCAGCCGCGCCCGACTACTTTGGAACTACGACGACAGCTCATGCGGCACGAGGAAGGCATCGCCGCGACCGAGACATGCGATGTGGTTGGGAAGCCTAGGGTGAAGGCCATATGACGGACCAGGGCTCCCTTCTTGCGCCCAGTCGAACCAGAGATGGCCGCGCTCTATCGTCTGCGACCACGGCGGCCGCCAGCGTCATGTCGCGGAATGCCGCCTCGTATGCGACAGCAAACACAGGGCCGGGCAGCTTCAACACGCAATTGACGCCCACCATCTCGGGCGAGTCGCGAGCGCGCCCGAGCTTCGACATGCACGCCATCACCGTGGACGACAACGACAACACCACCTCGGAACAGAGACAGGCCGAGCTGCAGGACCAGATAGAGAAGGAGACCAAGATCAGGATCGGCTCGGAGAATCTGCTGGAGGCTCTGACGGCGAAGAACGCCAAGAAAGAACAGCGCCTCCAGGTCGAGGAGCAGCTCAACATATCAAATAGGAAGCTAGCGCAGCTCAAGTCAGGTCTGGCCGCAGAGATTCAGCGATCAAAGGACATCAAATCGCCGCCAGCGGATCCCCAGAGCAGGCTGTCGTACCTGTTCCGACGCAACCTGTCACGGTCGCCATCACGACATGTCGCCAAGACCGAAGAGGAGGACGGCGACGAGACAGAATCGCCGACTTTTGTCCTGGCCGAGATACTGCAGGCACTTGAATCACAGGGCATGCAGCCCGAATACTACGTCGAACGAGCGAACTCTCTGGTCCTGCTCTTTAAGAGACACGCGACACTCAAATACGATCTCGCATGGTCAATCTTCGGTCTACGCATGCAGACGATGCTGCTCAGCGACAGCCGCGAAGTGGTAGCAGCCGCCTATCGAGTCATGCGGTATGCCTTCACAGATCGCAAATCCCTGCGCATTGTGCGAGCACTGCATACCGATTACCTCGTCATTTTGTCACTAGTCAAGGAGGGCAAAGCCAGCGTAGAGCGAGAACAGGCCATGAAGTTTGTTCGCGCATTCCTCGATGTCAAGGACGGCGTGGAAGAGATTTCACGCGCTGTAGTACGCATCGTTGTCGCAGTGGCAGAACACGCCGACGATCGTCTGAGGAACATTGCGACGTTGACCCTTGCTGAAATTCTTGTAAGAAAACCTTCTCTTCTCGTTGATGCAGGTGGAATGGGCGTGCTGGCGGACGCACTTGGAGAAGGCAGCTACCACGCCGCTGAGAGTGTTGGGGCTTCTTTCATCTATCTTCTTGACACACCACGCCGCCGGCGGCTCCTACGATCTGGACGTGAGCTGGAAGCACCCTTTGCCATGTTTACCGATGCGAATGCAATTCATGGACCTTCGCATGAGGAGAAGCTGAAGGCCAACGCCAAAGTTATCGCGTCCTTGTTGAGGAGCTGGCCCGGACTTCTCTCTTTATGCATGAACAATTTCCTTCCCCTCCGCTCGCTTCTCTGGTCATTGCAGATCCCCACCCCTCATGTTCGCAACATCATCCTAGAACTCTTGTTCGACCTTCTCCGAATCAAGCCTCCATCATGGTCGTCATCTTTTCTCGCAGGTCGCAGGCTCACTACCTACGGACGTGTCACCAACCTGAAAAACCAACAAATCAAAGAATCGTCTGCATCTGGTTCAGACGACAACACGAACAAGTGGAGCTTACTGGATCATTATGTCTCAGTCGTTCTTGCGGCTTTCCTGCATGCAGGCCTAGTGCCAGCACTGCTGCTTGCAGAGCAAGAGTCTCTAACACAGGCTTTGAAACGGAAAACGATACTGTTGATTGGAGAGGTCTTGAAAATGGCGAACGAGCTCCTACCGCCAGATTGGAGTGCTCAGCTACAGGTCATGCCGGAGCTATTGCACTCCGCTGCGAAGTTTCAATCGGAGGATAGATTCGTCGCAATTGGCACAATATACCAGGTTGATAGCGTCAACAGAACCTTGTATCGCTCTGGTCCAACGACACTGTACAACAACAAAGCCACCACAAGCACAGACACTGAGGCATCAGCTCGTCAGACTGATTCGTCCAAATTCCAAGCAGCAATGCAGGTGGATGAAACAGCTTTCCGTAATCTCATGGTCGAGACTCAAGTCCTGAACACAGTATCGTTCCAGAAGTGGAGATGGGATGTCATCATGAATATCATTCAAGGTCCGCTACACAACCCCAAACGCCTTGACGAAGCCATAAAAGTCACAAAATTCGTTCATCGCCTACTTGGCTTTTATCGGCCCTTCAAATATCGATTTTCCGAAGTCAAAAACACAAAGCCAAACCAACGTTACGTCCGAGCAGGGTGTGCTTTGATCGACACGCTTCTGCAGAGCCCTGAAGGCGTGAAACACCTAGGCGACAGCAAGTTCATTCGACAGCTCGCTGAGTGCTTGTCGCACTTTGACAGAATGAGCGGTTTGACCTCAGAATCACCTATCTTCCAGGCTGATCGCATGAATGAGACATTGACTGGTGGCTACTTTGCGCTCCTGGGTGCGCTGACGAAGGATCAAAGAGGCATCCAGATACTGGAGCGATGGAGAGTCATCAACATGTTCTACCACATCGTAGAGCTCAACGACCGCGATGATCTGATCAAGACACTTCTCAGTAATATGGACTACACTCTGGACGGCCATATACGCATCATTATCTCGAAAGCGATGACATCATGCTCAAAGGAGATCCGAATCTTTGCTACAAGATTGTTACGCAGGTACGCAACAAAGCCAATGCAATTGACGGGGCCCCAGGGCGTCGCGGAGTGGGCAATCAAGTTGCTCGTGACGCAACTTTACGACCCTGACGTAGAAGTGTGTGAAGTTGCCATCAAGATTCTAGAAGAGGCTTGCAACCAAACCGAGTCTCTTGAGTTTGTAGTGAAATGCCGACCGGCTTTGGACCATCTCGGCGAAATTGGTGCTCCACTTCTTCTCCGGTTCTTGTCGACTTCCGTTGGGTACCACTATCTAGACGGGCTGGACTACATCACAAGAGAGATGGACGACTGGTTCCTTGGGAGAAATGATACTTACGTGGCCTTGATTGAAGCCTCGATGGCGCGTGCGCTTGCCGACATCCCCGAGAAGCCATCGGCACAGTTATCCTACGATGACGCGCCGGAAAACCCTGAATATGGTCTTGTGCCGCCACACTTCTACCGCGAACTTACTAGGACGAAAGAGGGATGTAAGCTGCTCAAGCAGAAAGGCCACTTCGACGAATTCGTAGCCACAATTCGTGACTTTGCGATGGAAGATGATGATCCGGAGATTATCGTCAAGGTCAAAGGCTGTCTCTGGGCCGTAGGCAACGTCGGGTCGATGGAGCTCGGCGCCCCGTTTCTCGAGAGCTCCGACGTGGTACAATGGATTGTGAAAATTGCAGAAGAGTCAGAAGTGATGTCGCTCAGAGGCACGGCCTTTTACGTCCTAGGTCTCATCTCGCGCAGTCTCCACGGTCAGGAGATCCTGCTGGAACATGGATGGGACGGCGTCGTCAACGATGCAGGCGAAGCACTTGGATTCTGTCTACCCCTGCATTTCCAGAAGCTGTTCACGGCAAGTTCCCAAGTTGACCTGTTAACACAGATGCTAATACTTTCTAGATGGCACCCTGGATAGCTAAGTCAGAAGACATCAGCTGGTCACGCAAGACCGAAGTGAAGGTTGCCATCACCGACGACGACCCTGTAAACGCTCGCATATTAAAGCTTGCGACTGATCTTGGCAATACGGTGCTAGCGAAGAAGGCTGCAAACGACTTGCAAGCGTCAGTACCCCGTTCCATAAACAAAGACCCCACACTGATATGATGACAACAGTATTAAGGCGAAGAAAGCATCAGGGTTTAGCAGGCCATCCATCTTCCACAAGGTTATGCAGATTCTAGAAGCGCATCACTTCCGCCTTCCAGCGTGCCGGTTTGTTCTAGATCTGTTTGACAAGCGGGTCCTGCAGCAAATCGTGCTTGAGGAAGAAGACGAGGAGCAGGATGACGACAGCAGCGAGTCAGAGTCAGACTCGGACATGGAGCAGACGGAGACGAACGGCACGAAGGCATCGTGAAATCCTACGACCAAAACAAAGAGAAATCGGAATATCGGCTCGCGGCGTTCTGGCGTGCGACAGGCAGTCCAATGTACACTATCTTGTGGGTGGGGTCGAGGATCGTAACATTCAGGCTAGGGGAATCTTGAGTATGGGGTTACCAGGTACCATTTTTGTTGATTTTCAATAAGCTCGGCGAAATCTGACCGGCATGGAGCTTAACTTGGGCATGTTACGCGAAAAAAGGATTGCGTGCGATGCAATATGGTGGAATTGAATGCATGGCAACAGTCGAATTGAGAATATCAAAGGGTCATACCTCGTTACGCGTACCCAGTCCTGTAGAGAGCCGCGTTCAGGTGAAGACACGCGAGCATGCGCCCCCGCCTTCAAGTGCGTCACGAGAAAGGGTCCATCGGCACCGGCCACAAGTGTTGACAGCTGCGGCTTAAGCATCCTTTAGTGTCTGCTCTGATTGGTCTGGTATGACCTTGATTCGACGTGCATCAATGACGCGTGCAAGCCTTTTTTGAAGACCGCCGCGGCGTAGCAGTACAGTCCCTACAGGTGTAAGTGGCCGCTTCAACGCTGCGTCGTGCAAGAGGCGTTGGGATGATGCGCACGGCCTGCCAGGTCTACAATCTTCTCTATGTTGTCCCAATCATGCGCTCTTCTGGGTATCTCTCACAAAGGGTCTGCTGTACATAGATATGCAACATACCAAATAACGGCCATTATCACCGTAGCCAATGATCGTAAAGTAGTCTACCCCGGAAAGGGCTGCAAGACATGTAGACGATGAAGGAGTGCGCGAAGTTTTGCTGTGCAGTATACTGCCATGTCCGTGATTGGTTTAGCGAGATCCGCGATGCGCGGGCAAAATGTCGATTCGGAAGCGGCCACACTTTGCCTGACTGATCGGAGCCACCTTGAACGGGAACCCAGCCTGCACGAAACACCAGGCAGTTGGACTGGATCGGCCGATCCCATAACTATCCACAATGGATGACCTCTTCACTCTTCCGCGCATGATTCAAGCCCCTACTTTGTCTGGCGCCTCCCCACTTGCCTTCTTCGACCCCACGCACTTCTCAAGTGCCTCCATTGCCACTCTACCTGTACTCATCGCACATTAAAGACCTTTGAGCCACACGTTCGAAAGTTCTTCCCTCCGACTTCCTCCCTCTTGTCCCTGCGTCAGCACGCGCAAGCCGGCTTCACCCCGGTCCCTTAGTCTGGAAGCCACCACCGCCCGCTACACCTGCTCGACCAAGACTTACCGGACACTGGCGGTTCGTCTGTCTCCGACATTTTGACTTCTTCTATCTCGACATACAACGCTCGCTTCGACGTCGCGGTTCCCTCGACCCCTCCGAGATCGCCCACTATCTCCGCAGTCCGACCCGATTCCCCGGACTTTCAGATTTATATGGCCGGCACCACAACTGCACACTAGACTGGACATACATGAATCGACAACGTGCCAAAGGTTGCTCCGTCGTTAAAAGCGTAGAGCATCCCTTCGAGCCGCTCGTCCCTCTGGAAGCCTTCATGGTTGACGATGGGGCCGTGGTAGAGTCTCCGCATGCCGGGGCCTTGGACGCCCATCGCGATGCTAGACACCTTGTACGTCTCGTGCAGTGTCCACGCTGCTCGCACCCGCTGAGCACACCGGTGACGCTGCCCTGCGGTCACACAGTCTGTCGTGGCTGCCTTCCGGCGCCGCAACCGCGGACAAATATATCGTACCCGAATACGCCAGATCGTCTAACGGGTATCGCGTGCCCTCTGTTGGGATGTGGGGCCGAACATGCATCTGCTGAATGCTCAGTCGACGTAACCTTGACGAAAGTCATGGAGGCCATGGGAGTCGAGGTAGCGCTCCATGGATCCACTTCGGGAGCTACACCGACTTTACTCGAGGAATTAGTCCAGGACAATAGCAACACGCAAGCATCAGAAAAGCACGAGGAGAATGAAAAGGGCCACCGGCAAGAGCTAAACGGCGGACGCCTTGCGGCAACATACGTCATGGCAGGAATGGGCAAGCTTCGTTATAGCTCCGAGGTCGACTACCTCACCACATCAGCGAGTGGCGACAACTACGAAGCGTTGGATCTTGCTTTGATCGAGCGTCTCCGGGATGCTGCAATCAAAGAATTGGACTGCCTCGTGTGCTACAACTTGATGCTAGATCCCACGACGACATCATGTGGTCACACCTTCTGCCGCCGTTGTCTGTCGCGCGTCATGGATCATAGCAACATTTGCCCTTTCTGCAGGCGAGGCTTGCACGTCCCTGCTTCGCTGCAGCACCAACCTGGAAACGCCATCCTCAACTCGCTTCTCAATGGTCTATGTCCGGACTTGATCACGGCGCGAGCTGAGGCGCTGAAAGCCGAAGAGCAAGCAGGAGACAATATGTTTAGCATGCCACTGTTTATCTGCACGCTTTCGCTTCCCGCTATGCCAACTTTCCTCCACGTTTTCGAACCCCGTTATCGATTAATGATGAGGCGCGTGATCGAAGGCAACAAGCAATTTGGCATGGTCATGTACAACCGGTCGTCAGCTTCGCAAGGCAATCTCGGCACAGCTCCGTTCCTGGAATATGGAACACTGCTTGAGATTGTCAACTACGAATTGCTTCGCGATGGGCGCAGCTTCATCGAGAGCCGCGGCATCGGTCGTTTCAAAGTCAGGGATCACGGCATGCTAGACGGGTACAACGTCGGCCGTGTAGAGCGCATCGAAGACGTTTCGTTGGCGGAGGAAGGCGCGGCTGAGCAGCGCGAGACGACCATGGCGCGCGACTATGCCGAAGTCTTTTTCCGCGAGCACCCGCAAAGCCCACTACCGACGGACGTAGCTATCGAAGCCTTGTCCACACAACAGCTGCTTGACAGCTGCACATCATTCGTTCGGGAAATGCGGGAGGCTAGCGCACCATGGCTTCGGGAACGCATCATACAAGTGTATGGTGAACCTCCAGAGGACCCAGCTTTGTTCCCGTATTGGTTTGCATCCGTCGTGCCCATCGTCGAGGAGGAGAAGTATGTTCTCTTGCGAACCACGCGTGTCCGCGAGCGCCTAAAGATTGTGTACTCATGGATTGGCAGAATCCGTGGGCAGCGATGGTAAGTCACACAAACAATTCATTTTCCCAGTTACACGAATTCCGGACATGCACCAGTGAGTCTAGGCCGACACCGAACGCCCATGTCGCACAGCATGAGCAACGGCGATCGACGATGCTTGCATTCTGTCTGTTCCGGCTGTGGGATGGCGCTGTGGTCGTGTGCATCACTATTCGTGATGACGAGATGATCTTGCATTGACGGGGTTGCCGGCGCCGTTGCTTCTCGCTACCAAACTCTGCTCTCTGAACTAGACTCAATGGCATACTGACCCGAACTTGACAGGTCATCGAGCAACGCTTGCAGCATCCTTTGACTCACAGCGCTCATCGTCATCGCTATCGCCTTCGTTACGACCTCGACTGAAGATTACGCGTCCCTCCTTGCCTCCACGACCTGAACGCCCACTCCACACCACCATTTCCTCCCTATCTCACATGAGCCTCAATTTGCCCACCAACGTACCTCAACAGTAACCATCCTGTTTTCATTGTAGTATGCCAAGCTTTTCAACATCTGTTTCTCCTCTTCTTTTTTTCCTACAGTCAGTGGCATTTTGATTATTGGTCTCATCCATGCGTGTGTATTCACTTCTCCAAAGATTACCCCCTTTCAGGAGGACGCGGTGCTAGCCGACTGTCCATGTTCATGCTTTTATAGAAACCCAGGTGCTATCCTGTGGTCGGGGACGAGAACCGCACGAGTGGATTTGCGTTTTGGAATTCAGAAATGGTATTAAAAGAGGCATGAATGATTGCGGGTTGTTTTTTTTGCATGGAAGGAGTTCTATGTATGGTTTGGCCCCGAGAAGGAAGGGGTAGCTGGCGATATTTGCATTGTGGCATTTTCAGATGTAAATACGTGGATATAGGGTATGAAGGTTCATATCATATCATTGTACTGAGTCTGCTTTGTGTTCGTGGTGTGCTTCTTCGTGGCATAATGCAGAGGATGCATTGTGCTGTTGATGGCTTCTTCCTCACAAACACCACCTCACATTCCTCCCCTCAGTTGCAATCCATATCTTGCGCCCTTCTCCGCAGCATCTGAAAACCTACTGGGCATACAGCGAGATGCATTAAGGCTGTGGCGGTCATCGTGGCTATGCCAACACATCATCCAATCGAACGCAACATCCTCAGCCTGATGAGGGGAACTGCTGCATCAGGCTGAGAAGCTGACTTCCCACACCCCCCAGGTCGAGCCCTCCATCCTTCCTACCTCTACCCACATCCGCGATGGAAGTCCTCTCCGTCGCTGCGAGCGGCATGGCCGTTGCGTCACTTTCACTGCAGCTCCTACACACCATCGGCACGATCAAATCGTTTATACGCGACGTCAAGGGCGCTTCGAAAGAGTTGGGACGACTGGCAGCCTTACTCGATCAACTTTTTGCGCTTCTTGACAACGTCCGGGATGTCATGGAGCGGCAGACGTCGCTGCAGGGCCAGCATTTTCCGGTTCCGGCCTCGATGATATTCGAAGCTCTGAAGAGCTGCGAAAAGAGCCTCGAGCCGCTGTTTGCGATTGTTGAGAAGCACAAGAAGAGCCAGGTCGGGAGTGTCCCCGCGGTGGTGAAGTGGAAGGACTACATCAAGTTTGGCTTCAAGACGAAAGACATTGCTGAATTCGAGAGTCGGATACAAAGGGAGATCGATTACCTTCATACAGCTTTGACTGTAAATTCAACCAGTATACTGTATGTCAGCAAGCTCACATAGCGTTCAAAGACACTGACGTGCGCACCCAGAACAATGGTACTGCCCGCCATACAGAAGTGCATGACTTCGCCACTAGCGGGTCGACAGACAGTCTCCATCCAATATCAATCCGTGGGAAAACAGCTGTCTTCTCCGAGGATACGCACAAGGCAACTCAAACGTCAATTCCAGCAGTCCTGGTGGCCTGCCCAAATCGGCGTGTACCATAGGCGTTCAGTGACATACTTCCAAAATGAAGAGAACAAAGCTCGTAAGCCGCACCACGATGAAAATGTCGTTTCAAACAGCCACGAAGTGATCCTCGCCTGGAAATTTTTGAAGTTCGGGATACACTGGACTAAGCAACAAGAGTACTCGTACATACCGTCTTCAATCAATGTCTTTCCTATCGTAGATTGTGATATGCAGTTTTACGGATTGCTTAACAGGGCCACCATTGTCGAGATACAACAAACTTTCACGTCCGGAAGATTGCATCCCTTCACAAGAACTTCACTCGGCTCTTCGTTACTTCATGTGAGGCGCAGCTGTTCTAGTCGCTCAAAACCCGCTAATTGTCTCTGCAGATGGCTGCGAACTGCCACAGAGCCGATGTCATCCAGCTCCTCATGCAATATGGACTGAAGCCCGATCTGACTTTAGATGGCGATTCGCCTTTCCAAGAAGCGATGAAGCCGTTTCCACACCCTCTCAAAGGCAGCGGAATTGATACCATGCGACTGCTTTTGCATGATGGTGGAATTTTGGATAACTTCGAGGACGAAACTTATACACTCGTGAACGACAATTTGTCATTAATCATGGATCTCGAAACTCTGGAATGGCTTTGGATGAACGCCGGCAAGGCTTTGAGTGCACCTGAGCTACAAGGTCTTCGATTCCGTCTTCTTGAAATTCTGATTTCGAAATACAATTCCAAGCGGAACACCATCGACGAGGTTACGGAATGCATAATTAGGTTAGCCCCCAAAGGTCTGATTCAACGTTATCAGGAGGAAGGCAAAGGACTGATCGGCACTCTGTTCAAATATTGCAAATCATCGATCGAAAGCTCGCAAGCTGGAGAGGCCTTCATCGACCTTTTGAACCGCTTAGGTCTCGACGTCGAATCATGTATCAACATGGAAGGCGAGTGCTTCCTGGAACCCCGTTTATCATGGCACGATATGCAACGTAGAGTCATATTTGAGCGTTCTGAATGTGGAGACTGGATCTTGAGATGGGTTTGGGTATATGATACATCCGCGCCAGGCTATCTCCTAGTATCTGAGTACATCAGTCTTGGAGTCGATGCTTGTTATGCATATGGCTGGCCATTCGGCAAACCAGGGTATCATAAAAAGAGCGATCAAGAGCAGAGGCTCATTGATCTTCGCTTCAATCAACGAATGATGAGCAAGTTCCGCAAAGAGCGCGCACGGATGGGACAGAAACGAGCAAAGAGTAGGATGCCTGGGTCTTGGAACTGGTAGCTACATGGGTTGTCATATCAAAGTCAAGAACGTGAGAGGGTCAATCATTCGAAACGACAGTCAAGTCAGAGCGGTGCCAGGGCGTCGAGATAATTGAAAGACATGATACACCTTCATATTTCTTTCAATTGCAACATCTTCACTGTACAGCGGGATTGGTAACTACATTCCATGATGATTAGCTCGCTCATACCGAGTTCGAGATTTCCCTCAACTTCGACCCAGAATATCATTGCAAAGGCTGGTACAGAAAATGACTTTGCGCCGCGCCCAACCCTGAGTAGTGGTTCGACAAATCAATCTCGCCTAGTGTTTCTCCGAAACCGCCTCCTCCATCAACCGAAACACCAAACCATGCATGATTCTGGTCCCACTCTCTCACCATACTCTCACTGCCTGGTGGCGTATCTCCAACAACGTTCTCTGGTGATGTTTCATTGTGTAGCTCCAGCTCGGATTGATATGCGCTTTCTGAGCTATTGTTCATTCGCTTCAAGTGTCGGTTCAGGATACGAGTCGCATCCAGTGTGTCCGGAATAGCTTTGACCAATACACCTGTGGAAGTCGCAAGCATAGCAATCGCGTGCTCGAGGAAGTCTGCAGATTTAGACGACAAGCGCAAAACCCATCGATACTCGTCCAGGCTCTTCTTATACAAACTTGCCTCGTTTGGATCGGTTGCAGTTGCCCAGAGAAGCGAAATGAAGGTGCCTACGAGTGCAAAGTTGTATTTGGATGCAGAGTACCAGAACGACTGGAGATGCTCGGGTCGAAGGCTGGACACGAAGTCCATGGCGGATTTCAGTCGGACTTGTGCGGCTTGTCGACAGATAGAGCGAAGAGATGGGTCATCTGCAGATGATAAAGAGCGCAGTATTCGTCTGTGTAGCGTCATTTCGACGGCGTAGTAGCCAAGGTGGAGGTAGCCTGAAAATGAAGATCAGCTTTCGCTCAGTAATAGCATCAAGGATTCGACTCACCTGTGGAGGAAAGCTTGCGCGCGGCCAGGTTTCCCATCTTCAGTACGTCTGGCAGGCTCGAGAACCACTGGCGCAATTCTAGCTGTAATGGCTTTGCCCTTTCAAGAATCCACAGCACTCCTTCGCTCGCACGTCTCTCAACTTCTCGCTCTGCTTTCAGCGTGTAGAAAGTCGACAAGATTCGGCCCAGAATCTCTGTAAGTTTAATCATCTCGCAGAACAGCGTTCGTCCTTTTTCTACCTCTGTGCTTCCATCTTCTTCGTCTTCGTCTGCAGCATTTTCGGGGAAGTCTTCTTCCTCGAGGTGCTGTACCTCCCAGTCTACTGTGTTGATGTGAGATGGTCTTCCGTGTACGAGTGAACCCCACTTGTCCTGCATGAAGAGAGCCCATGCCAATCTCTTTCTCAGTCCTCGCTCCCACGAGGGAATCCGCCATGATGTGCAGTCCAAATTCAGGCCAAGCTCCTCTCCTATGCCAACAAGCTGCGAAGTCAGAGCCCAAGAATCTCCCTCTGGTCTTTGCAGCAGCAACAAACCAGCCTGTATCGTGGACAACTTTGGCCGATGAACAATGTTACCCATTGTCTTCAGCGCCAGCTTTTCTAGAAGGGAGACATTGGGCTTCGGAAGTAAGGCAAGCTCACTAGAATATGACCACCAGTTTAGAGCAAGGAGATACACTGCCGCAAGTAGTGGCGGCGAGAACTCTCTGTGCGTTCGATCATACTTTTCTAAGTAGACCTTTTTGTGAAGAATTGGAAAGCTCGGATGTACTATACGAAAGTACAGATGTATGAGAGCCTTGCCGTGAGGCGCAACAATCGTCTCGATGGCGTCCAGATCCGGAATATCGTCCTGGTAGCTCTGGGTTGAGGAATTTGGAGATAGTATGAACGCTGTATGCACATCATCTACCAGCCTCAGAGTAGAAGTACCAACAGCAATGTCCGATACCTCGTCATCTTGGTACAGTTCCAAAAGGACTTGTTCATATGCAGATGTACTTCCCAGGAATCGACTGTGCCTATTTTGTTGCAAGCCCAGTGTTTTCTTGAGAAGAGACGGTCCTTTGAGGTTCTCGTAGTCATCGATAGGCTCATCTTGTCGGATGTGTGTCGCGTCCTGAGATGGGGAGCTGAGATGTATCACAACATCGGAGCCATTTCGTACTCCGCCTAGCCTATGGGGGTGGTCTTCTTCATGGGTAGCTATTGCTCGACGTTTCCTCGGTAGTGGATTTTCGTTGAATGTGCACTCCTGTCTATGAAAGCGACATAGAAGACATGGCGGATTGCCATCTGCTATCTCGCAGCGTGACTTTCTGCGACGGCAGGGATCGCATGGCCGTCTTGAGCGAGTCTTTCCACCACCTGACTGTCCTGCCGTGATAGGAAGGACATCACTCGGCGAAACGGACTGTGTCGGACTGATTTCCATCCTCAAAGACGTATCCAAGGTATAACAACCAACTAGGCGAATCCCAAACTAGCTAGATCGCGAATGTAGTGCTCAGGAAGTACAGCAGGAACTTTCGATGGTGGATCTTTCCGCTTTGGGCATTCTACATATCAAGTACGCATGTTCCAATATTAGCTTCCATGCAATGGAGCCCTGGAAGGACTGCCGAAGGTCTTCGGCTTCGGTGAGACTGTTCCTGTAGCCGCGATATTTGAAAAAGTATTCTTGGGGTTCGTTAGGTGAGAATGGAGCCAGCTGCATCCATGCAGTGCTGTTGTCGTTGAATTGTCCTTTAGAGTCCTCTCGAAGTAGTGGTAACACATCAACATCTGCCATCACAGAGATTGTGGGGCGAGACATCGGCCCGTCTAACGCGCTGGGAACATCCTGCTCAATGTCGATGATGACGGAACAAGGTCGAGATAAGACACAAAACCTCGGCCAATTGGCACGCTAAGCAAGCGACTATTATTCAGCCATACAACTAACGAAAACATCAAAAACTTTTGGTCATGTAGTCTTTGAACAGAATGCCCAATTTAAAGCTGCAATCGGTTCACGTTGTTTGCTTACAAAGACGGGTCAGGCAATGACAATTATCTCGCAATAGTATTAGCCCTTTGTTGTACAGCTATTAAAGCCTCATTTCAAACCATGTCGGTCGCTTCTTTCTCTTTGGTAGTGACGTTTGTCGATTTCGATGCCGCATCCTCCCCCTCGATGATTGATGGAGCCTCTTCTCCTGATTGAGGCGGATACACAGCGATTTCGACCAATGACTTTGTTGGAACAGAGATGTATGTGCAGATTATGTAGTGCACAAACACTGAAGTGAAGAACCCAAAAGTCCATGCAAAAGAGTATATCTTCCATGCACCGCCGATGTCAAGACTGTGATCGATACTCTTGGCAAATCCTGGCATAAGTGGCGCGAATCCAATGATGAAAGAGACGTATGCTCTCCAGTTCCAGCCACCGTTGTACCAGTATATACCCGCGATCGGAATAGAGTTCGTCGACATCGAGCTTGCACTTTTTGATGAGGTAGTAGTCGCATATCATGACCCCGGCAAGCGGGCCCATGAAGCAAGAATATCCGGAGAGAAATGCAAGTAGACCGGCTGCGTTCTTGATTATGTTCCATGGGGTGGAGACAACACAGAAGATCGCGACGAAGACAGTCGCTCTGAATATGTTTATGTACTTAGGAGACATGCCCGTAATATCCTGTCATAGGTTCGTTAGTATCAAAACCACAGTTTCGAGTTGTGGTGACTCCTTACGTTGGAAAACGGGTATGTGTCGGCCGCTATCTGGTTACCAATGGTGGCAAGGATAAACGAAGCAGATACGAAGAACTTTGCAGCGCGTGAGTCGAACTTTGCTATCACAGCTGGCATATACCTTCAGATGTGTCAGCCTAGCCTTGAATCTTTGAAGAATAGCACGAACCACTCGAACTCTCCCCATATATACGAATGAGCATCGGTAACAAAGATTGGTGTGAGCGCGCCAAGAGTACCAATAACGGGAAGAGCCAAAAATTGATGGTTTCCAGCGAGCTTGTTCTTGCTGAAACGTCCAAAATCCGGCATGTTTACAGACAATGAGCTGAACAGGCCTATAATTGCATTCAGTCCAGAGAGTGCCGAATATGCTTGGTTCATGTAATCAGATGTGATGTCGACCTTGCCGCGGACAAGAGGGCCACCACTTCGTAAACGTCAGCTTCATGTGGTACTGAGACGATGTTGTTGATAATAGAGGCGGCGAAGCTTACCCCTTAGTCACAATGACTGCCCAGAGAAACAGGGCGAAAAACGTCGGCGGCACAATAGCGCCTTTCACCCAAAAGAGGACGCGAAGTTTCGCGATCGGCATGAGCGATAGTCCCGTCTGCATAAACCAGTATAGGAAGAAGCAAAGTAAAGAACCGGCTTCTCGTGACTCAGTCACTACTCAATAATTAAGGCATATCGATAGACTTACAGTCGATTCCAGCACCGCCAGATAAGTGGTTCGGAAAGTTGATGAAGCTTGGCCAGATTGCCTCGATGCATCGTCGCAGAAAGTCGCCGCCCTGTACTGTGAGGACTGCAGTCCACATCAGGGCAACAAACGCTAGAGAGAGTCAGTCGTGTCGTAATGCGCACATTGTGGGAACACAAACCTCTTATACAGATAGCCGGATAGGACCCGTACATGCCAAAGGTACTTCGTATGATCACTGGGAAAGGCACGGCATATGTTGCGCCCATCTTTCCGGTCAACGTGATAACCACACTGCAAATCGCGAAGCCAAAGAAGACAATGGGGATAGTTTCTCGAGCCGTGAAGCCTAGAGCCATAACACTGCTGACCGTGGAAGCTAAAGGTGGTGCTAACATATCGCTACACCAATATGTCCAGTAGTCGGCTGGTCCCCAAGTCCTTTTCTCTGGAGGGACGGGGTCGAGATCTGATCGTGTAAACAGGGTTTCATGGATGGGCTGTTTAGACCGAGAATCATACCTTCATTAGACCAGCGTGACCCATACTTGCCGCTTTCATGAGGGACTTTGAGGCGAAAGTGAGGTGCGAGCTTCGCTTTGAGGGTTGTCATGGTCCAAGCACGGCGTGACAGTTGTGGGTGGGTGAAAATTACCGAGTTCGACTGTCTCTCACACGCATCGATCTACCTCGTGCTTCCTGCATCTACATATAATTAAGTCTGGCTTACCTCAAGGTGCCTATCAGACCCGATCGACGGAGCCATGGTATATCAGCAGTACCTGGCACATGTAGAGATAGGGCCTCCGGCGCAGCCTCGAATCGCCAGCGAACCCTTACTGTTATTGAGCGACCCACAAGTCTACCCGCCTTTGTTAGCCATGTCCAAGACGCCTAAATTGTCGATTGTCGATGCATCGGAAGAAGGAGAGATGCCTGTGGTAGGCCGTGGGGATGCTAAATCCACAACAGGTTAGCCAACATCGCCTCCGCAGATAACGTCTAGAGATGCCCCGAGATGCCTGCGCGCCGCCCGCGCGCCGGAGGCCCGCTGCAATTGCAACCTTGGCCAGCTTTGATAGCAGCAAATCTACCAAGTGTTAGATTCCTTGATGGATATGTAAAGTATTGATCTTTTGATGCCGCATCATCGTCATCTCCGTCTCCTTCTTAATCAATCAACCTCAATTCCGCTCAGATTTGTTCCTTTCTTCAAGCATTTTCAACGTTGTTCCCACGCCTTGACAACTCCGTCGGCAGTCTCAACATCATGTCGAGTCCAGTCCTTTCATTTGAGGCCAAGCCTTATGCTTTCACTTTCCCACTTGAGCATACTGCTCTACTCATCATCGACATGCAAAGAGACTTCCTCCTTGCTAAGGGCTTCGGCGAGATACAAGGTGGTAATCTGGAGGCTGTGCAAGCTTCGATAGCCCCTACGAAAAAGCTGCTCGAAGCATGCCGAGCTGGAGGTCTTACAATTGTTCATACGCGCGAAGGGCACAACCCAGACTTAGCAGACTGCCCGTCCGCAAAGCTTGTCAGGCAGTCTGCTGCACCAAACAATACTCAACACAATTTAGTTATTGGCGACAAAGGAGAACTTGGTCGACTACTGACGCGAGGGGAGTATGGTCATGATATTGTCGACGAATTGCAGCCTCTGCCTGGCGAGGTCGTTATTGACAAGCCCGGCAAAGGCTCTTTTTGGAACACGAACATATTGCATGATCTAAAGGCAAGATCTATTACACATCTGATCGTCTCGGGGGTTACGACTGAATGTTGCTTTGCGACCACGATCCGTGAAGCAAATGATCGAGGCTTCGAATGCTGCGGCATTGAGGAGGCGACGAGCGGTTACAACGATGCATGCTTCAAGCAGTCGACTCTAGATATGATACATTGGTCGCAAGGTCTTTTCGGGTTTATTGGCAACTTGCAACCCCTTTTAGACGTTCTGGCGCCTCTCTCCACTCCGAGTGTTGCAGCCGGCTCGACACCACCACGAACTCCACCTACCTTCAACGGTGACCTGACCATTACTAGCCTTCAACAGGCATACAAGAATGGAATGTCTCCAGTTTCGCTAATTGAGGCTATCTATGACAAAATCGAAGCATACAAGGCTATCGATCCCGCTGTATGGATACATCTCGTGCCCAGGGCACAGGCGCTCGAGGCAGCAAACAAGATCGCTGCTCGATTCCCCAATCGGAACGCCCTTCCACCACTCTTTGGAATACCTTTTAGCGTCAAAGATAGCATAGATGTACAGGGAATTCCAACTACCACCGGCTGCGAGATTCTCTCACATGTACCTGCTGTCTCAGCAGTAGTATATAAAAAGCTTATTGCTGAGGGTGCTCTTTTTATTGGCAAGGTGAATTTGGACCAGTTAGCTACAGGTCTAGTAGGATGTCGGAGTCCCTTTGGTATTCCGCATTCGGTATATCACAAGGACTACATCAGCGGTGGTTCCAGCAGCGGGAGCGCAGTATCCGTCGGAGCAAACCTTGTCTCGTTCAGTCTCGCCACCGACACAGCAGGTTCGGGCAGAGTACCAGCTGGCTTCAACGGCATTGTAGGATTCAAGCCCACACGAGGCACAATCTCTTTCCGTGGTATAACACCAGCATGTCTCTCCCTAGACTGTATAGCAATCAGCGCCAAAACCATCACAGACGCACGAACTGTTTGGCACACCCTCGAAGGCCACGACCCGCTCGACCCCTACGCCAAACCTACACTCAGCTTCGAACGACACATCAACAGCATCGGCCCGCAATCCCAAACATTCAAATTCGGCATCCCACCCCCCTCCGCCCTCGCAATCTGCTCCCGCCCCACGCGCAGAATGTTCAACGAAACAGTCGAACAGCTCCAGAAGATCGGCGGCATCTTAAAACCCATCGACTGGACGCCCTTCCAAAAAGCCGGCGAGCTTTTGTACGACGGCACGTTTGTGTCTGAACGCCTTGCATCGCTCCCAGACGATTTTCTCGAGAAGAACCGCTCAGCTCTGCATCCTGTGATTGCGCAACTCATGGGACGCTGTCGTCGCGCGGAAAAGTACGGCTGTAGACGCGTACCGCGACTTGCAAGCCAAAGCACTCTACACGCGTCAAGCAGAGCAAGTCTTTGCATACGCCGGTTCGGGCGTTGATGTTATTGTCGTGCCGACCACGCCTACGCATTGGAAGATTGAAGAAGTGCTGGCAGATCCGATTAAGAAGAATAGCATACTAGGCGAGTTTACGCATTGCGGGAATGTATTGGATCTTTGTGGTGTTGCAGTGCCGGCTGGGAACATATCCGGTGTCTGAGCTGAGTGGCAAGGAAGAAGAGGGTGTGTTGCCCTTTAGTGTGACGTTTTTGAGTGGGAGTAGGCTTGATGCGGAGATGTTGGAGATTGCAAGGAGGTTTGAGAAGAGTTTGAAAATGTAGTGATTCTGGTCGTATACTTTTCGCACTGCATAGCAAATTACCATTGGGATGTAGTCCACCTACCAATCTCACCCTTTGCCAACCAAGATTCGCTTCCTGTGGCCCCCATCTATTGTAGCTTGTCTCACCTTCCCAGCCCCATATAAATCGCGGTTACTGCACCATCCTTCCATCAAATCGCCTCAAGGGCACATGGCGTAATGGTAACGCATCCGCACACAGACGGCCGGACACTCGGCTAGCTGACTTCACGAAGCTGAGCAATCAGATTGTCGGGGAGTGAGGACCATTGACCCACGAAGCTGATGACTGGGATTATCGGACTGTGAGAATCTCGAAGCTGATGACTGAGGTTATCAGGGAGTGACCGCCGGCAGCTGATGAACTGAGGCTATCAGGAAGTGAGGACCAGAGGAACAAGCTAGCCGGGCGGCCCGTGACGCGGAAGATTGGCAGTTCGAATCTGTCTGTGTCCATTATTATTTTTTGCTAAAGAAATTGTTTCTTTTGCTTCTGGGCTGGAGGATGTGGTAAGATAGTGATTGTGGGCAGTCATTACTCTTCAACATGGATGTGCAGCGTCGTGGCGATAATGTGAAGTGAGTAAGAATATCATTCTATCCAATAGTGTATGCAACCAACAGTATCGCCTAAAACGCCATATGCAAAGGTGTATCGAACTCTTTCGTGACCGCATTATGCAAAACGCCATTGCTTTTATGCAAGACAAAAGGTACGTCAAAATCATGTATCGTTCATGGGCCAAATTTCCCGCCCTTTGGCAGGGTCTTGTACGGACAGGCTTGCCAATCGCAACCCTATTGACGATTAGTATGAAGTTGCAGAATTGAAGACGTTACGACAACTTACCTGTTTGTAAACCTCCGTACCCCACCACTTGAAATCGCTCATCCAGCCCGGGTATACAATGCCAAAGAAGATGACAACAACACCAAAAGCAAGTCCAGAATCCAGGGCAGCACTCAACATCATATTGTACTTCTTCCACCACTCCTTGCGCCGGTTCTTGATCTCGTAGTTGAAGATGTAACAGACAATGGCCCACACGGAGAAGTTCAGTCCAGTTGCAGGTGGAATCCAACTCAGACTGCCAAAAACCACGGCCGGGTTGACCTTGCGCAAGATGGAACGGCGGTTGTTGCGAGCGAAGTACCAGATGGGGATAGGTGAGATGGCGCCAACAAGGAACGCCCACACTAATGGACGGTAGAGGGCGCCGGGACCGAAGAAGCGCTGAGGTCCAACTACACCCCACAAAATACTGCCGTTGAAGTGAACACGTGCGATGGGGCAGTTGAAGCCATTAATAGCATCTGGCGTGCAAATGCCAGGGATATGGCTCAGCATCCAGTTGAGCACACCAATCTGCGCAAGACTGGAGATGATCGTGATGCAAAGTTGTAGTTTAAACAATATGCGTGGCGGGATCTTCATGTAGTGACCGAGCTTGAGGTCGGAGGCGAACTTGAGCCCTTGCGTAGATGAGATGTAGCCGAAGGTGGTAAAGACCATGTTGGCAACGGGACGACCGGGAAACAACACTCCGCATATGAGCTGGCAGATAAGGTAAATACTGCTTTGTTGGTTGGTGATGGCCATGACGATTCCAATGGGAATGAAGAGGATCGCACCGATGCCCAACGCAAGCAGTAACCCATACCAGGGCAGATGGACAGGATAGTACTCCACGACGAACATACCGATGGCAGCCATGATGGCCCCTGTCAGAACATACCACAAGATCGGCACGTCGTCGTATTTCTGCATCAGGCGATTGTGCACGTCTTGAGCAGTGAGTAGATCCTCCATCTCCGGCTCCGATGTTGTGCTAGAACGGACTCTGCGCAACATGGGTGATGCTGCGTAACCGTCTTCTCGAGCGCTGCTTCTCACTGGCTGATATTCGGCTGCCGCCTCCTTGCGAATCTCCGCCCATGAACGACGCCATTGCCTCCAAATGTCTCTGCCATGCCACAAACCTGTGTGCGAAAGGAGAGCCGTCAAGGCAGCGAATTGGAGGGCGTAACTGAGGACATATGTTATTGGGAGATAGACTCGGCTGTAGTCGTTGTATGCAGCTTCGTCAAACATGAAGTCCGCTGTCAAGATCTTGCTGACATCGTACGGTTTGCCCCGGTTGTCCCAGACAGCTGCTGATAATATTGGCATGTAGGCCGAGTACATCACGTTCATGTAGTCTATCAAACGTTAGTGTGCCATAATGATAATGCGATAGACTCCACATACACATTATTGGTGCCGCCAGCCACATGACAAGCACAAGACCGCCTACGATGTTCATCGCGGCCCAAAAAGGGGTAACAAGTGGTGAGCCAATATAGGCGATCTGAGCCCAGTCAAATGTCACTGGAAATAGACCAAGACCTGACGCAGTTCCGAACTAAAGGCTAGTCAGCATGTCCTCTCTTTTCTAGCGAGATCAAAACATACGAGGTTGGCCACAACAACGTTCCGAGGTGCAAACCATGTGATTACGTTGAAGGAACTTAGGGCGGGAAAGAGGAGACCAGGTAGGAAGTAGAACGCTACGCCGCCCATGAAGACGCGCCCAAAGAATTTTCGTGGTGAAATATTCCAGCCGTTGGCGGGCTTGTTGACTTCCTGGTGCAGGGCAGTGAACATGGACGTCGAAACCAACGTAGCTGGCCAGATCATGCCACTGGGGCGAACGAGGTAGCGTCGTGTTAGGCCAGCAAGCGAATATCCCAGGATCTGTGTTGATAGAACCAGGAGTATCTGGTACATGATACCTGAGGTCTTGGTGGTAGAATTTGACTTGTTCAACAATGACCTGCATTCAGGTCAGCGATCTGTAAAGTGTCATTCACCTCTAGATGTACTGACGTCTGTCGCAAATGCGAAACCAAATGACACGTTGCTGCTGACATAAACACAGCAGTGCTCCTTCTCGTTCCAACGTCCTTGCGCGAGCCAAAGCCGGAATCGACGTTTCCAGGATGTCTTATAAAGTGATGTCCCCGACGAGTACGTCGATTTGATGATACAGCCATTCACAAAGGTTTCTTCAGGGTCGTCATGACGTTTTAATAATTGGTCCCAGAGTAGACCAAGAGGATGAACGAGCAAAAGCGCAATAATAGGAGTCAAACTAACGCTAGGGTATCGTAGGGAAAAGAATAAGTTCGTGGAAGAACCAGCGATCGCAAAAATGATGGAGAGGAACCACATGCGAGGGGTATCAATGGAGAGCGATGTGTTGTCAGTATTTGCAACAGAGGCGCGGACCTGGGCATAGGGTGAGTCGTCAGAAGGATTTCCTTTCGTGTCGTGGATATCATCCTCTTCAGATTCGTCGCTTTCGTCCCGCCGTGTGCTAGTTGACGAATTCTCTGAGCTATCGAGATGAATTGGCAGACCAGCTATGGCAGGGTCTGAGCCGCTGGCATTGAATCTGGCCTCAAAACCGGTGATGTCGTGAGTGTCGAGCTCATCCCCTAGCGCGTTGCTGCTGCGATGCTCGTCCCTTGGCCTCCATCTCGATGTGGTAGAATTTCGACGACGCGAGTCCTGTCGTGATGAGCTCGCATGTCCGGACCCTTGCGACCGTAAAGTCCGGGCGGAGATGCTGGTGGCAAGCTTGCTCTTCCCCTTCCTTCTACCTTGCGAAGAACTTCGTGTCACATGATTTTCGTCGGAATCAGGGCTCAGAGAAAGAATGGGTAACCCTCCATAGGACCCTGAGAATATCAGCCAGCTTCCTAAGGATGTAGAGATTCGCGATGTGCGAGCCCTGGAATGCGTGCGTCTACAACATGTCCGCAGGCCTGCCATGCGCTGCGCCTCTAGCTTACCTGTACCTTGGGCCGGAGATGATCGCACCAGGAGAGGCACGCGCGACATCTCTCCCGTATGCTTGCTGTTGGAACGTGAAGCACGGAGGACACAGTGCTCGTCATCAGGTCTCGTTTCAGATGTGGCTGAGGGCCTTGCTTTTTCAGGCAGGACGTGCAACTCGTAAGAGCTACCAGCAGCAGAGGAAGGATCGACTGTATAGCGCGTGTCACCGCCGTGGTCAGCAGAGGGAGCGGACGACGGAGACAAATAGTTGGCCTCGTCCGCCATATGTAAGGACCTGCGACTAGCTGTTCGTGTGCGCGCGTGTCTCCTGTTGGTGCCCGGAGGCTTCACCAAACCGGTTCGCGCAATCAGACGATCAGATTATTTTAGGCCGCGGCATGCGAAGCCTTGCCTCCTAGATGATCTGATTAGATAAAAATGCCGGTGAAGAAGCGCACGCAGCCAATGAGCGCTTTGGCGGCATGCAAGAGACCAACTGAAGATGTCACGAGACCGGGGTCTGACGTGGGCGAGGCGCAGAATGATGACGCTAAGCGCTAACTGCAGTCCAGGAGGCTCGGCTCGCACTCTGCGTATCATCGCGCGAGCCGCAGCACGCGGGCGAAGACCCTGGAATCCGAATAATGGAGAATCACTGTGCTTGGCCCGCCACTGAACTCATGTTGGAACGAAAGTTATGAAACGAAGTCCACAATGAACGTGTTCATGCACCAAGATGCTGCAATTTCGTCTACAGAGCTATTGTACAGAGCTAGAAAATGGCTGTCAAGCGATGTCATCACGCCTGACCGCCCCCACATACTACATATCCACGTGCCCAGGAATGCCCTTCTTCTGCCCAGCGGTGAGCCCTTCAACCATCGTAATGGCGCCTTCAGCATCATCTTTGTTATACAGAAATAAACCTTGTAGGGCTGCGGTACTAATCGAGTCGACGAGGCCCAGCTCCTTGACCCGCGCTAGAAACCTGCGCTTCGCTTCACCGCTTCTGTCAAACTCACCGTAGAAGCGTTCCCAGAGCTGCTCGATCTGGTACTCTGTCGCCTCGCCGAGGCGAACAGTCATGTCAACGCGCCCGGGTCGAATAAGTGCTTCGTCTAGTCTCTCAACATGATTTGTGGTGAGGAAAATGATGCGCTCCTCGGCGCTAGCTACACCGTCAAGGGCATTGAGCAAGCCCGAGAAGGTCACGGAAGCACTCGCATAACCATCGGACCCAGGCTCCTTGCGGTTCATGAACGCTACATCCACGTCCTCGAGCAAAACAACCGTCCTGCGCGGGACCTTGGTCAACAGATGGTTCAGGCGGTCATCCGTGAGCCCTCGCTCGCTGACGTTCAGTATAGCGATGTTGAAGTCGAGGTGACCGGCCACAGCCTGTATGAATGAGCTCTTGCCTGTACCAGGAGGTCCATAGAGCAAATAGCCCCTCCGGTACGGTATGCCACGGTCGAGATACCAGGTTCGCGAGGAGATGAATGCCTCCATATCCTCGACAATTCTCTCCTTGACACCGCGCTCAAGGACTACAGAGTCAAGGGGCCGCTTTCGCTTTGCCTCTCCAAACTGCTGCCACATAGTGCCCATTGAGTTGTATATCATCGTCTTGCCTTCCTGCGACTGCTGGTACAGCTTATGTGCCTCGGCGAAGATGTCCTCAAAGACATTTCGGTGCGAGTAAAGGGTGGTAAGGCTGATGGTCTCGAAGGGGACGCCATCTTTGACGCTGATAGTGTTCCGTTCGCGCTGGCGATCGACGAGGATGAAGGCGTTGCGGTAGCGGAGGAAGTGCCTGCCAGGCCCAGGTACGAAAGAGAAGTGTGCGGCGTGCGAAGGGCCGTCCTGAGGAAAGGAATGTCTGCACTTGGAGGTGGTGCATGCGCGGATCAATGCGATTGAGCACTTCTTGTGAGTAGGCCGCTCTGTACCGCTGGGCGCATACCCGCCTGTTGTCCCCTGTGGTAGGTCGTCATCCATTGGAGGAGCCACGGATAGGCTTCGTCGTGACGCGTCACTTCGAGGTCGACAAGCATGCGCCGCCGCACGAACGCAGCGCCATGCTGAAGCCCTTTCTGCCCCGTACGCGCCGCGACACCAAGCGCTGCGAGACCAAAGCCCTGCAACAATCGTAAGCACTCCCAGCTTCGCGCACCATATCGGGATCAATCGTACGGCAGTGAAGAACGGATTGTCTGAGATTTGCGAAAAGAGCGATCCAGTGGGCTGACCGGTGCCGGCGCTAAGTTGCTTTGCCAGCTGTTGACTGGGCGTCGTGTTGCTGTCCATAAAGCTCGTCACCAGCACAGAACTTTTTCCCACAGCAGCGAGAGGTGGAGCTATCGCGCGAATGCCAAGCAACGTGAGCTGTCGTTGCACGCCGTGCGCATCGGTGCCACAAGCCCCAGACTTGAATGTGCAACCGAATTAAATAGCCGGGCAGGGCTCCTGGCAAGATGAAACACTCTCTGCATGCTATATGAAAGGGTAGATGGGCTGTGCTCACATTGAGCAGACACAAGCCGCAGGGCTGATCTTCGCTGGGGTAGCGCTTTCCCCAGCGTCACGGGGCGCTAATGCAGTCTCAAAAGCTTGGGCCAGTTCCAGAGATACACGTCTACGCCGCGACTGCTCATTTCCTGATACATAAACCTGAAGCATCTCGCGGGGCTGATTTTGCCAGCGTATGCTCATATCTCTGCCATGGTTACCGTCGCCATAGGTAAATCCTATTTCGAGGCTCTGCTACGAAGGTAAGCACTTCAAGTCGAGCATGCGAAGCTCTGGGCTAAGATATACTGACATGTGTTTGCAGAGCAGAGTTTGTGAGTGTGTTGAGGCAATACCTCCAGTTTCCATCTGACGTCAATTCGCAGCATACCTCTCACCAAGATGTTGACTTCAGCCCCAACCTGTTTGATCATGTCACCATATCGAAGGCAGAGCACGAATATTTGGTAGGTGTAATTCGCTGCACACAAACTTCAGCCTTGGCTTTCGAGTACAAATATCGAAATGCCTTCAACTGAGTGGAAGCGACAGCAAACATCGCTCTCTTTGTTATGTTCTTCACTGACAACTGACAGCTCCAATCAGAACGAGACTACCGTATGTGTCCCGTAGCGAACGAAGCTGGCGAGTTCCGATGTCCTGAAAGCACCTAACAACAAAGTAGACTTGCTAAGAAGCGCACTGTTCCGCGGCGGTCTAACAACTGAGACCCTTGAGACGTTGCTGGAGGGCGAAGGTGGCGCCAGTGGAACCGAGGAGCCTTCGCACTACGACTACCACACTGGCACATCCTTTCCTGATTCGAAACTTGCACCGCCCGGTCTCAGTCGCCACTACAACTTCGAGAGTTCGCCAGTATCCGAGGGTCCTGGGCTTGGAGGTGGATTACACCATGATGTCCAGCCGCGCGAAGACTTTCGGCGAGGCATCAGCTATGGCCAGCCCGAGTCTTCCATCGATAGCGCTACTAAGAACGATAGGGACCAAGAGCATGGGCAACGTGTGCCGCTTCACAATCAGCGCACTGTGCTTATCGCCAACTTGTCGGAGCAGACGACACATAAGGATCTTGTTGGTATTATCCGCGGTGGTCGGCTCTTGGACATATTTTTGAGGAACGATCGTACAGCCACAGTCTCGTTCGTCGAGGGTGCTGCTGAGTTCTTACTCCATGCGAAGCGGAATGACATTTACTTGCATACGAAACGCGTAAGTCAAAAGCTACCACTTCTCACGACATACAATCTAACAGTGAGCAGCTGGAGTTCCGTTGGGCTGATCGTCAGTTCCATGTTCCGAGTCATGTAAGATTTTCATGTGCGTATGGTTTGTGAGATATTGGCTGACATCGTATCTCTACGGTCGCAGGTTGCCAACAAGATCGCCAATGGCGCCACGCGTAATCTCCTTGTTCGGGGTGTTGGTGGCAAACTCTCAGCCGACCAGATTCGAGACCACCTAGACCACATCCACAATCTGGTCGTCGTCGACATCAAATTCCGCAACGGCGACGCTTATATTTCCACCAATTCTATCCACAACGCGCTCTTCGGAAGGACGTGCATGATGTCAAGGACGGCGTACAAGGGCCTCCGTATCGAGTACTATCCGGATGAATGTGCAGCTCCGCTACCTCAATTCAAGGTTTATATGCCTACACAGCCTGTCCCCTTCAAACCCAAGACGGTTACGAACACATATGCTCTCCTCGACACTGGCTCTGATGCAGACTCATGTTCTGAGAACGACTCTTACATTACTGAAGGCGTCCGCATCGATCAACACCAATGGCGGCATGCTGCAGTGGTCTGATGTGCGATTGTCCCAGGACATGCAGCACAGCGGCATTGGAAGACCGAGCTGTGCATTCTGCAAGCCACCTCTGAACGTCTCCCTTCCAGCATCCTACTGCCTGAGTCGGTCTCATTTCCTATCACCGGCCTGACCAGTGGGATCAGTTGTCGTAGGAGTAGTTGACCCTGCTTTTCAAACACTTGAGCAACCCCACTGCTTGTATGACGGGGTACCTGTATGTGGCAGACAAAATTGTCTCTATGTAATTCCTCACTTGCGGCATCTCTATGTTGCATCGGCGTCCCGTGGGTTACAAGGTTCCTTACATAACTCGATACCCCTTTAGTGGCCAATACCACCTGCTTACTGTCTCATCCAACCGAATGATGTTCTCACGAACAGTATTTTCTGCTCCAGATTAATCCATGCACTTTGTGTAGAATACCATGCTCACTAAAAAAATCTTTACCTTCCATATCCGGCGCACATAGTACAGACGAATCAGCATCTAGCTCGCTCTAGCTTCCTTAGTGGAGCTCAACTCCTCTCTGCCATCGGTCACTTGACACCTCTACTATCATCACAGAATAACGCGAACACATTGACTTGCCAAGAACAATACACCATGGCGCCGATTGTCAAAGTCGCAGTGATACAATTGTATGCAAAGGTTGTTTCCTAACCCTTATCTGCGTGAACAACGAACACGATCCTAACCCCGGCAGCCGATGCAACTCGAGCACAATTTCAACAAAGCAGCAAATTATGTCCGGTCGGCTGCAGCTCAGGGTGCAGAGTTAGCTGTGTTGCCAGAGTATCATTTGACGAGCTGGGAACCGAAAGATCCAGGGTTTGTCGGCCTCTGCGACCAGTGGGAGGTGTATCTGAGAAAGTATCGTGATTTGGCGAAAGAGTGTGGGATATGTAAGTTGTGATGTATTTCTGATGGAACTGTGTCAGTTTTGGGGGTTTAAAACGTGCTAACGACAATGACAAGGCATTGTACCAGGCACAATTGTCGAATCACATCGCGATGCCGATAAGGAGGAGGATAAACTTCTGAGTGAGTGCACCTGAACAAACTAGACTCCAGACAAATCCTAAATGTCCCTTTTAATTCAGATGTCTGCTACTTCATCGATCACGAAGGCAACATTGCAGGAAAGTACATCAAGAAGAACTTATGGTACGTATGCTTTCTAAAAGCTATGCCTTCTGCCCAAGCATCGTTCCCACATACTAAAACTGGGCTCTCCACATCACATCATCCCGCATCGTCATGCATCAGTATATTCACTGACCCACACCAGGGGCCCCGAGCGCGACCACCTCACCGGAAGCGGCCGCGACGTGCACGAAGTCTTCGACACGCCCATTGGGAAAGTAGGCATGTTGATATGCTGGGACCTCGCGTTCCCAGAAGCATTCAGGGAACTCATCGCCAACGGCGCCAAGATAATGTAACCTTCCTACACCCCACTCTCCTCAAAGCAGTGAACGAGATACTGATGTGAGCGACAGCATCATACCCACCTTCTGGACCCTCAACGACTGCAACGCCGCCGGCCGAGCTCTAAACCCCACGGCCGAAGCATTGTTCCTAGAAAGCATGCTGACTGCTCGTGCGTTTGAGAATACTTGCGGTGCGTCCCCCTCCCCCACCTCACCCCCAACACAACTAACAGCGATACTAGCCATCGTCTTCGCAAACGCTGGCGGGCCGCCAGGGTTGGGATTCTGCGGCTTGTCGCAAGTCACGGTGCCGTTTGTGGGGGCGCTGAGTAAACTGGGTGGAAGTGCGGAGGGCATGGCTGTTGCAGATATTGATATGCAAGTGCTGGAAGATGCAGAGGCTAATTATCAGGTTCGGGCGGATTTGGGGGAGTGAGGGGTGGCATTATGATTATAGGCATTCTTCGAAGACGAAGGGGAGGTTGTGAAGGAAGGAGATTGTCGATGGTTACATGCATACGAAGGCCATTAGTTGCAGACAGTATTGTCCGATCGACATTGTGTTGTGACCTAAAGAAGATCTGCAGCTCTGAAACAGGTCGATTTAGAGACGAGGCATCGGTCCCCATGGGAAAGTGTTATGCGAAACCAGAAACTTGACGTGCTTCTAGAAATAGCAATAGAATACAAAACGCTGATGATTGCTCGGAACATGACCCGAAGGAAAACGCCACAAGGCCTGTTTGAAACATCGCTCACAAGGCAACCCTAGTACCGATAACGCCATAACCTTAATCCGGGAATGCCGCCAATATCAACATCGCGGATCCGATGCCTCCACGTCCCGACAGTTGGTCATCCTCTCTCTGCGCCAAGGCAAGGGCTTTTCTTTGACAAGTTTCCAACAGCCGTTGCAGGGGATGGCGAGATTCACTGGCCAGGTTGAAAATTCATCCACTTCGATCGCTGCTGCTCATGTCGCTGCTGTCGGATGCATCGCTTCTTGTGATATCGCTCTTTTCACTTGTAGTTACACCGTGTGGAGAGGTGCTACATGTTTCGCCGACCACGATAACCCTGACTTTTCCAGGTTCCAGAAACTTGTTTTCATCCGCGGCGATAACGGCGGCAATCTCCTTCTCATAGACCTTTTTGTAGAACTTGCTGAAATGCTTTTCGGACGGAAAGGTCAGTTCGGCGACGCAGTCACAGTCCATCTCGGCCAGGTCTCCGCGTAGGGCGAGCAGAGGACGGTCAGGGTTGGCAGGTCCCCCGAAGCCTTTCCGCGTGATGCGTGCGAGGTAGCGGCGGTGGAATGCAGTCGGCCATACGTCCGACAGCAGCGAGTAGGCCAGCGGGATGTGCTTGTTCTCGTAGTGGTCCTGGAATTCCTCAAAAGTGAGAGACGAGTCCCGGCTGACGAAGAGGATGATGGTGTAGGGCATCTTGAATGAATGGGCACAACAGAGTTTTGACGTGGGCGAAGCGAAAGGCAAATGAGTAAAGGAAGGTTCTACGCGACGATGCGGGACAGAGACAGATAGTTGTAGCTAGAGTCCTCCCCAGCAGCTCCGTGGAGAGGCTCTGGCTTTAAGCCCAAGGGCTTGCCCACCGACTGGCACAGGAGCATCGACTAAATCGCATTTAGTAGCCTCGTCGAAGCAATTTCAGCATTGTCATGCGCTAGGGGACAGGCTACCGGCGGGCGTCCGCCTGCACGGCACAGGCTCGCCAGAGTTGCTGGGAACGTCTAGAGATGTCGACCAAGGCTGATACTGGCGGTTCAGAGTTGAAACGGTCCATGGAGGTCTACTGGAGAGCTGGCAGCGTGCCCCACTTGCCTGATCCCTGCGCGGTCGCGGCTTCCCACTCCACTATCGATAGCGACCGCCAAGCCGCGCGCACAACTAGACGTCCAAATTTCCACACGAGTGTGACAGGGCGCGGGGAGCATTGATATCACCACACGCCCGACGAACCAGCCCGCCGCCTCTGACCCCCCGGTGCCGCGCATCGACGATCCGCAGCAGCCATGAGTTTGCCGCAGCACCAGAACCGCGACGCCGCCAGACGCGCCCCGGACGACGACGACGACGCCGAGGAGGAGACCATGGCCAACGACTACCGCGAGCAGGTCCAGTACGACGGCATGGATGACATGGACCGCATGCCCTCCATCTCCAACAACCAGGACATTCATGCGCAGCTGCAGGCCGCGGCCACCCCCCTCGAATTCCAGGCCACGCTCGAAACAAAGTTTGCCAGCTACGACAACTACTGCAACCTGTTCCACTACATCCTGAACTCGGAGGGGCCCGTGGACCTCGAGGTGCCAAATGTAAGGCAGCTTTCCCGTGGCAGGGGTGCATCTCATCGGAAGCAGGGCTAACGCGGGGTAGTACTATTGGGCCTGGGACGTAATCGACGAGTTCATCTACCAGTTCAACAGCTTCTGCAGCTACCGCCAAAAGGTTGCCCTGAAGAACGATAATGAGGAGGAGATTACGCTCCTGCGCGAGAACCCGAACACATGGGGCTGCTACAGCGTGCTCAACGTCCTGTACTCGCTCATCCAGCGGTCACAGATCAGCGAGCAGCTGGCCGCCATGAAGCGCGGAGAAGATGCTGCCCTCTACGCCGGCGAGTACGGCAACCGCCCGCTGTACAAGATGCTGGGCTACTTCTCCATCATCGGCCTGCTGCGCGTGCACTGCCTGCTCGGCGACTTCAGCCTCGCGCTCAAGACGCTCGACGACATCGAGCTGAACAAGAAGGCCATGTTCGCCCGCGTCATGGCCGCGCACTTCACCACCTACTACTACGTGGGTTTCTCCTACATGATGATGCGCCGCTACGCCGACGCCATCCGCATGTTCAGCCATATCCTCGTCTACGTTTCACGGACGAAGAACTTCCAGAAGAACGCGCAGTATGACTCGATCACTAAGAAGAACGACCAAATGTATGCGCTTGTCGCCATCTGCGTGGCTTTCCACCCCACCAGGCTCGACGACACCATCCACACCGCGCTGCGTGAGAAGTACGGTGAGCAGTTCAACAGGCTCCAGCGCGGTGGCCCAGATGCTCTTCCCCTGTTTGAGGAGCTGTTCCGCACCGCTTGCCCCAAATTCATTAGCCCCACACCGCCCGACTTCGACAACCCAGAGGTCAACATCGACCCGGTCGAGCATCACCTTCGCATCTTCATGGACGAGGTCAAGAACAACATGATGTCGCCCACCGTCAAGAGCTACTTGAAGTTATATACGACGATGGATCTGAAGAAGCTGGCTGGTTTCCTCGAGGTTGAGCCCGAGAAGCTCAGGTGCTGGTTGCTCGTCAACAAGCAAAGGAACAGGCAGACAAGGTGGAGCGAGGGCGGCTTGTTGGAACGGCGAGGTGATCCACAGCAGCGATCTCGACTACGCCATGGTAAGGAGTAAGTTTGATGAATCGATCATGCGAAACATGCAGTGACTGACATCTCGCAGGATCTCATCCACGTGTCTGAGGCCAAGGTCGGCCGGAGATTGGTCGACTGGTATCTTCGTAATTTGGCCAGGACATACTAAAGCAAGGCGGAGGGCATCTAGGGGTCGCCCCTTGTTCTAGAATGCGGTCACATCACAATGGAGCATCGCGGCTTGGAGTTTTATAGGAATCATGGCATTTCCCGGCGGAATCACTTGGCACGTTTACAGAGGACAGCGCCTCGACCCGCCGAGCCATGGAAGAAGCGCTAGGCTTGAGATCATGGCGCGATTGTATGGCGGTGTCGCGACGGGCCGCAGCCAGGATGCAGCCTGGCGGGCTGAAACAAAAGACGGCATGAACGATCAGATACCTTAGACAAGGACAAAGTTTGAACATCACACAATTTACTTCACCATGCTGTGCAGATCTCTGTACGCCACCAAAATGCCTTGTCGTGACATCAGGTGTGCCCGGGTGTGTGGGGAGATTAGTGCGTCAAGTTGATAGCATGACGGCTAAAGTTCAAGCGCTGAGAGGGCAACGAGAGCCCTGCTGGCGAACTGCTCGCCAACCTTGGGCAGCCGACAAAGTTCACGGAGCGACTGAAATTGCGGCGTTGCCAGAGCAGGCAAGTCAGCACTCGATATGATGCTGGCCAGTTGAAAGTACCTGCCCCTCTTTGGTCGCAGCTGCTATTTATCTCCCTGAACGTACGACAATCGCAAGGAAACTCATCACGCACCCACACACAGCCCACCACATTGCTGTGTAGCTACTCTAATCAAGCAGGTCATCGGAAGCTATAAGCACGCACACGAAGAGTTGTCGCATACCGCACGCCGAGCATCACGAGTGGACGCGAGTGGGGTCTTCAACCGGGACACAGCACGCCAATCTTCTAGAGACTTCTGTATACCCGCAAGCAAGAACAGGAGCAAGACACGGTCATCATGGCTCCCGATCTAAACTCGGTACCTACCTCACCGCGGCCCAACGTTACCAGTAATCCCAGCGGCTCGCTATCACGCCAAAGTTCAACCACAGCTTCGCGTCGCACTTCACAGATATACCCAATGTCCCCTCCTCCACTTCCACTCGGATCGCCTAGCGGGACATTGCCAGCATCTGCACAAGGCCACGGCGTCCCTCCACTAAGTCCCAGCATGAGCGGTCGAGCCCCGAGTGTCGACGCGTCAGGAACGCCGATGCGTCACCCCCAACCCGTGACACCAGCGCAAATCTACCTGGAAATGGAGAAGGAGCAAGAAGCTGCCGTTAACCGACTGACGCGCGAGCTCTCTGCCTTGCGCACGCACTCGGCGTCTGTGGTTAGCACAGGATCTATAGCTTCAAGCGCAGCCTCAAACGCACACCTAGACAACGACTCGGCGCATGCGGGGTCTATGACTGGCTCCATGCATCCAACGCCCAGCCGTCGACACAGAAGCTCGTCCTCAGTTTCGCGCAGCGGCCTGCCGCCCGGCGCCTATCCACATCGCTATTCAGTATCTTCACAACAAGGAGAACCCTCACATAGAAGCTCGAGCGTAGTCAGCACGCCCCGGTATGAGGAGGTGGCACAACAGAGGGCAGAACTAGAAGACGTCAAACGCGAAAACGAGATGCTGAAGCAGCGCATTCGCGATTTAGAACGCGCAATCAGGAGTGGCGATGCAGATGCGCAGCGCGGACGACGTGGTGCGCCAGCATCTACGACTGAGGCAGCCGCGGCTGGTGCCAGTGCTACAGAGGAGGGTGGGACATCTTAAGGATTGCGCGGAAATGATGTCGGTATGCAATGGCCAAGACATGGCTGTGTCACACAAAGAACGGCTGTGTCCCTTTCTGTCAAGATTCGTACTGGTCATGTTCTGGCAGAAGCTGGGCAATTATGATGGCTTTGGCTGTTTTAGGTATTAGAGTCCTTGAACTATCGTCAGAAAAGAGAAGGGCCAATGGAGTACACGCGTGGGGTTCCTAATGTCAGCATGATAACAAACCTTTCCAAACAAATTAGATCTTCTTAGTCCACCCTACCCTATCTGAGACACATACAAATTCCTTTGTCCCCTTATCACAAGCCTTGTGTTTTTACTTCTTTGCGCAGAGCAGATCTCCCTGCGGCTAAGGCCTGTCGATCATCGGGTTCACCATCCCCGCGTCGATCATTACGCAGTAGCTGCGGGTAGGGGGTGTTTGACATGCGCATAGTCGGATATAGTCCGAATGGTACGCTACGCCATTGCTACCACATGTTTGCGAAGGAAATTGAGGCCGAGGGAGTCTTGGGGGCGTACGTCATGCATGGGAGGGAGGGACGGGACGGGACTATGCGATGGTATAACTCGGATCAAGGAGTATTATTACATCTTTGAAGTCGCAATCTTACCTTTCCATCCTAACAACTGTCTACATATATACATTCTTCTGGGTCTAGATAAGACATAATGGGTAACGCAATAACCCGCCTCACACACCACAAGTCGCGCCACACGCATCGCGAAATCGACGTTTCTGTTCCACCGCCCGATCAGGTCGATGGAGAAAGTAAAGCCTCCTCCTCGTCCTAGCCTTCACTCTTTTCCTTTTTTTTTCCGAGGTAGAATTAACTTGTGGGTAGGAGTACTTCCGCCGCGCAAACCGTCCCTCAACCCAGTCACAGAAGACATCATCAGCGCGACGGAAAAGGGCATGATTTCTGAAAACCTGCTGTGTTCGAGTCTGCCGAGTCCCGCGGTGCGGAGGGCGGGTGGACAGGCGCGGTCGTATTTTCCTGACACGGGGCGGGGAGGGTCGGTCGAGTCGGATGGGAGTCACAGTGAAGCGTCGACAATGGGGAGGACGAGGAGTGTGAGGTGGAAAGGGCAGGATACTTGACGTGTCTGCGGGTTTTGTACAAAGATGTATGTTTACCGGGTATATAGATATATTTACCATGTTCAAATTTCAAGTGAATTACCTCACGCCCCTCTGCGGCATCAACCTCTTATTCTCCGAATGTCTCTTGACTTTCAACGCATCCCTCCTCCTCTTCTTCCACGCCCGATTCAAATCACCACGGTTCTCCCAGAACCACTTGCGGAACTCAGATTCGGGCTTTTCGTCCTTGGCCTCCTCGGTGGCGTCGACTTCCTCTTCGTTTTCTTCCGCGACGTCGGGCAACTGCTTACTAGCATTTGCCTTTGTGTTTTGGGATAGTTGCTGGGCGACTTCTTCGTCGATTTCTTCGTCGTCTTCGTCATCCGCTTCTTGACTGCCCTTGCGCCAGTCGAAAGAGAAGCGGCGGCCGATGGCGGCGGTGTCAGGGGTTGGTGCTGCGCTGCGGAGGCCGCGCCATTCGAGGTCGCGTTCGGTGAAGGGGGTGGTGGGTGCGTTGTCGACGATTTGGCCGGGGGCATCGACGTCCATAGTATCGTCGTTGTTCTCGCCCCCGAAGAAATTGAAGGATGTGTTGATGGGACTCAGCTTCTTGGGCGTGATGTTTAGGGACCCGGGTGAAGGCTTGGGACGTTTGAAGAGGGCTTCCAGCGGATGTACTTCTTTATCCATGGGTTGACCCTGTTCTGTCGTCGGATGCGTGTCATTGATACCGGCTTTAGGCGCGGGTGTGGAGGGCGCAGACTCGGCGTCTGATTCTTCGGCTTCGGATTCTGACGATTCGTCCTCTGAAGATGACGAGACGACGGAAGAATCATCGTCGGCCTCGGATTCGGACGACGATGGCGGAGGCGTAGCTTTCTTCTTGTCCTTCTTAGCAGCCTTTGGGGGCGCTGGTGCCTTCTTTGGCTCCTCCGCTGGCTTGTCAACCAATTCCAACACTCTCCTGTTTCTCGCTTTGCCAGTCTCGGGCTCGACCACGTTGCCGTCCTCGTCTACCCAGCCTTGTCCATTGACGTACTCAACCGCTGGCTTCTTCTCGGTCGAGACCTGTGTTTCCTTCAAGAAGCTCGGCGTTTTCGTATTCTTTTCGAACTCATGCACAACAACTTCGCGCGCCTTTGACTTCTTCTCCTTCTTCTCCTTCTTCTCTTTCTTCTTCTCTTTCCGCGCAACCTCGGTGGCAGCGACAGGCGTCAGCTTGGCCTTGAACAGCAGCTCTGGCTCCTTGGTGTACTTTGACTTCTTCTGCTCATGCTTTTCATCCTTATCTTTGGTCTTTTCCTTCTTCTCCTTGCGCTCCTTTTTGCCTTTCGACGAGGGCTCGGTCCACCCGCGCTTGACCTTCCTCTCGTTCTCAAGCTCAACACCCTCCAGGACGCCACGTTCGTGCTTCCGCTTCTCCTTCTCCTTCTTCACGCGCTTCGGCGGGCGCACAGCTTCTTCCTGCTCCTTGGCAGCATCGGCCTCCTCGCGCACCTTGCGCTTCTCGGGCTTTGCCATCTCTATGCGTACTTTGGAGCCTCGCAGCGTGGTTCCGTTGAGTTTCTTCTTGATCTTTTGCGCCTCGGCTTCCGGGAGTTCGACGTAGCCGTAGCCCCTCTCTGGGAAGGTCTCGACGGTGTGATACGAGATGTTCTTAGCAAGCGCAAGGACAGATGGCGCGAGGTAGACTTTGAGCAGGTCGGGTTTCAGCGGCGTGATATGGAGCCGGACGGTCTTGTTCTCGTCTTCCTGGGCTGGCTGCGCTTCCGTAGGGTCAGCCGCTTGTACGCCGGGCATTGAGTCGCAGGAGCTGGTCGCGGGCGACGGTGCGGGCTGCTGACGGCGATACGCGTGCGCTCAAGCGATGGATATATACAAAGATTATGCTGAGCTGAGCCAACGCTGATACGCGTGGTTTGTCGTGTTTCAACGCTCGGTCTGGAGTGGAGGGGAGGAAAATACTTAGCGCCGACTGGCTGGCCTGAGCTTCTGAGCTTCGACTCTTTGGCGGGCGCAGGCCGGAGGTTTGGACGAACACTCGAATGCGCCAGCACTGCATCGCTTCTTCGCACGAAAGCAATAATTCTGCACGTCTAAAAACTAGAAAATAAACACGCATAGCCGCAGTGCGTCGGACATCGGGCCAGCATCTTCATTGACTCTAAAGCCCACACATTCACCAAGATGCGGAGGCCGCAGTTCTACCTCTTCTTATTGACAACCTTCCTAAGCTTCCTCTCCCTCTCCCTCGCAGCCTGTAAGATGTCGTCTTACCCTCTACATCAGTGACTGAAGGCTAACACATGCCCAGCACCAACGTCCTTTTGCAAATGTACCTGTTTCGGCAACTCGACCATCGTCGCCCTCGACGCCCCCTCCACCAAGAAGCCCACAACTCCCGATCTCCGCCAGGGCGCTTCTAAGAAGACATGCAGCGACTGCAACCGCCAGTTCTGTCTGGGCTATAGTTTCTGCAAGGGCGAGAAAGAGGAGAACGTGCTCACGACGTGCTTCCAGCGAGACTCGGCGAAGGACCAGGCGATCGTCTATGTGTTTATTGCAGCGACCGTGGGGTTGCTTGGGTGGGCGGGGGTCAGGCCGTGGGTGCAGAGGGTGCGGGAGAGGAGGAAATTATATTTCCAGTTTCTGGGCAGGGCCAATTGACATGGCAATTTGTAAGTGCGGCCTGTTTAATGTTGAATTGGTGTGCATTGAACGTGCAATCATAGACATGAAGCGTAGAATACCCAGCAAAGAAGCGAATCCTTCTAGACGCGTCTTCCAACTCCGCGATGCATACATGTAGAAGAAACAGCAGTGTACAGTCGGAGAGGTATAGTACATGGAGTCCCCTCGAGTCTCCGGGGTGTCGAACGCGCTGGCTTACTCCTTCTTTGATCCGCCCGTCAGCCACCCTAGCCAGCCTTTGCCCGTCTCCTCCGCCTTTATTGTGGCCTTTTGGGCAGTGTTGTCTAATGGGCCGCCAACGATGGGCGTCGAAGATGGGCCCGGAATTCTGCCTTGCCTCGTTCACTGCATCCACAATGCCTGTTCCCTGCCCGCCCCGCATCTCTTGCTTTCTTAACTCCTCTACTGCCAACCTCCTCTGCTCTGCGATATCCTTCTCTTCCTTCCAATCACCATGCAGCCACCAAAGCAGCTTCGAGGGTGCTTTCCTCTCTGCCTTCTTCTTCTCATACGCCTCTTGTTCCTCTGCAATGCCGACCACGAGGGCGTTCTGTGCTGCTGACGCTGTGCCTTGAGCGACTGCTGTTCGCGCCGCTTCGAGAATGCGGGCTTGCGCTTTCTCCTCCTCGGCGAAGTAGATGGCTCGTTTCCGTCGGTTGTAGACGATCATGTCGCCTATCGAAAAGACGGCCAGGACACCAATGCAACCTGTTCTCTATTTAGCAACAGCTCTCGTTCATGGCGGCCCTTTTGGGCAGCAATTGGCCCTCCACGGCGGTGTGCTCGTACCCGTTGCAAAAATCAACCCATATACTGTAAATCTGTGCACCGCATCTGCAGTCATGCGCCCATACAGGTACATGTAATCCCATCTTGTAATCTGTGCCATCTTCGCCCGGTTCGCAGCCTCTCGTAAACGCTTGACCTTCTGCTGTGGCGTTTCATTTTTCGGCGCTGGGTCCGCGAATTGGAGGGTTGTGGCTCGACCGCCGGGCCGTGTGTGCGCCCACACTCCCGTCGCTGTGAAGCGCGTTGATTCTTTTGGAGATCTTGACATAGTAGACGTTGGATTCGAGAGCTGGGGCAGTGGGAGCGGTCGTGGTGGGTGGGAACGTGCTGCGGAAGTGGAGGGTCGAATGATTGGCAAAAGTTGAGATCGACCAGGATCATGATGCGGCCATTTCCGCTCACGTCGGCGGAACGTTTGTCCAGTCGTGTACTGGGAGGCTAGAGATGTGCCACGCACGTCTACACTCTACTTAACATCGATTCTTGAATATATACTGCATCCGATTCTGACATCTGCTGACTTAATTGCGAATGGAAAAGGATTAGTTGCGACCGAGCGTACAGCACTTTCTGCCCATTCACTGTGAACAAGGAGCAAACACGCTACACGCAATGTTCAGCTCTCCAAACGACCTCGGACCATTTCTCAGGAGACGATTTCCTTGATCTTACACTCTCTCCTCAAGTCTTGGCCCTGCGTTTGATCTGTAATTGCCGTCCAACAACCCTGCTCTTGACCCTCTCCCAACACCCTTCAACATTCAACATGGCGGACAACATCGAGCCCAACGCAGATCTCGCAAAGATTCTAGCAACACTTGCAAGCCTGCAGCAGCCAGGAATTGCTTCAGCTCAAGATCAACATCAGTTATATCCTCCATCTCAGGCCTACCAAGGCTACCAGGAGGAGATTCAGAGTTATCCACCACAGCAGAGCCTTCCTTACCATCAGTCAGCAGACCCACGCCTTGCAAAGCGATCAGCATCGCAATACGCCTCAACACCACCACCAAAACCGCAAGACAGGTCAACTACCCCGCTGATAGACCCAGCGACAATCACAGAATGGAAACAGGGGCTTCGGTGTGTGAGCAAGATCGCTCAGCAGAATCCTGAGTTCGCGGCAACCATTCGCAAGGTACAATTCTTGGGAAATGAGGAAAATGGATGAGGACTAACAAAGTAACCAGCTCATGAAGGATCAAGAGGGCAACGTCAAGCAATGGTTGGTCAAGTTGATGTTCTGACGAGCACATACTGACACATCTAAGGGAGGCTGGCCGTGCGCGTCTCATTGAGGACCACAAGCTAAAGCGAGAGAGCGAGGCAACTAATAGGGCCGCGTTGTATGTATCTAGGCTGGCGAGCACTTTGACCTTACTGAACGAAGCAGGTCGCTACCAGGTCTGCTCGAGGGCACACCTCTTCTTCGTGTACGCCACATTCATCTCTCATTCTTCTCAAGCTAATGTCGCTCCAGACACCAGAGCGTGAGCAAGCTGAGCTGAGCCAATACGACGCCAAAGTGTACCGTGCTTGTAAAGCCATGACCGAGGCACAGAGTTCATCCCTCAAGGTTTTGGGTGTTCCTTTCTTTGGAACAAAGCCACATCTGATCTTGCACGAAAGCGAGGAACCATCTGCGAATACAAGCAATGAGCAAAAGGCGAGCAATCCTGGTGGCCAGAAGATCTCGAAGGCGCAACTCCTGGATTTGCAGCGGAAGATGCTGAACCACTTGATGGAGTTGTATGGCGACTGAGCGTAGTGACACAGGAGAGCTATTCGGCCATACAAGGATAGCAGTCATTCTTCCCTTCAGGCTCTCTATTTGGCTTCGAGAACTTACTGGCCTGTATCAGCACAAGTGTATCTCCGTCTTGGTTTGTGTGCATCCAGCTTCATCCAGCTTTGGCCACTGTTCGTACATAGTAAGATCTGCAGAACGGGTAGTCAAAAAGTATCAGCTTCCAATCAACCAAATATCGGGATGCTTCGTACAGTCTTCTAATCAAGATTCCTTGGTGTCGGCCTGCTCGTCCGGTCGACCTTGTTCACACCGCGGACCTCGAGTTGATCGCAGTGACGCAACAACTGCCGGGAAGCGTGCGCCAGCGGGTAACCCAGCCAGAGAACAGGTTAAAAGACGGTGATACACGATGTGCAGTTACATTGGATGCATGCCGTTTGAGTGGAGCGCTTAAGAGCATGAATTAGGTATGAGAATCACTGCTCCACGCCAAAAGAGTCTTTCGATTACCTACTTCCTTCGGCCTCAATCAACGACCTCTTTCTAGCTATTGCGTCATCAAATGGTCTGTCAATTAGCTTCGAGTTCCACGGCACGACCAACCGTGCTACGGGTCGAAGCACTCTGTGCAACCACACGTGACAATGAATACAAACGCAACTGCATAGACCGCCCAACTGCCTCACCCTTATTGGACGGATACAAGACCCTGTTGAGCAGTGGAAGGAGATTAGCTGTTCACCTACGATCGCACTAGCGCCGAGCCTGCGATTTGGTTGTTCTAGCTGTTGCCTCGACCGCTCCTTCCTCACCACCACCGCAATCACACTCACTTACCTTGTGGCACCCACACTCGCTAGACCACTCTCGCTCTTCAGAGACTACAATCCTGCTCTCTTCGGAACATCGACTTGAGACCATAATAGCAGTCATGAACAACATGCGTACCCTCACGTTCGCCGCAGTTGCTGGTAAATATCTCCCCACTTGCTTTTTGCGAATCGCGAGCCCGTCAAGCTCGCGGACAATCCCTTCCTCTGTATAATTACAAGCGACACTAACTCGTCGGAGCTGCCGCTGCCAGTGAGGCCATTCAATATGGTGCGCCCATCGACCAGGTCTGGGCTCCCGCAATGGCTGCTCGCGACGACTGTGCCGCTCTGCCTGCTCTTTGCACTGGGCCGGCGATGGTCTCTGGCACGGCTACTACGCTCACGTATGTCTGTCCCAAGACGGTAGAGGCTGCGACCACTCTTGTCGTCACAGTTACCACTACTGTCACGGAGGCTCCCGCCAGCAGTGCTCCTATTGCAGCTCCAGGTCCTGTCACGGCAGTCTCGGCTAGCAGTGTTCCAGCTCCAGTCCCGGCCCCTACGTAGGTGACATATTCAAGGCTTCCATATCAGTATACTGATCTTGTAGGACTCCTGGTGGCCCTGACCAGCCTGTTTCAACTTCGGAGGAGGCCACTACGACAACTACCGTTCACTCCACTACGAAGCTGACCAAGACCATCATCGTGAGCCACAAGACAAGCTCGAGTTCGTTGATCTCGGCTGTACCGATCACGACTGATCCTGCTACGACTGATGCAGAGTCTAGCTTGAGTTGGTCCACCTCAGCTATCCCCACCACGACTGATTCCGCCACGACTCCTGTTGGCAGCGTCTCCAGCACTGATCTACCCGTTCCACCGTTCTCGACACTGAGCAAGAATGCGACGATCAGCGTCTCACCGATCCCAGTGTCGACTGCTAACTCCAGCTGGGTTCTTCCGACGGCTCCAATCACCCTCTCCATCTGGCCTACTCCGAGTGCATCTGCTACGCCTTCGCCCTGCGTGGGCTGCTTCCCTTCAAATAGCATGATCGAGAGCTCTGCAGTTGTCGCCACCTCTAACGTCACCACCTTGACCACGATGGATGCAGCGCCCTTCTCTACCAGCACCGAGAGCATCACCGCTACCGCGGAGAGCCAGAGTCCGATCTTCAAGAACACGACTTCAACCAGCGGCTACGCAATGCCTTCTGTTCTCCGGATCCGCCATGATCCTTCCTCAACGGCTGCGGCTTCCTCTTCGGCAGCAGCTTCTTCATCGAGTGCGTCATCTGCTTCAAGCGCGGCTTCCTCTAGTAATGAAGCTTCGTCTTCAAGCGCAGCTGCCTCCTCAAGCGCAGCTTCTTCCGCAAGCGAAGCCTCCTCTTCGATCGCTGCTTCTTCCACGTCCACTGCGGCAGAACCTACCAAGACCGGTAGCGCTGCTCTGCAGAGCGTGCCTTTAGCTATGCTAGTCTTCGGACTTGCCATAGCTGCTTACTGCGCCTAAGCGATTGATTATGTCTCTCGACAAAGACGGTACGGAAGGCTGGGTAGAATCCAGCTGCGAGTAGTTCATGCGGCACGTGAGTTCACGAATACTCGACGAAGTGCTCGATACTTACTTCCAATACCGCAAAGGCATTGGGGGGAATATATGGCAGTGAATAGCTCGAGTTGAACAAAATGAAAGAATTAAAGTGTGATCTCTCTATAATGCCATGTAACTTTTTCGCTATACTGCAGGTTATCAGGTAGTCTGAAGGTTATACGCAATTTTCAAGTCGACATCACGTAGTATGTTTGCCCAAATCACGAGCAACCTTTCCAAGTCAATTCATCCAACAAGTATACATTCAAGCTACCTACACAACCCACAATAGTTCCAATGCACGCTCGAGAATACACACAACATACAAGCCGCTCCATTCATTATCTTCCGGGACATGAAAAAATGCCTATATATGCATGGCTTTTTCCTTCCATCCTTGACAAGAGTATATAGACATGACATTTAGATGACGTGGATATAGTTAAGGGAAGAAACGGCATTACGCGGGTGACAAAAAGACGAGGTTGATTACGCGAGCGACAAATGAAAAAAAGAAAAAAGACGAAGCGTTTGCGTTGAAGAACATGCGAGAGGACATGGCCGTAGCACCCGCGATAGAAAGACGGGCTGTGACACGTAACAAGCCGCTATACATGAGAGCGATATAGACAATCCAAGTGCGGGCGTCATAGGCCTCGTGATATGACGGCGTCAAGTGAACGATATCCAGTAGGTAAATGCGACGCGACATGAGAAAGAGCGGTGTCCGGTAAAATGTGGCCAGGCACGAACCGGTGGGTCCTGGATGTAAACTACAAGGGAAAATATTGATGGTTGGTCGTCTGCATGGCAGGGTGGTTAATCACTGCATCCTCTTCCTCTTCCTCGCGTCATCCGGCTCATCTTCATCGGTCCGTTCAGCGGTCTCGGCCGGGTTGAGGAGTGAGTGCACGTTCGATGCCATGCTAGATCGTCTGGTCGGCGGGCCAGGCGTATCGATGCCCTTGAACGGATACCTTGCACCGGGCAATGTCCATCCGCTATCCGGGTTCAAAGTAGATGGCGTGTTATCGTTTGTCAGCGGTGGACTGCCGTGCCGACTCGACTGCTGCCGTTTTGGTCCGCGAGGTAATTGGTAACTTTCCAAAGCGTCACGGAGTTGCTGGTCTCCGCCTCCAACAGGTGCTCGGTGTGGCGACGAGGGCCATTGGGAAGAATTGTGACCGGAAGCATAGGGCGAGTGTGCTGGTGCAGGTGGAGGCGGCTGGGCTTGCCAGCCATGGGTGCGAATATCGGCCGAGGTATGCCGCCTATATAGGTTGTATGGCGGGGATGAGCTGTTCCCCAGATTGTTGTTCCCCAGGTTTGCATTTGAGCCTGGATGCTGGATCGAGGGGGGAGGGGGTGGGGGTGGCTGGTGGATAGCTGGAGTTCTGGCTGATGATGGAGAGTAATTACCCGTACCTATTGAGCCGTAACGTCGGGGAGAAATCGCAATATGGGCCGGAACTGGGCCTTTGTATGGTGCTTGGCGAGAAATGCTGGCTAGCGAGCCTCTCCGGGACTCTGATAAATTGTCTGCGGGCATCTGCCGTGGCGATAGAGGGGGACCATTGGCGCTGTCAACCTGCATGAAGTAGGGTTGACGTGCAGAGAGGGGCTCTTCTGGCGCTTCCAAGGTGCGCAGCATTTCCGTCTGGCGACTTATATCGCGGTGCATTAATGCGACTAACGTCAAAGTAAGCATGTCGCTCGGATAAGATAAGGTTTAAGCATTGGTACTCACCATCCTTGTGTATCGGATTTTCCGGGTCCGGCACCATGGCCATAATATAATTTGTAAGTTCCTGGTTCCACTGGAGAAGACATTAGCAGACGTAGATCCGGTCTGGACACTTGGGCGTACCTGGTGACATCGGATCATACCCTCCATCAGAACTACAGCGACTTTTGATTGAGATAAGCGCAAGAGTCGTCTGACCGCTGCATGCGCGCATGCATGTCGTATAGGTTGTGCTCGAGGGCGTTGAGGCGTGACTCAACCGGATCCGGCATCGGCTCGACTGGCTGGCCGGCTGGCGGACCGGTAGGGACCTTGGGTGCTGAGAAGGAGTCTCTGTGAATGAGCGCATGCCGCGAAGCGCGTCGCTTGATTTCGCGCAAGCCAACGAGATCGCCGCGCTTAAAGTTGCCATTGCCGTGTTTGAACTCCCAGAGCGGCGAATCTGGGGAACCAGTGTGGAAGACGTCGCTCACTGTGCGCCGGTCAGGGCAAAATTCTCACGACCAAGACGAGTTTGAAAGCATACCTTTGTGGAAACCATACATGTTCAGTTGTCGCACAAAAGAGGAAATATTGGTGTGCTTGAAATATGATCTGCGCCACGGTTAGATATATTAAAGAGGCCATAGCTTCGGCGCCATGTGCACGTACGACAGGACTTTGCTGAACTCGCTCGAGGGGCTCATGACGAAGCTCTCGTTGGTGTTGGACCACGAGATGAGGTGCTGGATGCTCTGGTCTTCGAGCATGCTGTGCGCGCATCAGTTACTGCAAGTCTCGTAGCTGCGCGAGTCCGCCTTACTTGTACAGCTTGTGGATGAAGGCCGTCTGAACCACCTTGGGACCGTTTGAAGCCGCAGCTGCAGCGGCGCCCACTGCGGGCGTCGAGGAATTGCCATTGGGGGAAATGTTTCCGGCGTCTCCATTTGTCCGTCCCTGGTCGTTTGCGCTGCTTGGGGGGCCCATTGAAGTGGACGTGGGCGTGATGTCCATGGGATCTCTGTCTCTCTCTCTCTCTCGGGGCGGCGCCAGCGTCGAGCCGGAAGACGGCAGAATGGGTATGGATTTGTGGAGGTTTGGGTTGTGCGGATCTGGGGAGAAGGGGCTCCTGCGAGCTTCGGCGACGGAAGCCATCATTGGTGTTGGGGCGCTGGGGCGCTGGGGCGCTGGGGCGATAGCTCGGAGCAGCTTTGCGATAGAGTTTGAACGAGCCAGTCGTCAGTGTTGGTGTGCGCAGCTCCTGTGAAGTGCAGCGCGCAGTCAAGCAAGCCTGGGTGGCACGGGATTGCGCAAGTGTCGAGTCAGGGTGTCGAATATGGGGGAGGAGACAGGTCGACGTGCGGCGGCGGGCGGAGGAGCATGCGAAGGACCCGCGGGGAAGGCCGGCCGGAGATTTCTAGGGGCAAGAAACGAACTTCTAGCGCAATTGGGAAGGCGTAGGCGTGGGTGGGCAATGGGGGCTGCTAAGGAGCCGTCCTAGGCGACGTGGGCTGGCGATTGTGCAGTCCTGGCGTCTGTACGTCGGATCGGAAGTGTCGAGGCGTGGAAAGGAGATGGATGGTCCAGCACATGCAAGCACGGCCAGGACGATCGCAGAGTCGCGGAGCTGAAAAGTGCTACCGAGCGCTCTACCAGATGCTTCGTACCCTTGTTCGGTGCAGATTCTCACACATGTACCGAAATGCAGAAATGCAGAAATGCAGAAATGCAGATGTGCGCGAGCAGCACTCAGCACGCAAAAGACGGCCTCGGCGATACAATACGATGCGGTGCGGAGGGAGGGGGAAGCGGATGTTGCTCAAGCTGGCCCGCGGGTTGCTCAAGTACTAGGTCGGCAGCCACGGCGGCGGTCGAGGATGAATTAACGGGGCTCCCCAAGTTTGGGTATCGTTGTTTAATCGGCGTGTGAGGAAGCTACGTTCGTTTTGGGCCGCGGAGGAAAGACCAAGTGTCGTCTAACGTTCGGCTGCCATCAGCTACGTCCAAGTACCGTGGCATGCTTCTGGCTTAACCGCACTCTCGACGACGTTCTGGGCTCTCTCGAGTGCCTCCGGATGACAAGCCGGGAACACGCCATGCACGATGTGATTGACGAACCGCCTTCCGCTTTGGTTGCGTGGTTGCGTGCCCCAACGTTGTCGCTACCCCGGCTTGCAGCGAGGTGCAGCGAGCAGCCATCCGGTTCGCGCAGGGATGGCATGCCCAACTGAAACACTACAACCTCGACAATACTCCGCTCTACTATCACCGTACGTTACATGTCTCTCTGCGGGCACCAACGACATTCACACGCTGCCCGTTGCGTCGTCTGGCGTGGACCCCGTCGGCTGCTGAAGTGCACCCGCCGTCCAAAGTCTGTTGGCCGCACAAGCTCCTCATCGCCCCGACACTCAACTCTGATAGCCGCATACTTTGACCATCTTGCCTGCTACCCGACCCGGGCAGGTTACGCGAACTGCGACTTGTATGTCAAACACTAGCCCGCCACGAGGCTTCAGCCCAGGTCGATCTCTGCTGCCGCTCTGCAGCAACGGGGCAGCTGGAGCGGACCGCGCGCACATTGTGTCACTGCGTCTGTGCTGCGTCTGTGCTCATCCTGGGCCGGCCACCACAACACCAATCACCACCACCACGAGTCATATATTCCACGACCACACCAACCGCCATTGCTGTCACTCGCGTTTTTAGCCGTCTCCCAATGCAGCACGATGCGCTAATCGCTGCCTTCCGTCAGCTGCAGACAAACGACGAGAGGCTAAACGCCATCCGAGCTCTAGCCCAGGAGCTGACATCCCACGAATGGCGGCAACTCCAAGAACTAGCGGCCGCCCGCAACTTTCAAACCGACATTGTCGGTCGCTTGCCGGTCGAGCTAGTTGCTGAGATCTTTGCACATCTCGACACCTCGACCGCGTTTTGGCTGCAGAGCGTGTCTACACGGTGGCGCCGCGTTTTGCAAAGCCCCCAGGTCCTGACCAACACCCTAGTCCCTTGGTATGGCTATACGCCTCAGCTGTTGCGGGCCGACTACGGCATGTGCAAAACCAAGGCGGAAGTCATACACGCATTCCGCAACGGCTGTCCAAAGCATCACTTCAAAATCAGGATTGTTGGAATTCACCACCGCATGATCTTGACCGAAGACACGTTGATACTCACTGCTGGAGCCCAAGGCAATTCCGACCCTAGAATCCTGTGTTTCTTCAATATCAAGACATGGGAACTGCACAGCATGACTGGGGATGCGAGGGAACGCATCAGCCAGACTTTCGCCTCGGACCAGATTGCTGGCTTCACAACAGAGAGTCGTGTATGCTATGTCTCAGACCTTGAAGGTCGTGGCAAGCGTAAGTTTAGAGTGCCTAACAATGCCTTCTTCCAGTCAGTCGCATGTCGAGGTCGCACAGTCGCATGCGCTGGATGTTTCCCAGACCATGCCGAGGTCTACGTCTGGAACTATGACACACAGCAGGGAAAGACATTCTCTATTGATTTCAACTCCCACCTGTTCCCCTTTCCCAGAGTATGGTGAGTGTGCACTTCTCAGTTTAAGGTGTATCCTCGAATTAGGCTGATGATGGAAGGCGGAACCACAAACATGGCATGGCCCTACTATTGCAGCCCGAGATCGAGCGCATCATTGTCTTCACGGATGAGCGCTGCTCTGGGGGAAATGATTTTGACGAGGCTTACTGCCAGCGGGATGAGGGCATATGCACCATACGCTATGCTCAATTCACCTACGACGGAGACTGCATCTCTGAATCCGAGTCGCTCATAGATGAGGTTGCCCCTCGGCAACAGGCTACCTTTCAGAACAATAACAATTACTTCATACCAGTAAACAATCGAGGCGCATTCAAGATCAGCATTGGCAGCTTCAACTATGCGCCTGCGACCCGCTGGATCCAGTTCGATGAAGAGGTCAACATGTTCACTCAACCTGTGCCTACCACTGAGAACGGACAAATGTGGGCTTCGCGGTCACTCTTCTGGTGGAAAGATACGGTATACTCTTCGATGAAAGCAACAGAACAGATGCATTCGCCAGCGCCCTCTTACTTGACCTACCTAGGTACAAGGTACGCGAAGCTTTGCTCGAGCATTCCCCCAAGTCCGTGACATGAGAGTACTGACAAGTCATAGCGACCGGCTACGATACAAACCCTTGCTACTACATACACGTAGCCCAGAGGATAACGTCGACTTGGTCAACACTCGGGACTGTGTTGTTCTGAACGAAAAGTATATTGTTCGCGCACTTCCACATGGCTTTCATGTGCTTTGCTTCGAAGACAGCTCTCAGTATCCTAAAGAGAATGGCGTCTTCTTCGACAGGGGATATGTAGAAGTCCATAATGTCCAGTCAAGCACTGGCTTGCCGTGACATTAGCCATGATGTGGCAGCAACGAGGTATTCGAAAACAATAGACATGTAACGGAGTCAGAATACTGCTTGCATCCACTTTTAGGCTTGATGTCAAAGTGGATGGTTGTAATAAGCATAGAAAGTACGCCCAATAAATCCTATTGACGCATATGCAAGCAATGTTCCGTCCCTATTGCGAGCATGTTACACAAGACCAGTCGCCATTCTCATGGGTATGTATGCTCGTACAGTCTACGAGCGTATCCTCGTCGAGCACAAGATTGACTATCGCGTGGTCGAAATCCCTGGATGCCCAGATATCACGACTTGTGATGCCTATAAGAGGCGAAGGCGACCTGCAGCATTTCTGGAATTGAAAGATGGGTAGATTTCGCGCATTGTCTTCTTCGTTCCACACCCTGAATGGTTTCGACGAATGAAAACCCACATCGCGGGAAAGACGGACGAGGAGATCTCCCCAGCACTGCGACTATGCGGCCTCCAAGAGCGCTTACTCGATCTGGCCAATTACCTGGTCTCTAAGACTGTCACTGCCCCGGCCATGCTTACTTCTGCCGACTGGTTTACCTCTCATCGTACTGGCATATTCCTGGCATATTCTGCCTTTCACGGTCATGGTCGCAATGACATCCTCTCAAGAGCTCTTCGAACGCCACATATTACTCCAACAGCTCTCTCCGCGTGGCTAGCGAAGAAGCCTCCCGGACTAGACGTTAAGGCTATCTTATCTATTTCTTGCGCCGCCCTCATACCTGTTGCGCCAATGGCTGGAATGGTACGACTATAAGTCAGCAGATGGATGTCCAAACTCAGCTACACTTCGACTATTGGCAGCAAAGCTTCTAGACGATCGTTGTCATGAATGCGGCGAGATCAAGGATTTCTACAACACTCGTTGTCACACAACTTGGTGCTCATCATGCTATAATAAACACCTGATTCAAGAGGCGGGCGAAAAACAATGCGACAGGTGTGGTGTGACGACAACCACGGCTCCTGACTTGAAACTAGTGCCATGGCCGGGCCATGAGAAGAAAGAGCAGTGCACTGCGTGCTGGCGATTAGGCCCAGCATGGAAATGTGAGGGCTGCGGCAAGACAGCTATCATGTGCCCCTACAGCAAGACTATTGTTACAGGTGAGGGCATGAAGGTCGTGTGCAGTGCATGTCGCACCAAGAAGATGATGAAGAAATAAGATTCCGATGTCAGAGGGAAGGGGCGGGGAGATGGGAGTATGTAGGATTCAGTTCATGTTATGTTATGCAAGATTGCTCTCAATATGCCGTTTGTTCTACGCATCTGCAAGCATCGTTCCGGCCCTGATGCGAGCACGTTACACAACCATCGTGAAAGTGCCAAACCCTGCATACAGATCGATCTAGATCTAGCCAGATACAGCCGCTAGCGCGGGGTGACTCGACCTTCGTCGGTGCGGTGCAGTGCCCCACTCTCCAAAAAAGTTCGGGGTTGGCCGCCGCGAATTATAACCTTCCTGATCGCGTTTGACGCTCCGAGTCGGTCAAGAAATTTTCTAAAAAGTCCCTTCAGGCCGAGCAACTTTTGTTGCTGTATTTACCTTGACGAATACAGTCAACCGACTACTCTCTTTCCACCTTTTGATCCCTTCCGAGTCGCAGCAGCCAAGATGGTCGAGAAAATCTACGTCACCTATAACCAGGTATGTGTACATGGGATGAGGGAGGGCGGCATGTCGCGCAAAGCGCATGCTTGTGCGCCGTGTACTCTCCAGAAATCATGAGAGAAGCAAGAAGCAGCAAAATCACCACGCGCACCACCCCATCCTCTATCCTCTATCCAATCACACCACCAACCCACTCACCCTCCACCAGGTGCACAAACTCTGCCAAGAAGCCGCCCCCCAGATCCTCTCCGACTTCAAGCCCAACCTGATGATCGCCATCGGCGGCGGCGGCTACGTCCCCGCGCGCATCCTCCGCTCCTTCCTCAAACAGCCCGGGACGCCCAACATCCCCATCCAAGCCATCGGCCTCTCGCTGTACGAGTCGCTCGGCACGGATTCCGAAATCGAAGCGCCGGGCACAAAAGTCACGCGCACGCAATGGCTCGACCTGTCCTCGCTCGAGATGGCGAATCTGATCGGCAAGAACGTGCTGATTGTCGACGAGGTCGACGACACGCGGACGACGCTCGAGTATGCGGTGCGCGAGCTGGAGAAGGATGTCGAGGCTGCGGTGCAGAAGTTGGGGAGGCAGGGGGAGACGACCAAGTTTAGCATTTTTGTGCTGCATAACAAGGACAAGGGGAAGAAGGGGAAGCTGCCGCAGGAGATTTTGGAGGGGCGGTATAGTGCCGCGAGGACGGTGGGGGATGTGTGGATCAACTATCCGTGGGAGGCTACGTGAGTTTTCTTCTTTTCCTCTGTTGGTGGGACTTTCTGGGGCTAACGCGCGTGTAGGGACATTGACGAGCATGACCGCTTGTCCAGGGAGCAGGAGTCGAAGTAGACCGGATTACTATCTAAAGAGAAGGAAGGAAAAGGGCCACTAAAAGCATGAATATCTACCTGGACATTGGATGCATTCGCGGGTTCACAGCATACGGAGTTGACAGGACGATTATGAACAACGCATCTAGCATGGTCATGATCCAGTACCTCATTCAACATAGACACAAACCAAATATAAAGATTTCACATTTCACATACACATCACATCCACACGAGAAGATAGTTTGCAGGGTCATAACATCATGATCATTGCCCCCAAAATCCCAGCAATCCAGCCTTGGCCGGCATTGCAAAAATCCCTCCCAATAATGTCCTACTTGCGACAGATGCGCCTTTTGCCGCATCCCGTCGTCCTGCTCGACCACACAAAAGGGGGTATATGGTTAACTATTATACAAGAAACATCCGAGAGAGAAGAAAGGAAAGATAATGAAAAAAACTCCGCTTTTGTGAGGACTGCTAGCGCCTGCTGGCTGTATGTATGCTGAGCCCTGTCGCTATGCTGTGTGTCATCGCTATGCTGTAAAAAATTGAATGCAAGGAAAGAAGTTCTGCTGTAGTCTATGTGTGATGCTGTAATGATGTGCACCTGGCGTTGAAGAATGTTAAGGAGGTATCAGGACCTCAATCGGCGAAATTTTCGCGAAGCTTTGCGCCTTAAGCCATTGCGACTTCTCTTTGTGCTGTCGCCGTCGGTTTCATCGTCCTTGGGTGGTGGTGAGAGCAGGTTGCCGCCCCTGCTTCGCACACTGGTTTGGTGTGCAATCTTGTTTTGTTCGCGCCAGAAGAGACGTTTCTGGTCGATAACTGATTGCGATAGGTTGCCGAAACCTTTCTTGACGAATGCCAGATCATGCAAGACATTCGGATCCAGGCACGTCCGCGGCGAATTCTGCACGATCATGAAGATTTCAGGGTCAATCGGGCGGTACTTCCTAATGTCCGGCTCGCTGAGCTTAAACAGCGCAAGGGCATAGCGGTACAACGCGCGCGGTCCTTCGTACAGGAACGTGTCCCAAACGCGAAGGACGGTCTCAATCGGAAGCACACCGACGAATATGCTCATGAACCATGACGTACATGACAGAGCGACGGTTGGTTGACGTTGAAACTTGGAGTTTGGGTGAGCATTTGATCCTGCACCGCTGTTGATCAGATCCGTGTCGTTGATAGAGTTCCAGACTTTCGGAAGGTAATCCTTGATCAGCATCATGAGGACGTTCACCTCGGTGTTGGCAAGTGAGCGGGCATGGGCACCAGGAAGATGGTTGCGTGTGATGATGGTGAGCATGACGAATGCCTTTTCCTTGTCTTGCTTCAGGAAGAGCAAGAGAAGGCCGGCAATGAAGTTGAGCGATTGGCAATAGCCAATGTTAGGGTTGTTGAGCGCGAAACATGAAAGGACTTCTCGCAAGTCTTTGATGAGTTGTGGCTCACCCTCAAACTCTCCGTCTAGCAGATCTGTTGCTAGCTCTGGGCGGAAGTGGATATTGTCGGGGAACGTCCTGTCCAGATCCCGCTCAATCGCATCTTTGTCATCTTTGTTGAGCTCGTCTTTCTTCACCCGGGCAACGAGTGATGCGTACAGGCCAACCATTTCTGTCTGTTTAATCATGTGCTGGCCACCAGAGTAGTACCACCACATCGCTCCGCGCCACTCTGGAGGATATCCTTTCCGTGCGTATCGCTTGACTTTGTCGCACATTTCAGGGAACTGGGTGGGATCAGTAGTCGAGAGGCCCATTTTTGTCATGAGAGCAATCCACTTGTTTCTTCGTCGGGAGATGTGCTCCTCATACTTGGAAGCCCATGCGTTGTACTGCTGCACAGTGATTTTGTCAGATGCCTTTTTGAAGCCGTAACGATCTCTTTCCAGCGGACTTGCGGCCTTGCGCACCTGAGATGGGGCACTTGTAAGTTGGGGGCGTGGAAGAGTGGGCGTTGCAGGCTTTGGGCTCGCCATTGCACCTGATGAAATCATGCCCAAATTGAAAAGTGCGCTGCGTCGGTCATATACACTCGTCGAGGCTCGGCGTGGAATCGCCTCATCTTCATCAACTTCTGGGAGAGGCTCGGATTTCTTCAGTGGTGGGGACTGCAGCGCGGCAGCCGCATCAGAGCCAACAGATCCGCTCGACAAAGTCCTGGAGGCGCTCGGTCTTTTGCTGTGTCTCTTGGAATATGCCTGGATCTGTGCCCAGTCCTGACGCGACATTCTGGACTTGTTCAGCGGCAGCTGAGGAAGCTTGGTAATTTCGCGCTGGATATTTGTCATCTGAGACCGATCTACGTTGGCGCTGTTTGGCACATAAGCCTTGTACTGTACGAGAGCTGGACGAGCCTTTGTAGCAGGCTCACCGAAAGCCAAGGCTTGTATTGAAACAGACACGCGGCGAGGTAGCTCTTCGCTAGAGCGTTGTAGTGTAGTTGATTGTCGGTTGCTCTCAGGTCGCGTGGAGAATTCTTCATTTCGGGGCCCTTGTTGCGTTGTAAGAGGTTTGATCTGTATAGGTGCCGGAACTCTCTTGGAAGTGTCTTTGGCTTCAGGTAGATCTGGGTTTATGAGATCTTTTCCCAGCGTATTTGTAGGATCCGAGTAAATCATTGCGGTGGGGGACTCGATCGGCAAACGTTCTCGTATTGGCACAAGTTGCTCCGCATTGCTGTCTGAAGAGTCCTGCAGGTAAGACGACGGACGTTCGTTCCAGTCCTTGAGGCGCTCGGATGAATGAAAAGAGCTTAATGAGTCAAGGTCGCGCGAAGGTGTTTGCGAGAGCTCTGGAGGTTCGGAGTCCAAGGGCGTAGGCGAAGAGCTGAACCCATGGCGAGAGTCTTCATTGAAGGACTCTGACGCGATGTTGTCATCTTCTTCGTCGTAACAATACGCATCGATCACATCATCGACCGCGTCCATGTTGTAGTCGTCTTCTGGCACGTCGTAGATGTGTAGAGTATCAGGTGAGTCGTCACGGTCTCTGAACCGGTCCCGCGATCGATCTCTGGAGTAGATGCTTGGCGGATGCTCGCTTGCTACAGAGCTTCGTGCAGTCGCTATGCTGCTCCTTTCCGTCTCGCTTGCTTCCATCACGCTAGAAGATGCATTTGTCCAGCCTGACCTGAAGCTTTGTCGAGGCTCTTCCGTACGGAACGGCCGGGAAGGCGGAGGATAATAGTCCGTGTGCGACCAGTTCGGATTCTGAACGCCGCGGTTTGGTTTATACGTGCCTGACAGATTCGATCGTACGTTTCCTCGGAGCTGGCCGTAGTCAGGTATAGAGGTCTTGGATCGGAGCGGCGGATGCGGTTGGAATCCGGCCTGTGAAGAGCTGGTGAATCCTCGATTTCTCTGTGGGGGGAAAGCGGGAGGGAGCTCCTCGTTGGGCGACGAGGTTGGTCCATTTGGATGGACTGGATTAGCGGCAAGAGGGTTATAGATGGCTCGTAGGTCAGGGGAGCCGGGGCCGCTGCCTTGCCTCATCATCGCAGGAGCGATTGTTGGGGAGCTCGACTGTTCCATGGGCGGAAAACCGCCGTTCATGTAGGAAGGTGAAGGCGAAGGAACTGCGTGACGTAGAAGTGAAGGTGCACGCTGCCTTGGCGGAGGGTACTTGGGCGATGGCAGGCCAGCCAAGGGTGGCAGCGGTGCCGACGAATCGTACGTCTGGCCGTCGTAGATAGGCGAGTTGGGCGTGTCCATGTGTAGCTGCGTTGGATGTTTGTTCCGGCCGGATCCAAAGCCTCTGTGCTGTTGCGGGGAGGTTGGCGGCGTGAACTCTTGAGCACGGTAGGCGAGCGACGGCAGCCTCGATGAAATTGCCGACTCTGGGACACCACCGAACTCGCGGCTGGGAGCGACCTCAGTGGTGCCTATTCGCGCTGAGACGTGGGCCATCGCGGGCTAAAGGTTGTGGTTGAGCAACGCGGATGCTCATTCGATCGGGAAGGAACAGAGGTCGTTGGCAGTGAAGGTGTGCAGAAACATTCTCGATGGCGGATGGTTTGTGCAGTTCGGCGGAGTCGAGCGTGTGGGGGAAAGCAGTGTGCGCGCACAAGTTGCTTTTGCGCGTTTGAGACCAGAACCGGTGCAATGCCTAACGTCGAGGGTCGGAGCCGATTCCAGAGGCCGGGTACAACGCGAGGAATAATGAAATACACTAATGCTAAGGAGCGTGGTGATACAATGTGCCTCGTGACCGTCCGGACGTCGAGAGGAAGAGTAGACTCGAGTGCTTGCGGCAACACTCGAATTATGCACGGAAGGAGGCTTCAAAGACGATGGATTGCTCATCAACCATGGCACGGATGCCTCGCGCTAAACTCTGCGGCGTTGCAGGCACATCCCCGAATAGCGGGCCGAGCGGAGCTGACGCCCTGGATGTGCCTGCACGAGACGCCCGACACGACATGAAACGGCCTGCCGGTACGCATAAGCGCTCGCAAAAAGAGCAAATGGCTCGCGACCCCTACCGCCCCGTTTGGGGCATTACAGCATGTCGCGCAGCTGTCCACGGAGTCACAGGCGCCCGCCTTCTCTGTCTACAAATATGCTCGCGGCCCAAGAGGAATGAAGCCACGGGAGGAAAACGTTATTCCAGGGGGCGCTGCTAGTCTGCTTGAATTGGCCATGTGTGCATGCAAATGAAGTCAACGCCGTGAGGCTGACTCGTTTGATTTGCACTCTTGACATGAGCACCGCCCATGCTGAGATCATGCTCTTTACGGTGAACAACGCTCGCGTGTCACTCCGGAGATGGCAGCTCACTGTCCGCATCGCGATCGCGACTAACTTGCTTTTGCAAATCCCTTCCTTCTGCTCGAGCTTCGAGAACCGAAATTGCCCATGACGACATAACTTGTGCATTCTCATTTCAATTAGTGCACACAAGCATAAGTCCGAAGAATGAAGAACAACGACCAAGTGCCTTAGATTTACTCTCCTGTCCATATACACATCGCTTCATGTCAGGTGGGGAAGAAAGCTCCGCCCTGATGCAACATTCGCCAAACGCCTTGAGCATGCAAAACCAACAGCGTGTGGAAATCATAGATGCCGCCCTGTATTCCTCCGCTCTATTTCGCATAACGCTTGACCCAGTCCTTTGCATTCTTCTCAAATTCCTTGCGGTTTTCGCGGTATTCGTTGGCGATGGAGGGCTCGATCGCATCGTCCACGTTTGGCTCAATCAAAAGCGTCTGGATCAGGCGCAAAACAGCAACTACCTTATTCGGCGGCTTCCACGACTCAGGACGAAGCAACCCGAGGCACATGGAGCCCTTGTCATCGTTGGTCACGTTCGGGTGGTAGATCTTTGTCCGAAAGCTGACGACCGGCGGCTTGAACGGGTATTCGTTGGGGAAGTTGATCTCGAGCTTGAAGTGGCCGCCCTGAGCGCAGTTAGCAGCTGCTGAATGTCGTTGGAAGACCACAGACGTACAGCGTAGATGGACTGTTCTGGACCGTCCATAACACATTCCCATTTCGTAATATTCTGCTCATCAAAGTTGATCTTTATGCCTGCTGGAGTATCTGCCTGACATTCGGCATATTCCTGCGCAAGGTCAGTGGGATCCGTGGCAAACAGTATGCAAGAGGCCTGCCTTCATGATGCGCTTCTTTGCTCCGGTACTCATTGTGGCGGGTGTGTTGTATGGTGTGCGTGGAAATGGGAGTGCTGGCGGAGAGTGGGCTGAGAACGAAGCAGATGCCGTGACAGTGCTCTAGCAGTCCAGAAGGTTCCCAGTTGTGACGTGTAAAGGTGGGTGCGTTTGCTGGTGAGTACTGTTGAAGGATGACGCACCGGCCCGGAACAACTGTCGGCCTACTAGCGCCTGTCCCTCATCACTAGCAACTCGTCCTGCTCGACACAGTACACTGTCGTCACGAGCTAGTTGACGCGATTGCGCTGTCTTTGGTCGCCCGCAGCTGGCATGGTATAGCATGGCAAAATCATAGACGGCAATGCTTGAAGTTCAAGTTTCTAAAACTCTGACACATGCCCATTGCAGCCTCGTATGGTGCACGCAGGCGAAGCTTGACCTACTGTCAGCATGCTAAGCGTTTCTCCCCGATGGTAGAGTTCGTTGCCTCCATAGCGACGCTTTCTTTTTATCTACAATCCTTACTCTAAATCTAACTTTAATCCTAACTCTAACTCTAACTCTAAGCTAACCTAAAGGGTGAACCCGTTCAAGACCAGTTGCAAGGATAATGAACAGGTTCGGAATAAGATAGACACTACGCATGTAGAGACTCTAGTCAGGTTGTCTTTTCAATGGTGGGCTTAGCATGCCGATAGTAGGTCGACGTTTTGATGTGGTTGGGTTATCTGCCTCCCGTCTCTCACGCGACTGGCTTCAGTGAATCCATTTGTTTCTTACCATAGACCATAGGGTTGGGTTTCGCCGGCCATATCGATAACAGCCTTACCTGACGCTACGCGAGGATGTTCCCGGATCTCTGTGAGTCACACCTGGGCAGCAACGATGACCAAATCACGTTACATCGTGTGGCAGACGCGTTGCAGCAAGGCCGCGTCAAGACATGAGATCATTGAAGTGCAAAGTTCATTTGCGATTCCCAGACAGAATAGTTCCATGCTTCACTCAATCTTGGAGTACGGCTCGTGCCTTGCAATGGCTACGTCATGCGCTGCGTTGTCCTTGCTGACCAATGCCTTCCATGCTCTTGCACATGCGCCACGCATGAGACTGGAGCGCCATATCAACAGCGTGGATGTCAGGCTCCAAGGCAGCGGTGTCTACGTTGGAAGCACAACAGAGCCATTGACGAATAGGATGCTTCGTTTCTTAGCACAGCCTTGCAGGCGGCAGGGTTCCATTGCTTGGCAGGCTAATCATGAGCTGTACTTAAGCACCAGCCTTCCCCACTTGTTTGCTCCTCACGCGCATCAGACAAGAACAGCTCAGACAATACGGTGTGTTTCTACCCTCGCTGTAGAAGACACTTCAAGTTCTTGGATTCGGCATTTTACACCAAAAGTGCGAATTTAAGTTCTTCCAGAGCCCACTTTGCTGCGTCAATTCAACCCGTCCACTCTTTTTACCCACCTCAGTCGCTCGTTCAGATCAGTCTCTTCACTCAAGATGTTTGGGAAACGCACTTTCGCTAGCTCGAAGGAGCGTTCAACAACCGGCAAGATTACCAAGCAACCGACGAAGAGATCGTTCCACGAGAAGTCAAAGCAGAAGCAGGCGGTCGCCGAAAAACTCGACTCTCGCAAGGAGACACGCAAGGACAGTCCAATGATGGAGGGCTCCCCCAGCTTGACCTCTGCTATCGTCACGGTAGTAGTTGGTCCCGAAGGGCGGCTCTTCGCCGCACACGAGGATGTGTTATCTCACTCCCCGTTCTTCGCCTCTCTCTTGGGCACTCAATTCTTCGAGTCTACGAATCGGCGCATCGACCTACCAGCCGAGGAACCAGAGATATTCTCGTGCCTCCTAGAATACCTCTACAAAGGGGATTACTATCCTCGATTGATCCACGACAAACGCCGATCGACGTGGACATTGGAGAACGCCGGAACCTCTCCCAACCCAAACAAAGGCGACCGCGCTATGGCAGTCGAGCCAACCTTCTTCCACAATGGTGTGGGCGAAGTCCTCCCTGCGCGATACAGCTGTGTACTGCGCTGCAGAAATGTATGGTCTCAAGGAACTTAAAGCTCTTTCCCTCAAGAAGCAAGGCCTCCAATCTGGCATCGAAGTAGGCGTCATATTGCGCAGCGCTCGATATGCCTACGCCCACACCCCGGACAACGACAGCAAGCTTCGCGCTCATTACCTGGCCTTGGTCATCAGGTCCCGTTCCACCTTCAAGAAGTCAGGCACCATGCAAAACGAGATGATTGAGGGCGGCCAGCTCTTCTTCGACCTCTTCGTCGCTCTCTGCAATCATGTCGATGACTTGACGGACGCGAACAACGTTCGTGGTACGCCTCGCACGATATAGATTGCACAAGAACTGCGATTCGTCGAAGAAAGACCGCAAACACACACAACACGACCGGAGTTCACCCAACTTGATCAGCCAAACTCCACACTCAACCCAAATTGCCAACAAGCGACAATGCTTATGCAACGCGCCCTCATTCCTGATTCACAAAAGGATAAAAACCCAGAAAAAACAATGGCCGCGGATCGATTTCGCGTCAATGGCTTTCTACGGCGTACTGGACCCGATGCATCTTTACTCTACTCTCACAATTGTCTCTTAACACAGTCGTGGTGTTTTGCTACCCCCTCGCGTCACCTAATCCCTCTCACCCGCTCTATATCTATCCCCTCTCCGCTTGCGGAGAGAGTACATGACGACTATCGAAACCGGTTTCCTTTGTTTGACGTGTGCGTTTGGATGGATTTGAAAGGGAAAAGAGGATAGAGCGACACTCATTTTTCTGAAGCTATGGTGCTGCAATGGTTATGAAGAACCGTGCTGGAGAGCGACCCCTTTGGCGGGAAGCTCGGATTGCGGAACAGATTGACCATACCGCTTGGATGGTCGGAACGGCGGCGGATGATTTAGCGGCGAGTAATGAGAAAACCCAGGTCGCCGCTATGCTGATGTGTGTTGTGCAAACGTGATGTTCCATTTCATATTTCATTCTGTCTAGGCCCATGTTCCATGACTAAAACGTCTACTGGCTGTTGGGGACATGGTCGACTTAGCAAGCTAGAGTGGCTATATGCCCTTCTGTCAACCACAACGGCAAGAGACTGAGGCGCAACAGAGCAACAGCATATGCGATCGCCTGAAGCTATACACAATGCATTACCGTTGCATTGGAAACCTATTGATACTACGGATAGCATCAGGCTGTTAGTTCGTCGATCAACGCAAATTGACTAGGTTTCGGTCTCAGCATCGTACACGAGAAAAATCAGCAAGGCATACTAACCACTCTCAGTGCGCTCTAAGCGGGCATTGATCAGAGGCTGTGGGCATCGCATAACTGTCCTTATCATCGCTGAGATTTTGTTGTGTCTAATGATCTAAAGCTACCCTTCTTCATAAGCATAGTCACTGTTGTCACGCTTTAGAACACTAGTAGCGAGGGCTATGTCGTCCCACCCTAGAGCTTCATCTAACTGCTTCAAGATCTCTTCCAAGGTTCCATCTAATACCAGAGAAGACTGATTTCCATGTTACTCCCAAGGTGTACAATTTGCCAATGTCCAAACTTCAGCAACGTTTCTCGTGGGCTTCGCCGCATATCCTTATTCACAGATAGCTTCTCTTAACACTGTACTGTGTGTAGGACTGCGTTTCGCCGGTTTGGCTGACTCACTTAATGAATACCCGCCGCTTCGATATGCCTTTCTCTAGCCAGCAGACTCAGGCTTTACCTTGATGTTCTAAGCTTATTTACCGCCTCGAGGTGCGTTCGCTGGCGGGCCAACGCTAGTGCCATATATCAGTTCCGTTTGCTCTGCAGCTTAATCAACCTCCCAATGACTACCTCCCACCCTCCGCTCCTCTACCACCTACACTTGGCTTGTGAGCCAATCTGACAAAAGGAGCAGTGATGGTCTAGGAACACTTCCGAACGCTATGTAAGTCGGAGAGGTAAAAATTAGCGCAGTTCTTGAACTCCTTGCGCACTGTGGAGATGAAAGACTTTAGCGCGATGTCCTGCTAGACATGAGGAATAGCGCAGTTGACGAATAAGGAAAAGTTATCCTCAAGGGCATCCATAAGCTTTCCGCGGATCAAGTGCAACTCTTCGGCGTTGGAGTTGAGTGAGTGAGCATCCTTCGTCTTCATCTAATTCTCTGCGAAAAATTCTGCCTCATAGAACTCCTGCAGTACCATTATTTTCAATTCGCTTGTCTTCTAAATCCCGACCTAGCCCAGAGAGTAATTCACTATCCTGTCACCCTTTTCAATTGCTGTCTTCACTCCGTCACATCTTTATACGCCGACCTCGAACGCACCATCAACCAAACCCCAAAACTCCTCAATGACCTCTTTCTGTCCCTCACCACCGCGAACAGCAAAATACCTCCTCTCATCAATCCTCGGGTTCCAATTACCAGGGTTCGCATCCACCATCCTGCCACCAGACTCTGTCAGAATGACCCATCCAGCACAAACATCCCACGCCCAACATCCTGCCTCCCAGTAGATGTCCAGGCCTCCACTAGCTACGCCGCACAAGTTCAATGCCGCAGACCCAAAGGACCGCAGTCCATGTACCATCCCACCGCCATTTTCTTTGGTCGCAGCTAAGCGCTTGAATGTCTCGCTCTTGACCTTGAAATCATTCCCACTCCGGTCCGAACCCCATTCGACCGCCACAAGGCAAGTATTCAGCGTTTCCAACGGCGTCGGTGGCGCAAGCGGCAATTTATGTGTAAGGTTCAAATATGCACCTTGGCCCTTTATGGCCGAGTATAATGTCGCAGTGAATGGGTTGTATACGATGCCGATCGCTGGCTCCAAATCGACCGCGAAGCCCAAGGAGATTGAGACGTAAGGGTAACGATGGACGAAGTTTGTTGTGCCGTCGATGGGATCACAGATAAATGTTGGGGCTGTTGTCAATTTATCGCCTGGCTTGTATGTTTCTTCACCCATGAAGGAGAAGTCTGGATACTTCTCGCGGAGAGAAGAGGATATTAAAGCTTCGACGGCTTGGTCCGTTTCAGTTACAAGGTCGACGGCTAGACTAGTCTATTAGTTTTGTGGCATTACATTGTAGAAGTGATTCGCACAGTTCTTTTTGTTCCCTGCGCCTTCAGTAGTTGGCTTCGCAGCGACGATGCGTTCGCCGGCTTGTTTGGCGATTGAGATCATGAAATCATGAATTTCTTGGAGATTGAAGTCCGCCATGGTGAAATCTTTGACGCTGTGAGCACAATTGAGACGCTAAATTGCAAGACAAAATTTCGGTGTCAGGAAAGTGAAGCTGAGAGTGAGCTGTGACTTCGTACATAACGTTGGTGAAGCTACCCCTCGGCGGGGCACGTCAATGGCTATCGATACAGATCGACAGGGTCCAGCACGTGGCGCAGGGAAGGGCACCACAATCGATGGAACACTTGAATAGCATCCCTTTTATTATCCCAACGATGGGCTGGTAACAGTATACCGTGATCAAGTTTCGAACGGTTAATGTAATAAAGGCTACGCATTGGTCTGCTCTTCCCAACCTGGATGAGGACCAACAAGCGAATGAGGACGACACTCTTCTCCTCAATCGAGGACTAGAGAGATGACCAGAATGATACTGTTATAGCCAGGACTTGACCAGGTGCTTAACAGCTTCTAGCAAGTTGAATTTGCGCTTTGATAAGTGTGAAGGTATACTGCAGTCTGTATAGCTTCACGAACCTGTTAGGTTGTAAGAGCATTGAAAATCACATCTGAAGATACCCAGGCTCGTTGAAACATATCATATTTTGAGTGCGATGGAAAACTTCATTGCTACAAGCCAAGTGCTGTACGGAATTGATGAGAGAGCTTGCCGGCGAAATACTATTGTGATAGTCTAGATATGCTTTCATAATTTGCTACCAAGCGCTCCTCGGGCTTTCTTTGAATGCGGTAATTCTCCGCTTGGGTTTGATGGTGTTGGTGCACCGACGTTTGCTCCGGAATCGTTGCCCTGTCCACCTGGTGGTGCGGAGTCGTTTGCGGGAAGCTTCTTACTGTCATCGTTTTCTGCCTTGAGAGAGATTGGGTCGCCGAGTCGAGGCGGGGGCTTGCCAGAATTGATAGCTTCTTTGGTTTTGGGGTTGTCGAGAGTTCCTCGAACAGTTTTGGAGTGGGGTTTGGATTCGCCCATTGTGTGTAAATGTGTATGAATCGGGATGTTGGTGTTGGGACGTTGTAGAATATCGGAACGCGCGTGTAAGAAGCAGGTGGATATTTCGAATGTACCTGCACTTTATGGCTTTGGAGATGCCTCGGTAAGGATAATCATCATCGATCTGTAGCGCTTCTAGAATCTGGGGTAAGGTTGTTTACGGCTCGCGTTGCTTTGACATAGGGTCTAGCGCGCAGGCATGACGTCTTTCATTATGGCGAGAACGATGAACATGTGAAGACAAGCGGACCTGCTATCCATAATGTATTTTCTGGTATTCGATCCAGGCGTCGGTGAAGTGGACTGGCGTTCTTCGTCAAGAAAGACACCGAAGCTATTACCTCATCCCTTTGGCTGAGATGTGTTGCCAAATTTGGTGGTTACCCAAGTATGAATGAACTGAGACGGTAGCACAGTTTGATCCTCCTAGCCGGCATTTCGACACTTGATGCAGTGTCTCGGCTACCCTGCAATGAGTTTGCTTCTTGGCCCGCGCTCGTAGCACTGCTCTCGTGGTTGGGTAGTATTTGACCGCCCTGGGTCGCAGCAGGTGTGCAACATCACATGCAGATGAGCAGGCTCCAGACACTCAACGAAGACTAGCCAGGGTCCATCGGGGGTGTAAACGATAGCCGTCAACGGTCCATGAGGTTGTTTGTGAGGGCTGCTAGTGAAGATCTGTGTAACTTGGTGGTTGTGCAGAGCCCCTGTCCTACGCGCCATAAGATCCGCCGTTGCACCTCGGCATCCCAGTCTCTCCAGCTTCCACGGTCGCATCGTCCTCGGATCACCACGGACCGCCATGGACTTCCAGGAGACAGCCAACGTCTCTCCAACAACGGACAATCCACGATGACAGACCCCAGTATCGCCCGCCTCAACGCCATTCCCTGGGTAGCCAGCCTCATCCACGACCCAAAATGGACCCGTGTACAGACGATATCGCGAGTCCTGCAGTCTTCAGGTGAAGACTCTTTCTACTCAGAGACACTTGCTACCGATCGCACGATGCGCTCATGCCTGACGTTATTACCTGCCGTCGAGGCGGACGCCAAAATTGCCTTCAGGGAGGTTTTATGGATCGTTGAGCTCGGCGACGGCTTAAACGGGTATCCGGGCACCCTTCATGGTGGCATGGCAGCGACATTACTCGACGAAGTTTGCGGCATACTCCTCCAGTCGAATGCGGCGAAGGCCTCCGAGCGCGCGCGCACAGGCACTACGGACAGGCTTGATGAGTATATGACAGCTTGTAAGTCCGCTGGTTGTACATGCACGCCCAGCTGCAGAACTAATACGCCATAGACCTCAATACCACATACAAGAAGCCGATACCAGTGCCGGGAACGATACTCTGCACCGCCAGGTTTGAGCGGGAAGAAGGTCGGAAGCTATACGTTCGAGGTACCATCGAAGACGGCTCAGGAACAATATACACAATAGGGGAAGCCTTATTCATCAAGCTCAAGCCTAAGATGTGAACTATGGTCCTGCCATTCTTGAGCGACCCTGGACTTAACGTAAAGGTCCCTCGCAATAGGACGGCGGCGTACGATTCTTTGCGCCACTAAATCCGAGGCGTTGTCCTCTGGAAGATCTCGCACGCGTGTATGAGTAGGAGCTGGGTCAAGAAACCACTTTCAAGCGACGAAGGCTTCCATATGCTTTGCACACGCGACATGACGTACATTTCGTTCACCGATAGCTACCGGCTCCAGTGACAACATTGATGGTACCCTGATCCCTTTTCAATGTTAATGTGACATTTTATGACACATCTAAACGGGTGGACCCTGTAGTTTGATCGATATGTGAAGGTTACGTGCCAACTCATCGCGCGAGTAACTCCATCCGATTTTGGAGCTATGCTTGGAGCTCTTGAGCACGTAGGCTACGATTGGTGGAGCTCAGAAACAGAAGGGGATCTGCGCCACATGACTGGTCGCAGTCAAGATTTGGTTAATCTATTTCGCCCGGTCCAGCTGATCTACTTCGTGCGCCATCGCGGCTCAGGAGATCCAGCCGAAAATCTGGGGTAACTTTCTGTTCTCTGATTGCGATCCTCAACAGGCATCAGCTCCGACCGCTCACGACCAAGCATGTGGCGTTCTCATCAGACCTATATCTCGACCACACAGCACTAAAGGGGAACCTGAAGGGGTTTTGTTCCAGACTGTGGAGACTTGTATACCCCTGGCCCCCTCATAGCCAGGCGGAAGAGGCGATGAGTTCACACTAGGTAGGCGTCTGCGACCTTGCGCGGAAGAAAGGCTTGAAACATTGTCCCATTCGGAAGGTCCACAGAGGTTTTCAGCATGTCTTTGCACTACCCTGTCTCGCGACAGCCTCACGGGTTACAGATGACGACTTGTGACACGATCGGACGACTGTGAGTACCCCGGATTTTCGACTCGACGATGGGCACGCGCACACCTGGACCCAGTTGCAAGAGTACACCATAGGGCAGACGAGAGCTGCAGTGCAACAAGTGCCCGGGACTTGAGCTTCTGCGGACACATGTCTGTGAGACACTGAGCCCTTATGACGGTGCCGGGAAAGAATAGTATGCACATAGACCTCGGGACGGTCAAGCGCGATACTCGTAGTGGTTTCAATCTCCGAGAGGGTTGTAGTGTACTCTCGAATGGAGTAGTCTATCACATGCAATGCCGTTGGTTGGACAGGGTTCGACGGACATAATCACTGTGTTCGAGCCGAATCGGTGACTTGTGCCGAATCAAGGTTAGTCTCTTAGACATGTTCAGAGCCTCTCAGGTCTTCGAGTGCTATTTCATTTTCCCATACATTGTTGACATGGCAAAACATAACTAATTGATCTACCGGCATCCATGCTGTCGGCATCTCGCTGTCACTGGAAGGAGTCACTCTGTTTCTAATTTCACAAGTCGCAGGAGAAATGGAACGTTGAATCTATTCAGTTCAACAGTCGCGCATCTCATAATTCGACATGTAGACTAACCGCCGGCATCAGAGGAGCTTACACCAGAATAGTCCAGCCTTGGGCAGCCATGTAACCTTAGCCACGGCAAGCATGGATGCCAACATGCCATGGCGTATGATCGCGCGGGCTGTGAGATAGTTCCATCACCAGAGCGTTCTTGGTCTGTAAGCCGACTTCTTAGCCCTGGAATGACCGCGGATCTTAGGAAACAGTCGTGCTCGGGTGGCTCTCTCCACATTTCTTCACCTCCTGACCGCGCTAAGCGGGCAAGTTGCCAGATCCCACGAACAGCTCACCATGTTCTTCTTATATATTCGCTCCCCAAGTCCCTCCTTTCCCTATCATCATTCTCTGGAATAAGAGCTACTTTTCTTGTACAATCTGCCGTCGTATTGTCTCTATATCTGTAGGCAATATGCGACTACCCTCTCTCATCACATGCCTCTGGGCAGCAAGTGCTCAGGGCGCGGCTCTACGTAACAGAACCATGCTTGCTCACTTGAAATTGCAGCAACTAATATATGAGTAGGTCCCTTGTCTCGAAGGGGTGACTTCACAAGTGCCTCTGTGGTTCGCGATGTCTCCGTCAATGCCTCCAGCTCGCAGCTGCAATCTATTGGAGCGGCAGCTACCTTCCCCGATGGTTACTGGCTTAATGATATGTCTGGAAAAGGCATTGCCGCATTCAACGCCAATCCAAGTGGATACAAGGTCTTTCGTAACGTGAAAGACTATGGCGCAAAGGGTAAGTAGGATAGTACTCGAACATGAGACGTAGCTGACTCTTGTATAGCTGATGGTTAGTTGTACCCAGGGACTGAAACAAAATGAGATATAGACTGACCTCTTTTTCGACATAAGGCGTCACCGATGATTCTGATGCCATTAACAGAGCCATTTCCGATGGGAACCGCTGCGGTCCCTGGGTCTGCGATTCGTCCACTGACACCCCAGCCGTTGTTTACATCCCATCTGGCACCTACCTTATTAACAAACCTATCATCTTCTACTATATGACGCAGCTCATTGGCGATCCACGAACCCGTCCCGTTCTCAAGGCCGCCCCAACTCTCGATGCTCTTGCTCTCATCGATGCCAGCCCATACAGCAACCAGGATGGCTCACCTGGGTGGACATCCACCAATATCTTTCTGCGACAAATCCGAAACATTGAAATCGATGGAACTGCTGTTGCCCCGACCAAAGGTTTCCAAGGTATTCATTGGCCAGCTTCTCAAGCGACAACCATCCAGAATGTCAAGATTCGCATGACGCAATCTGATGCTTCTGGACATGCCGGCATCTTTGTTGAGAATGGTAAGCGCAAAGACTACAATCGCAACATTACTTATGCTAATCTCTTTAGGTTCCGGAGGTCACATGGCCGACCTCGAAATTGAGGGTGGTAAGTACGGCTTGAACATCGGCAACCAGCAGTTCACTTTGCGCAACATCAAGATCTCCAAGGCTCAGATTGGTATTTCCCAGATCTGGGATTGGGGTTGGTTATACTCTGGTCTCGATATCAGCGATTGCAAGGTTGCATTCTCCATGATCAATGGCTATGATGTTGGTAAACTTCAGATCGGGTCTGTTGTCATCATCGACAGCAAGATCACGAATTGCCCGGTCTTCATGGACACAGTAAGTCGGATCCGTATTGCGTACCGTCGCTATAAAGAACAGGTTTCACTGACAATTCTCAGACCTGGAAACGCGACACTCTGCCTATCGGTGCGGGCCAACTGATCATGGAGAACATCCAGCTTAACAATGTCCCGGTCGCTATCACAGGTTATGGTGAGACAATACTTCCCGGCGGTACCACCACTATTCAGAGCTGGGGTCAGGGCAACAAGTACTCCCCCAACGGGCCAGAGAAATTTCAGGGACCTTTCACTGCTGCTGGTCGACCACAAAGCCTTCTTGACAACGGAAAGTACTACTCCAAATCTAAGCCGCAATATGAGAACCTTGGTACTGGTAGCTTCTTGAGCGCTCGCGGTGCTGGTGCCACTGGCAACGGTTACAGCGACGACACACAAGCTATCCAGAACGCGCTCACTGTGGCCGCCCAGCAAAACAAAGTCCTGTTCTTTGAGCATGGTAAGACATTTGTATTCGCATACTCGAAAGGATCATGCTGACCCAGTTCAGGTGTATACAAGGTGACCAACACCATCTACGTTCCACCAGGCTCCAGAATGGTCGGCGAGACCTTCTCAGCGATCATGGCAGCCGGCAGTATCTTCGGAAACAAAGACAGCCCCGTACCCGTCATCCAGATTGGCAAGCCCGGCGAGAGCGGCTCCATCGAATGGTCCGACATGCTCGTCCAGACCCAAGGCGCCACCCCCGGCGCCAAACTTATCGAATACAACCTCAACACCGCTCGCGGCTCTGGCATCTGGGATGTACACACGCGCATCGGCGGCTCCAAAGGCACCGCGCTACAAATCGCCGAATGCCCCAAATACTCGGTCAACCAAAACTGCATGGCCGCACATACAAACGTGCACATCACCAAATCCTCCTCGGGCGCGTACTTTGAGAACAACTGGTTCTGGACGGCTGACCACGACCTCGACGACCGGACCAGCACACAGATCTCCGTCTTCACGGGCCGCGGCATGCATGTTGAGGGCCAGAATGTGTTTCTCTGGGCCAGCGGTGTTGAGCATCATGCGCTGTACCAGTACCAATTCAACAACGCGCAGAACATCTTCGCCGGCTTCATCCAGACCGAGACACCCTACTACATGCCCTCGCCCGACGCGAAGAACCAGCCCTACGGTCGCTCCGACGCCTTCGCCGACCCGGACTACAACGCCGCGTGCCCGCCCGGCGGCATCTGCGACGCGTACGGGCTGCGCGTGCTCAACGCGAAGAACGTGATGATCTACGGCGGCGGCTTGTACTCGTTCTTCAAGAACTACGACGTTTCGTGTAGTTCGCCCGACGCGCCCAATGGGGCGCGCTTGTGCCAGAATCAGATCTTCAGCATCGAGGGCGACTCGAGCGTGCAGTGGTTTGGGCTGAATCAGGTGGGCGCGGAGCAGATGGTTACGATTGATCGGCAGGACAAGGCGAAGTGGTCGGATAACCTGAGTGTGTATCCGAACACGATTGGGTGGTTTACGTACAGCAAGTAGGACTTGGTGTGTTGGATGTCGATGTGCATCTCCCCTATGTTGTTTATTATGTTCGTTGTATATATTTACTGGATCAGCTATAGCCGCTGGGATAGGCTTGTGGGGGTTTAGGTCACTCGTTTCTGGGAAACATTGTTTGGGTAACTTCGTGGGAGGTAAGTTGGAAATATACAAACGCAGTATTGGTCAAACTCTCTTCATATCGTTTCTGGGTATCTCTCCTGTCTATATGCTATGCTCGCTCTGATGTCATCGCTACTGTCCAGCCTCAACCCGCTGCGGCGCCCACCCTTTCAGCCAACTCCGAGCTCGTTCAAGATCCCCACCCTCCGCTTCCAGCGCCGCAATGCACCACTCCAAGCCATATCCACCTTTACCCTCGATTCCCTTCTCCGCGCTCATCATCTCAGCCAGCGTTCGATTCTTCTGACCCCTCTCATCGACGCAGAAGTGCAGTGGCGTAGCATACCCCCTCCCATCCATGCCTTCCAAGAACGGCTTGACAAGTGGGATCGCTTCTTTCGTGGGCACGCTTCTATCCTCTTGTCCGAGATTCTTGCGTCCAGTACGACAATACTCATTTCTGCACCAGGCCTTTCCACAGCCGCTCAGGAGTTGCGATAGATACCGGCGCTCGATGCGACGGCGCAATGCTTTGCCTTCTGGGTCGTGCAAGGAAACGTAGAGAGGGCCGAAGCACACACTACACAGTCCGATCTCGTTGCCGGGTCCCTGACCTTTGCGTGTGCCAGCTCGCGTGTCACCCATTTTGTTGGCGCCGTCCTGTGTGCGGCCGCAGTTGATGTTGCGACATTCGCGCGGTGCAGGGCGGGATAAACGCTCGAGATCATGGTGTCGAAGATGAGTCTCCATATCTCTGAAGCGCACGATCTTATTGCAGAGATGACATTCTGTTGTCCTACCACCGTCGGCAAGCTCGTGTGGTGTCAGGCCTGAGAGCAAGAGCTCGGCGCTTGCGGGCTCATTAGGATCACCTTCTTGTGGAACTTGCAGATGGCAGAAGCGGCAAAGGATGAGTTTGCCTGGGCAGATGGTGGTTTTGTGGTGTGCGAGAGTTGGCATTGACGGAAATTCGATGTCGCAGGAGGAGCATGTTTGTGGAGTATGGTATATGGCGTCATGCTTTTGCCGACTTAGAGGGGTGCTGCCAGTGAAGGTATCATGCGGACAGTGCCAGTGATTCTGGAAGTCTGGAGACCGCTTCTGGAAGACTTGACCACAGCCCTGAGGACAAATAACATTGTTCCGAAGACAAAAGTTCTCGTGGAGGAAGAGGGACGATTTAGGAACCCATTGATTGCAATTCTTACATTGCACTTCGTCTGCGCCATGTGCAACTTCTGTTTCCATCTCTCCATTTGTCGAAGGAGCAACTTTCGGGTCGAACATGGAGACGCCCAGGCGAAACATTTTGGGCTCGCTCGAAGGCATGTCGGAAGGGTATGCTCGGACTGAAATGTATAGAGCTTCGGCTTCGTCAAGCTCCGCATTCGTGGGTTGCAATCGTATGCGCTTCGGGTATCGACTCGACATATCTGCAAAGACGTGCTCTTCTTCTCGAGGCCGGACTTGTTGTCGTGAGGAGTATGGGCTTATGAACAGGTCGATCTCGTGGTCGTCGTCGACCTCGCTCAAAGTTATCTCCAGTCCCTGCGTCCTGTCCCATGACGGTAGTTCGTAGTCTACGTATTCGCCATCCAGTATCTGTCCCTCCTGTGCCTTGAATATGTCGATGGTGCCACCGGCTGAGCTGCCCGAGCTTGTCCCAGGCGCTCGCTGTCGCTTTGCCACAATCTTCTTGAGCGTCTCTCGCGCCTGCTCTTCGTTCAGCGCCTCAATATCGACCTCGATATCGGTGTCTATGACCGTGATACCATCGCCTTCAGGCTTGAAGCCGTCCACGAGGAAGCGAAATTCCTCGCGCTTGCCACCGGCTCCCCGTCCGCCGTGTACTACGAGCACTTCGCCGTTGGTAAGGGTGGTGAAGTTTGCGCGCAAATGCTCCTCGAGTAGCGACTTCCAGTCTTCGGGATCGTAGCCTGCCTCGAGAGGCCGAAGCTTGACGAAGGTGCCCTTTGGTAATTGCTTGGCGTGTATAGTGATCCTGGGAGCAGTGCCTTTTACGACGAGCTGCTCGACGCCATTTTCCATGACCTCATCTTCACCGCCGTGGCCGTTCGGACTTCCCTTTCGTGAGGGTTCCGCTGATTGTGCTTCAAGACCAAGTGCTTCTCTTATAAAGTTGCTGAGCACGACTTCTCCCTCCTCGGCCGAGAACTCGCGCACTCCTGCGTATAGCACCCTCCCATTGTCCGGGTTCACTATCCGAAAGGTAAGCGGGTGTGGTAATTGCTGGTGGCGATCCTGGAATTGCGCGCGTGCTTGTCGCTCGGCGTTGAAGGTATACGGATTGAAAGGGTCGAAGGCTGTGATGTGGGGGCGGTCGTTGTCGAATGTGACTATGGGCGCCGCAGCAAGAAGTTGCTCCAGCGCTGAAGGCGGCAGGAGTATCTTGTCGCCGGGCAGTTGAGTATTGCGCGATGAGAGGGTGTATTGCGCGGACCACTTAAGCTCCGCTGGCTCGGGCTCCGTATCCATGGCGATAGTTGAGTCAAGGTGGTGGAGAGAGGAAGGGCGAGGCCATTATCATCCTCGTGAAATAACCTTAGCACTATATTTGTTCGAGGCTGATTCTGGCTGACGAATAGGTTGCGGCTCTCTGCTCGAAGCTTCGACCCTGGAGTCTGGCGTCATCACCGGCATCGCCTTCCTTATCGATAACCGCGCGACTCGGCCATGCACTTTCACTCGCGTCAACGCAACGCGTCCATATCGGAGTGACATGTTCGCGGAATACCACGTCAGTAGAAAGCCTGAAGAAGCAAACCTCCTCATCCTATCAAGAGCTCAAGACCTCCATCGGCCCGCTCACCGCACTTCACACGCATTATCATAACGCAATCGGCGCTCGCAATCGGCGGCGCCCCAGTTTCGATATGGCAATAAGCATTGCTAACACCGACCACAGCCCCACGTTCGCAGTCTGATGCTACATGTCTTGCAATGCTTGACGACTCGGTTGAAGTCATTCTTCTTCATGAAAAGCTCCAGAGTTTGCACAACGAGTAGCCGAATGTTCCAGACAGTCTGAAGCCCCGAAATCGCATTCAAGTTGTCGGCGAATGGACCCTGACATGCTAGCTGTCAAGCTTGGCTGGAAGATCTCCTACAGGGTAGATGATGATCCCACCACCATCGCCTTGACGTTCCTTACGCCAACTGCGTTTCACCCCCCGCCCTGCTTTCATTCTCAACATCTACCTGCAGCCGTGTCAGACTTGTGACACGTGCCCGTCTGGGCTGCAGACACACTATATTCATAAAGCCTTGGTAAGTACCTTAATCTTCAGCACCTCTCGCCTGCTTGTGTTCCTACACGCACCATGGCCTCTTTTGTTCTTGACCATGTTCCAACTTCCCTGGTGGACCTCTTGACCAACACATTGATCCTACGCCAAACCGCCCCATATCTACCTATCAGTTCTCTGTGCGCCTTGGCGAAGACATCCAGAGCGCTTCGGCACATCATCCGCCAGTCTCCAGAAGCCTTCCGTTATCTGGATCTTTCTCCCATCAAGTCTGCAATATGTCCTATCAAAGAGCCACTGGATTCTGGTGGTAACAACTGGCGACGTGAGCGTATGGATGAGTCGCTCACCGAGGATGATTTCTATTCCGGGCCACTACGAAGCATCTTCTCGAAACTTGAGCAGCAACAAGTCCTCCGCAACGTCAACACACTAGTGCTTGATGGTCTCAGCGTAACAGCGGAGTGTGTGAAGGAGCTGATAACAGAAGATCGATACAACGTCCGCATCCTTTCGATCCGAGAAGTGAAGCACTTGAACGAAAGGAAGCTTCAGCAGTACCTACGATATGCGGTGCGCCCATCGAGACCAGCAGGGACGCCACGCGTCAAAGGCATCTACCTTTTCGGTCCTCGCGACATCGCCCCCCTTGTTACATCGCCTGCGAAACGATCCGCCTCGCCCGATTCGCGAGGGGTCATGTCATCGCGAGGGGTCATGTCATCGCAAGGGGCGCAGATAGGCGCAGAGTGGAACCAAAAGTCGACAGAGGCACTGAACACGGCACTGGCACGGACACAAGACAAATGGTACCAGTCTTCGGGCAGAATGATAACAAAGCGTCCGTCGTCAGACTGGGCGGAGATCCTGCAGGCGTGCGAGGGCATCATCGCATTTGATGCTGTGTTGTGCCGGGGTCCCAGGCACGACCCGTCAAAAGCCTACATCAGAGAAGGATCTGCTAGTAGCATACCGCACCCAGCTTCATTCCTTCGCCCTGCAATCGCCACAGTCGCTCTGGGTCCTTCTGGATGCGAGACTTGTCATTCTTGTCCTGAAGAGCCAGCTACCTTCGGGCACTCTTCGCCTGCACACTTCCCACTCCTGAGCCCAGTCCCCCTTCACTGGAGCTCGATTCGAGCAGCTCAGAAGCCTTACACGATCGATGGATCAAGCCCACCTCCTCTTTTTGTGCGGTGTGAAGACTGTCTCAAGGGTCGCTGGTGCGAGCGCTGTCACAAATGGTGGGATGAGGGGTGCTATGCTGGGTCAACGGTAGCACAACGCACCGAACTTCAACAAACCGAACTCCTGGAGACACTCAATACCGACGGACGGACACAGTTGATTCCCAAACAAACCATCAAGGTACATATGGGCCTTTGCACACAGCACTGCCTCCGGGATGAATGGATGGCCGGTGCTGGAGGAGACGGGATGTGGGGATGATATTGCATGCCTTGGCGCGCTGATGATGGTTCACCACTAGGACGTTATGAAGTAGTTGGATTCCGGATACCAGTTTCACTGGTTGGCCTTGGAGACCACTATTGGATAACATGACCTGGACAACCTGACACTTGCGCGCCAAGGTATGTGCTCCACCTTTTGGAAAGAAATAGGCTGACCACTTTGTGTACAGATTGTCGGTGTCCGACGTGACTGCTTCGGCTGCGGTCACACGTGTCTAAGTTGCAAAGAGCTCTTCATTCGCGAATGCAAGAAGTGCGGCAACGAGTATTGTCGAGAAGACAACGAGGCCTCTTCGGAGACAATGGTACGATACCACACAATACAAAAATCTATGTATACTAATATGATCGCAGTGCGATTGGTGCAATTACACTTCTCGAAGAACCCTTAACCTCTATTGAAGGGCCAGATCGAGCATGCATAGAAGATATTGATAACGATTTACGACAACGGATATTTCATGGCGCTCTTTTGCACAACCACTACTCTGCTCATGAAGATAGAACTAGATACCCCTCTCACCCTTCAAACTACTCTTCATTTCTGTTATCACGACTCTGTGCAGCCCAATATGTTGATCGAATTGTGATCTTGCAAGCTATCAACTACAACATAAAGTAAACAAGGCATCTCATAGCCCGAAGCTATTCACATCATCACTAGATTTCGGTTGTGACGGCTGGGCCTTGTGTATAGCTTGAGTCATATTGATCGCTTTCCGTCGTGGGTGATGACCTCAGTAGACACTTGATGTAAGAGATATCCTTGTGATACCAAATCAATAAAACCCGTACGTGATATCAAAGTTAACGCCAATTGAATGCAGACAATTTCTTGTACAAAGATGTTGGAGCATTCGTTGCTACCTATGATGTCTTGGCGCGGCTGAGGAGCTCCGACCCTGGAAGCGACACATAACATGCGCATGCCGAATTGAGCTTCCAACATCACGACAAGCACTACCCGTCTTCTACAGCATTGTTTCCGGTCGCCTTTCACCTCACTCCTTGAAAAACCTGTCACGTGCGATCTGTTTCTTACTACCCCACAAACGCTTGTGACGTACACCGCTCGCTCCACGTACTCATTTGGTCCTCAAGCCAATCCCGCCGAAGCTCCACCAGGCTTCAACATAAGCTTCTAGCCAGATCGCACAACCGCGACGTTTACCATCGACCATAAATCTCGCTCGCTTCAACCTCACAAACATGGCACAATACGGCTACGGTCAGAGTCCCCAATACGGCGGCGGAAACCCACAGAACCTCCAATTCTATTCCTCGTCCTTCTCAAATCAGCCTGTTTCCGGACACTCAACACCATTCCAAGCAGGCTACGGCGCGCCTTCGACTCAGGCATATCCATCACAATATGGCGCTGGGTTCAGCGCACCGGGCGTGAGTGGACAGATGGGCATGGGCGCGTCAGGACTGCGGACAGGTTGGCTCGCAGCATTCGGCACAGAGGGGTATGTGATAATGTTAGAGCAATCGAATACTGCTGACACGTAGTAGATATGAAGGAGAACCGCCCTTATGTTAGCGACCCTAGCCCGTGATTACGAACGACGAGCTGACGATTTATAGTGGAAGAGCTGGGCGTGAATTTTAGCCATATCAAGATGAAGGTGGGCTCAGCCGTTATCCCAGAGTCTGTGGCAATGCTGATATAGCAACAGACTTTGGCTGTTCTTAATCCGTTCGGAAGAATCGACCAGCATATCATGGACGACAGCGACGTCGCTGGCCCAATACTTTTCTTCCTCATCTTCGGCACATCATTGCTGGTACGTTGGAAGGATCTGACACTATTGAGGGACGCAGCTAAGACATTGCAGTTGACAGGAAAGCTCCATTTCGGCTACATCTATGGTATGTTCAAGGCAACTGCACAAAATATGGCCACTAACAATGAAACAGGGCTGGCTTTCGTAGGCACCGTGCTACTACATCAAGTGCTCTCGCTCATGTCACCACCTGTAAACCCAGCAGATGTGGGAGCAGGACACGATCACAACCAGCCCCACGGTTCACATCTCGGCTCTTCTTTGACATACTCAAGATCAGCATCTGTCTTGGGATACTGCTTACTGCCGCTTGTGCTTGTTGCAATGCTTGGTATAGTTGTCCAGCTAGACGGTCTCTTCGGCTATCTCATCACAAGTCTGGCCATCACATGGTGTGCGTACTCGTCCAGTTCGATGTTCACAGTCGTCGGTAAGTTCTCGCCACCCCAATTGTCAACCTTCATACACTGACACACCTACTCAGGTCGCATGACTTCGATGAGAGGACTCGTCGCATACCCTATGGTCTTATTCTATGGCAGCTTTGGCATCATGGCAATCTTTAGCTCAAGAGGAACTGGGCAGCTGGCAAAGGCAGCAGCACCCTAGAGATGAACGGGAACATGCTGCTTGAATTCTCGCATCGAACTCAAGAGCAGAAGTACTTGGACATAAAATATCATCATCGTAAATCAAATAATCTGCAATTCTGAACCTTTTTGCGTTCACTCGCTTTCGAGATTTCGAGCCAATCGGAGTGCACGAGATGGCGGCGATGACCGTGATGACGATGCGAGTGAACCCTGCAACTTCCGAGCGGCCAAAAACTTTGGCATCTTCCCCGACAATCTCCGCCACTGTCATATCTACTTCAGCCTTACATTCAGCTTCACTCTTCAAACCTCATTTTCTTTTCTTTCATACGATTATTCATTATGGGCTGGTTTTGGGCAGACACTACAACATCGGCGCCTGCTGCGTCGATTGCGCCGCATCCAATGCCACGAGGCAACGCAGAGCCTCCGGTACGTCTAACGCTTTCTACAGTTGAACTCTCTTCTGATAGTGATTATAGCCATCATGCCCAATGCACAAGAAAGCGTCGCCACCTGCGAAATCGGAAGTACCCAAGGGCGCATGTCCCTACGTCCCTCCAGAGAACGCCTCATCATCTTCAGACGACGCCCCAGAAAAGCAAGGTCTCCTCTCCCGTCTAAACCCTCTAAACAACATGTTCTCTGAACTCGACAACTCGAAGGCCAGCATCCAAACCCAAGACCTTCCCCTCTCGCGCGAGCAATCCACCATCCCCAAAGGCGACGGCTCACTCTGGGAATACCCCTCCCCACAACAAATGTACAACGCCATGCTGCGAAAAGGCTATACCGATACCCCCGTAGATGCTGTTGAGTCCATGGTTTCAGTGCATAATTTCCTCAACGAAGGCGCGTGGGCCGAGATTATGGGTTGGGAACGCCGCTTCTCCAAGGGCATAGCAGAAGGCTACAGAGTCTGCAAACAGGGCGAAGAGCGCGCAAACCACATTCTGGGCACAGCAGAGAACCCATTCGATACAACGACCTGGGACGACGCTGATATCCCTCCTCCAAAACTCCTCCGCTTCACTGGCCGCCCCACTGAACCGACACCCAAATCGCAAATCCTACAGTGGGCAGGCTGGGCTATGCCAGAGAAATTCGGCACTGCCCCGCCGTTCGACAGACACGATTGGTTTGTCGAGCGCTGCAATTCAAAGGGATGTAAAGAGGTGCGGTATGTCATTGACTACTACGAGGGCGACCCTGAGCCAACAGGCGAGCCGGTGTTTTTCCTCGACGTCAGGCCCGCAGTGGACGGTCCGACGAGTGCGGCAGAGCGCATGGTCAGATGGGGAACAGATGTGTTTTGGCGCGCGAGTGGTGGTGAGGCGAGGATAATGAAAAAGGTTCAAGAGGCGCGAGAGGCGGCGGCAGAAGAGGCGAGTTCGCGGGGGAGGCAGTACAACTGAAGAAGCGTCCACGACTTGATGGGAGATGTATGATGCATTGCACGGCGTTTAGGTGGGTGATTTCAAGAGATGGGCACTTTGCGGTGGGATGGAATGAAGCATTCCAAGGGCCTTTCTTTTCTCATTCTCCATTTCCTTTGTCTCGGTTTACCCAGCTACAACTCTCCCCCACTCTCGTACCATTATTTTCTTGTTTTTTCTATTGTAGTTGTATATTTGCGTTCGAATAATCCCTAGGTGAACCATTCAGCTTTCCACCTTCATCGTGCAAGCATCATCCCATGTGGGCGGGGAAAGACACTCGATACGTGAAGCGCCCAAATTCGATGCGTCCTGCAGGTTTTGTGTATTCAGCGTCGCGTGCTACTAGACCACCATCTACCCCTATCCTCAAATGACCTTCATGAGATCTTGTGCACAAATGGAGGTTCGTCGCGTGATGCGCGCTATGTAGGCCGGGACAGGAGCCACGCGAGCAAATGACGTTGGACTAGTCGCGGTGCGTGACCATGTCGACTCGTTCACATCTTGTGAATTATCTGATCAACTCTGGCAGCGTTGTCTCTTCTGTGCACTTTGTCCGACACATTGAGTAGTACTTCACAATTCAAGTTGTGCAGCGTTGAGCCGAGTGTACCGCAGGACGTCTAAGCTTTCTATACGTTATAACAAACAGTTCCTGCCCTGCATTCTACGGGCGCCGTTAGATCAGCAGCGGTCGACGGTCGATGACGCATTTGGGGCAGAATCTCACCATTGGCCGCGTCTCCGTCCGCGAGATCCGCTAGATGCTAGATGCTGCTCGCACCGCGCACATATCATCTCGCCCAAACCCCGGACGAGGGGCGCACACGACCCGAGCCCTCGTATTTTCTGTGCGGAACACAGTCGCGGAAGCAGCAGGAAGCAGAGCGACGCCGCGCCGTAAAGATGCTTTTGCTGCATCAGACGGGCAGCGTCAAAGTCGGCGAGGTGGTGCGGTACGTACCGGCAGTTGGATGGGCTGGTCTCAACGCGCCGCGGGAGTGTCCCAGGTTGGTTCGGATGAGTGCTAAGACGCGCATGCAGCTATACAGTAACTTACACGCCCTCGGAAGACCGCATTCTGCCCTCGCCTGCCTTCCTTCACGTGCGCATACGAAATACGTCGGCCATCCCGCTGCGCGCCGCCTACCTCCACGGGCCCTACACCATCCACGTCTCCGCGTACCCCTCCACCTTCAACCCAAACCGAAAGAATGACGACTCGAGAATATACGGCAACCCCGAATTCGAGCCCAATGTCAAGGCTGGCGGCCACTGGAATGCGAAGCTGACTGTGCCGGAGCACATGCGAAATGGCGACAATGGCCGGAACGAAGACGGATCGCCTCTGAGTGCGACGTGGATAATCGAGGTCGCCTCGCAGATCATCTTCTCCAACTCTGCGTCGGTGCACTACGAGCTGCTCGTGGCACGCGACGAGCGATCGCTGGATCTTGGCTTCACCGCCGTGACCGGGAACAGCCATGGAGCGCCCGGAAAGGTGACAGACCACCAGCAGAGCAGCAAGAAGCACGTCTCGCACCATCCCGCGCAAAGAAAGGGCGTCTACTCGAAAGCCATACAGTTGGTCGTGGACGATACCACCAGTCTGTGGAACAAACCAGAGCTGCCGGAGTTGAAGGACGAGGATCACAGCAGGAAGAGGAAGTCGGGCGACGAGCAGCATGAGCAGCCTGTAGAAAATGCCAAGCAGAAGCATATCCACCTTGTGCTCGTGACACATGGCCTGCATAGCAATCTGGGTGCGGATATGCTGTACCTGAAAGAGAGCATCGATGCGACTGCAAGGCAAGCACGCGAGGATCGAAGGAAGCGCCGGCGTGAGCAAAGAGAGGCGGGAAAGGCCTCAGAAGAAGCGAAAGACACTTCCACCGCGCCTCTGTCTGGCGGCCAAGATGAAATGCCTGAAGCTCAAGACGAGGATGACGATGACGAGGAGGAAGTCGTCGTGCGTGGCTTCGACGGCAACGTCATCAAGACCGAGCGAGGCATCCAGTATCTCGGCAAGCGACTCGCCAAATATGTGCTGCAACTCACGTATCCAGACCAGCCCTTCTTGCCCATGAAGAAGTCTGTCGGCCAGAAGATATCAAACACGTTTTCTCCGGTCAAGGACAAGCCTGACGAAGGCATACCGGCACACGATGGTAGTACTGTCCAGCGGCCCCCACCTTCCAAAGACAAACGTCTGTACAAGTTCACGAGTATCAGTTTCATCGGGCACTCTCTAGGCGGACTTGTGCAGACGTACGCTATTGCCTACATCCACAAACATTCTCCCGAATTCTTTGCAAAGATCAAGCCCATCAACTTCATCTGCATGGCATCACCGATGCTAGGGCTAAGTAATGAGAATCCCATGTACGTCAAGTTTGCTTTGGACTTTGGGCTGGTGGGCCGCACCGGACAGGACCTTGGACTTACTTGGAGAACACCCACCTTGGCGAAAAGTGGTTGGACTGCTATGAGCAGTGTCTTTGGGAATCAATCCGCCAGCCAACACGACCATGAAGACCCTGGCGCAAAGCCACTTCTCCGCATCCTGCCTACTGGACCGGCCCACGTCGTGCTGCGCATGTTCAGGAATCGCACACTGTACTCGAATGTCGTCAACGACGGCATAGTACCTCTGCGCACGAGCTGCTTATTGTTTCTTGACTGGCGAGGGCTTGAACGAGTCGACAAGGCGCGCAGAGAGAACGGACTGATCGGAACTGTCGCTGTTTGGGGCTTCGGCCAATTGACCGGACAAAATGCATCACCAAATCCGTCAAGAGCCAACGTCTCCGATGATGATAGCGAAGGTCCATTGTCTCCTTCTCTACACGGAGATGACACAAGCGTACCACTGCCGAGCGCCGATACTACAAACCAGGACGATGAGACACAGACAGTGGTGGGACCTGCACAACATCAGTATTCCGAAGGGCAGAAGAAGAACGATGAATCTGATGAAGAGTCGGATCAATACTTCCAGCCGCAAAATACGCTAATGCAGTGGTGGAGCTACATCCGTCCTACGGGCAAGCACACGACCAAAGATAAGAAGATGTTTACACGGAGTCAGACGGTCCATAAGGATGATGAAATAGAGGCATCAGGATCTGGCTCACCATCACATGCTGTAGAGCACAAGAAACGACCTCAAGCAACCCGTGGCGACTCCATTGTCAACAGTTCGAAGAGCTCTCGAGCACCGCCCAAAACGACCATCTTTGAATCTGCTGGCGATCTCATCAACCCTCCAGTACCTCCTCAGTCATGGATTGTGGATCCCTCAACTCGAGCGCGAACTATCTTCCATGATCGAATCTACCACCCAGAAGACATCCCGCCACCGCCGACAAAAAAGCGCAACAATGGTCGTTCAATGTCGGGCGGCAGCGCCATGACAACTGAGTCCACTGCCAGTGCAGACGAGGGCCAGATGCGTGTCGAGGAGAAGATTGCGCGAGCCTACCATAGGGATCTCTCTTGGCGTAAAGTTCTTGTCCGATTAGAACCTGATGCGCATAACAATATTATTGTTCGCCGCATGTTCGCCAACGCCTACGGCTGGCCAGTGGTCAAGCACCTCTGCGACACACATTTCGCAGACACGTACTCCGCCCAAACACGAGATGAAGAGGAACCTGCTATTGACCGTGCGAAGCTTGTTACTGAACCTGTCGATGCTGATGGCGAACATGTGAAGGGACAACATAGCTCACAGCCCCCGATTGAGCGCACGGACAGCGAGCTCAGAGAAGTACCAGACGAATTGGCACCATTGAAGAACCTCAAGAGGCCCCCACAGCGCACCAACACCATGGACAGCACGCGAAGCATTGGTTCGGGCGATTGGGATACATACTTTGGTGGTACTAGCGACGAAGACGATGATAACGACGACCGCAACGCGATACAGAAATTCCTTCAACTCAACACGCCAAAACCACCGACCCCATCAAACCCACCGAAGACACCGCAAGGTACCAGCGATGCTGAGATCACCGACTTCCTATCCCATCATCCTGCTCCCATTCCTATTGAGGTACACCGTGGCCTGGGTGTCAGTCCAAGTAGCAAGTCCCACAGGTCGTCAGTCCGATCACAAGACTCCAGACAATCGCTGGGTGGACCATCTAATCTATTGCCCGAAGGCAAGCAGACGACAAGCCCGCCTGCAACTCCATCAGGAAATATCAGCGAAGTGGGTCTCGGACCAAAGCAGTCTCTAGACAAGAGTGTACCAAGTTCACCAGAGGTGCTGAAGGCCGGATTGGGGAGTGAACAAGCTACGACGCCGGGCACAGACAAGAAAGACGACGTGGGTTCCTAGAAGGAGGGTACGGGTTGTTTGCGGTCGGTGGCTAGGAGGCTCAAAAGCAAGCTTGGTCGGCGAGCTTGAACAGAGAGATTGGTAAAACAACTTTCATCTACACATATCCATGGTGGTTTCAGGGTGCCTGTGGCGCTGTGAGACAAGATCGCCTGTGCAACGTGAGGTTGAGCTTGATTTAGGCATGGCGTCCAACAATGCGGCTGTTACACAGACTCGAGCATGGGCACCCGCTGTTGGTAGTATACCCTTAGAAGTTGGTTTGCACAGACAACTCTTCGCGATTCATATATTGTCTAGTTCTTCTACAACATTTTGGTATACACACCCTCTCTTTCTCTTCATTCTTGATACCGCTGGGTTGCTCTGATTTAATCATTAATTTCCGATTTTTAATAACTTTTCCTCACCGAAGTGAGTGAGTACACTCATAATGTGCTCATGACGCCGATGCTCTCTCTGCTTCCATCTTTTTCTCTTCACCTTGTCGTCACCCGGCAACGTCATGTTATTGCATGCTCTTGCCCAATCTGCCGCTTGTTGTCACGGCGTTTGCTCTTGCCTCGACTCAGCAACAACCACGCGTATCAACGCGATCGCTCCTCCTCCACGCAACCTATCGCAACCACCTCAGCGACAAACCCCTCCTCGTACCTGCATTACCCACGCACAGCCCCCAAAAGTACTCGTTCTAGATGGCGGGCAACAGCATCCCCTCACGACAGCCAGCGGCCAGGGTGGGAGGCCAGCGGCGTCGTTTGTCTCGCGCTCCCCCACGTAACGCGGTGCCCAGGTCACAGACTTTGCCTGTCCTTGATGCTGGTAGTGAGTCTGGCGCATCCCATGCAGACTCAGAGTCAGAGCCACATGGACATGCCGCTGCCACCCATGCTCAGGAAGGCGCGAACGTCCTCCCGGCCTCGCAGTCCATGGCGAACTTCCGTAAGTCTGATCAATACAAAACAGTGCGCATTTTTAACAACAATAGATCCTCCTTCAGGCGGTGTTACAGATGATTCGCGCCCTCGCGATCACTCTCCTGTCCCGACTACCGGAAGCGCTTCGAGCGCGACTACTGACATCAAGACCAAGCATAGTCTGCTCTCTGTTAACACGTCTCGCAAGCAGAGTCCTCTTGTGACCTCCCCACTGCCGCCGGCTACGCCCACGAAGGCTCAGAGGGTCCTCGGTACTCTCGATGAGACCGCGTTCAAGAACTTCATTGCTGACGACGAGAATGAAGCTCCCAAACCGACCGGCTTCTGGGGCACCAGCATGAAGACTGCCAAGAAAATGTTGCTCTCCCCAGCCCGTTCCCGCCACCAGCCCGATCCCTACACGCTGACTCTGCCGCCGAACACCACTGCTTCGAGGCCCGAGGAGCTAGAGACTAATTTTGTTGATAGGATCGGTATGGTCGAGACAGGCCGCCCGATGCAGTACGCCCCCGACTCGAATGCTTGCTCAGGCTCTGAAGATGCCGCCCTTCGTCAACGACCGCACCCTAAGACTGTCAACAAGCACTTGGCGCAGAAAGACAAGATTGATAGGCTGACGCCGATCACGGAGGCTTCGCGTGATAGCTTGAGCACTGCTTACCGTGGCGGCGAGAGCAACACGGAGCTCGATGTCATCGACGAATACACTGACCAGTACCGCCCGTACAGCCGCCAAGGCCTTCCTCAACGTCTTGACTCTCTCAAGCCCATTAAGACTAGCGGACTCTATGAGCTAGGCCCAGAGGATGTGTCTCCTATTGATGATGGCAGCGAGCGTCGTCTTCAGCTTGCGGATGAAGGAGAAGAGGTCGACGCGCATTCAGCTACTCCCGTCGAGACAAAGGCGCAGCAGCCAGGTGTGGTTCAACGTCGCAGTCCGCTCCAAGTTGTCGAAGACCGCTTCCTCGACGTCGCTGAAGCAGAACTCGAAGCCAAGAAGCGCGTCGCAAAGCTCGCAGCCAAGAAACGCATCGCCGAGCTCGAAGCTAAGAAATACGCAGCGGAGCTTGAAGTCAAGAAGTACGATGCAGAGCTCAAAGTCCTGAAGTACAACGCAGAGCTCGAAGCTGCGAAGCTCGACTCACCCAAGGAAGACATGTTCGCGGTGCACGGCACGCCCATCGCGCTCAGCAAGGCGAAGCTGCTTCCTGCCATTCAAGGTCAAGATCTCACGCCGTTCGAGATTGAGCTCGAGAGGATCCGCCAACAGTGCGATGACCATGATGCTACCAGGAAGGCCATGGATGCCAAAGTTGCCGGCATGTATCTGAGCCATCAAGCTTTCAAGAAGGAGTTTGAGCCATTCGCGGCTCGTGTTCGAGGTGATGCGGTCGCCGAAGAAGTTGAAGAGGAAGACGATGATGATGACGATCTCGTCTCCATTTCCAGTAGCATCGACCTGGACGAGGAGCCGACCCTCCATGTCGCCACCGCTATGACCATCACCCGGGTCACTCCGGGTATGGTCAAGCTCATCGACATTCCTCCCCGGAGGAACAAGAAGGCGGCGGAGAAAGAGAAGGAGGAGATGAAGGCGAGTCCTGATCATCCTCAGGGTCTATAGTATCATCGAAAGGTGATACTATAGTACACTAAGGCTATCCAGCTGTACATATTATATATGCTAACGTTCATTTAGAAGTAGGGCTGAAGATTCTCGCGCGCGTACTGTGCATGAAGTGGAAGGACGGATTGAAGGGGCCAGGAGGGCCATGATTGACGGAATTGAGGCTTTCGGCCTGGAAGATACCCATAAAGCCGCCACACAGATGGCAAATACCAGCCCATAATAATACAAAATCCCACCCCCAACTCCAATTTCCACACCAAACTACTAACCCTCCACCTTCACCATCTCACCCAGGCCCACAAAGTACCCCTGCGCAGCTTGCACCTTGACACCACCCTGCAGTCCCATGATGAACTCTTGCCTCAAATCCTGATGCGCCTCAAACAGCATCGTCCACGCTGCCGGATCGTTCCGCGCGATGATGTGGAACTGCTGACTCGGCCAGTGCGCAATCAGAACATGGAGAAGCAGTCTGCGCAGCGGCACAACACCAGAGCCCAAAGCAAGACCCTTGGTCTGCACCCACACGAAATTCATCAGCGTCGGCGAAAGTGGGTAGTACACTCCGATACCTGCGTAGATGCGTGCGAGCGTGTGGTTCATGAATGAGGGACCAATAAGGCGGTGTGCGAGCAGGTAGGCGTGGATTGAGGGCGGGATGAAGTCTGTCGTGGATAGCGTAGTTGAGACGGTGGTGGTGGCGACGTGGTTGTTGGAAGTGTTGGCGGTGTATGATGCTGGCAGTGCGTCGACGCTCGGGGAGTAGCCGGATTTGTAGATGTATGACAGGAAGAGGGAGAAGATATCGGGCGAGACGAAGGTCGGGGGAAGGGAGAGGATGAGTGGTCCGGAGGACTTGTCAAGGACGGGTTTGGGGTTGGGGTTGGAGTTGGAGTTGGGGTTGACATGTCCTCCTTCCTCTTCTTTCTCAGAAGTAGACTCGAGTTTGCGCTTCTTTTCATCTTCGATCTTGGCTCCTCCTTCTTCCTCTGATTCGGGTTTGCGCTTCTTCTTCTTCTTCTCGACTTTGACTTCGTCGGGCTCTTCGAGGGGTCGCTTCTTCCCTGGCCCCATACCCATCTCAATCATCTGCCTTATCTCCTTGCGCAAGAACGTAGAGTGATGGCAGAGAAGCGCGATTGGTAGGATGAATTCTTCGCTGGATATCTGGAGAGTTAGGGCGGGGCCGCGGATCCTGGATCAGGCCATCAGTAAAGGGTAGGAAGGGGAGGGGCAACGCGTAAGACGTACAGGTTCCGAAATACGAGTTCTTGGGAAGGCGCCTTTGGGTAGGGATGGCGTGGGGCTGGCATTGAGGGGGTTGCTGGGGGCGTTGGGAGGGCTGTCGAGGGTTGGAGGGTCATGATTGCTGGGGTGGAGGACGGCTTTGGTTTGAGGGGGATCTCCCGAAGTTGAGGCATGGCGGAGATATGGAGGAGAAGGATTGGTGGGTTAAGAGGAAGGTTCATATCGTTGGATTCGGTGCGGGAACAAGGTGAGTGAGGCTCGTTGGCGCTAAAAGACGGGTGAAGTTGACTTGGTGAGTGAGGACGAGGTAATTGAGATAGCATTATCGATCGTCAAGTAGAGGTTAATGAAGCGCGAGAAAACCTGCATTCTTGTTCGTCAGGGTACTCTGTAATAGCTTCAGCTGCTCGTCACGCCCATGCCAATTTCAATATAGCGTAGCTCATATCCAAAGGACTGAAAGCTCTCCAGTTTCCAACGTCCAAAGTTCCCCATTAAGTACCAGTTTCTCGTTTGCCAACCAGCACCTAGTTCTTAGGCATCTCGAGGTACGCAGCCAGCGGCTTAGTGTCGAGCGCCTCTTCCCGGCCAATATCCTTACTAGCGAGAGCGGAGAGTAAGAAAGAACTGAGATCAGGATGTTCAGCCAGGAGGCCCAACCAAGCTAACTTGTTCTTCGAGTACTCTGTGAGGTAATTCCAGTGCTGTGGGAACGTGTCGAGGAAGAAGTTGGGAAGTTGAGAATACTGCTCAGTCTGAGTCTAGCATCACTCTGCCTCCTCCGTGATGAAGAAGCATGGGCTCGGACGAGATGCGTCAAATGCGAACAGCACGTGAATCTCCGTCATCAAGGTGTCTTTGAATCCACTCGCTGTGAGTTTTTCGCCAAGACTCCAGAGCTGGAACGCTTCACACGATCGGAAGGTTTCACTGGCTGGTAGAGTAGCAAAGTACATCCATTGGACGAAGCGCTGGAACAGCTCTGGTTTGCAGTCTAGGAGTGCGATCTTTCGTAAAATTCCCTTTTTGATAGGCTCTTCGCAAGCGGTACGAAAGTACTCAGAGTTGACGATGCGAAGTGCCTGCGGGATATACCAGGTTGCAATGTTCGGAGCTGCACCGGCAACGACTTCTGCTGAAGGTCCTTGGAGACTGAGTGCTGTAAGTATGTTGCAAGATAACTGGCAGCATTCTTGTACTCACAGAGGTAACATCTTTTGCAAGTGCTCCGCAAGCTTGCCTTCTTCTGTCATCGGTGCCATTTTGAATTCGAAGAGATCGTGTTTGCATCGTTCAAACTATTTGTGCTCCGATGCTTCGTGTAGCTTTCGGGCAGAACAAGCTTCCTGTTTGACTGTGTAGAAAGCCTTCAGAGGATGCTGACAAGGGGATAGGCGTCTTTGACACTAGTGGGGCGTGAAAGTGGAGTGAAGCAACAAGTTCTCAAGTTCTCATTAATCACCCTCACACAAAGGCCGACAGTACAACTGAGATACAGTGAAACCATTTTTAATGGTGAAAAGCGGCGCAAGCACCGCATATGTTATGTAAAGTTGAAAGTATATACAAGAATCCTCACTCAGAGCCATCGATGCTGAAGCATTCCTACCACGAAGTAATGTGATGTACATGCCTTCGGGTGATCCAAAGTATTGTTGCCAGCGTCTAGCAAGCCTTGATCGCAGAAGCAGTGTACTTGCAGTTGGCGGAGGGGCCATTGGAAACGGACTGGGGCTCATTGCCGGGCGTCGTACCCTTGAACTCCTCGCAGATGGTCTTGACGCTAGTGGCGCAGGTTCCGGTGATGGTGGCAGTACCACTAAAGGAAGTCAGTTATGTGATGTGAACCACCAGAGCGGCAAGACTTACCCGAAGTTGGGGTTGATACCAACAAGAGTCTTTCCGTTGACGGCCTTGACGTTCTTGACAACGACACTACGAGAAACGGAGTTCTTGCAGTTACCGCAGGCACGGTAGAGTTTGCCGAAGTCGGAGACCTGGAAGCCGTCGATGGTAACAGTTCCCTGACCATTTTGCTGGATAACCTTGTCGGACGCAGCTTGGGCACCTCCACCACGGATAGTGGCGTCACCGTTACCCTTGAGGGAGAGAGCATCCTCACAGACATCGACCCACCAGACGTTTCTGTGCATCTGTCAGTGACTGTTCAAGATAAGTGAGCAGATGCCGAAACGTACTCAATTGTGCAGGCTCCCTTGCAGTGGACACCCTCGATCTGGTCCTTGCCAATGATAGCGTTTTTGAGAGTTCCGCCGTTCTCAACAATGAACACAGCGTCCTTGTCTCCGCCCTCAGTCTGGCCAGTGCACGACACACCGCGGCCGTAAGTCTTCATGCCACCGTCGAAGGTACCAGAGACGGTCTGGGGGGCCTTGAGGGCGACATTGCCTTTGGAAGCGGGGATTGGAACACCGCGCTTGCTCAGGCTGAAAGCACCAACGGGAGCGTTGGCTGCAGGTCCAGCTGCAATGGGTGCGACGAATGCAGCGATGGCGGCGATAGTGGCGATGGTGAACTGCATTTTGATGATAGGAAACGGAACTTTCGAAGTCGAAACAGGGATTCTACGTGAAAAGTATATATAATGAAGGTAATGCTCTGCAAGAGTGTGGATGGCGAAAACGAGGCTATAAGCAAATGCAAGGCTGAAAAGAACGGGATAGGATGAGACGGTTTCTCCGGCGTCCACCAGTATACTTATAAGAACGATAGTGCTCCTTCTAGAAACTCTCGAATCCGGGTTTTGTGATCGACTTGTCCACAATCAGTGTGTCACACCGGAGCTTCGTTTACGAGGGCCCACCACACCGTTTGAAACTGAACAGTGTCCACATCACAAACTTGGCGACTCTTGGCTTCCCATGCTGGAGGGATTCGTTCATTTACTGGCAGACGCCTGGCCGGAAGGAAGTGGTTCCTTGGTCCATGTTCGTTTCTTGACTGGGTGTTCAAAACACTCTAGATTCGCGAGTCGGACCGAAATGGCATAGCGCCCTCCGTCCCGCGATGCGCGATGTTTCAAATCCCATGTTCCAAAAATTCCCCCAATCACCATGATGAATATGACCAAGCTAGCCAAATTCCCTCCCGTCGGGACGCGTGCATAATCGCTTCAGATGCTAAGCGGGAAGTCATGCACCTCCCTGAACGGAGTACGACAATCTGCGTGTCCATCACATCGACAACTTGGTGTACCCCGCAAAGTCGCAATATAAATTACTCCGAAAACTGTCAGTTCTCGTCTCGTGGCACTGAAACGCTAGAACTACATCTATAAGGCGTACAAGAAGCGCGCAGCACGCTTGGCGACAAGTCACACTCCATCAATTGGTGGAATTCGCAGCATTTGGTATGCGCAAGATTGGAAACACAGCGCTCTTGTCGTAAAATGCTTTTCGTCCACCTCCTTGCTTGTCATGTCTAAATGGCCAAGATGGAATAACTTAAAAATCCTGACTCAATTGCTTGGGTTTATGTTCGTTGTTGAGCAGTTCGGTGTACGGGCCAGCCCGCAACGCAAAGGGCGCCCCTACCAGGCGGGTCATGGGTGGGCTTCAGAGTTCGAACCACCACTTCAATCTCGGAGCGATTTGTCCGGTGCCTAGCATGCCAGCCTTGCCCCTCCAGTCGGGATCTACCGGACGACTGATGAATATGGCGCGTCCGCCGCGCGGTACGATCGATCGTGCTGTCTACCTGGCTCCTATCTTTCGCACAAACACCGGCGACTTAGCAGTAGGATCAAACGAAGTTCCCGATCGATATCGTACGGTCGATCGTAATAGGACTGAAGCAAAAGATTTCTGTTGTAGGCGCGACAACTTCTAGCCCACTACGGTCCGGCATCGGCCAACCTCAGGCCGCCCTAAGCTCAGTACCTAGTGGAAACAGGGCCTCGACAGGCGGTTTTGCCAATACTCGCTGCTGAACATGCGGCACACATTCCAGCCTTATATTGCGAACTCCACAGGCGGTATCTCGATATCAATGCAAGCTTCGCCCCACATGTCGTCCTGCAGATGATCCTCCACGACCATGACATGCGCGTCATGCTGTCTCCGAAAAACGAAGTGCACAGTTGCACCTCATAAAACGCACACCGTGTGGTTGAACTGAATGTACGCAGAGCTTAATGCCATCATACTGTGAGAAGAGCTCGCTGGTCGTGAAACTTCAATGTGTTCTTAACTTGACGATGGCGGACGTAGCTCATGCCCTTGATGCAGTTCCATAGTAGCACTGTTCCTAACTCATCCTTGCCCCATTCGGGAGTGAGCACGATGCTTTTTCGAACATCTTGAGAATACGTAATAGCCATAGTAGCGAGTCCCGAGGTTCGTCTGGGAAGGTTGAATCCTGGATCAGACGAAAGAGCTGTGCGGCGAATACACGGCCTTGTTTTGAACACAGTCAGCGGCCTGAGCGGTACCCATCTTGCCATGGACTCAAGAAGCAATGCGCAGTTTGGGACATTATTTCATCAGGCATGATGACTTGTGGCCAAGTATAGATGCTTCGCGCATAAATCCATGGGCTAGGTTGCCCTTTCACAGCCGCAGCACCTAGAGGCTTCGCAAACATCGCCCTGTCACCGCCGGTGTAAAGCTCGCTTTTACTGTTGCCGAACTGGTCACTGACTTGAGTCTAATGACCAGTCGGTGTCTAAGGCGGCAGACTTCTGATTTAGCAGTGACAATCGATCATAGACGCATCCCATAGTACCGCCGATATAATCTCTTCGAGCAGAGGAAGTACTAAGCTAGCGAGTATGTGCTCAGTGGATCAAGTGTAGTCAGATTGGGCCAAGTCTGCCGCGTCGCTAGAGTGAAGTAGAGGAGGTATGCCGAGCAGTGTGTAAGGCAGAACCATGCTTGAATCAAAAGCCGACGGCGCGATGTATCGCCGTATTGGCAGCAAGTGCCTGCAGGCGTACGGAAGAATACAGCAATTCTTCTGGAACGCCGTCAACGCAGATTGCCGCAGTAGATTACCACGTTGCGCTCCTGGAGAATCTTTTGTAGCTGAACGACGGTCGACACAAGAAGTGCCCAAGTTCCGCAGCGATTGGTGGTATGTTGGTGAAGTTTTACCACAAACGATCGACGGGCCCGTCCAAGTCTTGTAACCAGTGCATGATTGAGTCGTTATCCCTTTTGCTCTGCCCTCGATGGACTGCGACTTGGCCTCAAGCTGCTGTGTATCCTATGCGTCCATCTCATTTGTCTGCTCCGGTTTTCCAACTCATCTTGATCGACTTGAAACACATCCTTTTGCATCATCTGAGTCAGACCTGACGTTCGCTGGTGCTTGAACGTAGTCGAATCCGTTCCTAGTCACGATCAACAGATTTTGCCTTTGTCAACAGCCGTCTTCATGCAGCATCTCGTAAGTGAGCGCTGGGCCTACCCATGTCGAGTCGAATTGTTCGTTCGTACTACTAGGTAATGTGGAAGCTCTTTTTTGATCTGAGTGAAAGTCTCCTTAGGCTATGATTGGTGGAAGCCAGCGGTTGGTTCGAGTACAATGTATACCGATTTTCAGTTGTGATTTGTGCCGTGAGCGATGACCTTGGACAACGACATCCACCTGTTTCCCTTGCGCCGTGATCGATGATGACGCGGCCTGTAGTTTATTTGTTGCGTGGCTGGTGTTGGTGGCTGGGACGTGTCCGGCAGTTGTGAGAGGAGGACCTGACTAACGTAGATCTGCTTATGTGAGCACGCGCTTCGATATTTGGTCGCGTCGACCATCCCATATTTCGACAGCTTCCATCAAGTTGCGTGCCCAAGGCTAAGTGGTTGTTACTGCTCGACCTGAACTTCCCTTATCAGTGAGATGCATGTGATGTCGGTGAGCTTCTCGGCCTGGGAGACGTTAGCTAGGTACGCGTCATGACAACAGCGACCGCTTAAACGCATAGCGACACAACAACAGCTGTTGCAACCGACGTTCTGTTGCAGTTGCGAGGATGCCGAATGCTCAGTGGCGTTTAGCGCCGGATTCCGAAAGCATGGACTCACGACCGATAAGGCGTGCGGCCCGTGAGCGGGTGAAATTGCACCGCCGTAATGGGATAGGCTGCTTTTAGCTTACATGTAGGAGGAAACCTCAAGCGGTTATCAGGTCTGTAGGCCAGGAACAATCATCACATACGTCCCCATGTCTGCAATTGCTTTACATTCAGCTTCGTCACCTACCAGGGCTGAACACTGGCATTTCGACTACCCTCAGGCCAAAATTCGAGACTCAGTAACGATAACCTTGCCAGTAGCCGTCGAAACCAAAGAAGATGAGCTGGATATACCACCGAACGGAGGCTTGAAAGCATGGCTACAAGTCCTTGGGTCATGGATGTTGTTCTTCAATACCTGGGGCATTCTTAACACGTAAGATCTTTCAACCTGCTTGGCTGAGGATGAGCTAATGCATGAATAGATTCGGCGTTTACCAGACGTATTACGAGTCTGGCGTACTTTTCAAAACTACTTCTTCTAACATAGCTTGGATCGGCTCAATTCAAGCTCTCGCCATGCTTGCAACTGGTGCATTTGCTGGGCCCTTGTACGACCGTGGTTACTTCAGATGGCTGCTTATTGTAGGCAGCCTCGGTGTCGTGCTCGGCCACATGCTGCTTTCGCTTGTTGCAACATACTGGGAAGCCATACTGACCCAAGGGTTCTTGGTTGGAATCGGGGGCGGCTGTCTCTACGTCCCAGCGGTAGCAATCTTGCCAACTTATTTTACTTCCAATGTCGGGTTAGCCTTGGGTATTGCGGCATCTGGCAGCTCGACTGGCGGTATAATATACCCGATCATGTTCTACAAGCTGATTGATAAAGTTGGATTCGCATGGAGTGTGCGTATATTAGGCTTCACCGCGTTGGCAACTTTGATCATTCCGTTCGCGGTCATGAAAGTGCGCGCCAAACCAGCCAAGGCGCGATCAGCCATCGATTGGACAGCTTTTAGCGATGGCAAGTTCATGACGGCGGTCGCGGGGGTCATGATGGGCTTCACGAGCTGCTATGTCACAGTATTCTACACATCGTATTTTGGGACGGCTTCTGGCATCGTTGATACAAGCTTGGCCTTCTACCTCGTTCCTATCCTCAACGCTGGATCAATGTTCGGTCGAACTCTACCCAACTGGTTGTCCGACACGATAGGGCCGCTGAACGTCATCATGCCGAGTGAGATAGTCTCTGATGTACGGAAGTCCATGAACTAACGGCTCTCAGGTGCTATGATCGTGGGTGCGCTTCTCTTCTGCAATACAGCTGTTGTTTCAGCTGGCGGCATTGTCACGACGACTCTATTACTCGGGTTCTTTGAGGGCGTTTTCCTCGCACTCCCGCCCGCAGTCTTCGTTACGCTTATAGAAGACAAATCTAAGATCGGCACGCGCATTGGTATGGGATTGGCTTTGGCTGGCTTAGGTGTCTTCCCGGCAGGTCTTGGTGGCGGCGCACTTTTGGGCTCGCACGTTGATCAACATTTCAGAAACCTCTGGATCTTTGGAGGCGCCTTTGCCATATGTGCTGGGGCAATTTTCACTGCACTTAGAGTCTGGAAGGGTGGGTTCGGCCTTTTTGTCAAAGTGTAATGGTGAGTCTGGACAGGTCTGCTTTCCCCAAAAATCCCATCCCTATTGAATGAATAATAAGAAGTCCGGATGCTTCCAGGTCTGTTCTACTCAAGATCTAGGAACGGAGCATATCATTCTAGACATAAATTGTACTGTATTGCTATGTTATTAAAACATGGAACATCACATTTCGCAAATAGATACGCTGAAAATCGGATTTGACATTCCATATCATGTCTCGACAAAGCGCCAATTTGCTACAGGCTGACACGGTTTTGATGGGTGAGAAGTCACGACTTTTCAGCATGCACTGCAACACTGCGATGTGATCATACAACGAGCAGAGCAATTATATGCATAAAAGTCATTGAAAAAAACCCCGAGTCTATGGGCTAAAGAAGAAATATTATGGTGCTACTCAAGATCTGATGTGGCTGTTCACGCCCTGCTCATCGTCGGGGACGAAGAATGTCGCGTGCCATACACAAAACAGGAAGATCTCCATCCGTCTACCAGCCCAAGTTTTTTATGGCAGAAGCCTACATAGCCTCAGATCTGCAGTCCATTCCTATTGTATGATGCCTGAGGATATTCAGGTGCTTGGTACAATTTCGTCGGTTTCCCGGAACACCTGCATGGAACCGCACGCACTGGGTGATTTTTTTCTGGATGCCGACGAGCGAAGACATAGATTCATTCGAATATGAGTAGGATCGGCGCGTGAGAAAAGAGTGCGATCGCTCTTGTTGCACAGCTCTGAGTTGTGATTTCCCACCCGGGCGCCGAGCACCGACGCACCGCGAAATGCTACAGAAGCCACATATCGAGTCCAAGTTACCAAAAGACGAAGGGAACTTGCTATTTTGGAAAAATCCAAGTCCAAAATTCTCCTCTTTGTTTCAGACACGTCTGAACGCACGTGGCATTATCGAAAATGACTAGCTGGGTACTCTTTCCTCGTCTCCACCTCGCCGAAATCGAAGACCAATCTTGGTGCCCATCGTGGCTTCGAGAACACACCCACAGAGCCTTGGCTCGCATGTGGCAGACATCCAATAGCAAGAATGGTTCTCCTGCGACCCAAGCCTGCGACCTTCTCCTCCGAACCCTTCGTGGACCACAAAATGCATCTCAATTCACCTTCGTCGATGCTTGTGCTGGTGCTGGAGGCCCAACACCCTTATTGGAGAAGAAGATGAACGAAAAATTGACCGCGAGCGGATATAAGCCTGTTGACTTTGTCCTCACTGATCTTTGGCCGGATCTGAAGGCTTGGGAGGCCATTGCCAAACGCAGTGAGCATATCTCGTTCATCAGGGAGCCAGTGGATGCTACGAAACCCCGAAGGATGGCAAAGCCAGGAACTAAGGAGTGTCGCATTTTCAACCTGTGCTTCCATCATTTCAAAGATGACGCCGCGCAAAAGGTCCTTTCCAGTGCGGTGCAGAGCACAGATGCTTTCATGTAAGTTCAGTGTACATACAAAACGGATCGCGTGAAGCTGTTCTCGCGTACTATTCCAGCCGGCGCGATCCTGTATCAGTCATGGCTGCTGAACCAAGCTAATGAGTCTTCCAGGATCTTTGAGATGACGCACCGAACGATTCCTTCTCTCTTGAACACTACGATCGTCATTTTGTCAGTGTTCTTCACCACACTGTACGACTTTTACTGGTCACCAACACACCTGCTGTTTACGTATCTCATCCCGATCGCACCGATATTTTATGCTGTGGATGGGTATGTCTCCTGCACACGAGGTCGTACCGCGGAGGAGACATGGGCGCTCCTGGCTCGCCAGAAGGGTCTGGATCTCAGTGAGTGGGTTCTGGAAAGCGGAGAGCAAACTGCGTTGCTGCCATTCGGCAAGTTGTACTGGTACTCGGGCGTGAAGCGTACCCATGAATAGTGATGGAATCGATGAGCTCGCCGTGAGACTTGGCTAGTACGAGGTTGTATATTACGCGCATGATGAAAAGCCAAGCTGTACATCGCAAAGATTACTCTCTCCACATTCTAAGGTAGGAGACGGAAACGGGTATCTCACATTGTAAACAGAACTGAAGCAAGTTCACTGATGCTGATGAGATTGATTCAAGAGGAACTTCAATTGTCAAAGTCTCGAAGAAATTTCCATCTACCCTTCTCTGCCCAATTTTGATCTTTCCATCTGTTCATGTCTTTTGGAAAGAAACTCATGACATCCAACAAGCTAGAGTCATGCGCAATGACGATCAATACATCATCCCTCCCATCGAAGGCTTTCAGCTTCTCAAGCGTGTTCTGTGCCTTACTCAAGTCTTCCTGCATACCCGGCGCGAGACCAAAGAACGACCCACCTGCTTCTTTCCGCACATGCTGCGAAAGATGTGCACAACAACAGCTTTCAGGCGGCTCCGCTTTGCCCATTACATCTGCAGGAACTGTATCTGGCAGTGATCTAAATGCACTCGGTCGAACCTGCGCAATACTGTGACACACGTCACCCCCCAAGAACACCCACGAGTCTTCTGTTGTTCGACATAAGGCGCTGATATGATGCTCAGTATGACCTGGAGTTTCCAGAACCCAAAATGAGCTATCATGGAAGAGGTCGATGGCTCGGAATCCGCCAATAGTCGTTGAGCTAGTGGAGAAGTCGAGCTCTTGGACACTTCGACCTTGGAACGCACTGTCAAGCACTGGCGATTGAGGATTCGTCGGGTAGCCGGGTATATAGTTGGTTTTGAAGCCCGGACCGACGATGAGTTCTGTCGAGGATGGGAAGACAGATGGGTCGCCTGTGTGATCGATGTGCGCATGCGACCAGATGATCGAATTTATCGTTGCGAGGTCGACGTTATGTTCTTCAAGAACAGTTGCGATGTTCCGACATTCTTCAATTCTCAAGACGTCCTTGTTGTTGAGCATGGGTTGTAATGACGGCGGCGCGCGAGCCGTTACATTTTCCATGAATGCCAAGTCGAAGAGAACTTTCTGGCGAAGCTGCTGTGATTCAACCAAGAAGCAGTATCCAGCCAACTCGAGGTGTTCGTGGTTCGTCGGAGCTGGGTTCACGAGCAGTCCGGCCCGCATGAACGATTTGGCTCCATTTATGACCGACAATTTTACGCAGTGGCCTTGGTATGGCGGGAGTTGGATGTCGGCAGGAAGCATTGTGGTTTCAGAAAAAGCGTATTGCTGTAACACACTGCCAAGTTACGAGTGTGCTGGAAGGTGTTAGATACCTTTAGGTGTCATTGGGGTTCCAAAGCGCAGCGCATACCTTCAGGCGATCGAACAGCCAGATCGAAATTGCAATTTTAGTTATTTTTCTTCCACGCAGTTAACGAAACGCAGTACTAGCGACACGTAGATTGCTCTGTCACTTGACTCCAAAGTGTATCTCTGCATCATCAATGGCTGCGCTAGATCGGAGATGTCATCCTTGATGCCCCGGTAAGCCGAGTATGCTTCGGCGGCCGGGGCCCGTCCGTACTCGCGCAGCGTGCTGACAGCGATGCAATAATTGTTAGAAGGACGGTAAAACCATATGATCATGTAGATATCACGACGAAGAGATTCTAGATTTGACAAACATAAATTCGAATCTTACAATCGAGCCTTCTTCACGATGCCTTCAATCCAGACCCTCAGCGAGAGCATCGCCAAAAACACTGCAATCGTTGAGAAATGGCTGAAGCAAACTAACGCCAAACCACTTTCGTTCGAACAAGGTGCGGAGGAGGAGTTTCCTTCGACTACGAATGCACCTGAGATCGAAGCCGCACGCGTTGCCATCCTAGACGACACCAGAACGCTCCAAGATCTCGTTCTCGGACCCGGTGAAGTGGTCCGCCGCATCTGCTGGGGTGTAAGTATGACACGCATAAAGTTTGAAGCATCAGCTCATTATCTCGACTACAGTCCGTCGACAATTCTGTGCAGCAGTGCATTTACCACTTCAAGTTTCTGCAAGCCATACCCCTCAAGGGCGGCGCCACTTACAAGGAGATCGCCGCCAAGGTTGGTCTATCCGAACCCCAGGTCAAGGCCATCGTCCGACAGTCCGCGACCAATCGCGTGTTGCGCGAGGACAGTCCCGAACATGTGGTTCACACTGCGTCTTCAGCTCTGCTGTTGAGCAACAAGGCCATGATGGACTGGTATGGCCACTGCGTTGAGGAAATGTTCCCCGCTGGAGCTAAGCTCGCGGAAGCTCTGAAGAAATATCAGGGCTCTCATGCTCCTGAAGACAGTGCCTTTGGACTCGCATTCAACACTAGGGATCCCATCTACAAGTATCTTGAGCAGCACCCTGCTCAACAGGCACGCTTCTTTGGCGCTATGGAGGGCGTTGGAAAGGATTATGGACATAGTCTTGAGCACGTCGTTCGCGGATACCCGTGGGCGGAAGTTGGCAACGCCACTCTCGTAGATGTAAGCAAGATGATACAAGCCTGTTCAAAAGTACAGAACTAATTTGATACAGGTCGGCGGCTCATCTGGCTTCATGAGCGTAGCTCTGGCAAAAGCCCATAAAAACTTGACCAAGCTCGTAGTCCAAGACTACAAGCACACGGTTGAGCAAGGTGAGGCGCAGCTCCCCTCGGAGCTCGCCGGACGTGTCAGCTTTATGCCGCACAACTTCTTCGAGCCGCAGCCAGTCAAGGCGGATGTGTACATCATGCGTCACATCTGCCACAACTGGTCGACTGAAAACTCGGCCAAGATTATCCAGAACATCGTGCAGGGCATGAAGCCCGAGAGCAAGATTCTCTTGGTCGAAGTCGTTGTCGTGCCATCGAACAAGGAGGAATCGAGCATTGCTGAACGGTACATGAGGTAAGTCTTAAGCGCCCAGTGCTTCTTTATGCAACCCAAAGGTACGACAGTGCTAACAATCTACCCAGAAATGTGGATGTGACGATGCTCCAGATGCTCAACACGCAAGAGCGCAGCGAAGAAGAGTGGCGCGAAGTCGTGCGCGCTGCCGATCCGCGCCTGGAGCTCACACGCATATTCAAGCCAAAGGGAAGTTGGGACTCTGTGATCGAGCTTTCTTTGAGGGCCAATGAGCCATAGTTGTTGAATATTTAGCCATGAATGTCATTATTTACTAAGCGCTTGTCAACCCATGCAATGCTGTGGTATCTATTTCTTTAACGCCAATTACGATATTAGATGAAACGGAATCTCTTGACCCGAGATAAGGAAATCCGACAACGGGCTCGGAACTTCTCCATCCAGTTCCTCGGCCGACTCTTCATGCGTCCTTCTTCGTTTCCGTAAGCTAGTGGATTCTGATCCTGACACTGACCACCGGGAAGGCTGTGAATGAGATGTACCCAACATCTCGGCTAGTAGATCCGTGTCTGGCCCTTGAAGATTCCCCGAGTTTGAGCCGTCTATTGATGTTGTGAGGCCTGGCCCAGGAGGCATCGTCAGCCAATTGTCCCAAGACATGGACGTACTTGGCGACGGCGTCGGGAGGAAGGCGGACAATTGCCCCTGTACCGGCGGCATAGAGCAGTTCGAAAAAGCGTTGAGATCGGCTTGATAAGGTGGCATGGTTGACATTAAATGTAGTGGGAGCATCTCCGCCACCGGCACTACCGGGGCTGTCGCTTCCAATGGATTTTGTTGAGTCTTGTCGTGCAGTTTCATGAGATTCAGAAGCTGCTCGAAGATCCTGGACACCTTGCGATGGTAATTGTTTGACTGCAAATGTCCTGTACGGAGATTGTAGCAATCGGACACCTTTTGTAAAAGAGCTCGATGGTCAAGTTCAGCGGGAGCTGGAGGAGCTCCCGGTTCTTTCATAGCGTGAAGACAATCTTCCAGCAACACGAAGAATGCCGGGACTGAGAATGAATCGAAGAGACTTCCAAATGGGATTGTGTCGTTGTTGACGACGGTAGTGTCATTCGTCTTGACAGGAGGGGCGCCTGGGGCCATCAGGCTCTGGAAGGCTTGGACTGACTCAGGATCGGTTTCGCCGTGAGCAATCAAGAGTAACAAGCAGCTCGCTTTTGCATCACGCCGAACTTGTGCCGCATAGTCTAGCCCTAGACCGTGTTGCAGAGCAATTATGCGGGTCGCCAAGAATTCAAGGATGATCAAGGTACGGTGTGCGGAGTAGGGCGGTTCCTGGTCGAATAGGCCGACCGCATTTGCATAATCGCTTAACTTTTGTTCCACGAACTTCACTTGGTTTTGTGACTTGTTGCTCGGGCCTGATTTCCGTCGACGCGTGGCGTGCGTTAATTTGTAAACATCATCTTGAATCATTGAAAGTCGGATGCGGTCAGAGTACGGAGCTTGACGCTCTACAGCCGCTCTCAGTTGAGAAGCAAGCTTGCAGTCGTGGGTCGGTAACCAAGAAACAGTTCCGCTTGTAATACACAAGCTCTTGTCTTGAACGTACAGAGACCGAAGAACTTTCGCGCGCTCAAGCTTCTCTTCCGCAGAAGCTTCAGCAAGTGAAAGTCGAACGTGATGAATACCCATGGTTCTCGCGAGCATGCAGGCATGAGTGAAGATCACATCTGCCCATCCAGGTGGATCAAACTGCTTCATAGCAACGCTCTATCACGAGAGTCAGCATATTTCCGGGGCAGTGCAAACGAGTATTGACTGACCAACAGTATTAGAGCCTGCACGTTGATCAACCTCGGAGTGCTCAGTAAAGATGAGTTTACTAGCGCGGCACGATTAGGGAGGAAGGAGCGCGCAAAATCACCAAACAGAGCAGTCTTCGCTTGAGCCGAGAGCTCCATTCCCAGCACAAGAAGAGCGATGGCTCTGAAACATATTGCCCATGCATCATCACCAGGCTCTGGTCGTTGTGAATAAATGCGTTCGAGATTGGCAAGAAGGCTTGCTTCTGAGAAGATGTCCGTCCTAACGTCAAGATGCTGCAGGAAGTGGCCAACGGCTATGACAGCTTGCTGCTTTGGAATGAGTTGACCAAGGAGTGGATCGCTGTGGAAAGGGAAAGGCTCCAGGGCGCCGGCAGCTTCGCATAGATTGTGTAGTAAGCTATGCATGTGATTATCGCAGTCGGACTCCTTGTATACACCGAGCAATTGCGTGCGATATTTGCCACACAGCGCGAATAAAGATGATGGTCCATGGTAGCGATCGGCCATATCGACCTTATTTCGGAAAATGTGCAAGTCGCAAGCGTCGTCAAAATCTGACTGGTCATCGTCTTCACCAGTTTCGTCATTAAGCTCATCGTCCGGTCTAGCTCGCGGATCTAACGGGCTCGCAGAGCAATTGTTATGGCTGTCTGTGCAGCGACCTGAGGCGGCAGCAATGCGGGTGATGTTGCTTTCCATGGTGGCCAATCGACCTTGCAGTAGTTCGAAGCTGTCGCATCTGTCTATTCGTCAGAGTTATCCCGGCTGGAGAAGGTTGAGATTTGACCCACAGTAGTTTGATGTGATTCACCCGTTTTGTAGGATTCTGGTAGACACATTGGACGTCCCCATCACGTTCACAGTTGCTACATGAGGGCCGCTCTCGCCCACAACGAATCTTGCGTTCCCGGCAGCGAGTACACGCTAAGTCAGGTGTAGCATACTCGGAACGAGCCTGTTACATAGTTAGCAGTGCCACGATGCTTTGATTTTTGAACGTCTACCTGTTTGTCGTCGGCTGTCATCTTCGGCCCAGGTCAGTGAGGGGTCGATGTTCGAATTCGACCTGTAATTGTCCAATGCGATATATATGAGTATGAGAGAAGACAGCGAACGAGTTCAATGGACTGTATCGAGTAGTATCCTCTTTGGCTATATGCACCATATGTGATTCGGTCCGCACTCGCAGCAGCTGAATCCCAAATATGGATTGGTTTTGCGGGGATTGCATCGTGTCTGAATACTACGTCAGGGCTTACAGCACCAGGCTAGTGCTGACGTTGAGGATGCATTCGTGGCTTGCAGTTCTGACGGTTGCCTTGTGGGGAACATGAAACCCGAATTTGAAGCCATTTTCTTACGCCGTAAGACCCGAAAAAACAGTATCGAATTCCAAAAGAATGTACGCGCAGATCTAGCGAAGTATGACGGGCTTCCCAGGTCCCGCTCAGCTGAAAGCTGACTGCGCATGTAGTATCTGAATTGCTGATGGTATGAACGCAAGGCTGACACAGCATCTAGGCAAATCGGTTCGTGGAACTTGGGGCGGGAGAGATCTGCACAGCTCATGCCGCCTGCGTTTTCTTGTCACAGGTATGCAAGTCGGTGATTCCCAGTAGGACCGCTGAACCCTAGAGGCAACGACTGTCTAGAGTCCCCGTGCATCTAGGGAAAGTTAGCAATCGGCTTGAAGTGAGGAAACCATGAGGGCCTCATGCATATCTACCAGGATACAGATGCCAATGAGACAGAGTCTTGTGTTCACGGGTTGCCCTAACGGGATGTGAGGGTGCATGGCTAACTTTGATAGCGATAATCAGAGGGCCCACGGTTCATTGAGGATTCTCCTCGCACGAGCTAGGGTGCCGGATGGACCGTTGCGCTTGCGCGAAGCCGCAGCCGCATGCACCATACACATCCGCATGCACCATACGCATCCGCATGCACATAGAGGGGATATCGGGCCGTGCCACGGTGCCACACGTTTGCTCCAAGGAAGCAAGGGCAAGGGTGCAATTTGCGATGGGCAACACCTAGATTCTACCTAGGTACCAGTACAAGTAATTATCAGCGATGTGTGCTGCACAATAATGCACGTCATTGGGCGAGCGGGTATTTCTAACACGAGCTATGGAACATGTACAGGGTGTCGCGCAAGAGCGGCGCATTTTGACCACTCAGCTTAACGATTCAGTGATAGTTTTGTGAGTTGTACCGGACTATAGTTGAATAGGCTTATGCAATTCCTCGGGGCCATAATGAGTGGCCTGACAATCGAGGCAGCTAGTTGATCGCGGTGCCTAGGGTGGGTTAACGGGCAAATGACAAGCTTCCTTGGACAACGCGATCGAGGGAGCTTGTCTTTGTCTCGTGCATCGGCGACGGGGTTTATGGGCCTAGCTTTGAGCTTGTCGCGGGCTCGTGGATCTCATCAATTCGATACGCCCGCCGGACACGTTGACCTGCACGTTGACGACCGTGGCGAGACTCAGTCTCGCCTGAAGTCGTGGATCGGGCTAGCTGGACTTGGCCGAGCTTCCGAGACCTACAGGGCTCCTTCCCCACGCAGCCTCGCTTAACCCTGCGCCCTGTCATCGCGCGGCGCCCCCCGGGGTGATACTTCCTTCACCCCTCCCCATGGCACGCGCCTCGGATTCCGCACGCCCGTCTGCCGTGCCTACTTACAAGGTGCGTTTCAGCCTGAGCATGCTGTCTTCACAGTTTAGTTGATCGAATCAACCACGACTCATTCAAACAAGCAAGTGAAGCGCAAACATGGCCTCATTCCTAATCACCGGTGCTTCTCGCGGTATTGGCCTTGAGCTGGTCAAGCAGTTGCTGGAGCTTCCCGTCTCGCAGGTTGGCACAGTTGTGGCCCTCACACGCAGCAGCGAATGTCCCTCCTTAGCGAAGCTGCTCGGCGCCTACCCAGATCGCACTAGCCATGTTGTTGCTTCTGTGGGCGACACGGAAAGCATCCAGAAGGCCGTCGTGGAGGTCACCGGAAAGCTTGGCGGCCGTGGTCTGGACGTTCTTGTGAACAACGCCGGCGTCCAAGCGTTCGCTCCCGGCGGTACTAGGACGGTCCCTCCCGAACAGCTCAGAGATATCTTCGATACCAATGTGGTAAGTCACAATCGAGGCCGTAGTATTCTTGAAGGCGCACACTTAACACTTCGCAGTATGTAAACTCCTTTGAGCATTTCCCACATTGTCCACTCGCTATGTCTAGTCATGCAGAGCTGCAGTGCTGCCTCTGGTTCTTACATAACGCCAAAACGCCACATGGCGCTCCTTCACACACGATGGTCGAGCATATACACTGACATTCTACCTTCCCTTTTAGTGTCGGAGTGCACCGAGTCACTTCCGCTTTCCTACCCTTGTTGGAGGCTGGCAAGTCGAAGAAAGTGATCAATGTGTATGTTACCCCAAAAACGTAGACAGCCGCATCTAATCGTAGGGCAGCTCGTCCTCGATGGGCTCCCTTACATGGGCGCCAAAGTACAAGATGGCCCCCACGCAGGCCTACAAAGTTTCAAAGGCCGCACTCCACATGCTCAATGCACAGTACGCCCTAGACCACGCAGACGCGGGGTTCACGTTCCTCTGCGTATCCCCTGGCGTAAGTATTTGCCCTCAGCAGATTTCACCAAAACAGAGAGGCTGACGCTGTACAGTGGCTGAAGACTGAATTGGGAGGCGAGCACGCCGAATTTCCTGTCGAGGTTGGTGTTGCTGAGCTGAAGAGGATCATTCTCGAATCAACGCCAGCTCAAAACGGGAAATTGGTCAACATCCATGTTCCTGGCCAAGAGGACAGTTGGGGCCATTACGACGGTGGAGAGATCCCTTGGTAGAGTGGAACTGGCTCTTACTCCCTCCACGAGACTGCGATAAGTGCTCAGCCTCCGGCCGGGTTGCATGTGGATACTCTTCGATAGCGCACTATGAATGATACGGAGTTTTGCTCCGCAATCGACTTCCTCAATTAACTTCTTCTTTCCACGTTACCCACTTCGATATCACTCCAAAAGTTGGAGCCGAATGCTTGATACCTGTATCTAGTAAGCACGGGTTGATTTTCTTCCGGTTTCAATTGGTCATATGATAGTTCTGGTTTGCCTCATAGTAGCGAAGTGCGCCTTGACGCAAAGCATATGGGGCGCTTGCGAATACGGTCAGCGCTGGCAATGCAGCGTGTACGACACCTACGTACGCCACTACCCGTAATGAGTTGAAGTGCTGCGGACACCTACGGAGTGCAGATCGCAAGAATGAATTTTGAGCACGTTCAGTGTTGTGGCCTGCCTAAATCTCCCTTTCAGGCTTAGCCTCGGTTTATAATAGTGAAGTGGAGTGCGACTAGTCGCTGCAGATCAGTGGGAACAGCCCTCGAAAGTTTCGTATCCTTTCGTACGACCTCTAACGTACGTGCGACCTAAATGATTACTACATGTAAGCCGCATGCTTCGATCCCTAAGCCCAGCTATGCACAGATTCTCTGAGCCGAGAATCGTCGCGTATGCTAGCCACAGTGCATTGCTGCCTGCGCTGCATGCCACCTCGCGTAGAGGTTGTTCGGCGACCGACGAATCTCCCTCTGCTAATGGCAAGCATGCATCTAGGAAGCAGCGGCTATCATATTGCTGGAGCCGTCACAAGGACACGGGCATGACTGTCAATGCAAGATGGACGCGACAGGTGCCGCAATAACACCGGTGGTAACCCATGCGCGCTATGTATGAACTCGAAGCACGATTGGGGAACGATTGTCTGCGGCATGGCATGCGACGCTGCTTAGACCCGACGGCTTTCTGCGAGGTGAAAATGGGTTGAAAAGGTTTCTAGGCTATCCAACCCTAACTGTCGTTATGCACCTTTTGGTACCCAAATTTTTTTGAAGGGCGACACGAAAAATGGCGCGACCTGAGGCGAGCCTCGAGGTTGGGTGCGGTGGCCGGCGCCCGAACTGGAGTCAACAACGGAGCAGCTGAGTTCATCCGAAAATCGAACATCGCTGCAACGCTGCAACGCCTCGTGGGCGCCACGTGCGAGAACACCCCGACGGAACTGTTCCTGCAGTAACAACATCCAGTTTGCCTATCATTTCCTTTCATATAAATTCCGCCGTCCTGGTTGTTCATGGAAGGCACACTCGTTGACGTAGTGCAACGTACTGCATTTGTTTTTTTGCTTTCTAAAGTTTGTTTGGCGTTCGAACATTCGAAACCATGTTGTACAATATGAAACGTACCTCCCTTCTTGCTCTTCTGTTTCGCATTGATCCCGCGATCGCTGTTCCCCACCCTACCCAACCAGCTCCGAATGGCCAACCTGACTATGTGATTATTGGAGGTGGCCCGGCAGGATTCGTTCTTGCGGAACAGCTCTCCAAGAATCCCAAAGTCAATGTTGTCCTTCTCGAAGCTGGTCCCGACACTGCTGGAGTTGAAAACATAGACGACCCAGGTCTCGCACCACTTCTTTTGCAAACCCCATACACTTGGAACTACACATGCCAGCCAGATCCGAATCTGAATGGCGTTGCGCCCTACCTCCATCAGGGCCGCGGCTTTGGAGGTGGCTCTGCGGTCAATTATCTTGGTCACTGCCGTGGTTCACCTTCAGTTTTTGATGAATGGGCCAAAATCAGTAAAGACGATGGTCTGAAGTGGAAGAACTTTGAGAATGACTACAAGTCTGTAGCCTATTACAAGGAGACACCTCTGGACTATGACCCGCACGTCAACAAGAGCGCCTACGGCAACGGACCAATTGAATTCACGTCTCCATCAGAGAACCTCGGATTCGTCCTGAGCCTCATCGAATCATGGAAAAATGTTCTCAAACTTCCCCAGGTTGATCTTAACGATGGAACTGGTGTTGGAATTTCCACTGGTTTGACCGGCATTCGCGCGTCAAACCACACTCGAGTCTTTGCCTCGCAAGCATATGGGTGGCCAATGAATGGACGACCCAATGCAAGACAACTACACGATGCTGAAGTGACCAAGATTGGATTTGAGGGGAAGCGCGCAGTATCGGTCACATACGTCAACCCTATCACTAATGCCACTACTACCCTCCGACCCAAAGAAATTATCGTAGCCGCCGGCGCCCTTGGCAGCCCAAAGGTATAACTCTTCCTAATTGACAGATGAGTGGTATTCTAACAAGCCTTCAGCTATTGATGCTTTCCGGCGTCGGACCAGCTGAACAGCTCAAGTCTCACGGCATTCCTGTCGTTGCGGATATTCCCCAGATCGGCAAGAACCTGTAAGTACAAATCAACCATCGAATTAAATCATCTAACACCCTCAGCTTTGATCACCACTTCGCATGGATGGAGTTCGAGGTTCCTCCCAGCGTTGAAACACTCTGGCAATACACACTGAACGCAACCTTCAAAGACAAGGCCGCTGCGGACTTCAATACAGAGGGCAAAGGCCCGCTTGGCGTACCCAACGGCGCTGCTTTCGCAGTATCCCGAATTCCTAATGAGGCATTTAGTGGTGTGAACTCTACCTTCCATACCTCCCTCCCCGCCGACCGCGGACATTTGCTCTTCCAGTACTCGAGCTCTACGCTGCGCAGCAACGGTCCGAACGTGAGCACCATATCGCCTTTCGTGGCTGTTATCCAGCCCGAGGCTGCAGGATACATGGAGCTTGCGTCGAGCAATTATCGCGACCAGCCGCTTATTCACCCCAACTACTACGGCTCAGAGAGTAAGTCAACTTCGTTCGCTAAGACAGTTTTGCGATGGCTACTAACGTCCTTGCAGGCGACAAAGCAGCAATCCTCTACGGCTACAAGCAACTCCGCAAAGTCGTCACTGACCCCGCGCTTTCTCCCGTCTTGCTCAAGGAAGTCTATCCTGGCGCTAATGTCACGTCTGATGAGGACCTTTGGAAAGCTATTCAGAACGCTTCGCTGACTTTCCACCACCCTGTACGTATACAAAGCTTCCCTTTTCGCCACTCTTTTGCTCACACGCATAGCTTGGTACCGTCGCCTTGGGTACTGTCGTTGAGGGCAAGACGTGGCGCATCAAAGGCCTACAGGGTATTCGCGTTATTGATAGCTCCACGTTTCCCAGTATGCCGACGTGCCACACTATGCATACGGTGTATGCCTACGCATATCATGCTGCGCAGTTGATCAAGAAACAGGACAAGTTCTGAGAAGAGAGTGAGGTGTTGGAGTTAGATCTATTGATTTAAGTTCGTCCACTATGCTGCGTGAAAAAATGTACCATCATTGCGCACGTGTTGATTATACATTTAACCCGTCGATGTTGTACCTATCATATTCCATACGATGATTCATAAACCACATTTTTGGTGGTTGAAGTATGTGTGGCAAGTGTCAACAGAAGAACTTCGTGAACATGTCTCAAACATTCGGAGCTCAATGTTTTGAGCGAAATGTCCGACGGCGAAAATATGACAGGCATTATCCCAACATCTTCAATTCTACTTTGGAGACAGTGAATCGATCGTGTTACTCTCGTTCGAGCTGGCCGCTCTTACGGCCGTACACATCCGCAGGGAGACTAGACTACATATCGCAGGCTTTTACTGTGTTTGTTTCTGCACCTGAAGCTAGCGTTGGCGGCAATCACGTTACACATCTCGCATCTAGCTCTCTTACTACGAAAAAGCATGTCCTCGACTGCGTTGTCATTTGGACTTTGCTCTTTGCGAACATCGATAACACATCTACCAATCGAGGGAGGCATTTGTGTCACAACACCAACGTAAAATGGGCTGATTTGTCCGGAAGTCCCCAAGCGCGTCACTGTCTTTCCAGGGTCCGCATGAATCTTCGCTGCAGATCCATTGACCGATCATGCTGTTTTACTAAACGGCCGAAATGCCGTCGTGCTCAAACGGCCCTATCAGATTGACTTCTATCGGCACCCGAGCCGCCGTCTGGGCCAGCAGCCCTGGAGGCCATTGGGTCAGACGTTGAACCCGAGAAGCAGTGACTTGGAAGCGATGCGCAGTCAGCTCTCATCACTTGCAGGACGGGATAGAAATCGAGGTCAGCACTCAAATCCTGCGATCGGAATAGGCGGCACCCCCAATGTTTGTTTAGCGGCATGCGCTGCAGTGTTGGCTACCTTCAGATCCCAACTACGAATATCAACCCCGCATACTTAATCAACCCTGCAGTTGACTCTCCACTTCCTTATCAACCCTGCATTGCCTTCATCTTGGCTTTGCGTTAAGCATTCACCATGGCCTCTAAAGTTGTTCTTATCACTGGTGCCAATACCGGCATCGGATTCCAGATTGTGCGCGCCCTCTGCAGTTCCAGTCACGCGTACGACATCGTTGTTGGCGGACGCTCTGAAGACAAGGTGCAGGCCGCCATTGAAGCCGCTCGGACCGAGTACCCCGAAACGAAGAGCAAGCTTTCCCCCGTACAGATTGACATCGAATCCGATGAGTCTATCAATAGAGCGTTCAATACGGTCGAGTCTCAGTTTGGCAAGATCGATGTTCTGGTGAATAATGCCGGTATGCGGAGCCCCATGATGATAGGAGCTATTACTGACGCCGGAAAAATAGGCGCACAATTCGATCAACTCGCTAAGGAGGGCAAATTATCAGAACGTGAAGCCTGGAACCAGTCCTGGAATGTAAACACGTCCGGTACTCAGGTCATGACAACGACTTTCATACCTCTTCTGCTCCAGTCCTCTGACCCACGACTGCTCTTCATCACATCTGGCACGTCGACGCTAGCTGGCAGTGAAAACCAGGCACTGGCGGTCAACAAGTACCCACCAAAGGGCTGGCCCAAGTCAGGGTTCGGCGTCCCTGCGTACCGAAGCGCTAAGACCGGCATGAATATGCTAATGCGAGAGTGGCACAAGCTGCTTCATGAGGACGACGTCAAAGTTTTCGCAATCTCTCCGGGATTTCTAGCGACTGGCCTGGGCGGCAACACTGAGATGCTAAAGAAGATGGGTGGTGGAGATCCTGAAATTGCAGGCCCTTTCATCAAAAGTGTCATCGAAGGTGAGAGGGATGCTGATGCTGGAAAAGTCATCACTAAGGATGGTATCCAGCCCTGGTAGATATAACAATTTATACATCTGATAGCTATGTATGCTACTTCCTTGTTCACTGGATTTTACACCTCAACCTCACAGCGACCAGTCCCAGAGATCAATCTGCACCTCGACAAACTCAACAAACATCATACTACAGTACTCGCGACTTCCACATCACCCAAGTCAGCCATTCCCCATAGCTTTTCAGGCACTTTAGTTGGTGTATTGACCAGCGGCTGTATCCTTTTCGCAGCCTCCAAGAACCTCTTGCGAACATCGCTCCACTCCCATTTCGTTCCTTCTCCCCCAACCAGCTTGAAGCCACGCTTCCTAAATTGCCCGTCAACTAGCACATGCTCAATGTCGCCTGGATTGGCATGCAGTATAACGGCAGCGACAGGATCGCTCCAGCCCAGCATATTAGGTGGGTCGCTATTGAACACCAAAATGTCTGCTTTGGCGCCGACTTGAAGTACGCCAATGTCTGGACGACGTAATGCAAGTCCGCCCTGTCTCGTAGCCAGTAGAAACGCTTGCTCAACCTTCATCGGAGTTTGATTGGGTATCAAGCCTGTGTGGAGCGTCTTGTGGTAACTGTTGTTACGTACCGTCTGCAGCCACATTCTGGCCTGCGAAAGCATGTCACCAGAGAATGTGAAGGCTGTGTCGACTCCCAACGATGCTTGTGACGAAATGAGATGGCCTGTTGTTTGTCCGTGGCCGTAGTGACATTCGGATTCAGGCGTTATGGAGACGAAGAGATTATGTGTGCGGAGTGCGGTGATGTCGTCTGTGGTCAAGAAGGGGGCGTGAGAAAACTATCATGGGGATACCGGTAGTATGTAGACCCTAGTAGAGGTTGTGACTCTTGTTGGCGAGGTGTTGCCTTCTCAGTGGCGAGGGTGTTAGACTGGGTTTGAAGGTCAGAAGTAAAACTTACGAGGCCATGGACCGCTCATGTGATGCATTGTTATGACGGAAAGGTTCATCTGGCTTATTGAAAGGTCAAAATATTTCACAAGAGAAGCGAAGTTGTATACTCACTCTGTCGCAGCCTTCAGGTTATTGAGATGCTTCTCGGTATCGTTCAAGAACTCTCCAGCCAGACCGTCCAAGGACAACCCGATCTGCATTCGCGAAGGTGCAGATTCTGCCGCGATTTCGCCCATAACATTCCACTGTTCCGCCTCTGGAAATTGCTTGTTGTTTGCAGTAACATCATAGCACCACCAAACACGCGCGCCGCTATCGAGTGCAGCCTGGTAGCCAGGTTTGACCACTTCACGGCCCCAGTTGTTATGCGCATGGTCTACGTAAGACGTTACGCCAGCGTGGAGACCTTCGAGGTATCCTTCCAGACAACTGATGTATACATCTGCAGGCGTGAATGGCGCCGTAGCGGTGGGCGACATCTGACTCAGCCAGTCGAAATATTGCGCAAGGATGATATTTGGCGCAATCGTACGGAATACCGATTGCCACATGTGTACATGTGTGTTGACGAATCCGGGTGCGACAATTTTCCCTTCCACATCGATTACTTCCGCGTTTTGTGGAATAGACAATTCATTGCCATCTTCGATAATGGCGGCGATGCGATCATTGTTAATGAGTATGGAAGCTCGAGGAAGCACCTTCACAGACTTCGTCGCATCATCAAAGGTGATCACCGTTCCGTTGGTAAGAACTTTGGAGGCCATGAGGATGGCTGTCAAGGTAGACAAACGGAGCTCGAGAAGGAGTGGGTCGATCGCGACTGCAAATGTCTCAAATTTCCAATTATCTACTTGCAATTGATTTTGAATTCAGTCGCCTCCTACTTCATGTCAGCCACTCCCTCGCGTAAGCATCTCTCAGTGAGTTGCAAATATTTCTGGAGGCCGTTGTCGTTCGCGATCACGGAGCCCGGACTCCGCCCGCACACAACATCGACCGTACTACGAGCCTACATGAACGAAATCGCAGATGGAAAGGCCTTTCGAGAACGCGAGCTCTCTTAAATTACCTGTTCAGATTTGACATTTCTAAAGCCTGAGCTAACTAGACCTTTTTGTCCAAAACTTAAAATTTTGATACTTATCAGTACGTACGCCTGATGGAGCCTCATTAGGTAACATACTGACCGTAGGAAGAGACTCAGAAGACTATATCTAAGCCATGTCTCAAAAACCCGTCCTCGTCCCCACAGCTTCCCTACATGGCAAAGTCGCCATCGTCACAGGCTCAAGCCGTGGTATTGGTAGAGGAATTGCCCTTGAACTCGCCAGTCGGGGGTGCAGTGTTGTCATCAACTATGCGAACAGCAAAGGTGGCGCCGATGAGACCGTGAAGGCAATTGAGGCATTTGGAAATGGATGCTAGAGCAGTCAGTATCCAGGCCGATGTAACCAAGGTCCGTGACAACAACCAGCCACTCTTTCGTGTGAAGCGTGCTAAGCACCGGAAAAGGTTGCCGAGATCGAGCGTCTGTTCCAAGAAGGCAAAAGGCACTTCGGGAAAATTAATATTGTCATGAGCAACAGCGGGACTGAGTCATTCGACAACACTGAAGACATCACTGAAGAATTGTTCGATCATGTCTTTAGCTTGAATGCACGTGCGCAATTCTTCATTGGCCAGGCAGCATGGAAGCATCTCGAAGACAACGGTCGTCTGGTACTCATGAGCTCGATATCAGCTGGCAAAGTCGGGATCAAGAGACATGCGCTGTACAGTTCATCAAAGATGGCGGTCATCGGCATGGTAAAGTCATTTGCCACTGACTTTGGTGCGCGTCGCATCACGGTGAATGGTATTGCACCGGGTGGAGTTTTGTCAGACATGTTCTACCAGAACTGTTGGAATTACATCCCAGGTAAGCTTGAAAGAAGAGTTTGGATGCGCATCAGGCCTTGACAAAATTATCGTAGGCGCTACACCAGATTGGCCTGCTAAAAAGCTTGAAGAGCTCACCGCAAAGGCATGTCCACTGGGTCGATGCGCTGTGCCAGAGGATATAGCACGCGTAGTTGCTTTCCTTGCATCCGATGACGGCGGATGGGTAAACGGTGCGTCAGATCAATGTATGCGCAAGCCGCCATTTTGCTAATGTCATACAATAGGTGAAGTAATTACAGTCTCTGGTGGATTCGTTTGAGGCGGGGAATTCACTCTCGAAAGTTCCGCCGCGTAGTACTGCAGATTATCACATACGACTGGAAGCGACCCGGGTGCCTGAAGCTATACACGGGGCCTACTGTCGCCATTGAAACCTAACAATACTGTGTACAACTTCAGGCTATCACATATCCCTATCTAATTTCCGTTGCATATCAAAACCTGCAGTACCTAGCAAATGCTATACATCCTTGACCTCATATTGAACATATCGAATTCTCTTTGATGGTGCTTAAAGTTGTGAACAGAGCGCGCACGAAAACTAGTGAGGGTGTTGATTTAGAACTTGGCTATTAGAAACAGGTTACGAGCAGAGATCAAGAAAGTAAACCAACCACCGAGTATATGTGGACAGATTTTAATCGCAATAGCCTCGGAAGTCATCTAGTTGTTCCTCTTGCTCAGATGGAGCTTGTAAAAATTCGTTTTGCATCTCAATATGGATAAATGCCTTCGGAGCAGACATTCTGAGAGGATGAGAGCGTGTTTTCCGAGCGATGTAAGCAGTGCATCCAACGTTTGTGCCCGGGTGCCGAGACCCGAACACCCTTTGCAGTGTCAGCACGATACCAGGTACAACTCAACAGACGCGCAAGACGTGAGCAGACTACTAAAGTACCGATTTTATCGTGAAAACGAATGTGTAGATCCACAACTACACTGCTTGCCAGGTTGCGAATCAAAAACTTAACAAGTACGACTCTTCCGATTACGAGCGCAAAATTATTCCCACCGACATGACTGCCCAAAACGTGCCTAGCGAGACTCATGTCATCATCATTGGTGCAGGTGCGTAGCCGGGTCCAGTGACACTCCACGTAAGCTCACAGCAACAGGCATCACCGGTCTTGTCCTAGCGCAGGCACTCAAGAAAGAGGGTATTCGTTATTCCATTTTCGAGAAGGACGAATCGCTCAACGTGCGTAGCAATGAGTGGACTATGGCCATTCATTGGGCCCTTGAGAGGCTCGAGACTCTCTTGCCGCCAGAAGCGTATGCAAACATGGAAAAGGCTTCATGCAATCCTGCCGTACCCATCAATGCGGGTGGTAACTATCCCATCATACACGCAGAGACTGGAAACATAATTGCTGGAGTTCCGTACAAGAGAGGCCTGAGGGTCCCTCGAAGTAAGATGCGAGCACTGTGTGGTGAAGGGATTGACGTCCAGTATGGCAAACACGTACAAGACATCAATTTCGGAGCGGACGGGCAAGGTGTGGCCGTCAAGTTCCAGGACGGCACAGAGGTATCAGGTACCATAGTTGTTGGTGCAGACGGCACTCGATCTCGTTGCCGCGAAGTCGCACTGAACTCTGCGGAAAAGGCCGCAACCACGCCGTTTCCGATCTGGCACATGAACCTGACTGTATGCTACGGCGATGCCGAAAAAGCGCGTTACGTGCGATCTGAGTTCCCCACCAGCTTTCTGGCACTCAGTGAGCGCTCTTTCCACGCTTTCCAGTCCATCTCCAGCATGCCAGACGGCCCAGACCATCCGGAGAGTTGGGTGTTTCATTTGGCAATGGCGTGGCGAGGAGAAGCGAGACACGACCTTAGCTATGCAGAACGCCTAGCTATCATTAAGGAGAAGGCTGATGGGCTCGCTGAGCCTGCACGTTCCTCCTTCAAGTGGATTCCAGATGGCACACAGGTCCACAAGGCCGACATCAGCTACTGGGTTACCGAGCCCTGGGATAATCACCAGGGACGTCTCACTCTTGTGGGCGATGCAGCGCATCCAATGCCACCATGTTCGTATCACACGCCCCTCTCACATCTCGAAGTTAACTAACACGAGGTATAGACCGCGGCCAGGGACTCAACCATTGTATTGCTGACATCTTTGAACTCGTGGGCAACATTAAAAAAGCCGCTTCGGGCGAGTCGACCTGGGACGCTACAATTTCAGCTTACGAGGCAGAAATGATTCCGCGTGGCGCTGAAGAGGTGAAATGCTCCATTGAGAATGGAATTATGCTCCACGATTGGGAGAAAGTAAAGCAAAGTCCAGTCTTTACCGCTGGTTTCAAGCCAATGAAGGGTCATGATACATGGGAGACAAACAAGGACCACGAAGAAAACCAGAAAAAAGCTGAAGCGGCTCGCGGGATGAGAAATAATGTGGTTACCACTACATAGCGCTCAACTATCTACTAGCCTTCCACAAGCTTGCCATCTGCCACATGTTTCTCGAACCAGCCAAAAGACATCATCGTGCTTGGTCCGTCCGCAAAGTTGCCGTGATCTGGGTTTACGACACTCATGTAGTGCGGATCGTTTTTCACACTAACGTAGTCTTCAATGTTGCGGAATACAATCGTGACAAATGCGTCATAAGGAGAGCGGTTGATGGAAGGCAGATTGGGAAATAGATTCTCGATGTCCTTCATCAACTCTGACGTGTTGTGTTGCTCAAACCAAAGTCAGGCTAGATAGTCGTCACGGGGTCCGTGGGGGACTCACCATTGTGTAATCGACGATTTTCTTCTCCACGAGGAGATGTTTCAGATGTCCGGCGTGCGTCTCGCTGATGTACTTGTGATAAGCATCTTCGTCCATGCCCGGCTTCCGTTTGGCGGAGATCGTGACCGAGAACAGTCCCTGTGATTTGCCCATATTGTCGAACTTTGTGATGGCGACACTTAAGATGATGGAAGATTTGCAGATATACAAAGTCTTACATGAGATGCAACGGATACTATCTCGATCCCTTTATAAAGTTTGCGCCAAATAGAAGTCTGAACCTTGTAAGTGAGATGGACGAACCCAAGGCATGTCTTCTCACAGCAAACACATCAGAAGAGGCAAGACGGCTTGGCTGGTCGGACAAGTGCTGATGGGCCGATGCTGGTACTGCAGGCTACGTGCAGGCCGGAACCCGGCCAGGAACTATCGAAGCGATACGAAGTGTGCGGCATTCGGCGTCCAGAAGTGCCGCACGGACGCGATGCTCGATTGGCACTGGCAACCCAGGCAAAGAAGCAACAACGGGCACACCATTCCATTGACAGGGGTTTCTCGGTAACGGCTCACTATGGTAGCCAAGCCTGAAGTGAAAGCTTGAAGTGATACAACAGTTGCGAGACGCCTGACTGAAGTGCACAACTCCTTTGTACGCGATACCTTCACTTCAACATTTCCACTCCTTTTCAACAAGAATGGAGCCCGTGGTATCATCAGCACCATTCATGCCTCCTATCCACGCTATGAAGCAAGGCCAAATATATCTCTTTGGTGACCTTACTGGTCCCTTCGAAGATGATCTCAGACAACTCCTTCATTGCAAGAGCAATGCGTTGCTGCAGTCCTTCTTCGATCAGGTCAACTATGCATATCGACAAGAGTTTGCCCTACTTCCTGCAGAGCAACAAGAATGGCTGCCACGATTCACTGACCTTGTCGATCTTGTTTCGAACTTTGAAGGTTCAGTCGGTGCGAGAGCTCTGAGATTTGGGCTTTTGTGTGTATACCAGTTGGGTCGATTCATACTGTAAGCATCCTGTCCCCGTTTGAATCCTGTGTTCGTTCGACGGATATGTACTCATCCTTCCCTAGTTCGAACTCTTATACCCCTGAGTTTAATCCCTATATCATCGGGGTATGCACTGGCTCGTTTGCTGCTGCTGCAGTTTCCTCGTCAAGAACCATGGCAGAGCTGGTCCCTGCGGGTGTTGAAGCAGCACTTGCAGCCTTCAGAACAGGGCTACACTCTCTGAAGATGCAGCGGGACATTGAACCAGCTGCGACAGAAGATGCACAGTCATGGTCTTTCATTGCCAGTATGACCGAAAGCGAAGCCCTGGAAAATATTGGAGCATTCATCTCAAAAGATGTAGGTATCCCAGGGACCGGGATACTCAGTTGAGCTGACAAGATTCGACAGAACCCCACAAAGAGCCAACGGCCCTACATCAGCGCTGTGTCTCCGTCCAAAGGCGTAACAATAAGCGGACCGCCTCGCACACTTGCCCGATTCGTAAAGTGTTGTGGTATCAAGGCACACACTATTCCCATACTATCGCCATACCACGCCAACCATCTCTACGGGCCAGATGATATCGATGAAGTGCTTGGCTGCCTACGGGATGATCAATTGAGTACGTATCGTCAACGTACTCCATTCCTATCCATAGCAACTGGTGCAGAAGTGATAGCTAGTGATTTGATAGGGCTTCTGCGTCACGCTGTAACAACCACTCTCTGCGAACAGGTGCGTTGGGACAGACTCTGCACAGCGCTCAAGTCTAGCCTTGCGCAACACCCATCTCTGGAGTCGTGCGTGGTGTTCCCAGTCACGTCGAACGCAGCCAGTTTGCTTGCTTCCGCGCTTCGAAATGAATTACAGCTTACAGTCGAAGTATCCGACTCAATGAACAGCAAGGTGGAGCGCACGCACACAAGCCCGGCACCTGGCAAGTTCCAAGACTCGAAAATCGCCATTGTAGGTTTCTCGGGTCGCTTTCCAGAGGCGGCCTCGAACGATGAACTTTGGCAAGTCCTCAAGGCTGCTCGTGACTGTCACCGAACTATCCCCGAAGACAGATTCGACTGGGAAGCCCATTTTGATCCGACTGGAAAGAAGAAGAATCACAGCCGCGTCAAATATGGGTGTTTCATCAACGAACCAGGCGTGTTTGACACTGCTTTCTTTAACATTTCCCCTCGCGAGGCCGAAAACACGGACCCTGCACAACGTCTGGCTCTTATGGCGGCCTACGAAGCTATAGAGATGGCTGGATTTGTACCAGACAGGACAGCTTCTACACAGCGCGATCGGGTTGGTGTCTTCTTTGGCACCACAAGTGATGACTGGAGGGAGGTAAACAGCGGGCAGAACATCGACACCTATTTCATTCCAGGAGGTAATCGCGCTTTCGTCCCCGGACGCATCAACTACTTTTTCCGCTTTTCTGGACCGAGCATATCAGTAGACACGGCGTGTTCGTCCAGTTTCGCAGCCATTTCGACGGCATGTAACTACCTTTGGCAAGGCGACTGCGACTCAGCCATCACAGGAGGCACGAATGTGATTACAAATCCAGACAACTTCGTTGGCGTAAGTTTTGTCAATCCGTGCGCAAGATGTGGTAGTAAAGCTGACTTCTCTCCCCCCTTTGCAGCTCGATCGTGGGCACTTCCTCTCCGCTACGGGCAACTGCAACCCTTTCGACGATTCAGCATCCGGCTACTGTCGTGCAGACGCTGTGGGCGTGGTGGTACTGAAGCGGCTCGAGGATGCCATCGCCGACCGCGACCCCATCTTTGGAGTCATTGCCGGAAGTAGTACGAACCATTGCGGGCAGACAGTGTCCATAACACGGCCGCATGAGGGAGACCAGCTGTCGCTCTTCAAGCGTATCTTACGCCACACCAACACGGATCCGCTCGATGTCAGCTATGTCGAGATGCACGGGACCGGCACACAGGCGGGAGACGCGGCTGAGATGCGTTCTGTGCTGTCAGCCTTTGCGTGGGACCACAAGCGGAGTAAAATGAGTCCATCGCGGCCGCTACACCTTGGTGCTATCAAGGCCAATGTCGGCCATGCAGAGTCGGCCTCGGGCGTGACGGCACTGATCAAAGTGTTGATGATGATGAAGCACAGCGAGATCCCTCCGCACCGCCTAGATGGAAAACTGAACCACAACTATCCGGTTGACATGGCGGAGCGCAACGTTCATATCCCTTTCAAGGCGACTCCATGGCGACGCTCAGACTGTGCGAGCGGCAAGCGCATGGCGTTTCTCAATAACTTCAGTGCAGCTGGTGGCAACACGGCGCTGCTGTTGGAAGACGCGCCAGACCACCAGGACGTTGCGTGCACACGGCCCGACGCACGTTCCGTATTGCCTGTCGCTGTCACTGCCCGAACACCACAGTCACTGACGGACAACATTCGCGCTCTTATCGATCATCTCGATGCGCACCCAGATACATCCCTGTCGTCGCTTTCTTACACGACTACAGCGCGTCGAGCTCATTACAAGTTTCGCGTTCTTGTGTCTGGCGCCGATGTCGCTGCCATCAAGGCTGCGCTGCAGCGTTGTCTCGACCCTTCAGCACCCGTGAAGGCCGTCAAGGCCATCCCGCCCAAGGTCGCTTATGCTTTCACAGGACAGGGTACATTGTATCCCGGCATCGCAAAGGAACTCTTCGAGCACGTTGCATCTTTTCGCGATGACCTTGTGCGCTTTGATCGTATTGCACGATGCCATGGCTTCCCATCCTTCCTGCCCCTGATTACTGGCGAGGAACAACATGTCGACGCAAAGACGAGTGACCCCGTCGCGTCGCACCTAGCTATCACGTGTGTGCAAATGGCACTCACACATATGTGGAAGGCCTTGGCTGGAGAACCATCATGCGTTATTGGTCATAGCTTAGGCGAGTATGCCGCCTTGTATACAGCACGAGTCCTGAGCGCAAGCGACACTATCTTTCTGGTAGGCGGTCGGGCGCAGTTGCTAGTCAAGCATTGTTCCAAGGGAACCCATGCAATGCTTGCAGTCAAGGCGCCTACAGACATCATTGCGTCTGATGTGGACGCCTCTGGTTGCGTGGTTGCATGCATCAATTCCCCAGTGAGCACGACAGTCAGTGGGCCTACGGAAGCCATTGCACATTTGGCAACCTCTTTGAAAGACAAAGGCCTGGAAGCGGTGCTACTCGAGCTTCCATACGCTTTTCATTCTACTCAGGTGGAACCCATTTTGAGCGAGTTTGAGAATCTGGCGAACTGTATCAGTTTTGATGAGCCTGTCGTACCGTACATGTCTCCACTTCTTGCCAGAACGGTCACTGGCCCTGGCATTCTGAATGCTTCTTACCTTGCGCAGGCGACCAGGCGCTGCGTCGACTTCCGGGGAGCCATCGATGCTGCTCAAGAGTCGAAGCTTGTTGATGGCAGCACTATCTGGCTGGAGCTAGGCACTCATCCTGCTTGTTCGGGCATGCTCAGACAGACCATTGGCACACATGTAGTCACCGCCACCACGCTGAGAAAAGATGGGCAGACGTGGAAAACGCTTGTAGCTGCCCTCGACGCAATGTACCGCACAGGGATTGACCTTCGGTGGGATGTATTCCACCGTGGATTTGACGCGGCGCAAAAGGTTCTTGCTCTGCCCAGCTACAAGTGGTCTCTTCGGAGGTATTGGATACAATACCGACATAACTTCTGTCTCACCAAGGGAGATGATCCAGCTGGTCTCGTCCCACAGACAGATGCAATTTCTGGACCTCCAGTCAATGTACCCTCGCTCTCTTCTTCGGTCCATCGCGTAGTTGAGGAGACGACGTCCACGGAGAAGGCGTCCTTACTCACCGAATCCAATCTTCACGACCCTCGTCTACTTCCAATCGTATCCGGCCACAAAGTCAACACTGCCATGCTATGTCCGTCTTCCTTGTATGCTGACATGGCTCTCACTATCGGTAAACACATGCTAAGGTCTAATGGCACGTTCCAGGAGCAGACAGGTCTGGATTGTAGAACGATGAATGTCAAAAATCCGCTGATTGTGCAGCCCGACGCAACTACTCAGCTGCTCAGAGTCCTTGCTGAGGCCGATTGGCACAAGAAAGAGATATCTTTGAAATTCTTCAGCGTTGACGCCAACGCACGCAAATTGGCAGATCACGCATCATGTCTAGTCAAGGTGACAGACAAACAAAGCTGGGTGGGAGAATGGAAACGCAACGCCTACCTTGTTTCAAGCCGCATAGAGACTCTCCGCAAGGCGGTAGACGCTGGAAGCGCCCACAAACTTAAACGAGGCCTCGCTTACAAACTTTTTGCCAGCCTAGTTGATTATTCTAGTGCATACCAAGGCATGGAGCAGGTCATATTGGATAGCGAGCGTCTCGAAGCCACTGCGCTCGTCAAGTTCCAGGTTGATGATGGAGGGTTCGATTGGAATCCCTGCTGGATTGACAGTCTTGGTCATATTGCTGGCTTCATCATGAATGGAAACGACAACATCTACTCGAAAGACCAAGTCTTTATCAACCATGGTTGGGACGCCATGCGATGTGGGAAGGCAGTGGAGCACGGAAAGACGTACACGACTTACAATCGCATGCAACTAGAGAGTGGCACCATGTATGTCGGTGACACATACGTGTTCGATGGTGATGAGGTCATTGCGCTGTTTGAGGGTGTCAAGGTATTTCGCACGCGACTGCTTGGAGGCTTCGAATACTAACCCGCAATAGTTTCAAGGAGTCAATCGCTCAGTTTTGGACCATCTTCTACCTGGGAAACGCACAGCAAAGGGAGCGAAGGCCGTCGCGATACCTGTTCAGAACAAGCAAAGCGGAAAGAACGCATCTCCAAAACCAGCCAAACAGCATCATACCCCGCGACCTACTGTGACCGCCATTCCGTCGAAGCCATCGTCTGGCAAAATCGCAAAGATAATGAAGATATTACAAGACGAGGCGCAGATGAGTGAAGACGAACTGGATCTGGATGCAGAGTTCACAGATCTTGGCGTTGACTCTTTGTTGTCCTTGACTATAGTCAGCCGGCTACGAGACGAGCTCGACATTGAGTTACCAGCCTCTGCCTTTGTGGAGCATTCCACGGTCAGATCGTTCATCGCTTTCGCTAGCGGAGACGAGTCTGCGGTGTCTTCTTCAATCTCTAGCGGCGCTTCGACACCAGTTCTAGCGGGTTTGAAAGACGAGGAGACCTACCTCACTGATGCCACCTCGGTCGATGGGGACAGCGACGATTCTGACACAAACATCATGCTGCTTATTCGGAAGATCATATCTGAAGAAACAGGGACTGCTCTAGAAGAAATCTCAACAACGGCTTCCCTTGCGGAATTCGGATTAGACTCCTTACTGGGACTCACAATTATGAGCAGACTTTCTGAGCAAATCGACGCGACATTGCCGACGAGTCTTTTCGTAGAGAACGACACATTGGGAGAAGTTGAGGCAGTCCTTAGGGAAGCTGGATTAATCAAGCCTGAGAAGCAAAGCCAAAAGGTCGAACGCATGAACAGGTCGTCTTCTGGCTCCAGAATTGACGCGAAGCCCGTATCTGGTTTTCCGCATTTTTCGGCTGCGCGCGTGGCACCCCACGCAAGTTCACTGCTTCTCCAAGGATCTTCCAAACGGGCCAAGAGGAACTTGTTCCTCTTCCCGGATGGAGCGGGATCCGCATCCTCGTACCATGCACTCGCAGACATCTCCCCAGATGTGGCCGTGTATGGTCTAAACTGCCCTTGGTTGAAAAATCCGCAAGATCTCAAATGCTCGCTCGAAGAGTATGTTACAAAATTTCTCGTCGAGATTCAGCGTCGCCAGCCCAGCGGCCCGTACCATTTCGGCGGTGTGTCCGCTGGAGGCATCTTGGCGTACGAAGCAGCGCAACAACTTGCACGCATCGGGGAGAAGGTAGATACTCTACTACTGCTCGACACCCCTGATCCAGTTGGACTCGAGAACCCGAACCAGCGCATGTACGACTTCTTAGACTCTCTCGGCATGTTTGGTATGAGTGGCAAAGCACCTACATGGCTTCGTCCGCATTTTGACGCCTTCCTTGCGCTGCTCGATGCTTACGATGTGAAGAAGTTTCAGGGGTCATCGGTTCCGCAAATTCACATCATATATGCACGCGACGGTATGTGCAAGCACGAAAGTGATCCTCGCCCAGAGCTACGCCCTGATGACCCGCGCGAGATGTTGTGGCTTCTGAACAATCGAACGGACTTCAGCGGCGCGGGATGGAACTCTTTGGTAGGCAAGGAGAATTTGCACATCAGCGTTCTGGACGATGTAAATCACTACACGATCATGCAGCCTGGACCTTCGATGCAAGAGCTCTCCGCGCGCATTGCGCGTGCCTTGGAATCTTCTTAAATTGTCTCTTTAGTATTTGCTTTAGTATAGGCGTTCTTTTCCTTGTAGTATAATATATACTTTCCTCCTTTTTTGACATAGTTCCAGTATCGGCGACACTGCTTGCTGATCTAAACTACTCTCCGCTAACAGTAAAATTGACTTTCAGATTGTATATTCAAAGCCTCGTCAATGTCCTTGGAAGTGACACTGACCCTTTGGGTATATCTGGTTGCTTACATGATATGACAGTTTGTCTTTGACAACAGCTACAACAGAGGTGCAACACACATGGATGGGTGCGGCGCTTTGATGGTTTGGCGGGGAACGGAATCCGAAGAAGATTCGCAGCTGACAGGCGGCAATGGCGACGCCCGACATCCTCTCTACAATCATAGGGCCACAATGACGTGGGTCTAAACATCTAATTGGCTCTGATGCACCTACCTCATAATCATGAAATTTTTATTATGTATATGCTGCATCGTTACTCTTAGATTTTAGTATTCGCTTCAAAGCCGCGATGGCGTCGAACGAGTTCAAGGTTCTCATTCTTGGAGGAGGTCAGTTGTGAGAAATGCATCTTAGGCGAGGACACTAATGCGAATGAAAAGGCAACTGCGGTCTAACGATAGCTACCGGCTTGAAGAAGGTACGAACGATCTAGCGACTCGACACATGATCAGTAACTCATGCTATAGGCGGGCATCAATTACACTGTATTCGAGCGCGACAGCGAGCATGACTTCTACAATCGCCCTCGTGACTGGGGTGAGCAGTTTCCAAAACATCTGAGATGATTTGCGGCGAATGGACTGATCACGCGTTTTAGGTATGCTGTTGCACTGGGGATCGGAGTACCTAGAAAAAGTCTTGCCCGCCCATCTCAAGGCGCGCGTCCGCGAAATTCGGTGCAATCCTCATCTTACAGATGAAGAGAAACTCACGCCGGTGCCCTTCGTCAACGCGCTTACCGGCGAGGTGATGGCGGAGATTCCGATCGAAGGAATGAGCGTGAACCGTGTTTCGCGAATGAAATTGCGCCGCTTCCTCTCAGAGGGGAATGATCTAAACATACAAGTATGTTGATTTGTTGACCAGTGCGAGCGCGGTTAGCTGACTTTCTACCAGTTCGGCAAAATCTTGCAAAGCATCAGCGTGGATGGTGGCACTGTTACAGCCACCTTCCGAGATGGCAGCAGTGAGACGGGAAACATTGCCATCGGCTGCGATGGTTCGCATTCTAAAGTACGCGAGTTTCTTGTCGGTCGTGAAGCCGCAGCGTTGCAATTTGTAGATCTCACAATGATAAACTTCCCTCAAGGAGGCTATACCGCGGAGGAGGCTCGTCTTCTCCAGACGATGCATCCGATCTTTAAGATTGCCGCGCATCCCCACAAGCCAGGAAATGGTATATTAGCAGGTGATTCTTTACCTTTGAACTCATGGCAACCCACCACTGACCCATACTGTAGCTCTTGACATTCCAGACCCCGAGGATCCAACGACATGGAAGTTCCAGAATTATATTGGCTGGTGGGGGCCACCGTACGCCAAAGATCTCCAAGATCCTAAGAATCGGATGGATTTCTACCGTTCATGGGTGTCTTCATTTTGCGAGCCCTTCCGCACTGGCGGTCTAAAGCTCGACGAGGGAACTGTTGTGCCCGTCTATCCTGGCCAGCAATGGGCACCGACTATGGCATGGGATAATCACGGCGGAAAGGTGACATTAGCTGGTGATGCTGCACATTCGATGCTACCCCGTAAGTCTGTCCAAAGTAGTGCCATTAAACCGGAAGTGACTAAACTGACGATGCCTTGCGCAGAACGCGGCCAAGGCCTGAACAACGCAATAAAGGACGCGTCGGACATTGTCGACGCAGTTGTGGCCGCGGTCAATGGACAAAAGACTTTGAAAGATTCGATCACGGAGTACGAGGCTGAGATGAAGCCTAGAGGAGCGAAGGAAGTCGCACTGTCGTTGGAGCAGGCGCTCAAAGCAAGGAAAACGGATACGCTCAAGGACAGCCCGATCTTCAAACAGGGCTGGAAACGGGGCGATGCCGAAGCTGTGCCTGAGCCTACTGCTGAGAAGGCTTGAGAAATTTACAGGAGCCATAAATATATGACAGCTACGTCTTTTTCTATCGCGTTCATGGTGGTTAGTGAAGACGACATTGTGTCATGTCACTGTCCGCTTTAGCCTCATCTAGCTAGCTCCGGCTCGGATCTTGGCAAGGGGTCGTTCCAGTTTGGCCTGCGCGACGAGCATTCCATCAATCGCATATTTCTAGAGTTCTCTTACTACGTGCTTTGTCCATCCCCGAGACTCTAGAGCTAAGCAGGTATAGCAACGCCAATGGACCATGACGCTCTTCGCTTAGGTACCATGATGTTGAAGCCATTTTGCGCTCCTTCGGAGCCCGGGCAGCGAGAAGCTATGCAGCCAGCCACGGGCCATTGAGCACTCGCAACATGAGCCATTCGATCTTGTCCCGAGGATTGGTGCAGCCTGGGTGAAGAGTCAGGTGACCCATCTCAGTTGCAATGCGACAACAAAGGTTCAAGCAAGCGAGGCACCCAAGTCGCAACACCCTCGCACTGGATACTTTACCGTTATCTATTCTGAATCTATTTTGAAGTATCAAGATAATTCCAATGGATCTCAGCCCTAACCTAGCGAACTGGCTAGGAGTTTTTGCCGTTGTGGTTGCTCTAGTAAGCTTACCGCGCAACAAAAGGCTCTCACTCGTAGCATTTTCTAACCGCTTGATAGATCACTACCTATGTGACAGGATACGCGTTTTACAACCTTTATTTCCATCCACTAAGAAACTTCCCTGGTCCTAAGCTTTGGGCAGCATCGCGTTTGCCTTGGTGTTACCACCAGTACAAAGGCCAGCTGCATTATCGGCTGCTACAACTACACATCAAGTATGGCAAGACCGTTCGTGTAGCCCCTACAGAGCTGTCTTACATCGACTCTGAAGCTTGGAAAGCAATCTATGGCCAACGCAAAGAAGAGATGGGCAAAGATCCAATCTTTCGCTTGCACACACCAACTGGCGCGCAAAATATTCTTGTCGCAGATAGGCAAACACACACTCGACAACGTCGACTTTTATCTCATGCCTTCTCCGAGTCAGCTCTTCGTGAACAAGAGCCGATTTTGCAGCTCTACGCGGGAAAGCTGGTTGATCAAATCTCCTTTCGGTCCAGCCAAGGTCCTGTGGATATCGTGTCATGGTTGACATTTGCTTCTTTCGACCTCATCGGCCACATGTCTTTTGGAGAAAACTTTGGCTGCCTGGATAAGGGCGAATATGCGCCATTCGTGCAGTCGATCACTGCAATGGCGTCAGAACTTACGTTCAACCAGATGTCGAAGTACTGGGGGCTCATGGGAGTAAGGCAGTACTTTACACCTAAAAAGCTTCTTGGCCAGCGCATGAAGAACATCAAAACCGCCATGCAGACAGTACAACGACGCATTCAAAATGGCTCCGAACACCGAGATTTCCTCCACTACATCCTCTCCGCAAACGATGAGAAAGGCATGAGCCCTGCTGAAATCAACGTGAACGCTTTTTCAATCAGCATTGCAGGGTCAGAGTCAACAGCGACTGCGCTCTCCGGTGCTGCTTTCCTTACGCTTACTCACCCGTCCGTGTACACCCGATTGGTAGATGAAGTCCGCTCCGCACACTCCAGCATAGAAGATATCACGCTAGCAAGCACACAGAGACTCGCGTATCTGGACGCAGTCATTACCGAAACTCTACGCATGTATCCGCCAGTTGCAATTACCATGCCTCGCCGTGTACCAGTAGGTGGAGAGACAATCGAAGGCAAATTCGTTCCTGAGGGCATGACTGTAGGGGTAAATCACTATTCCGCATACCATCACCCTGCGAACTTTTACGAGCCGAACAAGTTCCTTCCCGAGCGTTGGCTGACGGACACACGGGACGCACCGCCGTTCGTCAATGACAACAAAGAATGCATGCAGCCTTTCTCTTATGGACCCAGAAACTGTTTGGGCAAAAACATTGCGAGAGCTGAGATGCGATTACTCTTCGCAAAACTCTTGTTCAAGTTCGACTGGCGACTTGAAGATGGACAGGAGCAATGGTTGGAGCAGAAGTTGCAAGGGTTCTGGCAGAAGAAGCCACTTTATTGCACTCTCAAGCCAGCAGTAAGAGGATGAAACCAATCTGCGGTGGAGGTTTTATAACGCAACCTGCTGCTTTCAGAATATTAAGGGTCGTCTTCGATGGTTCAAAAGAACCAATGTATGCTTCAGGGGACGCGATTGTAGTACGGTCGTGTTTATTGTTGGGCTCATTTATTTCCTGTCTTGCACTACAACAATCCTTAGGCCACTTTCCAATTTAAATGTCCGATCCTTCACTTATCCTTCGCAAACACATCCTCGAATTGCTTGACCATGTCGTCTGTCAACGGAACTGTCGCAAACCGTTTCAAAGCCTCCATGTTCACTTCCTTCGTCAAAACCTCGCCATCTCCAATCAACTCCTCCAGATATTCAAAGTAGCGCACAAAAAAGCCAGGTGTGATTGTGTTGATAAAGACAGCTTCTTCGTCGAACGGGTTGCTGAACTTGTGTGGCAGGCGAATCGGTACGGTGACGAGGTCGCCGGCGCTGGCATCGAGATGGCCGCGTCCTGGGGAATGGAATCGGACTTTTCCTTTCTATGAGGGTGTCAGTAAACTCTTTATATTTATATGGTATAACGCAGAATATGGCAGAGTGACATACAGTTACGTAAAAGCCCTCATCGTGCATTTCGTGGAAATGAAAAACTGGGCCGTCGCTGTGAGGCGGAATGGAGCTCTCGATAATGCAGAGGCGGTATTGCGTCTGTGAACCATCTTCGAGAATGCGGTATTTGTCTTATCCGGGATCAGTGTCTGAACGAAAGCATTAAATCGCGGTACATACATTGACCCAAAAACCTCCACGGGATATTGGCTGGCGAAGCATGTCCAATCGAAAGAGTCTGGGAGTAGTTGTTTGTGCCTTTGTCGACGATGCCGTTCATGTTGAAGTTTGGTGATGCGGGAGGGTGTTTCAAAAGTAGCTTAGTGGCTGATCGTGATATAGAAAGGTGTATGTGAGTGCAATGCCAGCAATTGTTGCGGCGGCTTTGAGCTTTTTTGCACTGGAATGAAATATGCGCTTCAATTCTTGTTTGAACATCTCAACTCCAGTTTCGGCCGGTCATACGATGCATGAGCTGAGCTGACGGCGCTGATGGTGATGTTTGACGGGCGAGAGTTGGTATGGCCCGCGTCCCGGCCGCCGAAATCATCCTTCCCCGGCAAAGCACAGATATCGCTTCCATAACCATTCCCCGCGCTGAGATAGAATTAGCTCTATGGGCAGGAACGTGTCGTATGAGGTCTTAACACCTGTTCGTGACGATTATTGCAACAAGCCCATGACACTAATTTGGAATCACTACTAAAGTTGTGTTCAGAACATTTCGTGAGATCGCCTGACGCTGTCTGAAGACAGGTGTACAGGTGTAGTGGCCTCACAGCGCTCATGATGATGCAAGTTTCACGAATCTAGAACTAGTTGATTTTACTGCGCACTCTTTGTGTAGATGTGACTGTGGGCGTTCATTCTTTCGAAACAAGACTTCAAACAATGGAACCGGGAGTATATGTTGCTTCTGACGTCTTGAACAGCCACTGTACCTTATACTGTGACTGTAATGGGCTCGCCTTCCTTGAGAATCTGCTGAGCTTTCTCAATGCGCTCCAGAATGGCCCCAGTGTCCTTGTCTGCTTTCGCAAACTCCCCGCGAAGGATGTCCTTTACCTTCTCACTGCGCGGGATAAAGGCTGCTTTGAACGGCAGAGGAGGAGAGTTGAAGCCTGAGTGAAAATCGAATCGTCCGACCTTAGCCTCAACCTTCTTTCCATTCACAATCTCCCAGCCTTTCTTGATATCGTAGGCCCAGAGCATACGTGACACGTTTATCATCATGGAGTTGTTACCAATGTATTGACCTGGCGGCAAAATTAGAGAAGAGCCGCACCCTTGCGCGGAAAATGTACTTACCAATGCACTTGCGTCGACCGAATCCAAATTGAGAGTACGGGAGATCTGGATCCTTCAGGAAACGTTCTGGCAGAAATTCGTCCGCGTTTGGATACAACTCTTCGTCCATGGAGATTGCCCAGTGGCCTGGAACAATGGTTGCGCCTTTAGGAATGTGGTAGCCCATATATTCGTCATCCGCAGTAACTGCATGAGGTACACCGCCGGGGAGTACTGGACGCCACCTGTGTACCTCCTTGACGAATGCCAACAGATAAGGCATCTTCTCACAATCCTCAAACGTGGGTAGTCGATCGCGGCCAACAACTCGATCGATCTCCTCCTGGAGGATCTTGACCTTGTCTTGGTGTAGCACGCAGGCAAGTGTAAACACTTGCAGCGTCATGGTGGTGGTATCTGCGCCGGCCTCGTATGTGTTGCCAATGACGTAAGAGAGTTGCGTATCGGTGAGAGCCTTATGCTCCTTCATGGTGAGAATGTCCTTGCACCAGTTGTAACCTCTACGCTGAGTTGCGCCGTTTCGGATCATGGTGAAGAACTCGCGTTCCTCGTCACCCAGGAAGTCAGCAATCTTCTGCCACGGCTTCATGAATCTCGGGAGTTTGTTCAAAAATGGGAGGGAATCCACAATCCAGTTAGTGATGAAGGCGTTATTCAGATTGTCCATGATCGTCTCCACACCCTTCACTTCCTCTTCCTGGCCAGTGGGCATGCGCTTTCCGTACGCTAGAGCGAAGGTCAAGCTAGACGAATAACGATGGTAGCGCTTGAAGAAGTCATCCCGAGTGAGAAATTCCGAGATGAGCTGTTTGCTTTCCAGATCTTGCAGCTCGCGGTAGGTGTTGGACATGCGGGGACTTAGGAATGATCCTTGCAGACGCCGATACCCACGCCACTGCTCTCCGTATGGCAGAATGAGAGACCGGTTGCCTTGGCTGATACATTCTCCAACCATGACTGAGCGAGGTCGAGAGCTGTAGATGTTGCTGCGTTTCTCGAGAAGATCTCTGGCAACTCCATAGGTGCCCAGAAAGATGACGGTACTCGCACCAAATTGCATGCTGAAGATCGGACCGTATTTCTTGTGCATTTCGGTATGAGTAAGCCACGGGTGACTCTTGGGCATTTCCAAAAGATTCCCAACCAGTGGAAGGCCAACAGGTCCGGGTGGCAGTCGTCGACGGAAAGCATAGTAACGGTACGAGATGAAGGCGAGGATGATGGCAGCACCGCCCAAGAAAGTACATGCCACTCGAAGTATAGCTGCCAGAGGTAGGTTTCGTAGAGTGTCCTGTAGGTATACGAGGTACCTCTGAGGCTCGAGTGCCATTACTTTAGCATCCATGGTCGATCAGTACTGAGATGCGTTCGAGGAATTGTTGTAGGAATTATCCACCAACGTTGGACAGGAACCACAGATATGCCATAGTCGCAGCGTGTCAAGGCTTCGATGTCCAATCCCTGCCACGTGATTGTGTATCGACGGATCTTCGCTAGCTCGGGTTCCGAGCTGTCGAACGGAGCACAGTTCACTCATCGTGAATCGGCGGTCTGAGCAGCATCCCCGTACGCTCACTTTATGACGACACCGAAGCAGACGCGGGGTAATCCGGAACATGAGCACCTTTCGTTGAGCGGCTCTCTTTGTTAGCATGTACATTTCCATCAAGCAAAGACGATTTTCTTGACTGATACCATACTCAAAATACTTCACTTTGATACTTGCAAGATGTCTAAGCTCCTTGTCGTGTTTGGCGCCACTGGGCAACAAGGCGGCTCCATTGTCAACACCATCCTGGGAGACGCGGAGCTAAGCAAAGAATACAAAATTCGGGGGACGACTCGTGATCCAAGCCAGGAAAGCGCGCAGGTACTCGCAAAGAAGGGTGTCGAAGTCGTTAAGGCAGACGTTGACGACGCTGCCTCGCTCAAAAAAGCTTTCGAAGGCGCACACGTTGTGTTTGCCAACACGGTCACCGTTTATGACGGTCATGCATACGAACACGAAGTCAGTCATGGCCGAGCTTTAGCTGATGCTGCCGTCGCAGCTGGAGTTCCCTACTACATCTATTCGACCTTACCCAATGCTGGAAAAAACTCAGGCGGCAAGCTCAAGAATATGGGACACTTCGATGGCAAGGAAGAAGTCGAGCAGTATATTCGCAAACTGCCTCTGAAGAGCTCATTCTTTGCACCCGGCTCTTTCATGTCGAATTTCAGTGCCACGATGAAGCCACATCCGGTTGGCAACGGCACCTATGCCCTGTTCAACTTCGTCACACCAGAAACAAAGATGCCTTTGATCGACACTGCAGGGGACACCGGAAAATGGATAGCTGCCATCTTAGCCGACTTTTCCAAGTACGAAGGCAAGGTGCTTTGCGCAGCGACAGGCTTGTATAGCTTTAAAGAGATCGCGGAACACATGAGCAAGAGTTCCGGAAAAGCGGTTGCATACATCCAGCTCCCGGAGGAGAAGTGGCGTGGCTTCCTGCCTCCTACGATGAGAGACCACGTCGCCGAGATGTTGCAGTACTTCCAGGATTACGGGTATTATGGTGAGAATACGGAGGAGAAGGTCAAGTGGTCGGCCGAGCAGGCGCGTGGCAAGCTGACCACGCTGGACGAGTATTTTGAGGCGAATCCGTTGAAACTGGAATGAGCGAGTAGCTAAGGTTAGAGGTGACACAAACGCGTAATGTAGGATCCCGTGAAAGTTCCCAGGAAATCGTGAACATGGTCGCGTTCCGATGGTCTTTCGAACGCGACGGCCTTGTTGTGGGAGCGGAAGCCACGCGGAACGGATGCGAGACGCGTTCGTTTCTCGCCTCATGAGTTATGTAAGCCAGACCAATTATTGAGTCGCCTACTGGCGACAGCCTGTCAATCCAACACACCAGACTTGATGAAAATAGTCCCAACTGATTCAAAACATGCTTGCTGGGGATAATTCTCTTGCTATTTTGGGCGAGATCGTAATTCGACCATGCGTCGATGCCAGGTGTCGATTCCAAGCTCAACGCTCGGTGTGTCGGGCGCCGTAACCCACCTTGTTCCCATCGACGGCACTGCAGTCTTATGGTAGTATGCACAGTAAGGGCAATAGTTTGTAATCATCCTGGAAGCTCTGAGATCCGCCTGTCGTATGTAAGACATGATGCGAAGATCTTAAGGATGACGCGCGCGTAGTTTTCTCCTCCCAATTCGCGCAGCTTCAGTCACGGGGACCACCTCTTACCATGAATGACCATCACTCTCAGCAAGAGCATAAGGAGGCCAGCATCTCTCAGCTGGCTAGTCTAATCCTTGAAGAGTGCTCGACGATGGAATTGGAGTGCAAGACGAATGATATTACCCCACCCAACTTGCAAGCCGGGACAAGCACTGCTTTCTGGTCGGAAACATCGCCAAAGCTGAGCGACTCCCGGACAAGGGCGCTTGGGTGGTTAGAGCAGCTCACGATCCTTTTGCAAGGACCCCATCAATTTCTCCATGAATTCGTTGCACCCAACTGGGATCATGGTGCACTTTACGTCTTTCTTCAGTCGCCAGCGCTGGAGTGCATCGCTTCTTCTGGAGGTCGCGCCTCTCTTTCTCGCTTGTCTGATGTCTCGCAGATCCCAGAAGACAAATTAACGAGGATACTCGCCCTATTGCGATGCAAGAACATTGTACACGAGCCTGAGCAGAATATATTCACGTTGACAGCGGTATCAGAAGAGTTGCTGGGAGACGAAGATTTCCGGGCATGGGTGGAATTTCAGCTATTTGAGACGCGAGTAGCTAGTGCCCATCTGGCACAGGCACTCACTACAAAGCCGAACGACTATGTCGCGGGCACATCTGGCTTCAAACAAGGGTAAGTTGGAACCGTATAAACGTATGTAAACTTGGCTGTCGCTAACACTTGTTAGGTGGGGTGCTGAGATGTATGAATGGCACGCTAAGCATCCTGAGAAAGGTGACCGTTTCCGGCGAGCTATGAGAGGAGTCTCAAAATGTAAGTCATTCCGCAAGTACATTGACGCAGAGTTTTGCTGAGCATGACAGCACTGGACCCGGCGGATTCGCTACTTCGAAAGCACATCCACAACCTTTCGTCGCCAGAACTGACCACGGCCGTCGAGATCGGTGGAAGATACGGATTCGCATCTGTGACACTTGTCGGAGAATATCCGAGCCTCTCGTTTGAAGTCCGTTGTGAATCTGACGACTTCTTGCGCCGGGGCAAGGCTCTTGTTGACCCACGTTACGACGATCGCATTATTTTCACCAACGTTGCATCTCCATCGGCCATGGCGTGCACCGGTGACTCCACGAAGGTCTTCGCTTACATCATTCGCAACGTGTTCTGGAATTGGACCGACGACGATGCAATCAAACTTCTCCAGGTGTTGCTGCCCACGCTGAGGACGAATAAATCGACCCGCATTCTGATAACTGATGGCGTCTCCCCAGTGTCGAAGCAATTTCCTCCGCACATTGAAATCGCATATCGAAGACGAGACATTACCACAATGACGATGCATAATGTCAAACAGAGAACACAGGCCGAGTGGCTCGAGATGTTTTCACGAGTTGATCCTTGTTTGAGTGTCAGTGCGTTCCAGTTTGAGTTTGGACGAGGCTAACATCTGAGCAGGTGAAGACAGATGTAGAGATTAGCGCTCATGTCTGCAAGGGCCTATGGGAGCTGTCTTTGTAGGACTCAAATTCAAAAGGCATGTCCTTGCACGCCCGATGGCGCGCTGAGAAGGGACAGAGATGCAGAGTGCGTTGTGAAATTTGCATTTCGAAGACCATATCCTCAAATTCACGCCCACTCTGCACCTACACCATATGAGCTGATAGTCCTGAGGTATGCTTATTGTAAGTTCTTATAAGAGCCTGAGTATATACGCAGCTACAAGATACTCTCCTTGATCCTATAGAAATCTTTGAATATATACGGGCTACCTTATCACCTCTTCTTGTGAGAAGATAGCAGGCAGAAATTTTGCCGGCGCCTGGGGGTACTGTCTCCATAATTTGTGAGGGTGCAGTACTTATAGTTATGAAGAGACTTGATTGAAAATCTAAAACAAGGTCCACACCAACTCCCGCACACGATCAAACAATGGTCCTTCCCTGACCCCTCCAAGAGCTCTCTGCGCGATCGTAGATATCTCATCTTTACTAACACCTCGAGCAGACAGAGTCGGTACTTCGAGCTCAAGAGAATGCACCAGAGCGATGATGCGATCGCCGACTTCCGAGGCGTCGTGGACATCGTCGCCGGTCGGGCATCCGCCAGCCGCCTGTAAGAGGCGAGAGATCTGTTTCGCTGCCCACAGCGACTCATGAGCCTTCAACTTGACCACCTTTCCAAGAGTCATGCACGAGGTGATACCGTGAGCTATTCCATACGGGCTTCCCAGCGCATGGCCCAAGCTATGTGAAAGGCCCATACCTCCAACGAGGTTTTCGCCTTTCAACCCTGAACTCGCGTATGCCGCGAGCATGAGACGAGTCGTGACGACATCATCGGAAGGGTACGATTGCTGGCACTTTCGCAGACACTCGAAGAGCTCACCCACCGCCCAAATTGACAGAGCTTTCCAGGGCATTTCCGTGGAGGTAGGGTGGTACATGCATTCGACAGCATGGTCCATGGCGCGCATTCCGGTGCTCAACCACAGTTGTTTGGGCGTATGGCGTGCATACTGTGGGTCGTAGAAGATGGCTGAGACGCCCATTTCTGGTGCGCGAAAGCCGACTTTGACACCATCAGCCTTGGTGTATCCACCACCTGCTGTGCACTCTGCTGCACTCAACGTGGTTGGAATTGTTAGATGAGTGAGGAATGATCCTTTGTGCTCCTTGGCTCGAAGTGAAATCACTTTGGCGGTGTCGATTGGCGAGCCTCCACCAAGTGATACGATGGTGTCGACATCTTGCCGGCTCAGTACTTGTTCAATGGCTCGTTCGACGTCTGCAATGGGCCCATGCTGTCTGATGTTTGAGATTGTTCCGGCGTGATGTCGTCCAAGTATGTCTTCTAGTTGGCGCACAAGAGGTGTTTTTGTCGCCAAGGAAGTTCCGGTGATGATGTAAACTCTGGAAGAGGGGCTAGGTAAGGTGCCGAGAAGATGTTGTTCGACACAGCCGGAACCATAATGCAGGGTTTTTAGCTGAATCCTAGGCTTCCATAAGCCCGAAAAGCTCGTCATAGCTCCTTGATTTGACATTATTGGGTTCTGCTCGGCGTGATGCTTCTTTGCTCTTGACCAGGCTTGTGAGTTTCGTCCCTGACTGTCGGACGTTATGCTGTTGCTGTTGCCCAGGCTTCTGATATGGTGTAGAGACTCGGACTCCGGCGTCCGCTTCTCAAGGAAGATAGATGTGGGTAGCCGAGATCAGATGACATATCTGCGTCGAGCAAATCAAGCTGATGGTGACGCCCAGTCGGTACAAAGTTGCCACAAAGAATGCACGGAATGGGGACATGACTATGAACACGCTGCCAAGAGATCGTGCGCCTTGATCGCGAGCTCCAGCTACACTGGCGCAACAACAGGCAGCAAATTTGTGTCTCCTCTACACATGCTCGAAGTGATCTAATAGTCTTGATTAATACCCTAAGAAGTTTATAAAGAAGCCAGGACACATTCAGTGCCTTGAGACATCTTGTCCATTCTTGAAAAGGGTTTAAATGTCTCCAGTCTAGCTCTTAACCCTTCTCGTTGGGTGAAGGAGAACAAGCTTGTAGAGACGCTTCACCCGTATGAAATCAACGAGCCACCGTCGCCATTCGAGCGGGTCACGGACGGTAACTCGCCGTTCTGTGTTGTCCAACGCATGCCAATCCCGAAGAGCAGGCCGATACACGCCTACTTTTGACACCTTCGCGTAGACAATACGGCAACAACAAGATGAGCTTCATGCTTCTCGACTTCTAGAATGTCTTAATATCGGTTAGCTTCGTTAGATTTGCCTCGTGCTGGGCGTTTCTGAGATTAATCCAATGCTCGTCACGTACATCAAATCTTCAGTCGATGTGCTTAGCTTCCAAACACAAAGTTTAGCGAGAATGATATTCTTGAGGTTTTGAGGCTGACAGTTACAACAAACCGTGCATGCGGTAAGGTCGAGCTGTATGCCACGCGCCGTGGTGGGAGACATGATAAACTACCGCCACCAGGCAGCAACAAACCTCATGCTCGCTCTGCGTTTACACGATTTAAGCTAATATTCTTTAGACGTATGTTTCTTTTGAAGCTTAGGGGAGCCTGAAGATATACGCAGCTATAAAATACTCAACTCGATTTGACAAAAGCCTTCAAATATCTCCAGCATACCTCTTCACCTCTTTACCTATTCGCGTTGGGAACAGGCGGATGGAGATTTTGCCGAAGTCTGGTTCCATATTCAGCCTACATTATCAGCAATTCTGCTTAAATTAACCATGTATCAAATTCTTGCGAGGCTGTGACATCGACCACGACCACTTCAGCACATCGTAGCCTAGCGGCTTCCCAGTTGATACATAAGTGCTTTGATTAAGAGATTCACAAGCGATATGCGACTATACAAATGAGCCTTGGACCGTGTCTGCGACAAAGGTGCTCTTACACAGCTATAGTTAGCAGTAACTGTATTCGATGGAAATTTTCAAGGATACTTATGCTCAGAGGAAACTTGTTCGATTTGTAACTTACTATAGAAGCGGCCAGTATGAAACCAACCTTGAGTGCGGCCAGCATGAAGCTAACCTCGAGTGCGGCCGGCATGAAGCTGACCTTGCGTGCGGTTGGCATAAAGCTAACCTTGGATACGGCCGGCATAAAGCTAACCTATTCGACCATGGCTTTGTATTGCTCAATTATCTTTTTGAGCTCAGCAAACCGGTCACTCTGCTTGTCGGCTTCATCGAGCAAGGTCTCTACCGAATTGTTGGATTGATCAAGAGCTGTCTGGTACTTGCTGAGCTTGTCCAGTAGTGTCTTGTTCGCACCTTCCAGCTCAGTTTGTGCTCTGCTTGGCCCTTGACGTCTTGCCGCCATACGTCGCTCGTTCTCGAGGGTCGTCCACCTGATGTCCAAGGCTTGACAAGCTTCTTCGCTTTCGCAAAGCTCGGTGGTCAAGGTCTCGTTCTCTGCCTTCAAGGCCTCGTTGTCTGCCTTCAGGGCGTCTTCGCGTGCTTCTGCTTGGCGAAGCCCTTCCCTGAGTTTCCGGATCTCGGCAAGAGCTTCGTTGTGTACGAGAGCTGACACACCGTGGTATGTGGTCTGGATCTCTCGCGCGACTGTGCTTGATGCTTGGTGCTTGATCGACCGCGATGTTCTGCGCTTGGCCGGACGCTTGACCCTCTTCAGCTGGTAGTCCTGCAATAATCCGCTCTGCCCTGCGCAGAATCGGTCCGCTAGCCTTGCGGAATTCCGCACATCGTTGATTGATTGCTCGTTGTCGCCTAATGCGGGCGTCGTACCTCACTTCCGTGATGTTGTAGAGGCGCGATTGATAACGCTCGATTTCCGCTTGGAGCTCGGGTGGGACAGGCGCGTACACGTCGCTTTTAGACGTTGGGGTTTCAGACATTGTTGTGGATGTGTGTGGTATTGAAGTGTAGCGCGTACGGGGAATTGTGGTGGAGGTGCAGGTGCAAGTCCAAATCAAGTATAGCATGTGTTTCTAGCGCCAACAATGTGTTTCTAGCGTCATCGATCGCCCCCGGACTCCGAGCTTCGACCGCCCTACCAAACCCATGTCCAGCTCTGTAGTATTTACTGTGTCGTAAATCACTGAGGTCTATCTGGATCCACAAACGCCCTGCGAAGAGAACTCCATGGCTCACCTCAAGCATCTTGGTACCCGGATCCAAGATCAGATCTTCCCTACTGTTGCGCATTATGCGCCTCTTCTACGGGCCAAAGCATCAACAATCCGACTGACGCCTTGCTCCACATTCTCTTATGGTCCTACAGCACGTCATCAACTGGACGTATACACCCCAGCACAGGCCGGTCTCGTCAATAACCGACGACCAGTCCTCGTATTTTTCTATGGTGGCGGCTTCGTCCAAGGACATCGAACTCTACCCATCCCGACACTTGAAGGACTCGTGCACGCCAACGTGGCTTCGTTCTTTGCTCGTCATTTCGGCTACACGGTTGTGGTTCCAGACTACCGACTTTTGTCCCATGGTGCCGCATTCCCTTCAGGAGGCGAAGATGTGGCATTGACGGTGAAGTGGATAAGCGAGAACAGAGATAAATTGGGAGGTGTCGAGAGTGAGACAAAGCAGGATGTCGACCTGTTTGTAGTAGGCAACTCGGCTGGTGGCGTGCACGTCTCAACATATTTGTTTTGCAACCAGTTTAAGGAGATGAGAGCGGAAGTGCTTGGCGAAGGGAGCACGGTACTCAGAGGAGTAGTAATGCTTTCTGTACCATTCTCATACGAGGGTGTAGAGGATGAGGCGAATAGAGAGGTGCTGAAGAAGTACTTCGGAGATGTGGAGCGCAATTGTCCTTTAGCGCTCATGAAGGATGCGTTCGAATCGCAGCAAGGCGAGCTCGACTTCGCCAAGAGCAAGACTGGGATTCTGATTCTCAACGCAGAGATGGACCCTGAAAATGAGTGCTTGCGTCCACGAGACAGATTTGTCAAAGAATGGTTGAGCCTTGGAGGTGCTGCGAGCAAGAACGCTCTCTTCACTGACACGATGGCTGGGCAAAACCACATAAGTCCGTTCTTAGCTTTGGGGACAGAGATAGAGAGCGAGGAAGCGTGGGGCTACCAGGTCGCAAAATTTTGCGAGGCATCAAGAGGATCGGACGTACGTGGCTAATGAATCTTCATTCCCGCCATGCCCCAGCTTTATCTATTCTTACTAGGTCGCGAGGACGATTTCAATAACATGAATTATGCTGCAAGTATGCATGACTTTTCTAACTGCAATATCAGTGATAAAATATGTGCAGGGCTGGTGTCATAGCTCGCTTCGTCCAGTGTTTAAGATTATCATTTCACTTTACTCAAACAGAAAGGTGGAAGATAGCTTCATAGCATAATCGTGCGGTCTACGCCCCCAATCTATCCATAGCCTTCCTCTATGTGGGTATAATTTTATCCATTTCACTCCTGATCCGAAGGCCCGGGCCACTAAAGAAGGTTACACTAGACTGTATCTACGCGACAGCATAGTCACTACTTACATCTGTTAGCACACCCGTAGCATATTGTAGGCTTCAGGACTTACCATCCTACTCGCTGTCGCTATCACTAGCCTCGTCGCTGTTACTATCACTGTCGCCGTTGCTGTCAGTGCTTGCCAATGCATCGCCGTCTAAACCAGGTAAGTAGGATGATTTCAAAAGGGGTAAACTACTGACGATAAGCCTGAGAGGCGTTGTACTGGTCAGCGGCGGGACCAGTGCCAGTGGAGATGGCCGTCTCTTGGTCCTCGATTTCAGTGACCTGCTGAGTTGTGCTGGTGGCGGCTGGCATTGTCGGGTTGATCATGGGTCCAGCAGGAAGTTGATGAATGGTCTCGTACGTGTCGCCATCTAGAATGGTGTAGACCTGGGCAAAAGATCGGGCCTCGACGAGCATCGTACGGCGATAGCGAGGTACGAGACCCAGACCATTGACGACGTATGTTTTCTGGGGGTTGAAGTTAATGGATAGGGCCGGCGACCAGGTAGCTGTCTGGGGGCTCTTTCCGTCGCCAGAGGGTGGAATCGAGGTCAAAGTCGTTGACGGAGGTTGGTTGCCGCCAGAGCCAGTAGCAGTTGTGGACATGGTCCTGATGGTTGGTGGCTTCCATTGCAGGTTAGAAGGCGGTAGAAAATCTTCATCAACTTGCATACCCGCTGAGTGAATGGACTAAGCTGTATCGTGGTTGATTATCCCTTGGATTTCCCTTGTGTTGAGTCCGAGTTACACTGTGTTTGTTTGGAGAGAGTATATACAGTGCAGTGAAAAATGTATCTTATAGCCGATGGCGTAGATTTGACGAGCCATTCACTTTGTCTTGATGACGGGGCCTGTTCTCTCTCTCTTACTCAGATCCGCGTGCTCGAGGCTCGAGGCCGGAGGCGATCTTCAACAGTAGAAAAGGCCGCCCCTGCGAGGGTGACTCACGAGTTCGTCGCTCTCGATCGGAATTGCTACATAAACCAGCGCATCGTCGATTAGCTAGAGTTTCTGAGCTGACGTAGAGCAGTTTCGGAATCGTATATTTGGAGCTGTGAGCGCATATTCCACAAGCGCAAGATGTGACTTTCTCGAGTATAGCAGACCGCGCGTGTTCGGACCTGAGTGGAGTACATGAGCGGTCGAGTCTTTGTCTAAGTATGTTGCTAGCTGTACATATTGTTGAATCTTTGTCTGAAGTTAGCATTCACGCCCTCCACCCTGCAGTGTATACACACAGTACAGCTCACTCACGCCGCAATCACATGGCTGAAAACAAATATCCTCAAAGATTTGCCTGATCTTGTCAATAAATTCGGTAGCCCGAAACACCGTTTGCTAGCGAAAATTGACTGTGCGGAGTGAAAGTCACGTTGAGTTAGGCGAGCTTGCAATCGGAAAACTCGAGGACAAAGAGAGATAAGCACCGAAGATTTCTATTTAAAGCGCGCAATCTCGCCGGGAGCATCCGATAGACGCAGTAGATGTCCATCGAACAATTAACTTTACGTCGTAGAGGACATTTGCGGGAGTGTCTTGGCCGTAGCAGCTCGACACCTAGCTTTCGACTTGAAAGCGAGGTACAACACGATGACGGGCGAAAGTAAAATGGCATATTGGGTCAAATACTTTATTCTGTCGTCAAAATGTAGCTAGCACCCACTTTCCAAGTCTTGAGAGATGTCCTTCCTCCACATCAGTGGTGCGAAACCTCATCCAGTCATTCCAATCGTTCAGCTGTCTATCCATGATTCCAAGTCTTCAACTATCCACCCGAGCTGAGCCGTGTCCACGTTGAAATGAGCCATCTACTCAAATGTCAGCATTTCGTCTACATGTACCGCCTCAAGCGTCAATACTCACACGTAACATGTTTCCGTATCAGGCTCTAGAAGTAGCAGACCGGCTCCTTGTCGCCGCCCGTACATTCCTTGCACACGCGCTCAGGTACCCATATATGTTTGTTGACGAACTTGTGGCAAGTCACCAGAAGGTTGCCGTCGCACTTCTGAGCCTTAAGAGTGCAATCAGGCTCAGGCTTGGACTTGGGATCGTTCGCGGAGACGGTGGAGGCCATGGCGATGATGAGAGTAATCATGAAGAGCTTCATGTTGTTGTTGATGGTACTTGTGTTGACAAGTAAGCGTGGGTTGATTTGAGGTTGGGGGTCTTTGAACTGATGAGTAGCTTGGAGAAGTTGGAGCGTGGTGGAGAAAGTATGGAGGAAGTGGCAGGAGGAGCAAGATATAGCCCTGGAGTAGAGCTCAAGTCTCTACTTTGACGCTAATGGGCACTTTTACCTAAGCAAGACTTGCGGAAGTGCGCGTTTGCTCACGCGGCAAGGCGGCTCGCAGATAACAGAGTTGCTCTCAGCCTATCAGGATGGAAGTAGCGAAAGTAGGAGCGGACGCGGTGGCGGGAACAGGAGCGAAAGCGAGATCAAAGTGAGCGGAGCCTCAGGAGACGTTGGTCTGCGGTGTCGTGCTCTTTCGAGGTTCTTAGCATGCCGCGAGCTGTATGCAATACGGCTCTGGCATCTCCCTAGAGTTGCAGATCCTGGGATATCACAATGTGTGTTGCGTTTCGTCATCTGGCGCGCCTGATGAAAGATGCTGGCAGGAAGACTTGCATCGCTACACTGAAGACCTCCCGCATCGTGGAAGCGAACATGTCCACCCTCGATTTCACGACATTCTTTACATCCAGTCTCAGTATGATACCAAAAGGCATGCGTTCCAACTGTAACACGTTTAACTTCTTGTACTCCGTCTTCTGTCCAAGATATGACCAGTACACGTGCAATAAGGCTAAACGGCAGCCCGCAACATACCAAAGATGACTGTAAGAGCGTTTGATGAGATGGTATGACTTTTTTTGCACAGTTTTCAAGCGTTACTCTGTAATTCAGCTTCCCTTAGATCACAGAAAAGAGCATTTGTGCGCCATTGGCGGCGGAGTCGAGGTGAGAGTCACCACTGACACTGCAGCTTTTCTCTACTCAACCCCCTTTTATCTCACCTATTCTGAATGTCACTACTCATGTTGTCTTTATGCTGCCACCATCCACGTTGCAACTTCCCCCCAACACTCCAAGGATTCGACTCCTCTGCAATGATGAAAAGCGCTTCCCATGGCTGCGACGGTCAGGTGTAGCATGTGAGGGTAGATACGTTGATGTGCTGACAAGAGAAACACAGCCTCAGGCGCATAACTGGTCTCAAAAGAATTCATACGCATCTATTTCAGGTATCATCATCATGCAACTCATAACCGCCCGTATGCAAAGTAGAAGAAGAAAGCCAGCATAACTACCCCAATCATCACCTCTAATCCATACGCATAGCCGGACCTTCAAGCATCATCTCCGCCAATGACGCTTTCCTCGCCTTCGGACTCATTCGCGGACTACTTTCAATACCAACTTCCTTCGTGCAAATCCACGTCGATGCATACATGTTGACCCTGTGAGTTTATGTCAGCACGGAACACACACAAATCTGCTGCTACTAAGTGACTTACCTGTCGATGCAGCTTCCCGGCACGCGAACCGCCACCCTCTTGCAGCTAAATCCACACTCGCCAAATACTCTCAGATACCATGGCTCCAGACCCGCGCTTCTGAGCATGACACGTCCACGCACTTTCAATGCGCGGTTTAGCGCCCGGATTTGCTTGAGCGCTTGAGTTCCTGTCGGTGGGAACCAATCCATGCTGTCCATGACGACCACGATAGTCAGGGTACCTGGCCGCATACGTGAAATCACTTCGGAAATCTCGTCTGTGTGGATGCGCAAGCCGTTGAAGGCATTTGGCTTGCTGAGTTTAACGTGCGACTTGGGTGACAGATAAGTGGGATGGGATTGTGGTGTGTAGTGGCCGAGAAGGGTGAGAAGGTAGTAGTGGTTGCCGGTGGAGAGGAGAGTAGTGTTGATGACGGGCTCGAAGGTGTTGAGTACGTATTCGTAGATCGCGTTACCAGAGTCGGACTTGAGAGCGTCGTCGGAGGGCTCCTCGTGGAAGGACATGTAGTCATCTCCGGTAGTTTTCTCAACAGTCTTCTTCTCGTCGAAATCGGATTGCTTCTTGAAATCGGCTTCGATGACGGCGCGCTGCGCTGGCGGGACGCCGAGGGCTTTCCATAGCCATTTCTCGTTACCAAGTACAGCCCAGGTCAGAATTTTGGAGTGGAGGAGGTTCTTGATACTTCTTTGCCAGATTTCGCGTTGCTCGTTGAGTGTCTGGGCAGCGCATAGCTTCTTAACGTCTTCAGTCATGCCGAGCAGACGGAAGAGCCAGCCTGCGGCGGTGAGCGCGTAGCCTGAGCCACCAGAGTAGTAGAGACCTTTGGATGATGTAGAGGAGAAGATTGAAGGGCCGTTGTGCAGCCAGAATTGGAAGGCTTCGGAGGAAAGGTGTGGACTGAGTTTCTGGATCAGGATATTGTGGAAATCGGAGTGTTTTCCCTCGCCAAAGAGCTTCCAGAAGTCCTGGTAGCCCAAAGCGGTGAACGAAGCGACCTTCAATTCCAGGAGGTGGTTTTGCGATGGGTTCAGGTCAACGGCGTGGACACGGCGACAGTTCTCGAGGCAGAAGGCTAGAATGTTGTCTCCCGCAGAACCGATTGCGAGGACAACATCATTCTGGTTTGGCTTCAGCAGTCTCATATCGGCGACATCGTCTTCCCAGGTAAATGCGTAGATGTAAGAATCATTGAAGCGAGTATGTTTGGGGAGCGACGAATCATAGTGGATACGCCAGTGGTGGTTCTGGTACCATGTAGCTGGTAGTGGTAAGCTGGACTGGAGGTTGACGATAGCAGATTCGTAGGCTTTGGAGTGAACTTCAATATCGGTTTGGGTGATCCCGGTCTGCAGGTCGAGTGCGGAAAGGTATGGTGATTCAGTGGCAGCCGCGTCAATCTCGGCTAGCTTCTGGGTCGCAGCACCGCTGTCTTTTGAACAGCCTACCCAGATGTAGTAGGGAAGTTTGATACCAATGTTAAAGAAGTTGTTGCGAGCGTTGATACCAAGCACGGTACCGAAGCGGTACTCTAGGTAATCACGTCTCGCAGGCTCCAAATTTACGCGATCAATCTCGCTACGTAGTGTTAACATATCACCAGTAAACAATGACAGGAATGACTTACAACCATGTCCTCCAGAAAACGCGCGAGATCCACATGCAATGCCGGTCAATAGCACCACCCATGTAGTTTCGGCCCATGAAGTCAACCTGGTTCTGCACGTAGAAGTCGACTACTCCAATCACACCATTGTGGCTGAGGAGGCTGTCGATCGAATCGATGGCTGAGTAAAACTCCGGGATCATGGAAAGTGCGTAGCTCATGGTCACGAGCTCGGCACCACCGGCATCTGCGTTCTCATCGAGATCGCGTACTGCTTGACCTTGGGATACGATCTGCTTGCGTTGATACGCCTCAGGCTCATGCTCGTGGAGACGGAATGCACGTGCATCCTGGCAAACAACCTTGACGTTGGTCCAACCTAGACGTATGAATCGTTTGCGGGCCATTTCGCAAAGACTTGGTGAAAGGTCGACAACGTCTGAGGATGTTAGCGTGTACAGAATTGTGTGGAGCTGGCCCGCATACAAACTGCGTGGAAGAACTTTGGAACCGAGACATATTCATTCATCTGCTCAACGCTAGGGTTTCGTCAGAAAAGCATGTTGAAGGTGCTTGTGGGCAATTACTTGTGACCGGTTCCGCCGCCAATCTATTGAAGATGTTAGCACAGTTTCGGATTTAAAAGAAATGGTACATACGTCAACCCAGACTGGGCGCTGAGAGATCAATCCAGATTCGGCGCGATGCTTCAACTGTGCTGCAACGAGACCGAGCATGTCCTCTCGGCCACGCAAAAGTCGAACCCGCGTAGCATCGTAAACATCTGCTTGCGCTTTGTAGAAGCTTTCCTGTGAAGTGTTAGTTATTGTAGTTGTTTATGAAGAAAGATAAAGAATACCAGGGCGTCTTGCTGGCTGCCAGAGCCATCACCAGTGTGCGGCTTGAGGAAACATCCGTAGGCGAACTTCAGGTATGCCTCGAGTGTACCCACAGGCTGCCCTTTGCTCTTCGGCCTCAGAGCAAAGACAAAGACTGTAGCTACCAGTATACCCACGAAGCACAGAGCGATTGTGAGCTGGTAGAAAGGGTCACGAGGGACAAAAGCCGATAGTCCCAACATGACTGCAACCTCGCGAAAAGCAGTAAAGTATGAAGAGAGGGAGTAAAGATGTAACAAAGCCGAAGAATGTGCCCCTCATGGCTTATATGAGCAACTGTGGCCTGCGATCCGAAGCATCTTTCCGGCTTCGGTTCGTCACAATACTGGCCCACATGATGCGAGACGACCAGCAGATGCGTAAGGCTTCGGTATGACTTCTCAAAGACTCTACCAGCCAATAGAAGACGCCACATGCTACGACGATCTGGTAACGGCGTATAGCACCAATCCTTTGACGCCAAGTGGGATGTGTATCGGTACCCTGAGCCCGCTACAAGCGGTTATGCAGGGCCTCAGAGGAACCGAGAGTTTCTCCAGATTCTGAAGACAGGTTGGCGCACGAGCCTATCAGAGGGGACGGCTGTTGCGCGTGGGTTGAGATGGGCGTGACGTTGAGTTCGTGAGGTTGATGTTTATTGTCGTGCCGGTAGCCAATGAGGTGGCAGCTAGACGAGGCGTGCCCGTTTCGTGCACGATGCAGGGACAACCTCTGGATCGACAACATTTTGACAAATTGAAGTGACTTGCATCTGGGCAAGGCGGCCGAGAACTGTTGCGCTGTGCTCATATTGACACTGCAAAGTAGTCGAGCGACGTCGACAGTGGCTTTCGTCATTGTGGGCCTGCGCAGTGCTGCTAGCTCTTGTTAGGTATAACGAACGGCTCGTAAATATTGCATTGTATTGGAGTTCCTATCCTGCCTGACATGGTGATGAAAGTGGAAGGTACCTGGTGGAGCTGACTTTCGGCGTAGCATTAGCCACATGATTCGACCGTGTATAGAACCTGACGAGGCAACAGAAGCAGAGTTCATGTTTATGTCTCACGACTGAGCGTGGCGCAGGCCGGTGATCTAACCATTTCCCCCGAGTGGTGTATGAGACAAACGTCGAAACTGGCGATTAGCACCCGTGAATCTGACCCATCTTCCATAACCCAAGAAAAATTCAACATAGAAAGCGAAAGAATCTTGACGTGTCCATATCATTAAATTTGCAGGCCAAGCTGATGCTCTATTTGATCTTACACACTCGAAGTGGCATAGCGAATATGCAATCACCATAACAAAAGCGGCCCACCACTGAGGCATCCACTTTATGCGTAGAAGTTAACTGTGTCCTTCTTCTTGGCCTGGTGCAGAGTTAGCATGGAACGCGGGGAGTCGCAAAGCATTTGAATGACATACCTGTACTTCAGCGATAGCATCGACATAGTGCTCGTGGCTGATCTTATGTTGTCCTGATCGGAGAGCGATCATGCCAGCCTCGACACACACAGCCTTCAACTGCGCACCACCAAACTCGTCGGTACTGCGGGCCAACTCTTGCCAGTTGACACCCTCATCGACCGTCATCTTTCTCGAGTGAATGCGGAGAATTTGTGCGCGGGCCTCCTCGTTGGGCAGGGGGAACTCGATCTTCCTGTCCAGACGACCAGAACGGAGCAGAGCAGGGTCCAGGACATCAACTCTGTTGGTCGCTGCCAAGACCTTGACGCGGTCATCGGACGCAAAACCGTCAAGCTGGTTTAGGAGCTCCAACATAGTTCGCTGCACTTCTCTGTCACCAGACTTCTCGGAATCGAAACGCTTCGTGCCGACCGCGTCCAACTCATCAATGAAGATGATTGAAGGTGCCTTCTCTTTTGCAAGGGCGAAGCAGTCGCGGACAAGCTTGGCACCATCTCCTATGAACATCTGTACCAGTTGGGGACCAGCAAGCTTGAGGAAGGTGGCATCGGTTTGTGCGGCGCAAGCTCGAGCTAAGAGGGTTTTTCCGGTACCTGGAGGACCATACATCAGTGCACCTGAGATGCGTCAGTGGAATTCGAAACTCATGTCGCACGCAACGCATACCCTTCGGCGCCTTGATGCCAATCTTCTTGAAGCGTTCAGCCTCCTTCATGGGCCAGACGACAGCCTCTACCAGCTCTTCAATCTGCTTGTCCAAGCCTCCGACATCGGTGTACTTCTCCGTCGGCTTCTCGTCGACCTCCATGGCCTTCACGCGGCTGTCATACTCGGCGGGCAGCGTGTCCAGGACAAGGTATGAGTCCTTGTTGACACCGATGAGATCACCAGGCTTCAGCTTCTCGTGGTCGACCAGACCAATGAGGGGCAGGAAGATGGTCTGTCGCGTGGAAGTCTTGATGACGGCGGACTTGCCAACACGAGTCGCGTCCAGGTCGATGTTTGCACCTTCTTCCGCTGCTTCCTCGGTGACGTCGAGATCCAGTATTTCGACGACGTTGCCGACGAGATACGGGAGTTGTCTGCGAGTTGTTAGTGCTTGTGGGAATGACAGATGCCCGCCACCAAGTGTGCGGGAGGGCGGAGGATGCGCTTTATGAGGCATACCTGTTGTTCTCGATCTTCTCGAGGTTGTCCTTGATCTTCTCGTTCATTGTCGCCTTCTCGTGGGTCAAACGCTGAAACTCGCTCTTCATGATGCGCATATCGTTCTCTAGTAACCGCCGCCGTGCGACGATGTCTCGTGTGCTTGAGTTGAGGATCTCCTCATCGAGTTGCTCTTCCTCTTCTTCTGGCTCAGCATCCTTCATGTCTGCATCGCCATCGGCCTTCTTTCCGTCGCCATCCTTCTTCTTGTCCTCGTCCTTCTTCTCGTCCTTCTCGTGGCGCTCAAGGTCCTCAAGATCCTCAAGTGTAGACATGGTGGCGGTGTGGGGTAAGTCGGGTTGAGGGAGCTTTGGGAGATTTCGGTGTAACCGCAGGACGTGAGGTTCTCGCTGGGACTTGGCAAGCGGAGGGCGAGGGATGAGAGATATGGTTGGGTGATTGTCTGGAGGCAGCTGTTGATTACGAACGCTGGAAGCTCCCGCGATTACTTAGCTCCGGTCTTGGCGGTCGGCGTTCCTGTCTCAACCGCCGATGAGCCTCACCTGCACACACGACTGTGAAATCTCAAGCAATGTCACTCATTCTAGATGCAGGACACATGTTGAACAAAGGCTCCAGGCGAAATAATGTCGCACACATGAGAAGTAGCATTAGGGGTGAACGTCGACGTCAGCAACAATACTGACTGATGACGAACCACGATTGTAGCCAGATTGGCCTACTGCGATGTCGACCTCTGTGTGGCTTCAAGGCGTTATAAAGTGAAACACAGAAAGTAATGCTGAAGTACGGTACCTTTCATTACTATATGCAGCTGTGGAAAATGCTATGTGATAGTCTGAGGCACAGCACGCTTGTGGCTTACAGGTCACGAAAAGTTTTGAGATGTCATGAATGCGGGGTATGCACAGCATATGAGGCACATTCATGCTCATGGCAAGGAGACCGCACATGCGAGCTGTAAGTGGGGTGTAGATTCCTGCCCTCTGTCAATTTGATACGTACATTATTTTTAATTCACAAATCCGTTCATCCAGTCCTTGGAACAATCTATTCAAGGCACCATGGCCTAATGGTAAGGCGTTGCTTTCCGGCGTGGGACTCCAATCCCTAATGGAAGCTGGCAAAGATTGTGGGTTCGAGTCCCACTGGTGTCGTTTTTTTACCCTTTGATTGTCTTTTTGCATTCTTCTTGCGTTCATTTGCATCTTTATGCTTTTTATGTCGTGTTGAGATTGGTTCTGGCGCAGCTGCCTCGCACCCGACGGAACAACACCTCACAAACATCACACCGTAGCCATCACCCTGCTGCTGCCTCCGTAAAGGTTTTCATAGATCTATAGATATTTCAGAATGTATAGAATCTCCTGCGAACATTTCCAGGCTATGGTATAGTGCAAATGACTTTTGGTCCCTCATGGCGATTTTGCCTCGGCGTGCAAACGCGCAACACCCGAACGACTTATTCGTCCAGTGCATGCCTTGTTCACCAACACACTCCTCTTGCCCAACCGCTCATGAATTCTCCGACTAGAACTTTACAGCTGTGTAATTAGCATGCTTGCCAGTAGAAATATCCGCTGCGCCTCGAGGGCGCCGTAAGTCATGCGATATATAACAAGTGACTGCATATTGATGCACTCTAGGCTTCGCCGCACGTTCGCGACGACCTCACGACTATCCCTGGTAAGTCCAACGAACGAAGCCAACCACAAGGGTTCTCCATATCTACCAACGTTACAATATTGGACCGGCGGCTGACGAAAATTCTCCAGCTTCCTTCAACTAGATGTCAAGATATCCTGCCAGACGTCGAATTCAAGACGGGTGCTCTTGACAGCCTAGCTGGTAAAGACTGGGGCAAAAAAGCGAAAAACATTGAATCCGACTTGCGCAAACTGACATTGGAACTTCGGAAGCTTTATCGAAAGAGTCACGACCTTCGTGTAGTGATAGAGAGTAGCCGTAACGTAGGTATCTCAGCACTCACTACTGTCATAGTGGTTCGGGCTTGCGTTGACTGTCTTGCAGCATGTCATGACGCAAAATGTATGGGACACGCCAAAGTACAGCACGTATGATGACGTCGAAATCGACCTCAGCGACGTGAAGGTCGCGGGGAAGAAGATGCAAGTATTCATGGCATCAGATGTTGAGCTGGGCTGACCATGTGTGCAGTCCTAATATTTGGCTTCGGTGGGACTTGATCATATCGACTCAGTCTGGGCATTTACTGACACTATTATGACAGAGACAATTGCCAATGTAGCGCCTGTGTGCATGAGTCGACCAAGCAGAGACTACTAGACACTTTCTCGGTACGTATACACTTCTGCCAACTACAACATGAGCATGCACTTATCATACCCAGATAACCCAAGACGTCCACGTCAAGGATTACAATGTGTCGAAGAAAAACGACTTGACCATCCAATGTAGGCCATCCCAGATACTCACATGTCCTGCGCGACCGCGCTCACACTCATCAGGGAACGACGGACATCAAAGCACATATTCGCGCGCTTTCCTCGTCCGCGCAGCCTTCCCAGAAGAGTACAAAGGCCCTTTTCGTCAGGCATGGAAAAAGTCACGACACCCACGCTTTCTCCGCTATTCATGTTGCTAACGACCCTACAAGACCGGTACTTTGGGGCGCCTCCATCGCATCGGAGATTGACACAATCCGCGGGCCCAGCATCAAATTCGGCTCAAAGTACTACAGCATGAAATCCCTACTCGCTCGAATCGTACGTCCCCTTCCCTTCCCCCTCCACCCCACACTCACCCACCCATCCAGCGCGAATACGGCTTCTGTTACGTCACAAACGTGCCGCACGAGTCCCCCTCCGACACAGAGCAACTTCTGAAAAGCATCGCATTCATCCGCGAAACGCACTACGGCGGCTTCTACGACTTCACCGCGGACCTCGCCTCCAAAGATACCGCGTACACAAACATCGCCCTCGAAGCCCACACCGACACGACGTATTTCTCCGACCCGGCGGGCCTACAAGCTTTCCACCTGTTGTCGCATACCGATGGCGAGGGCGGCGCGTCCCTGCTCGTCGACGGGTTCAAGGTCGCGCAGGAATTGTATGACACGGATCGCGAGGCGTATCGTGTGCTGAGCACGGTGAATGTACACGCGCACGCGTCGGGGAACGAGGGGATTAGTATCCAGGCGTACCGCGGCTTTCCGGTGCTGGAGCATGATGGCGCGACGGGGGCGTTGCTGCGTGTGAGGTGGAACACGGCGGATCGTGCGAGTATTGAGTTGCCGATTGAGGAGACGGGGAGGTGGTATGATGCTGCGCGCAAGTTTGATGGGCTGTTGAAGAAGAAGGAGAATGAGTATTGGGAGCAGTTGACGCCTGGAAAGGTGCTGATCTTTGACAATTGGAGGGTGTTGCATGGGCGGAGCAGTTTTACAGGGAAGAGGAGGATTTGTGGAGGGTATGTGAATAGGGATGATTGGATTAGTAGGTATAAGATGGAGCTTTTGGGGAGGGAGGAGGTGCTGGGTGGGTTGGCCTAAGAATTACGAGACTTTGAGATGAAGGAAATGCATGTGGATACATCCTGTATGCCGCCTTGGAACTTATTTACAGCTGCTGCGATGTAATGAAAATTGCTCTGGTCTCTACTTTCTTCATGTCGACCTCGAACCCCGCTCCTGCTCCAACTCCAGTTCGGCCTGTCGGTAGTACTTGGCGGTGTCCACGCCGTGGTATGGGTGGTTGACAAAGTTGGGCCACAGAAGCACGTGGCCGAACATGGCTGAGTATCGCGAGTTCCTGTGTGCGACGCCCTGCATGTACTCGGTCATCTCTGAGGTGCCGTATAGCGACTCGCCCTTCTTGACCTTGTCGACCATCTCCCGCATATCCATTTCGACCTCGCGGCGGTTTTCGCGGACGCCGTAGAAGCGACCTGTCACGTTTTAGCAGCTGCTACCCTACTTGCATCCATGTAAAGCTCTGGGCCCGTGGGATACAGAATACAGATGCCGACGTACTGGTAGACCTCGAGTAGGCGAAGATGAACATTCCAGTAAGGCCCACAGCACCGCTCAGTCGCATGACTGGGGCGAATCCACCCTTGCCAACGAACGAGGGCGAAACCTGCTCCCAGTAGAGCATCAGGCCCGGGCTCATAGCTCCGACTGCCGCACCGTAGGCCCAGTCAGAAGGACGGGTGTATCGCATAACTCGCTTGAAGTGTCTACACTCGCCATAAGTACTCGTGTGCGTTGTGGAAGCTGTGGGGAGCATACGGGTCATTGTCGATGAGCTGCCAGTCGTTAGCTACATGCACGCATTGCGCGTCTCGTGGGGGGCCAATGGCTCACGGGATAGTCAGCAGTAGGGACCTTGTCCGGCACAATGGCCTGGTGCCTCACGGCGGAGTCCTGTGCGCTCGACATTGTGCTGGCGGTGCTTCAATGCGGAGTCGCTGCGCTTTGGTGGAAAGTGAGGTCGGAGAGCCAAGCGGGCCGTCCTCGACTAGCGCCAGAGCGCCTTCCGCGCGCCTGCTCGTGGCTCCTGCAACTTTTCTCTTGGCGCGTCATGCGACAGACGAGCTCGCGACAACAATGAGCGCGCATCCCATCTGCGCTGCCGAACAACCCCAAACACGATAGAAAGGACACGAGAGCTGGGAATATGGAAGGAATCAGGCAGGAAGGGTCGTCCGGCGCCCGAAATGGCGCCAATGCCGCGAATGCGACCGGCTCGTCGAACCTGCACGCCCGTCCTACCGTCGCCGACTTGCACGGAGAGAACCACTTCGCGCAGGTCGCGAGAAAGAATTGGTTGACGGCGAAGAAGACGCCCAAGGTGCGGCCCGAGGTGGTCAAGAAAGAGCTGTGGGACGAGCTGGAGGATGGCGACTTTGCATACTCGTCGCTACTCATTCTGGAGAACCTGCAGCTGCTGGAGCGATATCTGTGGCCGGGCTTTACCGAGGATGCGTCAAACTACCACCATCTGCTTCTGGCCCTCATGATCAACGTGAAGAGAAGGGAGAATCTGGCGTCTTGGGGTAAGGAGCTCTGTTCACGTAGGTGACGAGCGGAGACTGACATGTTACAGAACACTTTGCGAGCAAGCCGGCCGAGTTCTCTTCCTTCTTCCGCCGCATACTGTCCATGACCGTCGACCCTGCACAGCCCTCCAAGATCCGGACACAGCTGGTTTCCTTCGTCATCGGCGCATTCCAGTCCCTAGACAGCGGTCTCGTCCGAAAGGAGTGCGCGCCCCTGGTCGGCATATCGATATGGCAGAACCTGCACGCCGATGCTGTGCGTGAGGCGCAGTTCGAAGAACACCAGATGTTGCGCAAGGCCTGGAGAGCGACATCGAAACGGTTCGACGCTGCAGACGAAGCGCTACAAGCCAGGTTACGGTTCGAGCGGACGTGGCTCTACTCTCTCGTCCTGGACTTCATCAACAGGCTATACAACAGCACCACCAAGGAGGAGATTCGAGACAACTTGGCATACTGCGAGCGCTTCATGGAGCTGCTGACGGATCTGGAGAGCCAGCTGCCAACCAGGAGATATGTCAACACATTACTCAAGGACCTCAATCTCCTGCCAGCAATCAGACTATCACCCCTGTACACGGACGAAGAGAACGGCTTGTTCAGGGATCTTTTCAATCTGTTGCATCACTTCGCAAACTTCCCAATCGAAGACCAGACTGGCAAGCAACTGTCAAAGCTAGAGTACGACCAGCAGCACTACGATATCTTGGCAAAGCTACAACGCACAGGCTACGCCGCATTCCAGGAGAAGCTGCAGCTGATGGCACTTGCAAACTATGGCAGCATTGGTAACAGGGAGGAGTTGCACGGCCACCTGCAAGTGCTGAGCGATGACGAGCTAGTACAACTCTGCGCGCTCATGGACCTCCGGACAGAATACCCAGCCTCGACCTTCTTGGTCCGAGACCGCACGTTCTACATGGAAGCCTTACTGTCACTAGTCGAGCAGAAGCCTACATTCAAGGATACTGTTCGCGACATGCCAATCTTGCCTACTGAGAAAATACTCTACGAGACGACTTTCCTCAGGAACGAGTCCTACGACGGCTCTAGGCCACTAGCCATCCCCAAGCTGAACCTGCAGTACCTCACAATGGGCGACTTCCTCTGGAGATCCTTCATCCTCTACCGAGCCGAAGCTTTGTATGGTATCCGAAAGGACATGGAGGACGTCGTGAAGAGGGTGAAGCCGCGAGGGAAGGGTGCCAACTCGAAGTTTGGTGGCATATCCAAAATGTCGTTGCCCATCATGAAGCCAGCTGTGGTCGACGTAGCACCATCGAAAGTGGGAGACGAACATCCGGCCTACGTGCGAGCAGAGATCGTTCTGGACGTCAGCCGCTTGCAGCACGGGGTCAGAAGAGAATGGGAACAGCTCAAGACCGGTGATGTCGTCTTCCTAGTCGCCATCGAGGGACAGGATGATGTACCCATGCGTAATGGCAACAACAACGGGCTGAACTCCGGTGAGGAGTCAGGCCTTCACAAGCTCAGATGCGCACAGGTCGTACAGGTGCTGGATGAAAATGGCCGACCTCTTCGCGAGCAAGTCCACACCGATGGCTTTGCCCCTCGTGCCCGCCAGCGTCGACTCCTTGTCAATATTGACGCAAAGCAATACCAGCACGACATGGACAATACTGCCGAGGGTCGACCCAACGTGTACGAGCACATGAACCACATTGTCCGCCGGCGAGGGCGGGAAAACAACTTCCTACCCATCCTGGAGTCTATCAAGCGCTTGACGCTTTCGGACATTCCAGCTCCCTCGTGGCTTCAGGAAGTTTTCCTAGGCTATGGTGATCCTGCATCTGCATCGTACCAGCGACTGCATAACAGACTGCATTCAATAGACTTCCGCGATACCTTTCTGGATTGGCAGCACCTGATCGAGTCCTTGCCCGGCAAATCTATCGAACCCCACGAGGAAGCACAGACATCATTTGGGCCTCCGTACGTCGTGCAGTACCCTGCTGCAGCTGAACCAGAGATCGCGCCTGCAAAGCCTTCGAAAAAGCGGCGTCGCGATCAAGTCGAGGTTGCACAGCCTATGCATCAATCACTGCATGTCTCCACCTACAAGCCTCCGAACATGGGGCCGTACCCTGCAGATGCACAGAAGCTGAACACAGTGAGGTTCACCCCTGCTCAGGTTGACGCTATCACTTCTGGCACGCAGCCTGGCTTGACGGTGGTGCTCGGACCCCCGGGCACCGGAAAGACGGACGTTGCGACCCAGATTATATCCAATATATATCACAACTTTCCGGACCAACGGACCTTGCTAGTGGCGCACAGCAACCAGGCGCTGAACCAGCTCTTCCAGAAGATCGTGGCGCTTGACATCGATGAACGACATCTGTTGCGTCTTGGCCATGGCGAGGAAGACCTTCAGACCGACGCCAGCTACAGTAAGCACGGCAGAGTGGAGTCTTTCCTCGAAAGAGGACAGTACTACCTGTCCGAGGTCGATCGTCTGGCGAGAAATTTTGGCGCGCCCGGTGCCCATAGCAGCTCGTGCGAGACTGCAGGTTACTTCAATCTTGTCTATGTGAAGCCCGCTTGGACGCAATACTGGGACAGCGTCTCGTCTGACGAGTCCAGTGTAGAACAAATAGTCGCAGAGTTCCCGTTCAGAGACTATTTCTCCAACGCACCTCAGCCACTGTTCCCGCCCACAGCAGATCGCAGTCAAGCGTTAGACATTGCGCAAGGCTGCTATCGCCATGTCGAGAAGATCTTCACAGAGCTCGAGGACATCCGTCCATTCGAGATTCTCCGCAACCCCCGCGACAAAGCAAATTACTTGTTGGTCAAGGAGGCGCGCATCATCGCCATGACCTCGACGCATGCTGCCATGCGAAGACAGGAGATTGCTGACTTGGGATTTCACTATGACAATGTGATCATGGAAGAAGCCGCTCAGATCACGGAGATTGAGAACTTCATCCCACTTGCTCTACAAAATCCTCAGAATGGAGAGCTGCCATTGCAACGCATCGTGCTTGTCGGTGACCATCTCCAAAACTCGCCCGTCATCCAAAATCTGGCCTTCAGGCAGTATGCCAATCTTGAGCAGTCTCTCTTTCAGCGCCTCGTGCGTCTCGGTGTACCAACGATCGCGCTTGATCAGCAAGGTCGTGCGCGCGCCTCGCTTGCAGAGCTGTACAAGTGGCGCTACCCCAAGCTAGACAACTTGCCGTCAGTGCTCTCGTCTCCAGAGTTCCAGATTGCCAACGCAGGTTTCAAGTACGACTACCAGTTCATCGATGTTCCTGACTACAAAGGCAAGGGTGAGCAGGAGGTGGCGCCTCACGTGCTGGCCAACGAGGGTGAGGCTGAATATGCAGTTGCAATCTTCCAGTACATGCGACTGCTCGGCTATCCAGCAAACAAGATCTCAATCTTGACAACATATGCCGGACAGAAAGCTCTGATCGGAGAGGTGCTGGGGCGGAGATGTAAAGGCAATCCTCTGACAGGCATGCCGCGAATCGTTGCGACTGTGGACAAGTACCAGGGTGAACAAAACGACTGTAAGTGAACCACCTTCTCAAATTCGCACTGCACATTTAACACCACACAGTCATCATCCTCTCCCTAGTCCGCACCCGCAGCATCGGCTACCTCCGCGACATCCGCCGCCTTACCGTCGCCTTATCCCGCGCCCGCCTAGGTCTCTACATCCTCGGCCGCCGCTCCGTATTCGAATCCGTCTTCGAACTCAAACCCGCATTCGACGTACTCTTCCAACGCCCCGACAAGCTCTCCCTCATCACCGACGAAATGTTCGGCGAGACGACGCGCCCCGCCGCGGCACTAGACGTCGAAGGCGAAGCCGTCATGGAAGGCGTGGAGCATTTGGGTAAATACGTGTACGACATGCAGAATGCGAAGTTTGAGGCGCTCAAGGCTAATGGTGGGCAACTACCGACCCGGGAGATTAATATGAGAGATGCGGTGGTTGATGAGGATGGGGAGGAGAATGTGCTGATACCCGAGGAAGTTGGGGATGATTTTGGCGAGGATGAGGATGAGGACTTTGAGGTTAGGAGTAGCGGGCGGCATTTGGAAGTGCAAGCGACGAGCAGTGTACAATTAGATTAGGCATATAGCATTTCAGGTGTAGATTATTTCAGAGCGTTGGCGTCCTATCTGGCGTCTTTTCTGCAGTCTTACTCAACTTCTTCATTCGCGGTGTTCGAGAGAGAAGGTGCGCCTATCGGCCAAGTCTCCGGAGTACCCTCTACAGTGACGCGCGTTATCCCATCCTCGCTGGTGGGAATTTCACCAATGTAAGCTTCCTCACGAAAAAGCGTCGTCATCACGCGAGATCTCGACTCTTTACATCCACACAGTCTAGATCCCGCATCCTTCCTGCTGATGCAATATACATCCCACCCCGCCGCAAGCCGCGATGCGAGCATGGAGATGCCTGCTCGCAGAGTTGACATGGAGATCCTGGTAGATTGGCACGGCAAGTCGTGCTCTTGTCGTGCGAACGGATGGTCTGGTGGGTTGCTTGAGTTGGCGTGACTGTTCCTGGGATGCCATGACATATGGCAGACTTTGCATGCAAATCGATGGTCTGAGATGTGTGACGTGCCGAGATGATGGGGGGGGAGGTGTTGTTTTGGGATAGGAAAGTGTTGACTTGGGATATGCAGGGTTAGCCATGGGGTCCTTGGGATGGAGTATAGGTGTGTAGGGATTGAGAAATGTATTCGAAAAACAGGTTAACGTGACCGGCAATTGAGTCGGCCGGGCAATTGAGCCGGCCACCTTTTTAAGCAACCTATCTTTGCACTGTCATAACTTAAACCTACACTAAGCAATAAAGATATACAATAGCTTAAATTAATCGCCTGATTCAGCTGCATCTTTCTTGCAGGTGCGCTTATTATGTCCGACCTCACTACATGTCTTGCAGCGACGAATACCCTTGCTGCCACCACCTGCTTGCACTCTCTCCTCACACCTCTCTGCCTCAACCAGCGCCTCAGCATCCCTGCGCTCAATTATTTCCTCTGCTTCTTGCTGTGAAAGGGTCCCTCCATGCTGGATCCGCTTCCTTTTACGTGCCTTACGCTCAGAAGCTGCTTTATTTGCAGCTCGAAGTCTGACTATCTCAGCTGCCATAAGCACCTGGGTATGCACCATCATTTCAGCTCCTTTTTGGAACTGCTGCACCATACCCTGGAGTGACTCTGCTGATGAACTCCTATAATCCCTTATCCTCTTTAAGATCAGCGTTGATTGAGCTTCAATTTCAGCAGCGTTGCTTGGTGTTTTAGGCTGCCAGGTGGTAGGCCCTAGTGGAGGTGGTGACGGCGTATAAGGCTTCACTTCAAGCTTTGATAGCACCACCTCTGGGTTGTCTGGAAGCAGGCCTGTTGCCTGGAAGCTTGATAGGATATTATCCTTTGAAAATGCCTTGTCAAACACCTGATTAAAGGTATCCAGGAATGCTTTCTTGTCAATGTGGGTGATGTCGCTGTTTGCTAAGACATTGATTTCACCCTTGTATGCCTGCTTCAAGGGGGCAAAACACCCCACATCAAGCGGTCTGTAGGATATGGGAGGGAATGAGGAGGCATACAGAGGGTGATAATCTTGCTCTCCTCACATAGATCCTGGAAGGCAAGCGACTTGTGGCTCTCATGGCCATCAATAATTAGCAGCCGGTGGCTACCCACTGTCCTAGCTGTTGTATGCTGAATAAAGTGCTTCAGCCATTCTAGGCCTAATTCATTCGTTGTCCAGCCATTCTTGCTGACACCAATACGCCAGTCCTTTGGGTTGTGATACCAGGCTTGGTCGTGGTTCTTCGCTTTGAAGATGAAGAAAGGTGGGATAACCCACCCCATGGCGTTGATGCCGGCAATCAACGTTACCCACTCACGGTCGCCAGGCTGAACCTGCAATGGTCTAAGACGCCTCTCAGACGCTGTTACCACCTTGACAGACCCTCCAACACCTATCTGAAAGCCAGTCTCGTCGAAGTTGTAGGTATCTTCGTCCAGGATCCCATACTTGGCTTTAACGTTGCGTACAAGGTTGAACCAGGGGCTGATAATAGCTGGATTGCTGCACAGGACTCTCTGGTGATCACGCTGTCTGGTTACCTGAGACTTGACCTCAGGCTTCCGCTTGACAAGGTTCCTGGCCCATTTTTCCCCAACCTAGCTACCACCATCGGCAGCCAGCAGTTGATTGGCCATTTCACGTACGTAACTGAGCGTAGGGGCAAAGCCTCGTGCGTCAAGCTTCCTTATGTATTGTATAACCGTCTCCTCTTCAGGCTTGGTAAGCCTTGATCTACCATGGTGGGTATCACGTCGTGAGGTGGTTTTGGCGCGTCGGTCTTGGAGGGTTGATCGAGGAACATCATAGATAGCAGCAGCGCGCCGTTAGCTTATTAACGCGTCGGATTTCATGGGCTTTAATAGCAAGGATTATCCTATCCTCACAAGAGAGTAATTCAAGATTAGGTTGTTGAGACATTGGATGAAAGGTGGAATGAAGTGGATTCTTGGCGAAGGTGGCCGGCTCAATTGCCCGGCCGACTCAATTGCCGGTCACGTTATTGATAGAAGTGAGAAAGATGCGATTGGAGTGGGCGGGTTTTCCGTCTGGCCTAGTGCGACTATCTACACGGTATCATCGTGAGGGTATGCCGTACAGACGATCAGGGATGACGTCGTCATTCGTTCTGAAGCTGCGAAGAGGAGCAAGAGTCTGATGAAGTGGTTGTTTTCTCTGGGAGTGCTGGGAACTATAAGTTGTGAATGATTCGTTTTAGGGGTGTCGTTTTTGATGATTATTGTTTTGTAATATTTTCCTCCCGATGTATGCACTAAAGCGCCTTACATGCCTGCATGGTCTTTCTGCTCCTCAGCTGGAGTAATGACAAAAGAAAATTGCGTGGTTGCTTGGATGTGGTCCATCTCAATATCGCCTCCGTCCTCTTCCAATTTGGCGTTGATACCCATCTGAGAACTGTACGACTCAGATGTGTCGGCTCGCTTCCTCTGCAGCGTAACTCTCTTCGAACCCGAGATCTTATCCCATGAGTTCGACGATGTTTCAACCAATTTGTTCGGGTCCGAGAAGACGAAGTAGTGTCTGTAGAATATCTTGACAGCCGGTGCATTTGCACATATGCAGCCGATGCTAAGTTCGAGGAGTGACCTAAGCGCATGGTCAGACAATGTACGCTTGTGTTTATGTGCCCGACTTACCATAACCAGATGTCGCCCGCGACCCATGTTATGTCATACGTTTCGAAGAAGACTCGAAAAGAACAGTACGTCCTCATGCATCCGAATGCGACGGCCGAGTAACTGAAGGTAAAGATGATGTACAACGCCTTCCTCTGCTTAGGGCTAAGTGGCAGTCTCCAGCATAAAAGTGCGGGCAGAGTTGCGGCGATCATGTCCTGTCAAAGTGGTTAGTACTAGTATCTGGACAGTATAATGTAGAGAATTTCACCTGCAGGGCACTTATTGCTCCATTTGCAACGATCGCAGCTCCTTCGTCCAGGCATTTGTACTTGTATTTGCCAGATGAATTGAGTATCAAATCTGTTTGGTCCCAGAATGCAGAAATAGGATCGCACGTGAACACAGTTATGAAGACAAAGCCCACTACTTTCCGTCAGTTACTGCACAGTACTTAGCGAGATGTGCTTACATGTGGCAAGTCCGATGAATGCGATAGAGATTATCAGAATCCATCGAAAAGTTGGCGAGACCGATCGGGGCGACAAACGCCGGTAAAAGAGAAGTATAGACGCCTTGATCAAGCCCGATGTAATGGCAAACATGATATAGATTGCCATGACATATTGGCGCTGGGTCGTGCTGTGAGTCATAGGAACATCCCAGACATGTCGGTTGAAGTAGTGAATTTCGACAACTAGTTAACGTCAGCATATTGAGATCATAGATGGACACGGTATTTTTACCCCATTGGGATACATAACGGTCAACGCCATCACAGGGAACTGTTCACAGTGTGCATCAGTAGCAAGATCTTTCATGCAGTGGGAGTACTTACCCAAGCCAACAGCATCAAGAAATCATCCCAGCCAGGATTCTTTTGAATCCGCAATCGCACCCATAGTCGCGCCAAAAAAGTAGAAAGGCAGATTGGTCCCAGTATACATGCGACTATGAGAACATATTTGGGCTTTGTTGGCGGGTTGATGTAGTTTGGCCCGGGCCAAGCGAGCCACTGTTCGATCGGAGCGTGAAGACCACCAGGCATGTTGAAGTTGTCGATGTTCACATTGCTCTGTCAAAGAGCAGTTGGCAGATGTGTACTTATTCGAGTCGCAAAGTGGCAGGGTGCTGATCCTCTCGTCCAGGCCAGCTCATGGTCAAAACTTGAAGCTAGTAGTGTGGCGCCGTTGGGAACACTAGGGCTGATTAGATCAATAAACGGGAACAAGTTTTGATAGATGTGAACCCCATGTTCTTGACGTGCGCGATCTGCCGGAATTAAGCAATGGCCCAAGAAGGGAAAAGGCTTTCACGCATCTGTTCGTTCAATCGTGTGCGGAGAACGATCCAAAAACCTCCTGTGGTGTTCCATTTGTGACGTGTGTATAACTTTGGTTGAAATCGCACGTGTAATAGATCAGGTAGCACTCTGTATCGCTGCCCAGGGCGTGAGAAGCTAAGGGCCTGTCTGGTAAACTGGAGGGACCAGTTTTGCCGTGGCAGAATCGGGCAGAATTTTAGCGCAAACGGAGCTTCCAGATTGCTGACCGACATATGAAATGGCTTCTTTAAAACGGAGGCTCCAGTTCGTAGACGCGCTTAAAGGGGTAACCTTTAAGCCTAATTTGTAAAGAATTAGCGCAGCTAAAACGGAGCTCTCACCGCCTCTCTACTTGTCATAGTGGTTTTTTAGGAGCAGGCTTACGTGAACGCTATACCTCTTTCAAAGCAAAACGGCCGGCGAAACTGGCGTACCAGACAGGCCCTAAAGTGGCACCATCTTTCGTGATGGATTGACCTGTTCATGAAACGTAGCTAAGCTCAGCAGGGATAGATCTAATGAGTGCTGCGTTAGGTTCCCCTGTCTGCGGCTCTCGCTCCGTGAGCCACCGACCATTTTTAGAGATGCACATTGGAGATAGATCTAATGAGGGCTGTGTTAGGCTCCCCTATCTGCGGCTCTCGCTCTGTGAGCCACCGGCCGTTTTTTTGTCGAGATGCACACTAGAGAACCAAGCTTTGAAAGCTCGGGAAGATCCTCAAAACAAAATCTAGCTTTGGCAGGTGGATTCGATCTGAGCGTATCCTATCAGCACATACAAGTAAGGGTCTGATGAGAGGACCAATGAGGAGATATCGGGCACGCCGAAGGCTGTGAACCGCTTCCACGCGCTATACTGACAGTCCCAGATGGGTGTGCATGCACTTTCATGTACACACTGACCGTCAGGTCTCGAGAATGGACCGACTGAGCTCATCGTGCTGGCCGTTCTGCACCGAAAGTTGACCTGGATTAGATGTCAAGACTCGAAAACACAACTACGTCCCGAACTATTTCAGGGCGCTAATGCTAGTTCGGTGGTGTTGTATGGTAGATGTCACTTCACGAGCTAGGCAGCCTTACGCAGCGCTAGTGATGTCTTTGCGACCCATTGAACACCTCCTGTGCGAGTGAGATTTCGACTCTATCGGCTTGTTTGTTGCGTTGGTCTGCCAGCGGTGAGATGAGGTGATCAGGAGCCAAGATAGAGCCGCTATCATCACTTTGGTGTGGTGGCTTTTGGTGCGTATGCAGGAAGCAAGGTGCGCAATTAGGCTGCTAGCTTGCTTCGTCGCGGTGCTACACCGGCGCTGCAGCGTGGCAGTTGCTCGCGTGTCAGTGAACTCTTCTCAACCATGAGATCTGCAAGATCTTGCGGAATCGGACAAGGCAACAAAGAATGAGGATTGATGGAAAAAGATCGAACTTGATGCATTCGGGCCGTGCCCAGATGAGATTAGGCCCGGCGACCCCAGAGCCGATCATGAGAGCTTGGACAGCAACGTTGCACTTTCAGGCCACCTCGCCAATGACTCGTCTCCGCAGCGGCCGCTAGAAAGGAGTTCCCCAGATCAGCTCAATCAATCGCAAACAGGACAAGATCTAAATTTCCGGGTTAGGAGAACATGCCATGGCGATTCCGATGTAGATCTTGCAACTCTCGAAGCTATCGATACCATTATTGACTCGGGACCGTGAATATTAGTCTACTCAATCAGGTAGCAGGATTATGGACAGAACCCCTACCAGCGCGAAACGTGCGAATCTCTTATCCACCATAGCTGCACAGTGTCTGTGCTTTAAGGATCTTAGTGCACCAGTGCCGTCTTCGATCGTCGGGCATTCGGTGAAACTAGTCACTGATGCTGCGCTCCACATAATATGCACGATTCATCGTCAAACCTGGGAGTGCTTAAGCGGTGGATTTCGAGGATCTCGTTCCGACATTATTATAGGCTTATCGGACGATTTCTCTGTCCAAACGATTCCCTTCCAACACATATCTGCCTAAGTTCGGATGCCATGGAGTCGGTCACTTCAGCCCCATGTCCCCAGTACCACCGGATGCGGCCCGCGGCACACATCGTCCCGGATGCCGCGCTCCCAACAACCAGACAGCCAGAACAACTGGCATGGATTCCAGTGTCCAAAAAAACACTTCGTTTGTGTTCAGTTTCCCAACCAAACAGCCCTTCACTAGTCTCCGAGAGCCTGAAGCACACGCGCAGATAGAAGAGCAATACGGCAGCAGTGAAAGACGCACAGAACGCCTTGCTTACATGTCCGAACAATTAACTCCGAGCTTTCAACGCAAATGAAGCGAGCAAAATAATAAACACTTGGAACATGAAGGCTTGGAAGGCCAGCCCGCCTAGGAGTATGTTGTTGGGGTCGTAGCATCTTTATGATTTGATCATGCAACACCAATCAACGCGGCGCCGATAATCTAGATAACGGCGGCAATGACGTCGCAGGTGATGGAGATCCAGGGAATGAGCTTCGGCTTGACTGCACACCATGTCAGTATGCGGACGTTGGAGGACGTCGTAAGTACATACTCGGAGCTAATTGGTCCCAGGTTGTACATCAACAAGTAGGTAAACTTCGGGTTCAGGCTTGTATAAAGCAATGGTACTATTAGTTACAGTGTTTGCGCCGGCGCAAAAGGGCTTGAGTACTTGTCGGCTTGTTAGCTAATGAAATCTATGCACTCGTATAGTATCGAGAAAAGAAACAAATAAGGTATGCAAAAAAAAAGGTGAAGCACTTTGCAAAAGGATGACAACTAGAACAGCTTCCAGATATTGCCTTCTCGAGTTCAAAGTAGTATGTTGGCAGCTATGGTTTTACCGAGCAGTAGACAAGTCTAGATCAAAGCCCGTATACAAGACATCTTTGTATACTGTTTAGGCTATCTGTCTACACCTTACCTATTGAATATCTCTAAAATTCCGCGATAAAACTAGCTTAATGAGATCATAAATGGACGTCATACACGAACGGTCCAGCGACACCGCCTACCTACCAAAACACCGATATGCACAATTCGCTATTCCTCACTCATGAGTTTGCGGTATGCTCCGAGTAATGCGAGGTATCCTTCGCCCCCCCCCCCGCCCGAGGCCTCCCTCGCCCACGCGTCCGAACCAGCTAAAAGCCGCAGCGCCAACCCGTAGGACGCCTAATGCTATTATAAATCCGTGAGGCTGACTACTTCCTTCGCCCACTTCTTACGCCATTCTCATCTTCAAAGCACCATGGCAGAGCCACGAAAGATCCAAATCGCCGTGTCTGGCGGCGGCGTCGCAGGCGCAGCAATTGCGCGGGCCTTATACCAACAATCTCACATCGAAGTCAACATCTACGAAAGTGCACCCGAGTTCTCAGAAAGGGGCATGGCGATTGGTTTAGCGATTAATGCGCAGCGGGCGCTGGGCAAGCTGGTGCCTGATTTGGAAGACATGTTTGAACGGGCGGGTGCTGTGAAGATGAATTCGTCGAGGATTATGCTTGTGAGTTGACGAAATTATTGAAGGAGTAGTGAATTTCCGATTGGAAGTGAGGCTCATGAATACACAGGCCGCTGGACCCCACGCAGGTACGAAAGTGATCGATGTCGCGGAGGAGAAGCCAGGGAAGATGGTGCATCGTGCGGCGCTGCTGCATGAGCTACTGGAGCCGATTCCACAGGACCGGTTGCATACGAGCAAGAAGCTCAAAGATGTTGTACAGCAAGAGGAGAGTGTACTGTTAAGGTTTGAAGACGGGTCTGAAGCTCAGGCCGATGCGCTCATTGGGGCAGATGGCATCTTTGGATCAGTTCGCGCACATGTTCTTGCTGCGGATCATGAAGCTGTTAAACCTGTTGCTGCGGGCTGGGCTGGAGCGATGAACATGGTGCCGTATGCACAAGCTAAAGCCAAATTAGGTGCTGAGATTTTGAACGAGAGAAGGCAGTTTGGGTGGATCAGCGATGGTGGTATCTTCATTCACGATGTTATCATGGGCGGAAAGATGGTTCAGTGCATTGGTACGCCAGTCAATCGAGATACTTCGGGTGCAAAGCGGATACCGATCGATCGCCAGTATATGGAAAAAGCGTTCTCAAGCTGTTTGGACCTACCTATAGCCAAGGGGATGATTGATGCAAGTTTTCTGTTCTCCGTTCCATACTATGCTGATAGCGTGTGCAGCTACTACTTGACCAAGAGAGCCCGGCGGTGTGGGCACAGTACGAGCACATTAACGCACCAACATACGTAAACGGACGTGTATGTATCGCCGGTGACGCAGCGCATGCCATGACACCTTGGCAAGGCAGTGGAGCCGCTACAGCTATCGAAGATGCTGTTGTTCTCGGTGCGCTCTTTGCACAGATCAGATCGCCGGGTCAAGTCGAGCAGGTCCTCAAGACGTATGATGCCGTTCGCCGGCCACGCTCAAAGCGTATTGTTGAGTCAAGTCGCGAGACGGGCCGCATCTTGAGCGGCATTGCTGATGGTGTTGGCTTGGATCCAGTGAAGATGTATGATGCGTTGGTGGATCGATGGGGGTTCATCCACGATTTCGATCTCGATGGACACATTGAGAGTGCGATATCTTCCTTGGAGTACATGTCCTAGATCCTATGGTGCGAAATAGAGAGGAAGCATTAAACATCAACCACAGTCATTTTACTTTCCGAACACACTCATAAGATACGGTAACAACCATATCTTTCTGTAGAGGAAATATATTTCAAAATCCAAAGCAATGCGAGAGACGATTTTCATACTTTCCCTCTTTTCACATACTCAAACCAACATAGGCCTCTTCCGGTTGCTTTCTGAAGGTTGAAGACGAGTCTCGCGAAAGAATATGTAGCCACTAGGTTCTGTTTTAAGACCCGAGGAATTCTATGTCGGGTTCATCGTGAACGTTTTGGAGTAAGACAAAAAAAGTATTGTGAGAAGGAAGTGCACGGCAACTATACAAGAGGAGAGAGTTTTATACCATCACAAAGTCGTCTCACAGTCAAACACACCCACTACTTTTCGAAAAGAACTGACCACGTCACGTTCAAATTTCCCAGCAGCGAGACAAACGCACATCAACCCTGCAGAGCAAACAATTGAATTCCAAAAACAAGCCCTATCGAAAGCATACTTAGATACTTTCCCGACGCCAAAGCAATGCCCTATATCCCAATATTCGTACACTAACACTAAACACGCGCCCAACCAATCCCGATGCTATCTCTCCCCCCAAAAATAGAAAACACCATGCACCTGTGAATGCTGAACACAATACCCCCTCCCTCCAGTCATGCGCAATTCCCCGCTCACCAAAAACTGCACCAACCAATATAATGCTAACGACAAATTCTCCAAATTCGTCGCCTCACTAATGAGCCTCGAGACCTGATCGATGACATTCTGCTCCTCGCCTGGTCGTCCATCTCTGCCCGTGAGTTTCTCCTTGACGCGGGAGAGCACCTGCAGGGCGCGCGCGTTCTGCACTTCCTTGGCCTCGACGTCGTTGGTTGGCGGCGCAATACTCGAGCGGTGGCGGCGCGGCTGCATGGAGCCGATGGGGTCGACGGAGGATGCGTGCGCGTCGCCCATGATGGATTGGCGGCGCTCCGAGGGGAAAGAGGGCTCGACGGGGGAGGCGGTATGGTGGAGGCGCCAGGTGAGGAGGGGGTCGTGTATGAACTGTTCGGTACGTTAGCCAAGGATGTTTCACCGGTCAAAATGGAATAGGAGGGTGGGAGACTTACAGCTTCCAAAACCGCCATAACACTCTCTTTATTACTCCTGAGTACGCGCATCACGTGCTCACATGTTGTTCGATAACTGCCTTCGATATTACTAACTTCCATGGCATACGTCAACATGCGGGTGAGGCGGAAAGGTACACGCTCGGGGTATTTCTCGCGGTGCATGGCGACTTCGAAACAGTCACCGAAATCAATGTGCACAATCTTTCCGGTCACGCGGTCGAGCATGAGATTGGACGGGTGGCGATCGCCCAGACCAAGAATGTACCCGACCATGGACATGACGGCAAGCGAGCGTGTGTAGTTGGTACGACGATCGAGCCAGGCTTCAGAAGATTTGGACTTGAGCCAGAGCACGCGGTAGAGATCTTGGCCGGTGGTGTTGTCCAGCGCGTAGCCAAAGACTTCAACCTTTTGCATGAGTGTGAGACAGTCGTAGTCAGGCGCCATCTGTAGCATGATGCGGTGCTCGATGTTGAGTAGAATCTTCCGACTATCACGGTACTCTCGTATAAGTACGTGGAGCGTGTCACTGTTAGGGACGAATCCAAGCAGACCGGACTGCGTGCTAAGCGGAACAGCCGCATAACGCTGAATGTTGAGGTGGCGCTTCCGAGACTCGACGTCGTTGGCGAGGAGGGTATTGCATAGGCCAAAGAGTTGCATGACACGTTCGTCTTGTCGGATATCCTCGTGACCCTTGAGAATATGGGTATGCGCTTTACCATCACTACCACGCATTTCCAGCTTCCTGGGTCTTTGCTTGGACTGAATGACTGTGGCGACAGGATCAAACGAAATAATCCGGATAACTGTCTTACCAACGACATACGTTCCAGGCACGGCAAGCTCAAGATCATGCGCATCCTTGAGCTTGGGCGAGACGTATTGCAGCTCAAGTGACATGAGGGAAGGCAATTGTCTCGCAATCTTCCTGAAGACCTGGTAGTAGAGATCCCAAGCCTGATTGAGATCGCCAATCTCGCCAGAAGTGCGGAAAGTATTGCACCAATCCCTGGCTTCTTGCAGCTCACGGCCGAAGGACTGAATGAACGAAATCTCGCGTAGCGTCTCAGGGCCCTTGTCGAGCATGGCATGAAGTGGCGCGAGCGTTGCAAACATGCCATCGATATTGTGGTCGCCAAAGTAAAGTCGACTTGCCTCCTCGAGACCCTCATGCCACTGCTCGTGCCAGAGCACTGCGATCCGGATGAGCTCGTGACTGACGAGATCTGCCTGTTCGACCAATTTCGGTGAGTGTTCGCGCATGGCCTCCATGAGCTCCTTGGCAGAACGCTGTCTCCGCGAGACATCTGACTTCATTGAGACGGTCAATGGGAACACCAAAGCCTGTGGATGCGCCTTGCCGACTTCAGTAAGCAATTGGTGGATCGACTGCCTGACCGTGGGATTGGGTTGGTTGATACGAGCAAGCAGCTGAGGAATGACCTCCAGCCATGTATCGATGGGCACCGACTTGGTACCCTCTGAAATCGTACGATTGACTTCAGACAGACCACCATGGCTGAACCACAGCGTAAGCAGGCGCAGCGTATCCTGAAGTGAACTGCTCGACGAAAGAGCAATAGACTTGAAGAAGCCGTGGATAGCCGGAACTACATGATCGTGCACCATGTTAGAGGGCACATCTGTAGTCTCGCGGTCGGCCTTGGACGTGATCGAGTTGATGACTTCGAAGTTGGCAAGTGCCCAAGCGTGCCACGCCTTGTACCAGTTCTGGTTGTATCGTGTCGCAGCTGCGTAGGCGGACAGAATCTCGTGGACAAATTCGTGCTCCCACTCGCCATCTTGAAGCTCCTGCTGCCAGTCACCCTGTTTGAGGTAGCACTTCGCAAGCAGTCGATGAGCTTCGGCTAGCTCTGATGGCGACACACCCATGTTTGAACCATTGAGGATGCTTGAGCCGTTCATGCCGTTGGATCCATTCGTCGCCGCGAAGGGATTCATGTTGTTGAACTGACCTGCCATACCGTTCATGCCGTTTTGCGCCATCATCGGGTTCGCAGCAGCTCTTGCTCGCATGGCAAGATCGTCGGAAAGTCGGGCTGTAAAGTCTTTCATCGAATCAAGTGCTTCTTGCTTGAAGTTCTGGTCTGCCCACATGAACTTGTACGTCGCGTACGCCACTGGATGGGGGATCTTGTGGCCGTGTTCGCGGACGTACTCCACCACTCTACCATCGCCCGTACCCTCGATATCGAGCAGCTTCTGGAGGGCTTTGTTCGCGAGGTTCATCCTGTTGTTTTTCCGGCACAGGTTGGTGTACTTGATCCACATGTCGGTACCTTCATGTGGTGTAATGACCAGCCTGACGAACTTTCATCCATGCGCTGCCAGACTTCCAGGATTTGGTTGCCAGCCCCTTAAGCCGCTTCATCCCAGGTTTTGCGCATACTGGCTTGCTTGTCCTTGTTGTTCTCGTTTTTGCTTGTACTGCATAATCTCCTCAAGCTCCGCTAACATCTGCACACGAATCATGGGCAGATAAGCGCGCTGGTACGATTCTCCAAGCAGCGAGCTGAGCTCTGTATCGAGACCCTTCCGCGCCTTGGCGATCTCGTCAATGGCAATTTCGAAGCGGTTGTTGTGAATGTTGAGGATAGAAGCGAAGAAAGCGCGGTCTGGCGACTGCTCCTTCATGACGTTGAGGTAAGAGTCCATGTCGGCGAACTTGCCTAGACCCCAAGACGCCGTTGCAGCAAGTGGTGCTATTGCCTTCCGATATTCCTGACCTGCATTGGCCCACTTCTCCTTTGACAGCGTGGACAGGAGATCCCATTCACCAAGGGCATGCAAACATCGCATCTTGCCCATGGTGATTTCGAACGAATCTCCTTCTCTTCGTTCACGATCTTGGTAGGCCTGTAAGGCCTCGTCCCACCTTTGTAGCTTCTCGTACCATGTCTCCTTCAGCTCAACATCGTTGTAATGCTGTGCCTTACGCAAGATACCGAAAGCTGCATCTGTTTGCTGCAGTTGGTTATTGATACTGATGAGCGCTTCGACAGCGTTAGAGTTTTGCTCCGCGTTGAACTCGAGCTCCTTGTAATGCAGTGCCTTCGCAAACGCATGACACTTTCCAGCATACATTCCGAGTATCCGCACGTCGATGGGAAGTGCTTTGTCGTCGTGCTCCATGAACTCGGCCAAGTTCAAGAGAATCTGTAAGATCTCCGGCGGAATGTTAGGCGATGTAAGAGCTGTCTCAATGGATCGCACAAGTTCTTCCTGATACTGATCGTAGAGCTCCGTCCAACATGAGACAAAGGCCGAGTTGAACAGTATCCTTGCGATAGGGTTGTAGACACTGCCAAGCGGTGTGCAAGCGCGCAGTGCTTGCTGCGGCGACTCTCTAAGAAGCTCCACACTGAATCTTCGCATCCACTCAATCCAGTCCTCTTTCGTTGTCTTCGATGATGCCTCCCAAGCTTGCTTGAGATGCTGTTGATTGACCGCCAGCTTCTTGGTCGAAATTTCTGCTGTGTTCATATCTTCGTCGTCCTCTCCATATCGCTCATCTGGGCTCAGGTCCTGTGGGAGTGGTTCACCTTTCTGTAGCTTCGACACAATGCGACCATAGTTCTCGTGTGGAACCTTGTGAGTGATGAGGATCTTGTTGACGGTCGGGACAAAGTGGACATAATCCGGTCCGAGCTGGAAGATGAGCGCACAGAGCGTCTCAAGCGCCGTCTGCTTCAGCGTTGGATCGGAACCAGACAGTACTCGGCATAGAGGATGCACGATCCGTGCAGCGAACTCCGAAACATTCACCTGCTTTGACAACCGTCCCAGCGTCTCAATCGCTAATCTCCGTATGTGCATAGGTTGTCCAGGCTTATCGAACATCTTGACCATAACCGGAATAATGAGATGCATGTATTCCTCCGCGCTCGATCCAAAGATAAGAAAAGCGTGTAGTACTCGCTCAGAAGGAAGTCGCTTACCAGTGTTGTCCGAATCGAGCACACTAAGCATGAGCGGCAGTACATCCGCCAGGTATACCTTGAACTCCCCCTCGAGTGACCGAGCAATCGCCTCAATAAGCGAGAGGATGGTAGCTTGAAGCTGCGGGCTGCTACTCCAATACTCCTTGATCGTGGCAAGTATGCTGGGCAAGTAAGGACGGATGTGTTGGCGAACAGTTTTGACCAGTTGACTGAGCTGGTTGAAGTAGCCTTCCGAGCGTCCGGCTGGCGTAGAACGAATAACCTGCAAGAAGCCAGGTACAACCTGGTTGAGAAAAGGAACGCACTTGAGTCCCATGGTGGCGTAGATGTTCATAACAGCGTCCACAACCGCGGAATGGAACTGAACCAATGATGGATCCTTGAGCAGACCCATCAGTGTACTGATGACGATCGTTGGGTAGTACTCTTCGTTTGAAGGGGTAATGCCCTGCATAATAAGGGAGACATCAGTGACTGCTTGTGCTTCCATGATGAGATGCTTGTCCGGCGACTGCTCCATGATCTTCTGGTACTCATCTGGATCCAGTGCACCCAGCGTACCCATGAGTCTGACGGTTTCCCTTCTAAGTTCGCCTTCAGGCTCTGTCTTGACAATGTTCATCAATATATTCATGAGCTCTGGGTAGTCTCTGTATGGCTCGATGACATAGCCAGCGTTCGTGGCTAGCTGACCGAGTGCTCTCAGCGCCGAGAAGCGCTTGGAGTCGGAGCTCATGTCTTGCATGAACTCCAGTATGACTGGCATGAGCTCTGGAATGTACTTGATCATGCCTTCGCCACCAACTGTAGCCAAGTCACCGATGGCTTTCAGAGTTGTGGAAGCGACCTCTGGGTTCGGGTCTTTGGCCTTTGGCAGGAGTACAGTGACGATCGGGTCGACGAGGGGCTTGATGAGGCTATCAGCTGCGCCAACAAGACTACTAATCAGCTGTGCACTTTCTTCCTTGCTCCTCGGGCTATTGGCGTAGTTGACTTCTGTCAGTAACTGCAACAGTACTTTTCGCAAAGAGGGGAAGACATATGCAGGATTGACCGATGTTAGGCGGCCAATAATGGACATGGCAGCCTCGCGAATGACGAAGACTTCATCATTCAGCGCAAGGAAGAGCGTCCGAACGTTGTCTGCCTTTCCGAGATGGCGATCGAAACGAGCATCTAGAGCCAGAAGCACCTCGTACCGGATGTCAGGATCGACATCACCAACGGCTACAGTAAGGAGCTTCTCGATGATATCGCCGACGACCTTTGTAGCATGCGTGCTGGTCTGATGCACTATCGGATCCTTGACAAATAGCTGACAGCAAGTCAAGGCTGCCCGCTTTCGAATCTCAGCATTGTCTGCCTCGACATAACGAATCGCAACATCACGAACGAACTCATTCAGGACGTGTCCGTTGAAATCGAAGCTTCCGAGCGTGTGCAGAGCAAGTGCAATCTCCGCTTCCCGGGGACCAATCGTTTGCGGGTCTTTGTGATCTCGCGTCCATATCTGAGGGGGCTGTGAGACCTGGTACGGACTGCCAAGGGGCAGGAAATGTCGCCCAGCGAGAATCTGACTAAGAAGATCGAGCAGCTTCTCCTGAATCATCGGCCGAGAAGGGGGAACGTAGTGCGCCATATCGACAAGAGCCTGGAAAAGAGAGTCGCTCAATCCGCAGGAGAAGATGGGGTCCAGTAACCGTTCCACGCTCTTTGTAAGAGCCTGGCCCACTGCCGCCGCAATCATGCTCAGGCACTGGAAGATGGGTGCCTCGTTGACAACCAACTTATTCCGCGCTTTCTGAAGCAGACCCTCCTGGATAAATCCTAGTATGCCCTCCAGGTACGGTGATATTGCGACGCCGACCGCATTCGCAATCTGCCCGATCGCAACAAAAGCCTTGTCCCGATCGCGGTCCTTCCTAATCAGACCCTGCAGATGCAACATGCACTGGTGCAGGTACTTCGTCGCAAACTCTGTGGGCGAATAACCCGCGAGGATGGGAATGATAAGTACCACCTCTCTCCGCACCAGCGCGTCCCTATGGTCCTTGTACTTGAGCACCGTCTCGACCGTCTCTTTGTACTTCTGCTCGTTCATGAACATGGGGCTCTTGTCCAGCAGCTCCTTCATCGTGAGCAGCGAGCCATGTATCGCCTCATTGCTGCCAATCGCAAAGCCCCGCAGAATCTCGTCGTAGACTTTGCCGAACCACAGCTGGCGCATCTGCGAGTCTCGCGGAGAGATGATTTCGAAACAAGCGCTAATGGCTTCGGCGGCGGACTCGCGGATGAGCACTTTCGGATCGCGCAGGGCGACCCAGATGACCTCGAAGATCTGCGCGATCCACTGGTACATGAGCGTGGGCGAGTTCTTCGCCAGCTCGCGCAGGATGAGCACGGCGGCGAAGCGGCGGTTCTCCATGCGCTCGAGCTGCAGCCATTCCAGCGCGCCTTTTACTTCTGCCTCTACCAGCTCTGCAGTCAGTGTTCCTCCAGGCTTCGCTAGTCTTCCCAACGCTTTTGCTGCGACCACCATGGCTGTCGTGTCCTGGCCGTTCATCACCGCCCGGAGGTAAGACGCAAAGCGCGTCGTCTTTTGGCCCGCATCGTCGCCGCGAAAGTCGATGAGGGCATTGAGCGCGTGGATGCCGCCGATGCGTTCGTTGGAGTCGTTGCCCGATTTGACGAGGCCGGAGATCTTTGCGTAGACTTCATTATAGAAGGTGGTGAAGGCGGTGGGCGCGAGTTCTGCACGACATCAGTTTTGGAGAGCTTTGGGCGGGGAGGCCCCCCTCGCATTGGCAGCTCACCGCGATGCGCTGCTTCGACCACTTGGCGGAGATTGTGCGCTCCTTTCTGTCGTTGCTCGTCGTTTCTTCTGCGTGTCAGCTTCAGTCGGAAGGTAGTGCGCCAGTGTGAAGCTCACTTCGAGCGTAGGTCGAGGACGATGCGGTCCAGCGAGGACGAGGCCTGCTGCGACATGTTGATTGCTTCACCGGAAGCTCCCGACCGCAGGGGAAACCTCGATCACAGGAAATAGTTCGCTTCTTCCTTCCATGGAAAGGACAGGAGAGCGTGTTATGGAAATTGTAGTTGTCTAGAATTGGGCTTTGGATAGCTCCCACCCCATGTCACGAGCGCCAAGTGCCCGCCGGCTAGCTCCCAGAGCTAGTCTGCATAAGGAAGCGCGGTCAGGAAATGGGAGATGGTGTCTCGTGCGTGCTGCTACCACATACATGCACTTGCGCTGGTATACCTAATGTTGGGATTCATTATCCTGGACATATTCGAACACTCAACGAACGCTCTGCTTTCAAGTAAAGCTGCGTTATCACCAGCACCTTTACTCCGCCTAGCTATTCGACCCAAGTCCAAGCGGTGCTGCATATAGGGTACCAGACTCTCCGCATTGCAAATTCCACGCGTTGCATTCCATTTTCACGTGTCAAAGCACTGAACCATCATCCGGGATGAAGATGTATTGCTCACACCGCGAGCCAATAATACTAGGATATCAAAGACACTTCCGACACACATCCACTCGTCTCGCACTACGCACTACGCCTCCCCCGAGCACCTCTTCCGCTCACCGCGCGCTCTACCCCCCAATAACACCCTGCGCAATTCCACCAATGACTCCCCCGATCTGCCCAAAGAAGATACTCTTCAAAATAGTCTCGCCCTCTTCAACGGCCCACATTCCCGCGTCACTGAGCTTCTTCTTCCACAGCAGCTGGTCTTCCTTACTAAGATCGTCCCATTTCTTCGCCTGCGCGTGCTTCTTAAGCACTGCTTCGTGCCCACCTTCATGGACCTCTGTGCTCAACTCCTCTGCATCAGCGTCGTGGTGGATCACGACCGCCTTCTCCTTCTGTGGTGCGTCAGAGCCCATTGGAGGGTTGTGCAAGTGCAGAAGATCGCGAATTCGTCGCTCAGCTCTGATCGCAGGTGTGTCCGCGTTGTTGAGGACGGCTGCGTGGCGTTTTGCGCGATGGACTTCACCGAACGTGTTTCCGGCTGTGTTCTGGAATTTTGCGGGAATCATGCCACGGGTGAGAGAGCCTTCGGGATCGATGAGAGATTGTATCATGAGTGCTACTGCCGCGACGACCATGGCAATGACTAGGTAGGTTGCGCCGGCGTACAATTGTCGTGTCCGAGCAGTTTGTATGACGTGTCGTGCTTTGTTACTGCCTGCGGAGATCTGCGTAGCTGTGAATGTCTCTACTGAGACTGTGTTGCCTAGGGATGTTGTGGCTAGTCGGAGGTATTGTGGGCCTGATGTTGTTTTCGAGAACGGTGAGAAGACGACTTTTGTCATCTGCATAGGATGTACCTGGTCGATATTAGCACATGTCGTCCCACAATAGTTGGAATGACACTTACTTCATCATAAGTAGCGTATTTGTAGAGGTGGCTTAATGAATCCTGTGCAGAGCCATGGTAGTCGATCGTGTACACGCTGAGGGAAACGTCTATGCCACCAACACCAACGACGATCTGGTAAGCCCCGTTCGCGTCTGCGTCTAGCAATGCCACATCGAAATCTACAGCCGCTTTTACGTGTGCTGGTAGTGTCTTCCGCGATACGATGCTGCCGGGGCCCTCTTCGTACATGTGTAATACCAGCAGTTCTACGCCGGTCCGGTTTGGCTTGTTTGCGAGGAGCACGAGGTGCTTCGGTGAAAGCCATCGTAAGCTTCGGACCTTGGATCGGCCTTTTCTTGCGCCCGCATCCGGGTGTGGGATGGTGTACACTTTCCTTCGCTCGCTCTCTGTCCTATTCTTCGACTTGCTGAAGTCGTAGTCGACGTCTTGTATATACACGTCGCTGTCCAGGCAGTATGCGATCTGGAAGCGTCCTTCCCCTTGATCCCAAATGTCCAGATCGTTTGCCTCCTGTCCTGCTGACAGCTTTATCCGCTTTATTATGTCTTGCGCCTGTGGCCTATTCGATGTTGCGCTGAATATGACGATTTCGTTCTCGTCGCCTCCGAGGCCTGAAGCGATGGTGCCAATGCGCTTAGTTGGTGTGCTGGCGGCCGTCCGTGGTGGAGGAGACAATTTCAGAATGCGCTGATACATTTCTTTCCTCGCATTCTCGTTCTTCGGCACCGAGAAGAGCTGTGTCTTGCTCAAGAAATTGATGCTCGCTGGTTTGCCCTTCGGTACCTGTAGCTCAAATGCCTTGAAATGTGTGTCCTGACCCTTTACTCGGTCGTCCACTGAACTTCCGTTTCCCGCGAATACTATGAGGCCGTCTTTGGTCGCAAGATTGGCAAGACATGTTACTGAGTCGTCGGCGGAGACCTCGAGTTCGGCGGATGGTTCGAGGTTCGGAGCACGTGAGGTGAAGTCGAAACAGGTGATCATGTTCTTCACGCCATCTAGCTTCTTGGTGAGCGTGCGATTTCCGCATGCGATCGGGCTTTCGTACGTTTGCCAGCACCTCCGCCACCCCCCACTAACAATGTTGCTGATCTACTACCGCTGCCCCATACCGCAGAGTACAGTGGATATGATGTCTTCGCTTTTGAGACTAGTTTCTGTAAGCGATTGTGGAATATGCGCCGCTGTGAAGTGTGACGTACCAGTAGGACGCGACATTCTCGAGCTGCTGCGAATGCGCCACGGCGCCTGTCTGGGGAATTATAAGTTTATAGATGTTCTTTTGTAGGTCAATTCCTGCTTTGGTGTTGTAGCTTAAAGCGCAGATGATAGTCGAGGTTGTTGAAAGTGTACGTAGGGCGGTACGAGGAGGACAGGTGTTGTGGAGATGCTTTTGTTCCAGACGCACGGCAGGGTAATGACGCCACGCGCCGAAAGCCATCGATAAGGGACCTCGGGAACGGATCGAGATACCAACCACATGGCGCGGCTGCATCTGCCTTTGGTATCACAAGGTTAGTCTCGTATGGGATGACCGTGCAGAGCATTGCTTATGATGAGGCGTTCACCCCTATTCCGCGTGGGGGCATTGAAGCTAGACAACCTGCTCTACATATCGTCGCATGCAATAAAGCACTCTACAGGCAGTGAATCTAAAACGTTATTTCAATTCAAATCCGCCTTCTAATCCCGTGACGGGAATGCTATCTACTCTTCATCCTCGCCGTACCTCAACAAGTTCCACAATGTGTAAGAAACAGAGTGGTACAACCGCACTCTTGGATATCATCCTCCAATTCCTCCTATTTGTTCCTCCTCTTTCGATCGCAATGCGACTTCTCAACGCCTTGTCAATTGTACCCGCGCCATTCTGCACACTACCTCCAAACATGTCAAAAGCAACAGACGCCGGTGAGTTTGGATGCTCGCTAATCTGACCAAGGGAAACCCCGGGGTTTTGGTGAAGGGAAATAAACTATCTAATGAGGTAGGGTCGAACAGCGGCCAAGAACGTGGAGTTGGCGCTCGAGTGAAGCGTGTAGCTCATGTTATGTCGGTACTCTGCTGACATGTTTTGGTTGGCCATTGAGCCGTGTATACAGATTTCCTCCGGAATTGTAACGCGATGGCGGACAGATATACCACAGGCCCTACAATTGTGGTGGTACGCCACCATTTGCTACTGCTTGCTGAGCTTGTACTTGTGCCTGGGCAATGACATCGGCCTGGTGAACGGCTCCTTGCACGACCTGTTGCTCTTCTGGATTGAGGTTCTTTGTGAGGTTTTCGTAGAGGGCGGGCTGTTCTTGCTGTAGGCCTACGGAGTGTTAACAGTGCTCTTGCCAATGAGAGTCGTAGACGTACGTAGTAATGCATGCTTGAACATGCTGTATGGCTCGACTTTGTCGAGTGGTGTCTCGAGAAGGCTTTCTTCTTCGAGCTCGTCGTCGTCCTCATCATCGACCGAGGAGAATTTCTGGGCCTGCAGTTGGTTAGCATATGCAAAAGTGTACAGTCACAAGCATCGTACCTCTTCGTTCAGGAACTCGAGATATGCGGCACTCTCATCCTTAACATCCTCTGGCTCTTCGGCCTCGGCGTTCCAGTCGGCTTCTTGCTCCCACTCCTCGTCTTCTTCTTCTTCGTACTCATTAGCGAAGTCGAAGTTATCTTCCCTCTTGGCTTCTTCACGATCTAGCGATCGTTAGTATGTTCGTTGATGAAGTGGGCAAAGAACAATGACTTACTCTTCAAAGCAGCAGGCAGGGTCTGGAAAAGTCTTACGACGCCTTGCAGCAGACGGGGCCAGCCTTGTTGTACACTGACAGGGACGGACTCGGCCTGTAATGTAAGCAGTGCGCAGATAGCAGAGATGCACAGCTTCTTGTCGTGCACACGACTGAAGTTGTCAATGCTTGAGAACCAGAGACTGAAGAACTTGTTGGTCCAGCCGTTACTTTCAAGCACGTGGAGCGCCAAGGCAGGGTTGTAGTAGATAGAGTTGATGACCACCTCCATCAGATGGATCTTCAAAGACTTCACCTTTGGTTCCTCGTTGGTGAGAACTTGCATGGTCAGTGAGATGAACTCTGGTACGTAATCGTCGACGTGTCCGCGCATATTGAGCATGATGATCTCTGCAAGCTTGCAGCCGCAGATACGATCAACGCCTCCAACCTTGTCATCCTTGAAGATGGTTCGGACCATATCGACAATAGCATCGAGATACGGGCGGTTTTGAATGAGGGTCTGAGTTCCGTAGTTGACAAAGTTCTCCAGAGCAGGTAGCATGTCCTCGAGGTAGAGTTCTGCGCCAGCCTTGAACGTTCGGTGGATCAACTCGAAAGCCTGCCACATTGTGGGCGAGATGCTCTTGGCCGCGAATGTGCAGCTATCGATAATCTCGAATACTTCGTTGTACAAGTCGTAAAGCTTGTTCTCAAGCGTGATTGTGATCACGGGCATGAGAATTGTTTCGAGGTGTAACAGCACGTCGGGGGTGCTCTCCAAAGTAAGGATGAGAGTACCGATCGTTTGCAGCACACCAAGAGCTGTTATACTCTTCTCGTCAAGGAAGTCGCCATATTCGCTGTCTTCGCCCTTCTCCTGGTTTCTTGACACCAGTTCACGAACAATCCTCAGATAGGTGTCGCGGAGCTGTTCGCTCAGCGCCACGGCAAAAGGAGTCAGCTCTGGTGCGAAGACCTCCACAAAGTCTTCCATGACGTTTGCCAGAGCATCGACGTCTACTTCGTTTGCAAGCTTCAGAAGCTGCTGCATAACCTGTGGAATGTTTTGCTTCATGTTGGTTCGGATGACATCGTGTCGAATGAGGGGCTGGAGAGCTAGCGCAGCGGCAACACGGACGGGGAGTGTGGGGTCGGCCATCGACTCGAGGATATTCCGGTAGATGATGATGAGGTTGTTGGGGTCCTTGAAGTCAAGCTGCTCGAACTTCTCCAAGCTGTCGCATGCGCGCGCACGCAAAAAGCCGTGGGCACTCCTGAACTCAGGGAAAACGTGGCGGACGAAGAAATATTCGACCTGGTCGGCGACAGGACTCTTTTTGCCCAGAATCACCCCAGAAAGCGTACCAATCATACGTAGCGCACCCTCCTTTTCTCTTGGGTTCTTCTCGTTGTCTGGTGCGGCCTCGTATCGGTTCACCATCTCGTTGACAAAGTTGAGGACGCTGAAAGTTTGCTTTCTTCGGCTCTTAGTCAATGTGACGAGAAAGTTGGTAGCGGCGACATCGGGCGCGGTAACATCCTCGTAGAAGTTCAGTTTCCGGTGTAAGTACTCCTGTGGTTCCTCCTCGAACAGCTCGATGTCTTCGTCCGACTGGCATAGAACTGGGAAGATGAGATGCGAGATGAGGTTGTCGGTGTGAGGCTTCAGGAGTGTCCACATGGACTTGGGCTTAATGCACTCGTCCAGAAAGTTGAGCGTGTAGTACAAGCTGGCTTTGGAGAGCCAGACCTGCTTGCCGACCCATTTCTCGACTTGCTGTAGGTAGATTTCCAAGATTTTCGGAGCGAAGTTGGCGATGAAGTTCTTCGCGACTTCTGTGTAATCGACCTCGTTGTTCTTGCCCAGCGCGGACGGGTTGCCGTACCTGGGGCGTGTTAGTCGCAACTCGCAAAATTTGTATCCAACATGTACTAACCTGACGTAGAGTCTGTTCAAATTCGCGTACGACCACTTCTTCGCCTTCCACCAGTGGTTCGTTTCCCGCTCGTCCAGGTCTTCGGGAAGGGATGTCTCTGGTGGCTCCTTGCCGACCACGGTCAAGAAAAGTGTACACCAGCCAACCATGGTCTCCTGCTCGCGGAGAGATGCGGGGAGGTCGAACTGCGGGGTGTTAGCCTGGCCATATGAAAGCTCCCAATTCTCCTTACGTAGATGGCGTGCTTGTACACCTTCAGCACGGTCCGTAATATCTCGCCAGCCTCCAGACTTGTCTCATTTGCCAGCGAGTTTCCGATGTTGAGCAGCTGCGGGAATGACATGCCCACAATCTTGTCAAAGTCTGCGCGGTTCTCGCCCGACTTGAACCTGTAGATCTTGCATATCGCCAGCAGACATTGCACACCAGCAAAGACTGAAGCAATGTCTCCGGCGTTCAGGAGCTGTATGGTGATGTCGAGAAAGTCGGGCCACTTCCCGGGGAAATCGTATGCGAGAATCTTTTGGAGGGTAGGAATAAGCTGGATGCGGACCTGCGGCGGGGAGGCGACGAGGATGGGCACGAGGCGGTTTCGGAATGACGTCTTCTCATCCTCTGGTATGGGCTTGGCCTGGCTGTACTCTTCGGCCGGCGACCATCCCTTCGATATGCGGTTTTTAAGGTACACGACAGCTGCAGCACGCATTAGCAATGTGTACCTTATTCACTGTCACGGGCGCGTCCGTACTCGACAGCCGTATGGCAGCGTCCTGCTCGCCTTCGAGAATGTTCAGCAGGCCGTCTGTGAAGCCCGACTGCTCTTCAGCCTGGATCTCAGTCAGTGACGAATTGCGGGCGCATTGCTCAAAGACACACGCACATGCTTCAGGTCGAGTTCTGCCTGCTGTCTGATGGCGGCATTCGGGTCGAGGGTCGCCTGAATGCGGTCCCGCAGCACAGTGACATCCATGGTTGCGACTATTTCGTGTCGGAAAGTGGGCGGTGTCCCTCGGTGATATCAACCGTAGGCGAACTTTCAGCGGTCGGTGCGGTGTAGGCGGTGGTGGGGTCACGGGCGGCTTCACTGCCGTCGCGCTGCCTCTGGCGAACTTTTGAAAATGTAATTGGGGGTAGCGATGGGGAGAAAGCCACGATCTGGCAGATTCGGATATTCTCGTGCGCCCCTTGCGGTTTGCAGCCAGCGTGTGCGGGATGTGTGGACTGGAGGGGAAGGAACTTTTGTGGGTTGCCCTTTGGCACGCTAGTTGCCATCGTGGTTAGCACGTGCCTTATCGATTCCGCCTTGCCTTCATCGCTCACTTCACCACTTCATCAACGCAGTGCCGCTATTGTAGAGAGGACACTCCCGACAGCTTCGTCTCGGGGCTCTCACTTTGTTCACCGTGGGAGCACTGCACATCGTCGGCCCTGACTGCTACACAATCCTGCTTCATCTCTGCACCAGCTCGAGTACCTGCAGCCTGCGCTTGAAGGCACCAGCAAGCCGCATATGCTGACCGCTTGCATCCGGCTTATACACACTTTGATTGAACGTCGTGGAAGTTCCCCTCCACTAGTTTCTCCTAGCCCTCTTAGCTCTGGGGCTCTATCCAAAAGGTGTTAGCTCATCACAAGCCTCCATCTTCACCGCAAAGGCACCTGAGCTCTGCTTTCTTGCGTCCGCTGTAGTAGACTAGGTCCATGTTCAGTCACAAGTTGTAGTAGTATCATACTTCCCGCTCTAACGCCAGCCGGACCAACATCCCTCGCGACGACATCTCAGCAACATCGTCCAAGTCTGCAGCACTGTCCCACATAACTCGAGCAAGTACTCCTGTGTCGCCTGTTCCACGTTGCTAAACCGTCGATGGCGCTGTCAACATTTGCGATCGGTAGGATAGCACGCATCGGCAGATGCAGTCGATCCCGACCTCTCGAAGGTCTCCTTGCATGACCCCATCGGCCTATCAACACGGCTTCCAAGCGCCAGGTGTAACACAAAGGTATATCTGCCCACTATTACACAGAGGTATAGCTGCCACTTGTTATAGACAGTGGTAGAGTACCCACACTTACACGGCATAACGACACCGACTCGATACCTTGCTATACCAGATTCAAGTAACTGGGCGCACGATGTCCCGGTGTCGACGACAAGAAACTGGCTACAACATGACACCACATCGCATGGCTTAGCGAAGGATGAAGATGCCATGACGTTTCGTTGAGTGTACCAAGGCGCGGCGTCTTCGCTGTGTGCCACGTTCGTAATGCAATGTCGAGTAGGTAACTCTGGATTCGAAATGTCAACCCCAAGGTCACAATTGCGCAGCATCAGCAAAGCAAACAAGTTTCCCAAAAGCTCCCCACAAACATTGACCCTATTACTGGATGTTTGCAGCGGATATTTGTGATTTGCATACACGTATCTTTGGTGCTTGCTTACAAACAATCGCGCTCATGGCTCCGAGGCTCCACGATGCCGAATTCATGCCATGCCATACCAGCGGCACAGCCACGTAATCCGATCTCACTCCCCTGTGCATATCTCGCTACAGCCTGCACTCGCTAAAGACCCAGCATACCACGGCTCCACGTCTGATTCACACAAGGGAAGACCGCTGTCTTGCTATTCAGGTACAACCATGCTATGAATCTTGGGCTCCAGCCACGCAATGCAATATACATTAATGCAAATCCACCCTGCCCACCCGACAAGGGACCGGATGGACCCAAGTTTCGTTCATCCACCGCAGAGCGCCCGAAAGTCCGCGATCGTTGGGTGGGTGTTTCGTTTCGTTCCAGAAAGCCACTAGCGTTTTGGGCCCGTGTTCCCTTTGTCGTTCGGTCGATCTGCAACAAGTCCCCCGGCTTCTCGAAACGAACCACTGCAACACCAACAATCCCACGCCAGCGCATGCACGCCTGCATCATTTGAAACATGCTCGGCTTTATAGGTACAAGCTCGCGCAGTTGCAGATATCCCTGTGTTGAAAATCCAGTCAGCATAATCCCTCAGTGTTGAGCTGGCATGTGCCATGTCGATAACACGACCAGCATCGCCCGTCGATAATGGAGAAACCTCGCTCGCGTACCTTTTGATAAGTTCCTGGCACGTCCCCATCTTCTGAAACAGGACCGGGTCGCCGATGATCCGCGCCGCGTTCTTCACTTCCCTGCACGTCTCGTCGAGTCTGGTAATCACTCTGACTATCGTGCCTTCCATGACATCCGTCAGGTCGGTGATTCTATTAAAAGACATGCCGCGGGCCCATTCGTAGACAACCTCTACCATGCCGAAGCGCGGCTTGCTGACGAAGTCGTTGGAGTCGTCCGCAGATAGAATGACCTGATGCAGAGTCTGGATTTCATTTACTTTCTCGGAGATTTTGACGATCGCGGCGACGCCGCGCTCGAGGCTAGCGGTCAGTGTGGGCTCCGTATCGGTCTTCTCTTGAAAGACGAAGGCGGAGAGTAGGGAGACGATTTCTTCGGGGGTGTAGTCTGCTAAGACGTTTTCGAGAACGAGTTCAGTCAGAACGAGTTCATCGGCGGAATGAATCTACAGGGGAGTTAGTAAAAGTCTACAGATAGGAAAATGAAGAAAATACTTCGCAAGCTACTTTGCCCTTGAGCTCTACCCGTGAACCTCCATCAATGAAGCCTAGGTCTTGCAATACTCGGATTCTCTGCTCGTAATCAGGCAGAAGCTGGAGATTTTGATCCGACATCAGCTGTCGAAGTGAAAGGATATTCTCCTTGATAACCCATTGGTCATGCTCCATCTCAAAGTGCTTCAAGAAATCAGGACACTCTAGACACTTCTTGTCAACAGCATTCTGGCCCTCTTTCACCCTCGTCTCCATCAACTCGCGGAACTTCATGCTCTTGATGCGGCTGTAGTCGTACTCATCCCAGTCTTCATAGTTCCACGATTGGCACAGAGGCAAGAACTGGTCTTGAGCCAGCTTCAGCGTGTCTTTCTTTCTGTTGAGATTCTGCACAGACTCAGGGACGTCGATAGTAGTCTTGGTGAAGCACTCAATGTCATTGAGTGGGACGAAAGCAGTCTTGAGGATCAGGTCCTTGGGGCTCTTCGGAAGGTTTCGGAAGAACTTTGCGAATGGACCAAGGTACGGCAATAGATCGTCTGCTTTACGATCTTCGTTTTGAGCAATCTCCAGTACTTTGATGGTAGGCTCGTTACCCCGACTGGTACCATCTTGCATGAGCATGCCGGCTGTCCGTTTATTGTCCTTCTTGTATACAATGAGTCTGTTCCGACTCAGCACCCGCCGTCCTACAGGGTCAACAAGCAGACTGAGATGCATCTCATTGGTGAGGCGCTTATAGTCCTCGCATGATTGATGGCATGCTTCCAGATCGATATCGCAAATCTCACACGGCTCACGCTTGATCTTCTCCAAGTCTGCCTCGGAAACCTTGACGTTCTTTTCATGCTCAGGAAGCAATGCTTGTGTCGCATTTTCACTAAAGCTGCGCTTAATCATTTCTTCAATCTTGAGGGCTTCGACACGTAGCAGATTGAGCATCATGTTGTATGTGAGTCGGAATTGTGATCTCAGCTTTGTGGGCTCACCCAGCATCATCTGCCTCAAACGTGCGGCTGGTGGGGCTTCATCAGCTCCTGGTGCGCACACGATGACAGTGCCGACAGAGTCGAGACCTCTTCGTCCGGCACGACCAGCCATCTGGGTGTACTCGCCTGGAAGCAAGTCACGGAATTCACGGCCATCGTGTTTGCGGAAACCAGAAAACACAACGGTCCTGGTGGGGAGATTCAGGCCCATAGCGAAGGTCTCTGTGGCGAACAGCACCTTCACGAGCGTCTTGGCGAACAGGATTTCGACCACCTCCTTGACAATTGGAAGCATACCACCATGGTGAACAGCAATTCCTCGGCTTAGCAATTCTCTCAGTCGCTTGATCTGAGGCAGATCTCGGTCTTCTGGGCTAAGCCTGGCCAGCGACTTTTCGATTGTCATGTGAATCGCACTCTTCTCGGCAGCAGTACAGTAGTCGATATTTGAGAGTGCTTCGGCGTTTTCCTCGCAGCGCTTCTTCGAGAAGACGAAGATACATGCTGGTAACAGATCTTTGCTTCGGAGGAATTGGATGAGATGCACCCATATGTTGCGGTCCTGGGCAGCGGTTGTTCGACCACCCCCACGGCCCGTGCGAGCTATGTTGCCCCGACCTCGCTGGGCTGGTGGACCTCCACCACGCTGTGCGCCACCACGACCGCCATTTTGTTGGCCGCGACCTCGTTGGTTTTGTCCGCCCCTTGCAGCCGGGCCACCTCGACCGCCGCCGCCGCCGCCGCCTCCTCTGCCCGTAGGAGCTTCCTTCGTCACTGGAGCTTTGACCTTGTCCTTACCAGACATGACATCGTTGGCCTCTTTCCAGCCATTATCGATGAATTTCTTGTCCGCGGTGACAATTTTGTACATGCCTTTGCCAGCCCAGAGATAGTGTTCGAGCGGGATGGGGCGCTTGGGCGTGGAGATGACGTAGATATCCTTCTTTTTCGTCCTTCCGACCCATGATGCGAACTCATAAGTGTTGGGGACCGTCGCTGATAGCAGGATGAGAGTAACATGCTCTGGAAGCATAATGATCACCTCTTCCCAGACCACACCTCGCTCAAGATCATTGACATAGTGAACCTCGTCAAAGATGACAAATTCCACGTCTCTGATCAAGTCTGCTCCACGGTACAGCATGCTGCGAAGAATCTCGGTAGTCATGATAAGACAACTTGCCTCTGGTCGTATCTGCACATCTCCAGTTAAGATACCGACATCATCAAATGTGAGCCGAAAGTCGCGGAACTTCTGGTTGCTCAAAGCTTTGATAGGAGATGTGTAGATAGCCTTGGTCATATGCTTGGCAGCCAGTGCAATGGCGTACTCTGCAACCACAGTCTTTCCAGCAGAGGTGTGTGCAGCAACGAAAACTGAGTCACCATTCTCGAGGTGGTACACGGCCTCCTTTTGAAAGGTATCGAGCTCAAAAGGATACTCACGAGCCATATCCGGAACGAGTTCTCGGAAGTTAGTGATGTCGCGGTTAATATCCACCATGTGAGCCCATTCGCGGCCTTTCTTCCTGGAAGCAGCCATGGCCAGAGGTCCATGAGGAGCTAGCGCAGGGAACTCGACGGGGAGAAGAGCATCAATTTCTTCCTCCATAGGAGTTTGACCATCTTCTCCCGCTGCAGCGCCACCGTTGCGATCATCGTTGGAGCCTTCATCATCGTCATCTTCGCTGGATTTGTTGACTGCTGACGCCTCTCCTAGAGTGTCTTCAACCTCTTTTGTTATTTTGGCATCCGGTAGTAGCTTCTTCTGGAAGTCCAATCCACGGGTGAAGCCTGGAGGAATAGCAAGCAGACCAGTCGGGTCGCTGAAATTGATGACTCGGTCGAGGCCGCCACCTGCCTTGGCGCTGGCCTTTTCTTGTTGCACAATTGCTTCATCTTCTCTTGCAGCAATTGCTTCGACACCATCGAGGCCACCAGGTGCGAAGGGGAAAAAGCCAGCAGCACCGCGGACGAACTCAGCTCTGTTGGCAGGCTTCCTCAGCAAGGAAGTGGAGTTTTTCGCTGTCGCCGAGTTGGCAGGAACGGTGACCTCTTTATACCCTGTCACACGGCCTTCCAGTCCTTCGCGAGTGAAGCGGATGATGGTGCGAGTCTGAGTCGGCGCAATCTGACACAGGCTGCGGTAGTTGGTTGGAGCATCCCAACGTTGCTGTAGCTGGTTCAACCATTGCGTGTTGAAGGACCGTGATGGCGTCAGAAATTCTGCCTCGAGCTCTTTCTTGATGGTATGTTTGGTTTTGCGCTGTCGCTTCGGCGGCCGCTGCTCGGCTGCAATGGAATCTATCCAGCCGGGGTCGCTGAGTGCACTGGTGCTCAGCCGAAGCTTATCGAGCTCTGCGGACAGAGCCTCCATTGCTTGTGGTGGCGTGGTGCAGTTGCAGATGCTTCTCTGTTGTGCGTGTGTTCAAGTGTATGACGTTGTTTGCTAGTTTATGCGTGTCGGTTCTGGCGGGCAGGGATCCACTGGTGGCACTACGAACACTGGTACTGCGGGGCAGCGATCTCCTGGGCAAAGAGACAGCCCCAGGGTAATGTTTGTACCTGCATTTGAAATAAAATAAAATAAAGCTAACGGCATTCTCTGTCTTGTAGCATTCTACCCAACGCCGCGCTATGCAAAGCAAATTCATCCTGCGTTATGTCCGTCACCACACGCGTTACCACATATCTTCCATGTCGACCATAGCTTCCATCTCATCTGCAAAAGGATCGTCTTCTCCACCAGCTGTCCGCACAGGCAGTGTTTTTGGAGCTGAAGTGTTTTGCTGCGCACTTTCTGCGAGCAGCGCATCTAACTCATCCTCATCTGGACCAGCCCTTTCGGCGCCCTCTTCACCCTGCTCCACGCCCTCCATGCTCTCCGTCGCCTGCTCCGTTGTAGGCGCTTGAACGACGACCTCATCGGCATCTTCCTCTTCGTATGCCGACGTCCGCCGCGGCTTGCCCTCGTCTATCCATTCTTTGCGCATCATCTGCATGCGCTTGGTGTGTCCCACCTTCTCGATTATAGTGAGCGCATCAGCAAACTTGGCGCGGGGGTATAGGTCGTCGAGCCACAATTGGTACATGTTCAGCATGCGCGCAATGTCTCCGTACTGTGCAAATCTTAGTGATCATGACAGAATTGGCGACAGCCTGTTGCATACCTCATGCCCCTTCCCTTTAAAGCGTAGACGGTCTTTCGAAATCCTCCGCAGTCTTGGGATGCCTGGGTCAGACAATAGCCTGTTGTCGTCGAGCTTCGGTATAGGTATGCGTTTCTTCGTAATGATGATCTCCTCGTCGATGCCCAGTCCATCGCCGGCATTGCCTGAGCCTTTGCTGGCATAAGCTGGTCTCGTCGACTCGGCTTGGGTGCCTGAGATATCTCTGCCTTCGGTGATGCCATTGAGAATATTGTCGAGTTCGTCATCTGACGGTGTGTTCGCTCTACTGGGAGCCATATTATGGTACGTGTGTTCGTATGGCGTTTTACTGTGTAGACGTGTGCAATCAGTGCCTCTGCTGGACGGCCGCTTAATGACACTCAACGCGCGACGCGACTTAGCGCGACTTAGCGCGACTCACAGCCACGTGCACGGACGATGCGCTAGCGCAGCCACAGCACTCTAAATCATCGACAGGGTCCTTCATCACTATCAAAAACAACGGCACGCGCGAATGACTGAAATCCGGTCGGCGAACTCAGCTAGCACCTCAATAGAAGACACGAATTACCTACGTGTGGCGATAGCCCGGCCTTTATCATAACCGAAATTCGACGACACTAGGCGTTCCTGGACTCCGCCGACAAACTTCCCCGTTGTTGCGAGCCAGGCCGCTCACCCAGAACCTAGCGACATGGCTCGCTCTACAGCAGACTCTCAAGGGGCCATTATATCGAGACTGAATTATCTACTGGAGCGCGCTCGTTCTGTTAAGCCGAGCACATCTATCGACCCTCCCTTGCAAGTCTCTGATCTGATCCGGGAAGACGAGTTTCTCTTTGACCCCATAGAAGGCAGCGATGAGGCACGTCGTCTCTCAGTGGAAACGGCGGCGAAGTCTCTCTTCTACGCCAACTTGGTAAGCTCTCCCACATGCCCTGTATACGTTGCTCATCTTTGTAGGGTTCCACTCGCATCGGGGAGCCAGCGTTTGTGTCTATCTGGAATCTGCTCGATATTCTTCAATACTGCGGAGACCGAGGTACTTAATTCCATCCCTTCATAAGCAACATGTCTAATAATGTTAGATATATGTTCTCCGCAGGCAACCCTACTGCTGATCGAAGAACTGCTCGACAGCCAGTCCATCGAGGGCTGCCGGGTTGTGTTCAACTTTTTGGAGTCCCGAAGAGAAGCCATCATTGCTGTAAGGTCCAACGACGCCCCAATTGTGGACCTAGCTGATGTTCTCCCAGATCAACTCCAAGAACAAGGATCTCGTTATCCTACGATTATGCAATGAGCTTCTTCGCCGCCTATCTCGTGCCGAGGATCCAGTATTCTGTGGACGTGTGTACATTTTCATGTTCCAGAGCTTCCCCCTGGGCGACAAAAGCTCGGTCAACCTGCGTGGCAACTTTCACGTGGAGAATGTGACGACGTTCGAGGACTTCTTGAAGGATTCGAGTACGGAAGACGACCAGATGCAAATCGACGACATGGAGGCTGAACCTGTACTAAAGGGAGAGTCCAAGTCAGAGGAACACAATGTCAAGCTTGGAAATTCCAACGTACAGAAAGATGAACTGTCTTCCACGATGGATATCGATTCCCTCTATCCAGTGTTCTGGTCATTACAACATTCTTTCTCGAACCCGCCCCGGTTGTTCGAGGAGGATCACTTCAAACATTTTCAAAAGAGCCTGGAGGCCACTCTCGCCAAATTCAAAGAAGTGCCTAAGGTAATACAGGCTGGGGACTCTGAGCGAACAAAGGAGCAGATGGATCAAGATGGAGATGATTATGACGCTTTTGGCAAACGCCTACAACCCCAAATATCTCACAAGCCGCGATCTGTTCAAGCTTGGAGGTACGCAATCAGAGACAAATTGGTTGAGGCGCTATGACTGATAATTTCTAGTTGAGCGATCTCGCTTTTCAACGGCACATCCTTGTCCAAGCACTGATACTTGTCGACTTCCTTCTCACCCTGACAGAGAAGGCGAAGAGCAAGTCTATCTACCAGAAAGCCCAAAAGGCTATGCAGTACAACTTCACCCTTCGTGAAGAAGATGTGAGTGGCAATGCATCTGTTCCCCGCGCGGCTACTCCTCCCCGTGTGCCACCAAGGGCCATGATCATCGTTGTCTCGGCTGACCACAAGAGCACAGACCGAGTGGGCATTGGGCATCAAGACCGCCATTGCAAATTACCTGCAGGAGGGTCCAGATGGCAAATTCTACTACCGGATGGTGGACACGGTCCTCTCCCGTGATAAGAACTGGGTCAGGTGGAAAATGGAGAACTGCCAGCCATTCACTCGCGACCGAGTCGCCACTAAGGATTTCCTAAAGGCGAAGTCTGGCGCGCAAAAAGCTGTTGCGAATAAGGCGAACAGGAAGCCCATGGGCGTGCCTGGCTCTCTGAAGTTTCTCTATAACACCGAGGCAGAGACGGGCCTTGCACAATTACGGAACGCGGAAAAGTAAGTGCTCCGTCTGACCGATTGACATGCACATACAGCTGCTCACGCCTGCCAGAACCAAGGTGCCAGATGCAGAGTCATATGCAGATAAAGTCCGAATGACTGACATGGACTTGGAGATGCCTGGGACAGAAGAGGAGAAGCGTGAATTGATAGGCAAGAAGTCCAGCTTCGTGTGGAAGGGGCTTCGCCTCGCTTCCAAGAAGCAGCTCAGCTCATTCGACAGGATCGAACATGGCAAAGGGCTGGAGGCTCTTCAGCCGGCTAACCCTTCCACTGAGGCGAATGATGGCGCTGTGCCCATGGTTCCGGTTGACCGGGGTGCTGCAGACCCACAAGTAGACTCAGAGCATCATAGCGTTGAGGAGCAGCGGCCCGACCATCAAGATAGTCAAGTGACGGCGGACTCAGCGGCGTGATGACAAGGACACAGGCGCCTTCACAGAATAGGTAGGAATAGTCGAGAAGAGTAAGCTCATGCACCTTCCCCAGGCTTGCTCCTCGTTACGACGGCGTGCAGTATGGGGAAGAAGGGTTGTGGCGTTTTGCCGCCGCCGTACTTTCAATACGAATGGACATGGGGAAGCATCTTTCCGAGCGATCATCAGAGTATCGATGTGAGCACGAACCGTCAAGGTCCGGCCGAGCGAACGTCTAGCCGCTGACGAAGTCTGTCAACCTGCGACGCTACGATGTACAACGAGAACTGGAGCAGGTGGTGGAGATGAAAGGGCCCCAGCGAGTTCAATTACAGCCTGCACGGTCTGCTAATGCCAGGGAGGGTACACTTGCGATTCCCCGGGATATGATCTGATGTAACAGCAATGATCGAAGGGCCTGGGTCCAGTACCTGGCAAGTATGACGGAAGTCTCTGGAATAGCAGATCTGAGATGGGGGCAACAAAGCTGTCGCGGACCAGGCTTGTTGACGCGGGCGATGGGCCGTTCAGTTCAGGCTCATTCTGGAACCAGAGTGCGCTGTCAGCACTTGACATTTGATCCACGTACGTGGACGATGGTGCATCCTGCCGAAATGAAAGGGGACTCGCTGTACCACCGTCCCAGCCGGTTCCCGCTTGCGAAAAAGCACTGCGACTGTGCTATGATGCATGGTGGGACGGTTTCGAGTGCCAAGTCTCGAACGACACACGACGACGACTGACGACAGCACCATTTCGTTTCCACCTGCGATGGTATGGTCAATGCCTGCGATGGAATGGTCAATGCAGCAGGCTTGGGTGGGTCGAGCATAATTTTGGAGGCAGCATCTTCTGCCGATGTGTGGCAGACACCCTTGCGAGCATCAAACCCGCAGTTGTTCTAAGCTCCACCAATAATGGCGTGTTGGAAAATTCCGCCGCGGTTTCGCAGCTCCTGTCATTTACTACCCACGCCCATCGGTCCAACCAATCGGTCTTGGCGGCGTTTTGCAAATGGACCGCGATGCCGCCCTCGGCATAGCTTTCGAGATTGCATCTGGCAGAAAATGTGTGGTTTCTGGGTGGTTGCGAAACGACCCAAACGCTGGTGGTTACCCGTGTGTGCCCCGCGAGCACCACAGCGCCATTCGCTCGTTTTGCTAATGTATCCGCATGTGCCGAACGATGCATTCGTACCAGCGCGGTGGTCAGTTTCGTCGCCCGCGCCTAACGTGAGTGTTGAATCGGTTGCAGTGGCCTGTAGCTGGCCTCTGGCCACGGGCGAAGCTGGCGATCGGCGCGGAATGGCCTTGCAAAACAAGCATGGGGTGGCTTGCGGCCATGGCGCAGGCACTTGTTCCCTGCAGAGATGACAGACGGCGTTGTCGCAGCCTCATCCGACCATGATGGAACGACGCTTTGTTGAGAAGCGTATTTCATGACGCGTGCGATGGAAGCCATGTTTCTTCCTCAGCTCGCCCATCGCCCGCTGTCAAATCTCAAAGCGACCCACCCCGGCGTTGCACGGCGTACAGCACCAGCACCAGCAGGCTTCGAGAAACATGATCCCGGGGCGGGCCGGACTGAGGCCGTTGATCGCTTGTCCAGCCAGATCTCTTGCTCGTTCGCACACCAGGACGCCCTCATTGGCAGCATGCATAGACTAAGCGCCGACAAGTCGCTACGACGCATTGCGCAGGTGTCCAGCTACAGCGATACAAAACCAGCTAGACGCGCTTTGCTGGGTGATGCTGGATGCTGCCCAGAAAACCGTAACGGCTGAAGACCGTTCCACCTCCGATGTTCATGCATCTTACGGGCGCGATTAGCGGCTCAGAGGACTAGCAAGGCTGATGCAAAGCGTTCCTGACGCAATTTACGGCCCACATCCGTGAACAAGACAGGTGCCAGAGGGGAACCTCAGAACTTAGAAGTCCGCGGCCATTCGCCGTCGGACGCACCCGCATGGAAGCCGGCTAGATGACGCGGGAAAGTGTCGTGAAGTGTCGTGGTTACTCGACAGTAGCCCTGGAGCAGGGCACAATCATCCGCTTGCTGGCCCAAGTCCGACAACCGACCTCACCACCCATCTTCGTCCACCCACCACATCGACTAAAGCAGCAACGCCAGCAGACACCCCGCAACTTCTGCTAATAAGCGTTGCCGAGCTGGGGGGCCCTGCAACCTCTGTGCCCCAACCCTGGCTCCTTGCTGCATCATGTCCCTTGAGCTCCCGTTTGTGCTTTGGCCATGCATTAAGCCAATAATGGCGCCCCCATCTGCCTTCATGGTCGATTGTTCGACGCCACGGAGCAGACCATGCTCGTCGGCGGTTTTCTCCACGCATCCATGAGCAACCTGCAGAACCCCCATGTTGACGCACAGCCGCCATGCCGCCATTCACCTCGACTGGAGGGTACCCCGGCACCAGCACACATGATCCAGAACCCTTGCGAAGCGGGAGCGGGCGTCTCTTCTTCACAGGGCCGAGCTACCGCATCCCTGTGTCCAGGCGCTCTTGGGTACCTGCTGGCCCTCGACCGTCACGCTTCTGGCTGTGTAACAGGCTCCAGGTCCTCAGTAGAAAATCATGTTCCATGCATCGTCCTACCCCAGTCTTCGCTTTTCTCTTAACCTCGATTTTATCCGGATCGTCGACAGTAGAGTGCCGTCAAGCCTTTCTGTGTGAATGATCTGTTGCTCTCCCCTGCCCTGCCGCTATCGCTGATATAGCCTCCGACGGTTCCTGACCATACCTACAAAGGGTCCCTCATCGTCAACCTTGGACTGACTCTTCTGATCATCACGAGCAAGCCGGCTGCTCATCATCTTCTGTCGATCAACTATCAAGCGCCCGTTGCCAGCACCAGTCTTATCTTGGTTCTGTTTCCCCCAACAGATTCTATTTCAAGCTCGACGTTGCACCAAAGCTCCGCGCCTCAATCCCTTCTTCAAGGTGCGACATCAGCCATTCAGCCTGGCTCATCACCTCAGCAATTCCAACGACAACTCGACCCAGTACCAGCAAGCTATCTGTTTGTAACAGCATTACGACCTTAACGCCTCGAGTGAACCCATACTCCAGCTTTCCATAAAGCATCACCATCATCTCCACGAACTCAGTCACCGTCAGCCAGCCCCGCACTGGGACTGAATAACGACCTGGTCTATTTCGTAGCAGCTCCCCCGACTTTACGTCCTTTTTAGTCAATCTTCACGATTGTTCACCCCGTCTTGCCTCTCATATCTCCAATGGTTGACGGAAACTTCATCATCCCTTTGTCTCCGCCTAGCTCGCCGCGCATGTCTGCGTACGGCACGAATTCTGCCGAGAACAAGTGGCAATCTTCCGACATCCGGACTCTTGAGCACACTCCTCCACACTCGGACAGCGACATGGCTATGCTTCAGGCTGAGGTAGCTGGGCATGGCTACGACCACAAGCGTCCTATGATGCGATCACACAAGAGCTTTCCCTACATGCTTGACAACAAAAGCCACCTCCATGGTGGCTCCGAGTCACCCTCTGGTTTAGGCGATATTGAAGAGCATGATGTGCCAAACGTCACTTTCGGCGGATCAGCACCGACAAGTCCCATCTCGAGACTTACTCCTCCATCGACACACGATGGCAACGCATGTGAGAAGCTGGAGGACCAAGACGACGATCTCATTCTCGACGACAAGGACGAGGACTGTGATGGCGATATTAAAGACGAGAACAGACCCCCTATGTCCGCTGCTGAGATCCGCGCGGCCAAGCGCAAAATGAAGCGCTTCAGGTTGACACACAACCAGACCCGCTTTCTTATGAGCGAGTTCGCTCGTCAGGCTCACCCTGATGCTGCTCACCGAGAACGCCTTGCTCGCGAGATTCCCGGTCTCAGCCCACGACAAGTTCAAGTTTGGTTCCAGAACAGGTACGCATTAACACGAGATCGATCTCGACATGACTGACAGACAGTAGGCGAGCAAAGCTCAAGCGTCTTACTAGCGACGACCGCGAGCGCATGATGAGGTCTCGCGCCCTGCCGGACGACTTCGACATGGCACAGGCACTGCACTCTCCATTTGGCAACCATCACGGTCTTGGGACGCCACTGGCATCGCCAGGATCGTACGCTCCAAGCTTCGCGGAAAGCAACATGATGCGCCCCCTAAGCATCGACACCTTGAGGCGAGGGCCACTTGACTCCCACATGTCGCCAACCGGTATCTCACCGGCTTTTGGTGGCTTTACATTCACGCCACCTCAGTCAGCGACTGACACTCTGTCACCAGTATCAGCACATGGTGAATCTCCTTTCGGCTTCAACTCAGCCCCACTGGATACCAGCCCAAGGACATCAAACCCCTTCTCAATGCCTGTCAGCGCGCCACCAGCATACGCAGCACAACACAGCATTCCCCGGCTAACGCTGCACGCCGATCGCATCAATAGAAGTCGGGCAGAGTCACTGCAATCGCCACTTAGGACTAGCATGAGCTACAGCACTGACAACATGCACGGCTCGCCAGACACCAGTCACTCGGACGGCTCCCGATCGTACTCAAGCTCCATGATGCCCTACGGCATCGGCTACTCATACTCTCCAGTGCCTGGCTTCCAAGCATCTAGTTCTCAGAGGATGCGCTCATTCTCGAACGGTGTACCCCGCCGCATAGAACTCAGCACACACTATACCCCCAGCCGGAGCCACCACACACCACAAACAGCCCATTTCCCGTCCTACTCTGGGTCACCACTTGGCACTCCTCAAGGCTACTCGATGCCCCAGCTGAGTGCTCCACATCATCTCAGTAGCTTTTCCAATTCGTATCTACGCAACGATTCGGCCCACAACGAACAATATCCCGGCGTTGGTTCCGTTCTCGGAGAAGTCATGGACCACCACTCAAATCACAGCCAAGCCAACGACGACGACAACGATCAACTATCCCAGGGTTACTGATCGAGAACCACGTGTTTGCTTGTTCTCTCTTCAGCACGGGCTTATTATTAGCAAAGGCGTTTTATCGGTGTGGCACGGCGGGACTCCGTGGATGTGGGTACTTTCCCACCCAACAAAAACATGGCAAATGAGCGATACTCCTTTGAGCATGCTGGGATCTTACGACTTTGAATTACTGTTCTGGACTTCTTCGGTACCTTCCACTCGACTACCGGGTCGTTTTGTCCTCCGTAACGCCGCACCTGTAGTGGCTTGTTTCATGTTTGGGGCGGTGGCGTGGAACCGCTTTGTCCCGATTTTGTTATCGCTTCACTTTCTGACATCAACATCATTTTTTAAAACAGAACCTTAATGGCGCTGCTGGTATACCCTTCTACTGTATCTACTTTTACGCACCCATTTTTTCTTTCTTTAGGAACTCCTCTTGTAGATGGCTGGAACTCGTCTGTTTGTGACTTTCTGTACACACTTCTCTTCTTGCCTCTTGTTGTTTACGACTACATTACTATTGGATAACAATATCACCTACTACAAAAAAGCCCATACTGCAGAACACCCACACCGTTCTGAAAATGTCAAATACGATAGAATACGAATCAAACCAAACGATACCCCATAAATCTTGCCTTCAAACCCTTGTGCGCACCGTGATCTGTGATCGTCATTTCAACATCCGGATATTGCTGCGCAGCACTGGTGGGCGGTCCCTGGCTACGACACAGATTGCAACCGCAGGGGATCTACGGAGCCATGTCTAACACCAACGACTTGTTATACCCAAGCGACTCAGCACGAGTTCGCCGCCGGAACATACCAGGCGACATCGGAAGATTCACAGTCTCGGGCCTCATGTTCCACTACGTATGGGGGCCGGTGGACCTCAGGCCATGATGGTTCTCGCTTGCAAGCAACCACGTTCCAGTGTCACCTCAAGCTGCAGGCTCGAATGACGGAAGTCGGCTCAAGTGTTGCCGAAAAGCCCCCCAAAAAAAAGTGTAGACTAAAATATACCAACGTTGGTGTTTGTACCCACTCTACAACAAAAAGTAAAGTTTTCTACATACCAACACAACTTACTCGCCCAGTGAGCTTGTCCCTGTCCCTGAGGCCAACGCCATGCCGCGAAGAATATTCCGTACAGAAGCTTCTATGGCTTCTTTGGCGTGTCGATCAGGCCCTTCGTTCAAGACTTTTGTTACCCCTCAGCAATATATTGCCAGCCGCATGACCTGCGGTACGGGCGTGGGCATGGCTTCTCCACACTTTACCCCAGACTGGAGAACCGGCTTTTGAGGCTCAGGAACCGAGTTTGCACGTTAGTGGTTCGCTTGCTTGCTTGATGGCAATGCATAAGGCATGTGGAGGGCTGCCGGACGGTAGCTGCATGGTGGAGATGTGTCGTGGTCGCGGTGGCTAAATTGCCAGGGCGCGAGAGGTCGATGGATAGTCCGATGCGAAAGAGCGAAAGGGCATGTGCGTTCCGAGTCATGCGATACCATACACGGACGAATAGAAAGGGCCGTTGATTTTGTTTCGAAACATCTTCGTCTTCAAGGGTGGTACATTTTGCGGGGAACACTGGTGTTCTGGACTGTCTTCTTGATAGGGTCGGTTTGCTGGGTTCCGCACATGTGCGTCTTGTTGATCGAGGGTCATGGCGTAGGGACATGGGTCCTTAACCCGGTCTAGTCCAGGGCAGCGAGAATGCGTGACACTCGACATGAAAAGCCTCTGCAGCGTCCTGCATGGAAGAGCATGCTTGATGTGGATCCTCAACTCATTAGAGTTATTGCTGGCTGCGCTGGCTTTCGGGAGTGTTAATTGCAGATAGATTGATGAGGCGCCAGCAGCTTGAGCGAGCCGCCGGCGCAAAGTATTGGTTTAAGGTACATCTTAGGCTTAATTGAGGCTGGGCATTCGTCAGCTTCAGCGAATTGGATGATAGCCTTCACCGTTCTCCCAGGAGTAGTTCCACAGCTTCGAGAAATGCTGGTACGCCATGGCAAAGGCGGGTCCTGCCAGGTATGCAGGATCTGGTGGGGGCTTCGGCCGTGTGATCTGGTGATCGCTCGACATTGCGGTGAGGCTTGTTCTCGCGAGGCAGAGACGTGGCGGTGTGATAGGCGACTGGTGGTCTGCTAGGCTTCAAAAGGCAACTAGACTCGCTCACATATTGACCAGGATCATTCCTTGTAAGACGACGTTGCAAGGGAACCGTTGAAATAAGTCAATTCGAACCGACGTCTCAGGTTACCACGATCGAGGCATTACCATCCAAACTAGCAGAACCGCACGTCTCTCCAATAGTATGAAGTCATCCAGGCAGTCCTCGGATGACGGTGGTCGCAACACGGTGCGCCGTTCCGATCGTCCCTGCTGCTCACTCCCTAACGGTGCAGGCAGGCTGCAGCTAAGGCAGTCCTCGCTGCTTTTGCAGCGGAGTACCTCCGCATCCCTTCACGATGTGGTCGCATTTGAGCTAACCGCTCTCCACAACCGGAAGATAGCGTAAGGCGCTGACACCCATCGAGGTGACAAAAAGCCCGTGTGCTGCAGGTAGGTATCGCGTCTGGCGACACTAACAAAAACATCTCCAAGGGCTCCGGAACGTCGTGCCTGAGATGGTTGATGGCACGGACTGCAGCGTTTACCCTACGCAATTCCGCTCCGCTTCCCATGCCGGCTGAACTCAAGTGGTTCGATAGGAAAGTTTGTCATGTAAGTCATGCAGCGCAGGGCGAGGGCTGACGCCAGCTCGTATTGCCTCCAACAGCCGGGAAGGGTCGTGGAGAAGGTGGAGTGCAAGATGTTGGATCTTCAGGCGCTGTAAGATCAGCCTTGTGCGACCTTGCTGCGGTTGGTCTTTCGGCGGCTGTTTGTAGGAAGGAAATGCCGTGGCGGCGGTGGGACTAAAGCGAGTCAGCAGTGCTTTCCTACTTGGGAACGGACTTGATCGTTTCAGGAAGGCATTGGTGGAATAAGAAGGCACGTGGGTCACGTGTAAGCGTATGCGCTGCTCCATCGCAAAAAGAACTGCGCCTCTAGCCTCAATCTTCACATGCCAACAGGGTCAACGCCGCAGTTGAGGTTCGTGACTCAAGTCTCAGTGAAGAAGATGTTGGTTATCCACCTCGATAGCAGCGAACGTCAGAAAACGCGGGAACAGGCATCATCCCTCGCTCGTTAGCCTCAGAAATGCTACCGAGGCTGTCCAAATGCTTCACCCTCACCTTGCGCAAGGTTGGGCGGCCCAGAATGTATGACGATGCAGAACAAGGCAGGTTGGAGCGAGAGGACGGGAGAGGTGGGTAAGGCGGCGGAGAAGAGACGGGAAGGAATCGCCCATCCCATCCCATCCCATCCATCCACATCGCACGAGCACACACCCGCATGATCTTGCTCCACACCTCCTTCTGTAAACGTTCTCTTGCAACCACCAACGGCTCAAAAGCAAAGTCTTAGCACATGCGATAGACATCGTCATGCGAAGTTGGTTTTGGCTCTGGGCTACCCTTTCCTCTCTGGCTGAAGGATGCCGAGGCGGCGTTCTTAGTGCCCGAGCATGTCTTACATACTGATCATGCTGCCTACTTGGCTCCAGCGACGGACAACCGAAAGCCCGAAACCGTCAGTCCCCAACACGAACGCGAAAGTATATTTTGAAACAGTGCTGAGCGGGCTGGCTCGCGCCGTTGATCGTGTTGGGTGAGCTCGGTCGACATGCGAGTCGTGGCTGTTGGCGCTTCTAGGGTGGCATTGTGGCAGGGCCTCGCATAAGTACCCAGGTGTGGGATCCAACAACAACGAGAGGTGGGAATTTCGAATCCGCTAGTGATCGGCCTCACAGTCGAGCACAGGAATCCGGTCGCCGGGATCGCTTTGCTACGGTAGTCTGCTTGGTTATCGGCTTCGCCGTACAAAGAATGCACAGCACGTGGTGGAGATTGCGCGATGCTGAGGCTCCGCTCCATAAGTTACGTCAAGATTCTCGGGATGAGGCAGCTCTCGGCGCTTTGCCAACCAACGCCTACCCACATCGTTCCACCTTCCATTGATCAACACCAGCTCGTCGACGCAATTCTCGTACGGTCCTGGCATGATGAGGGATGTACCAAGTGTTGAGGAGTCCTAGCCCTGAAGAAAACCTCCGAATCCTGCAGCGACGGTAAGCTATAATCTCGGTACTCGACATGGAGGGGTAGTACGAGAGCCTGGACTCCGGCACATGGAGAAACTCGTCTGTTTTGCGTTTCTGATAGAGATTTTGTCATGCGCACCGTCGTAATACTGTTGTACAAATGTAGGTGCCGAAGTTTCAAATCTGCAATCCAACGACGCGGTGTCTCCAGCCAAAACCTGGGCCCCGGGCGCAGCTAGCACAACATGAGGCTGCATATGTCATTGCGGCTGTTACTTGGTACCGCCGCGCTGCCGCTGTGCTACCGTCGACTGTCTGTGAGTCAGCTGGAATGGTTCAGAGATGGTGGCTATGACGTAAAATGTCTTTTGACGAAAGTACAAATCGCACTTGGTGCTTTCGGTTTGATCGTACCACCGACATGCAGCCGTGTACTGCGAATACGGATTATCAACAACGACTCATGAGGAACAAAGTGTCAACCACGAGGCAAAGCGTACATGGGCACCCATAGCCTGAAGCTATGCATAGCATCGTTGGGTGTAGGGTTGGACAGTTGGACAGTAAGGCCCTGTGTATCAACCACGAGGAAAAGTGTACAGGGGCATCCCATAGCTTGGAGCTATGCCGAGTACCAACAGGTGTTGGAATCGACGACAAGGCCTCGTGTATAGCTTCATGGTATGGGATAGGCCGCCTGCTGTTGTCACCCGGTCTCTCCCTGTTGTAACTGAGAACATGTGGTATGTCGCCGCTATAAGCACACGGATGCAGGGTGCGGCTCAGATATAGACGTAGAACAGGTCGCTACTTAGGCTGGCGCTGGTGTGAAGGTCAAGATGACCCACCAGCTAAGTGCCCATCTGCGTGCAGTCCTGCCAATGCACAATCCTAGAGTATGCTGCTGAGGTATGTCCAACGTCTGATTCGGCAAAAAGGTATATCGAACGTCTTCTGGAAGCTGTGCCGACGTTGATCTAGTAGTTCCGATCATATCTCAGTGTGGTTCAGGCTAACGTTAAACTTTCCGATCATGGCTTCCACGCTAAGTCGATCTTGATAGGCACTACTTTTGGAGATCGCAGAAGCTAGACATGCTCTCCACGACAAAGTAGTCTACATAGTTCAACGGTTATCTCTCATCCGTCTGGTCATGCAAGCAAGCCCCTTGCCATTGTCCAACTCGTACTATTTGACACAGCGTTGTAAGCGAGCCCCTCAGGTAGCAATGCATCGCCTGGATCTGGACGACGCCATCAGAAAGTGAGGCTGGGAGTACGAAGGTTGTCGACTCATCACATCGCACTAGAGTCGAGATGCTGGAACCTGTGGTTGCGTCAAGCGATGTCTATCGATAAGAGCTGGTACACTTGGGGTAGTGCCCATCACTTCTAACTTTGGAACAATAGCAGAGTCACATGTCCCGGACTTAAGCGGCCCAGAGCTTTCACATGTCCGTCATTGTGCATATGCGCGCATGAGAATTTCAACACAGCGGCAACTTTTTTTCCTTGCTCAAGGCGGGGTAGGTAGATGCGCAAGCCATCCTGCTGTGCAGTGCTGTGCAGTGAAGGCCATTACCACCGGCACGTATGGCCAACGAAGGCATGTCCCTGTGCTTCACGAGGTCTCTGAGCAGTGTTACCGGTCGCAACGCGCCGTTGCGGAAAGCGAGTGGTGGCAACAGGACAGCGGGGTATAATCTATTGATTATTGCCTATCTCCAGAGCAGACTGCATCGCATGCACCTTCAGAGACGCCTGGAACGCGTGGAGCAAACATTGGTGTGAGAAGTCTGTGAAGCTCTTCATATTGTTTGCTACCCGCACTGCGGTGGCGATGAGATTGTTCCGTTCCACAAACAGTCTCATCCGATCCTCGTCGGGGCCACGTCGATGGCCCGGGGCGCAGCAGTGAGTCCATCATGCTGATGTGATGACTGCACCTGGACTCGTTTTGGTGAGTAGCGTGGCTTGCGCCTGCCTGAGCCGAAGGATCTGGGACGCACCTCCCTCTTGTGACTCCAGCCATCAACAGAGCCAGCGCGGACTCACCGGTGCACACAAAGGCGTGGAGCAGACAGTGCGTGCGAACAGCGCACAGTCAAACCAATGCGCGGCGCGTGAATGATTCAGTGTTGAGGGAGGGACGGAGTCAACCTTGGGCTCCTAATAGCTGGAGCACTTAGGTCCTTGATGCGGCTTAGCTGATTTTACTCGCCTCACAACATCACCAACGATTTTTCTCCCTTCTCCCAACACCCATCGTTGAGATTTATCAACACGACACATAGCAGCGGGCTCAGTGATTTTCACAGGAGCCGCTTGCCTTTTTCACAGACCCGTCTGTTGAAATTCTCCCCGGAGCACCTGTCACGACATATTTCACTCTCTGCAGTGAAAGCGCTCGGACAGCCTCCCGTCGCCCTATTTCCCAGGAGCCGACCACCCGTCCCTTTCTTTTCGCACCCCTCACCCACCGTGAGCCTGCACCGAGTCGCGCCTCCAGCGAACTCTTAATACGCAGTTACTGCTCTCTTTGCGCCGATCCGAGATCAGCGACGTCACCAGCGCATACTCAGCGGACGCGCAAGCCACCGCACCCGCACCTCGCGACCACGCCTTCCGACCACTCTCTCTCCAAACCCGCCACCCCAGGTTTCTAATGAGTGCATCCACCTCGAACGCGCAAAACCCCGTCATCGCCGCTTCCTCGACCGCTACGCCCGCGAACAGCTCCTCTGCAGGATCGTCCGCCAACGTGGCCGCTGGATCGGCTCAGCCCACTGCCCGCAGCTCTTACGCCAACGCGACTCAGAAGAACTCTTCTCCGACGATCGCGTCTAGCGGAGCGCCGCCCGTGGCAGTGGGAGGCCCGCAGACCGCGCAGCATGGGAAGAGCTCCTCTGTGTCTCCGGTGAACGGCGGCTCCATCAAGCCAGCCATTCCCACCATGCCTGCTATTGTCAGCGGAGGCCCCAATGGCAACGGCGACCACAGCCGCAAGCCCTCTGTACAGATGAAGCAGACCCCGCCCACCACCGCAGGTGGCCCGCCCTCGGGCATCAAGTTTGGGTCGCTTGCTGGCTCACCAGCGCCTGCGCACGCTCAGCCCGCAGTGCAGGGCAGCCTCAATATCCAGGCTCAGAACCCGCGTGTCGCTTCACCAGCGCACTCGCCTTCGCCAATCCCGACACCCATCTCCGGCGGCCCCAAACCCGACGGTCTGCCTACGCGACCAAACCTGGTGTTCGGCGGCCAGGGCAGTGAGAGCAACGACGCTAACGTAAGTCACTCTACCATGGTTCACGATTTTAGTGAATTCTTTCTAACTGCTGTATCCAGGCCCGCATGAACATGCCCTCGCAGCCCAACTCCGTCCCCCAAGCTCAACACCTGCGCCGCGAATCTTCCCAGTCCGCGCACAGCGATATGAGCAACGCAAACATGAGCCGTAATTACTCCAACGGACGAGGCCGTGGCTACCCCCAGCACCCTCAATACCCCAACATGGCAAACCAGTCCCCACAGCCGTTCCGTCCAGTCCCGCACCAGCATATGGGCCGTGGTGGTGGTCCCATGCCCCCAGCTTTCCAGCCACAAGGCATGCAACAAGGCTCCCCTTTCCGTCAGAACCGCAGCCCCGCCATTGCTCCCGCTACCATGCACCAGCAAGCTCATCTTGCAAACCCGCAGGGCATGCCCTATTACCAAGGCCAGCCCTACGCACAGCCGGTTCGTATTCCCCCTACTTTCTCTCATCCTTCTTCAATATCCGAGTACCGCAAGGCTTGCAAGTATACAGCAGCGCCTCGAGATTTTTCGCATCGTGTCACGCCCAAGTTAAGTAATTCGGTACTCCCAGAGGAGCCTGAACCGCCGGTTCCTCTCGAGACGCCGAATGCTCTTTCTGTTAAACGCGACTCTTTTATCTCTTCTTCAGCTAGCAAACCAGAACTATATCTAACAACTCAGCCACAACAGGGCATGTATGGTATGCCACCCCAAGGACTCGATCCGTACAATGGCTACTACGGTCAGACGTATGGACTGCAGCAGTTCCATTCACTACCCTGGCCACCCTGTGCCTGCCAGCCCTGGACGTACCCATGGATTCCCTCAACAGATGCCGACTCCTTATGGTGTCCCTGGCCCATACGGTCAGCCGCCCCAGGCTCAAGGCATGTCTCGTACCCCCTCGAACATGTCTGAGCGCCCTTCATCTGCCGTTCCTCAGCCGTCCACCCCTGCGATGACCAACGTCAATCACATCTCACACACCCACACGCCTAGCGTGACTGCTGCAAGCCCGGCGCCAAGCTCTACGTTTGAGCGCCCCAAGAAGCAAAGCAAGGCCATCGTGATTAAGACTGCCGATGGAGAGGTCGTGGACTTTAAAAAGCCCAAGGGTGCCTCCCCTGCACCTACTGCTGCTCTCGCTCCTCCCGCGCAGCCCCGCTCGCCTGCGATTGCTGCTACGCCTACTCCACCTCCACCATCTTCCAGCTCAGGAGATGCTGCCAAGACTGCCGAAGAGAAGAAGGCAGATTTCGTCAAGCAGTTCCAGGAGAAGATTCGCAAGCAAGAAGAGGCAGAGAAACAGGCGAAGGAGACCTCTGATGCGAGCGTCAAGGCCGATGCTGATGCCAAACAGAAGGCAGAAGAAGAGGCAAAGGCAAAAGCAGAACAAGAGTCCAAGCAGAAGGAAGAGGCCGAAGCCGCCGATAAGGCCAAGGTCGACGAGGAAGAGAAGAAGCGTCTCGAAGATGAAGAGATGGAGCGGATGATCGCTGAGATGGAAGAAGAAGAGAAGAAGCGTGAGGCGGACGAGAAGCGTTACGCCGAAGAAAAGAAGAAGAAGGCCGAAGAGGAAAAGGCCAAGGCTGGAGACAGGGTCAAGGAGGAGGAGGAGCGCCTCCGTAAGCTTGAGCGTGAAGCCGAAGAGGCCGAGAAGGCTCGCGAAGCAGAGACACCAGAGCAGAAGGCCGAGCGTGAAGCCAAGAACAAGGCTCTCTTTGCTGGCCTTAAGAAGAACACTCAGTTCGGACCTGGTGCGAACGGAGAAGAAGTCAGCGATCGACTGCTGCTCCAGTAGAGGCCGCTGCTCCAGCCATCGCTCAAGCAAAGCCTGCCAACGCCAAGTCCAAGCCAGCTGCTCTCAAGCTCGAGACGAACAAGCCTGTCGAGCCCGCACAGCCTACTGCCGGTATGCAGTCTCTTAAGTCTGCACGGTTTCCTCCCAGGTCCGAAGCGAGCTGGGTCGCCCTACCCTGAAAGGTATTCAGTCACCCAAACCCTGCTCTCAATGGCTGGTAGCAGGGAACAAGGGCCCGGCAGTACGACAAGGACTTTTTGCTCCAGTTCCAGGAGGTGTTCAAAGAGAAGCCTTCTACAGACTGGGACATGAAGTTGAAAGAGACTGTTGGTGATGGCACTGACTCTGCCCGTCCGCAGTCTGCTCGTCCAGGATCCATGATGGGCAGTGGCCGCCAACCTTCCCGTGGCGGTGCGCCCGGCAATGTCATGGGCAACTTCCAAGGATTCTCTACCACCCGCACCCTTCCTCCTGGCACAACTTCGCAGCAACGCTTCGAACAGGCATCGTCAGGTCGCGGACCTATGACCAATCCTCTCGCTCATGTCGTTATGGGTGGTGGACGTGGTCAATTCCCCATGGGCTCACCCATGGTCCGCCAAGCTTCTTACACAAACATGTCCGGAGGTGGTCCCAACTCGCCTCGTGTTGGCAGTTCACGTGGTAAGGGAGGAAGCCGACGTGGCCCCAACAAGAACGAGCAGCAAGAAGCGAAGGCTATGCCTCTCACCGCCGGTCAGGCAGTCAAGGATCTCAACCGTTCCGAGACCGGATGGAAGCCTACCAGCCTTACATCTACGCAGCCTCAACAAACTTCTGGTCACATGGCTCCGGACATGGTGCAGCGTAAGGTCAAGGCCGCTCTCAACAAGATGACCCCAGAGAAATTCGACAAGATTTCCGATCAAATCCTCGAGATCGCCGCACAGTCCAAGGATGAGAGTGACGGTCGCACTCTTCGTCAAGTCATTCAACTCACTTTCGAGAAGGCTTGTGATGAGAGCCATTGGTCGTCGATGTATGCCAAGTTCTGCAGTCGCATGCTTGCAACCATGAGCACCGAAATCAAGGATGAGAATGTCCGCGATAAACATGGCAACCCTGTGGTCGGCGGTGCTTTGTTCCGAAAGTACCTCTTGAACCGTTGTCAAGAAGAGTTCGAGCGTGGTTGGGAAATCAACCTTCCCGATGCCCCAGAGGAAGGCAAGGAGATTACTATGCTTACAGATGAGTACTACATTGCTGCTGCCGCCAAGCGCAAGGGTCTTGGTCTTATCCAGTTCATCGGTGAGCTGTACAAGCTTGGTATGCTTACGCTCCGCATCATGCACGAGTGTGTCCTCAAACTCCTTGACTTCGAGGGACTCCCTGATGAGTCGGCCATCGAGAGTTTGGTCAAGTTGCTCAGGACTGTCGGCCAGACCATGGAGTCCGCCGAGGCTGGTCCTAAGATGATCAATATGTACTTTGAACGCATCGAGAAGGTCATGAACATGGAAGGCCTTCCTTCTCGTCTGCGCTTCATGTTGCTCGACACCATCGACATCCGCAAGTCTGGTTGGAAGTCCAAGGATATTCTCAAGGGCCCCAAGACCATTGCTGAGATTCATCAAGAGGCAATTGTTGCTCAGCAAGCTGCCGAGATGGAGCGCAACCGGTCGAACCAGCGTGGTGGCGGTGGTCGCCTGCCCATGGGCCGCGGCGACGCCCGCTCGTTCTCTGGCGGTGGTATGATGCCTCCACCAGACACCAACAGCCGCGTCCAAATGGACGATCTTCGCAAGCTGTCCAAGGGTGCATCTGGTCGCAACATGAACGCTGGAGCGGCCCTCGGCCCATCCATGCTGGGTAACCGGAGTGGTAGTGGCCGCCGTGGTCTTGGCCCTGGCATGATGGGTGGTCGTGATGATTCTCACAACTCATCACGAACTGGCACCCCACCGGTAAAGGAGAAAGAGCCTACCGCGCACGCGAATGCTTTCAGGTAAGCACTTTATTCAATACTTAATCCGATGTATGACTAACGAATTTTAGTGCACTGGCAGCCCTTGAACCAGAAGACGTTAGCTCTCCTCCCCCCGCCGCAGACGAGCCTGCGGCCGCAGCGGAGACTAAGGCCTCTGAGTGATTATTTTCCACTTCGTTCGAGCGCGTGTCGGTTTCATACCCATAGACAACACCGCACGCGGTAACCTAATCGCTTGTTTCGTTGCATAGATCGGGGGCTGTATCAGCGCGCATTGCATTGCATTTCGCGGGGTTTCTTTATTGCAACATTCAAGACGGGGTTCAAAAGTTCTTTGTTATCGAACGCGAGGCATCAAGAGGTGGACGGGCTGTTTGTTGCCGTCATCTTGGCATGCGCTCCAGGTCTCGACAACTGTTTGGGCTCATGACGGCGTTCCGGACTTGGCAGAGGATGATGGGTCACACCTAACGCTTCTCACGAAGCGTCACTGGTGATTTGTTGGGCCCTGGACTTTCCTCATTTCATTGACTCAGCGTTCTCTCTTTACGGTAGGGCCGGGGCGATAGGGTCTACCAGACTTCTTGGGGATAATGCGGAGTTTCAGCTCATGTCATCACCTCATAGTCAATTCGTTTCTTGAGTTAAAATCTTCAGGACCGGTGGTTTGGTGGTGTGGCTTAATGCCGAGATGGAGGCAAAAACAGCGTTGCTTCGGCATGTGCTTTCTGCATCTACACTCAGGAGGGCATTTAGAAGAGGAACGTGTGGTGCAAACACTTTGTGTGCATACTTCGATCTCGTTAGAATACACCAGTCACTTCAACTTTGTGTCATGCTGTCTTTTGTGTTCCGTGTGTGACTAGAATAGCGCCGCCTACCAGCAACGTCCCGTGCTCCAGCAATACCGCTGCATGTTCCCTGTCAATGATGTGATACCAACGTCAATCGGCGGGATCTCGCATGCTGCAGCAGCGCTGTGCGTGTCTCACAGGTGAGGGGTGGCTGACAGGGATAATGAGGCAAGCAGGAGCCACTACGTCATAAGGCAACACTATTTGTAGGACACTGTTGACTTACGTTCCTTCATACACTACACTCCAACAACTACAATAATTACCAGGCTCACACTCATAACGAAATCCACTCAATTCTCAATCGCAATGTCAGATCAAACCAACCAGCAGCAACAGCAGAAGGGTGCCTTTTTCCCTCCAAACCACTCTCAATCAGACACTCATCTAATATACAACCAGGCTTCTTCGGCACCGCAGCAAGCGGACTCGGTCCATTTTCCCTCTCCTCTCGCTCCCACATACCTTCCTAACATACCATAGGTAACGTCGCCGGCGCAGCAACAAACACCATCGGCAAAGGCGTCTCTGGCATCACCGACACCACAGGCAACGTTGTCGCTGGCGCGGGCAAGGGTCTGGGCGATGCGGTGACCGGTGTCACGCAGGGTTTGGGGGATACTACTAAGGGTGAGTGGGGTTTGGGGTGTGGGTGAGCATGGGGATCCGGGCTAATGAGTGTCGTAGCGGCGGGAAATATGGTTGGGGATACGACGAAGGCGGGTGGACAGACTGTGAGTGGAGGTAATCAGACGGGGGCGAAGCAGTAGATGGGCGACGACTGGATTGGTGTGCATGAGAGTTCTCAAAGAAATGAAATGAAATGGAATGAACACAACATGAACATGACAGATAGTAACACGACATGGAATTTGACGAGACTCGTGCAATTGCTTCTAGTGGATATAAATCCCCTCCTCCGTCTTGCTCGAAGTCTATCTCTGCGTCATGTTCTGAATACTCAAAACAAAAACACGGTATCGCTTGCTTCATACATGTCGAATCAGTTCTTTTCCAAAAGCATACATACTTCCATCCATGGCCTGTGGCACTCTGCACTCCATTCCAAAGACATCTCTTACGCTTCCATTGAGCAAAAAACCCCAATTGGCGCTGGTGATATGTTTGGACAATACGAAAATCCACTCACTCCGTACGAATGTGGTTGTTTTGCCACATTCAAAACTCGAAGAATGCCTACGCATGTCGTTGAGAAGACTGTGGCTTGGAACTAAAATCACGAGATCTTTAAGCATAGAGGCTTTTCAAGAATACGAACTGCGCATGTCTCATCCTGGCACTTGCGTTTGCGATCATGACGCACGAGCACTTCGAGATATATAAACACGCTCCGCACGTCGATGCTGGTATTTCTTTAATACATCGCATTGATCCAGTGAAAACAAAATCCTGGTATCTAAGTGTGATGAAAAAGTGCGACAAAGTTTCCCAAAACCATATTTGAGCCTTGATATGTCCGGGCTTTGATCTTTGCTCTTTGTCTTTCAAAAATCTGGAAAAGACTATCCATGTCTATGTTAACAACCGTCCTACGATGTGTGCTTGCAAAATCTCCGGTAATTCAAATTTCTCGAGAATCAACGAATATCTATGGCTCTGAGCCTTATAAAAACGAACCCACATCACCATGATGCCTGGAAGTCGAACTGGACTAGTAAATGAATACGTACCTGAGCCATGAATCTTTTGTCCAAGATGCAATGAAAACACTGAGACGCAAACGCTACATGCTATGTTCGTGAATTTGCAGGCGTTTGTCTCAAGACGCGATATAAAGCCCGCTCTCTTTTCTCTCATCTCTACCCAAAAAACATTCTGCTCTCCCGACAACCAAAATCTCTCATGCAATGGTCCATGTATTGTGCTGGCTGTCCAAAAACCAAGTTCAAATTGAGAAATCTGAGTAGTCGAGCTGCTGCTTTCTCACACAATCAAGAAAGTCGCGACCAGAAAACGAACTTCAAACCATGCATGTGAGCAGCACAGCGTACACATTGCGATATAAAAGACCAGTTCTTTTGACTCTATCTTTACATTGCACAACCATCTCTTTCGAAAATTAAAATCCTCGTGCGAAACTCATCATGCTGTGTTGGCTGTCCCAAAAAACCCATTCTGCGCCATGGATGTGAGCAGCGAGCTGCTGTTTACTTACACAAAAGAAAAGTCGTGACAAAAAAAGTCGGCAGATACACATGCATGCGTACAGCTCAAAGCGAGTTTGGCAAGTATAAATCTTGGCCGATCTACTGCTGTCTTACTCACTCTTGCCGGGCGCAGTCGTTGATGGTTCGATGAAGGTTGATCAATGATGATGAGCATCACCACCTCGAACTCAGGCGCCCAAGAGCTCTCAGCAAGTAATAATTCGCATCACCATCACCAAAAAGCAGCATCGAGAACGAATATTGGATGACTGGTCGTCATTCTTACTAACTTTACTTGTATATAAAAAGGTTGCTGGATACCATATGCCAGACTTGCAGACCCAAACGCCCAGAAATGCCATGTTCAATCAACGCCTAGTAAATGCTTCCAACCAAAAAAAAAAAAAAAACGCCGCGAAATGCCTTATGCAAGTATACCGCTGAACCAGCCAGCTTTCCTCATCCCTCATTCCTCATCCCTCATGACACCATTAACCTATCCAACGCTCTTTCCCCTCTTCCCCTTCCCACACTCGCGCTTACTCAGCGGCTCGTCAGGAAATACCCAGCCCCTCACGCGCTTTGCCTCGCGCTTCTCGCCCAGCTGCGGCTTCGGAATCCACGCATCTTTGTCAAGATGATTCTGGCGCGTCAGCGCCGCGGGACCACCGACGTCCATGCGCCACGTGCCCATGCCCTCGAACGGGTTCTCCTTGGCCAGCATGTGGAGATACCAGAGCGCGAGGGAGGCGGTGAGTTGGATGTCGCCGGTCTCTGGGTGGGGGCCCTGGGTAGCGAGGCTGATTGGCGCGGAGGTCTCGAGGTACCCGAAGATGGGCACGCCGGTCTGCGCGTTGACGGTGGTGGGGTCGATGGATGCGGCGTCAGACGGGCCGCCGCAGCGCACGCAGAGCAGCTCGATCTCGGTCATGATGAAGCCGTAGCGGCAGCCGTGCTCGCGCATGACGCGGTGGAGGTGCGCGAGGCCCTGGAGGTAGAGGACTTGCTTGGGGGGCGACTCGCTACGCATGCCGGTGTTCCAGTTGTCGTAGCACTTGACGAGGCCGACGACGCGGCTGCGGCCTTCGCCGAAGATGGTCTTCTCGTAGTCTGAGGGGTAGCTGGAGACGAACTCGGGCTGGGTGCGCATGCCGGGAACGGGCTTGACGGCGCGCATGACCATGTGGGTGTTGCCCTGGGCGACCTTGAGAGCGGCGTTGACCTTGTTGGCGTAGTAGTTTGTGCAGATATCCTGGAGCGCGGACTCGTTCTCTGGCTGCATGTTGGAGCGGCATGGCTGCGGGAGGTATGAGGGAGAAAGAGGGACCTCAAGAAGAGGAAGCACGGAAGGGATGGACTTGATGGTGGAGATGTTGAAGTCCTCCCAGCTGCGGAGGTTGCGAATGTCCCACCAGAAGTGGTTGTTGATGCCTCGTGGCGCGCTTGTGACACGGCGTACCAAAGCAGGAGTGGGGTTGGACGAGGAGAGATACTCAAGCAGAGATGAAGTTGGCGCGACAGGCTGGAAGCTATCAAAGCTTACATCTGTGAAGGAAGGGTACTGGACAGCTGGCGCGGGCTCGAACTCTGGGACAACAAAGTCTTGAGTACAAGTCGCGGTGTAGCTGGGAATCTCCTGGACCGTGGAGATTGTAGAGGGAAGCGAAGTGACGAGGCTGAGGTTTGATGATGGTGCGCCTGAAGCAGTCACGTAGCTGGGGAGGTTGCGGTAGGTGGGGAAGCCATAGCGGCTGATGACGTTCTCGTCGACACTGCTGGCAGAGCCAGAGCGCGCATGACGCGCGCGGTTGGCCGAGGCGGAGCGAGAGTGCGAGCCCATGTAAGACGAGGCTCGGCGACCTTCTTGAGGTGTGAAGACGATGGGCGAGTTCAGTGTGGAGAGGCTGAAGTCGTATGAGGAGACCGAGGCGGGGGAGGTCATGTTGCTGTGGACATTGTGGAGGTTGTGATTAAAGGGACTTGAGCCACGGCGGACCATCGAGGCCGGCCGCGAGTATGGGCTGTAAGCATAGTTCGCACTGGAGGTAGACGTCGTCCGGCGATGTCTGATGGGGCCCTGGGTAGGCTCTGCTACCTGGTCTTGCGTGCGGACCTTGGGCAAGAGAAGAGGGCCATGTTGCCTGATGGGCGACCGAGGCGGTGTGGGAACAGTGTGGCGGTCAGGTGACGAGCCCTGAGAGTAGTATGTGACATCTGAACCAACACTGCCCGGCATGTAGTAGGAAGAGTTGGTAGGCGGGGTTGTTTGACGGCTGTACATGATGAACGGGATAGAGCTACCAGACTGGAACGTGTGAGAATGCATCGCAATTCAGCTTGGTATGTCCAATGACTTACGCTGTGGAGAACGAGTATAGTGACGAGAAGATTATGGAATAGTGATTATACGGAGGCCCAGCTCCAAGTGTCTAAGACAAGATGCAAGTCGAACAGAACGAAAGAAAGAAACTCGTCTCAACCTGTGGGGCAGTGCTCACTGAAATGCTGGAAGCTGGATGATGGACTGGTGAATGCGGCACGGTGGCCGTTCTTATCCTCGATGCTCTGGGAGAACTGACGACCAGTGCTCATGGCGCGCTAAAACACCTGAAACACGATGCATCGAGGCCCGGGATGCTGGGCCTGCGGGCTTCTGGCGGTCTGGCGGTAGTATCACAGCAGAGTCGTTCTACAACATGGAGCCTCACAAGGCGCCTGAAACATAGCGCTGCTGGCGGGCGAGTACGTGGTCCGCTCGGCAGAACATGTCTGGTAAACGACTTGGAGCTATTCTTGCAGCCTCTTGCGCTCGATGCAGCATGGCTTCGTGGCTACACGTATGCTCACTGGCCATAGACGTCACGACGCGTCCCGATCGGGATGGCTTCAGCGAGGCGCTTGCAGATGGGGCGGTTGGGTAGCATGAAACCGGGATGGTCGGCGCCGCATTGCAACGCTTCTGCTGTACACAGTCGACGGTGTAGAGGGCCTGGGGCGGCAGTTTGAGGTTGGCATTGACGACAGAGCGAATGAGTTGTCGTGGTGAAGGTTGTTTAGCGCCTGGCTAGCGTCCGTGCTGACGTCCCGCCTATAGTGGGGCGGACGGCCGTTGTTAAGAGTCATCGAAGCGGTGCGAGGGCTCGATTGGCCCACGACGTTCCAAAGTTTCGTTTTGGCGGAGTAGACGTGCATGTTCCCGCATCCGAGCATGCACGACGAGTGAGTCACAGAGGGCGACGACTTTCGACTTCACGACTATAACACGTTCAAATGTCGCTCACAACACGACGCGTGCAGAGCGCGTCGCTGGCGATGCGTTGTCCGGGTCTCTCGCCTCGCCCACCTCTTCGCACCCAACTCCCGCCGGCATAACCTGCACTCGCTATCCGAACCTCAGTTTGCGGCTTGCCAGGTGTCGTTCTCTCGCGTCCAACACCCCGTCGCGGCCCACTATTGGCTATCCTTACCTGCCAATCCAAGCGCCGACACAGACCAAACGTCGTACCCGCAAACGCCGTCGTGGGGAAGAGGCTGAGCCTCAATGCCATGTGTTAAGCGCCCATATCGCCCGACCCGGAAGTATTAGGTTTGATTGCAATGTCCCAAATATAGCCCAAAACGACCTCAAACCGGCTGCGAAAAGGCCGTTAATTGCTTGATGGGAGGAATTAGCTGCCAAACTGATCTGATCGCCTCGTGGAGCGCTCGCGAACACTTGAGCGTGGACATGGAGGTTTCGGAAGCTTCCATGTCATGCTCTGATCTACGCGCCCGTGGAATATCATCCGGCCACCTGGTCAGCGACATGAGCTTCGGGAGATGCCTTTCGCCCCCTTTGTCCTCCTCATGCCGTACGCGCCCAGAGTCTTTGCCCGTCAGCCGCATCGGACGCATGTCAAGGCCTCCCTTACACAAGACCCGCCATCGTCATTTCGGTTTGAAGAGCCTCAATGCCTTGCTTGACCGTACGCGCCCGGCAATCAGGTGCCGCAACTCATCGGACCTTTGTATGCGAAGATGCCGGTTTCTTGTGCTGTTGGGACACCGATTTTGAGGCCGGGTGTGTCACTCGTCAATGTAGCGTGATTTTCAACGACCATCTGGTTCAATAGGTCCCGATATGGAGCCGAACATGCTTGACTATCGTGTCTTGGACAGGTCAGCAATGTGCGTGTGACATTTGTGAAATCTGTAGCCATAACTCCTGATACGATGCCTACGACTCCACGAGATCGAGTATGTGATGTTTGCCTAAGCATATTGTAACTATACGCGAAACGGAATACAAGTAACATAGAATTGGAAGCTATAACGCACCTTTACTCCACATAATAAGTCATCTGTCTACCTCCACCCCCTCTTCCAACTCCCTCAACCCGACCAAAAGACCTTGGTCTACACAGCCTCCCCCATCCCCAACTCCCTCCCCACTCTCTCCCACCACTCTCCCCACTGAACTACTCTCTCCTCTCTCCTCGCCTCCTCCGCCGCAAAAACAACCATATGACTCCTCACCGCCTCTTCCAAATCACACCCCAGATACTCCCTCTGCGCCTGCCTCGCCCCCATGCCCTCTCTATGCACCGCATTCACCGCGCCCAAGAATTGCCTGACTAACCCGTCGTCCCCACCACCATGTCCGCCGCCCGCTAGATGCGGGGTGTGCGTGACCGTCTTGCCATCTGAGAAAGTATGCACGTCGATAATCGTGCTGTCGTATGAGATTTCGCCTTTCGTGCCATAGATGCGGCCGCGTCGCTCGCATTGTTTTTCGGTGAAGGCGACCATATGGAAGAGCGCGGTTTTGGCGCCTCTGCTGCCGATTCCGTCACTGGAAAGTGGATCGTCGGCCCAGGTAAGCGTCACGGTTTGATCGTCGACGACATCGTTGTCGGATTCGTAGACGCAGCGACCGAACCACGGGCGGGCTTGTACTTCCTCACGCAGGCGTGGAGGGGGTGTAGTCTTCCGCGAGTGCTTCAAGCAATTTCGACTCTGCGGCTTCTTTGCCCCGCGCCTTGAATATATCTTCGATCTCCGGGTTGACGATTTTGACGGGCCAGTTTGCATTGCCGCGGGCGAGGTGCTTGTCGATGTAGATTTTCTTAGCGCTGTATATGCAGTCTGATTCGTGGGGGCAGGAGAGGCAGTTTGTGGCGTTGGCTGCTTCTTTGGGCTTTCGTGCTCGGCGAAAGAACGTCCTGGAGCCGGTCGAAGTGATGTGGGATGGTAGGTGAGGGGACTGATCAGCTCTCTTTGAAGGCTGGCTGCAGAGCATCCACATTATGAAGTCGATATCGTGACATGACTTTGTGAGAAGGGATGGCGCGGTGGTTGATTCTTTGCGCCAATTGCCTCTGCTCTTGAGTCAGCCCTGTGTATCTTCGAGCCATCATGATCATCCTCGATAAATGAACTTACCTCACATAAGAGTGACTGAAATGCCACCACCCCACCGGCTCAACATGTTCCATACTCAACACATCCCCAATAACCTCCTTCTCCAGCACCAAATGTCTCAGCATCATATTATGCTGCGAATACCTCAACACATGACAAATCCCAAACACCGTCTCATTCTCATTCTCCCTCTCCGCATCTTTCAACGCCCTGTACATCCGCCCACAACTCTCCATTCTCGTGCCCAACGGCTTCTCCACACAGATACTCATGCCCAGCCCCGCGATCCCACATACAACCTCCTCATGCATCTCATCCAGCACACATACGAAAACCGCATCGATGATGATCGGCTCAAAGCCCCCAACGCCAGTCAGACCTTTGCCAGTCTTCAAGCTCTCCTGTCTGTCCTTCTCATACTTGACCCAATCTCGCCAGTCAGGAAAGCACTGGCCGAACTGAGGAACCCCGGTGTCGGACCAGATGAAGCGCGAGCCGAAGAGGTTGCGCTTGTACTCGTTGGGTTCGCAGACGCAAGCTATGATGGCGTTGGAAGACGAGAGCGCGGCTTCGGCGTACGAGGTGCCACGGCTGCCTGCGCCGATGATCAGGATACGTGGTGGAGTGGCGAAATGTTGATTTAGGGGTGCTTGGAGGAAGGCTGTGTCGTCTGACATGGTTTGGGATGGTGCAGTGGAAGCATTTGAAGTTATATTTTTCGTCATGTCGAGAGATCGTTATGATGGAGTTGTGATAGTTGGCTTGAGAAATGACGCAAGTTTACAATCAGATTTGAGTTTCTTGTGTCTGGTTCAAGATATAGCTCTTTCTCCGGTTGTCCTGATGGCTGGCTGAAAGCAATTTTAACTTTACCATATGCGTGCTCGTATTTGATGGTTGCTTGTGCGCTGAATGTTGACCGGTCAATTGAGGGGAAAGTCCAGTTAGATAGAAGTGTAGCATCGATATCTATGTGCACGTTGCATTGCAGACTAAGCTGTGGTCAAAAGAGGCAATCACGATGTGGGGTGCGTGCCTGAGGCAGGTGCTCGAGCCAATGAGATCATTGCTAATAAATCATGTGCTTTGGCTTCTATCAGCTCAACGCCCTGAAGCGAGGCCTGTCCGTCCGTCTGCAACATACTATTAGACAGTCTTGATGCGATACAGCATCTAAGGCTATTTGCTATGTGATGAAAATAATGTAACACTCCTGCGACTATACCAGAGCCGATCCTACGACCGGTCTAACTCGTAGAAGAGAAGATAGACCTCCTTCTGCCTACCAAGAATGTCACTCGTCTTGCTTTCCTTGACCTTGTCGTCGCTGATACCCCACCATTTGTTGCTTGGCCTTTTTGGACTTGCGCTTCAGCGGGTTGGCTTCAGCTATTGACGCAGCCTTTTCTGACGCCTTGTCTTTAAGTGATCGCAAGCTCTTCGTCCGCGACAAGTTCTCAGTATCAGAGGATGAGGGAGGAAGTTTCAGTGAATTCGTATCCGGCTCGCGTGGTGCGGATGTTGGCGCAGGGCCTCTTGACGTTGTCGCCATGGAGTCTTGTGAGGAGAATGACTTCACTGAAGGCGAGTCTAGAGCTGGGGTGGAGGGGACAGGAGATGCGCGCCCATTTGTACCGGGCAAGTTAATGCTTGATATGCGTGGACTCTGTACTGCGGAGGGCGCTGCCGAAGGTCGTGCAGACGGGTATGGGCTTGCTTGCCGACTGTATGCGCCTTCTGTACCAAACGAGACTGGTGTCGAGAAGGGTAGAGGCTGCACTTGGCGTCGAAAAGCCTCATAGTGACCGCTGTTGTGGCTGCCCTTGTGTGTGACCGCACCGAGCAGTTTGTAGTTCTTTCGATGTAGTAAGCCACCTAGTGGGAGGGTTTCAGGGAATGACACCTTGGCCAGATTCTTCGTTGATGCGCTACCAATGGCATAGACTGATCGCGAGAGGTGGATGGCGAGGACCTTGGGAAATTGGGAGATGTACATGTGGCGCGATATTCTCCGCTTGGGCGATTGCTTGGAATCGGGGAGCTCGACGTCTTTTGGTGGGTTTTCTGGGTCTGTTTCCATGGCATGCCGTATTTTTACAATGTCCGACTGTATGCGCTCTCTGACCTCTACGTCTGTAGCTTGTGACAGCTCGTGGTCCTTGCTCCGCAAGGCATGTTCCAGGCGACATCGCTCGCACTTGAAGTCGTCAATGGATTCGACCTTCAGCATACCGTCGAAGCACGCGTTCAGCGACGTCGACGAGACTTGTGGGACGTTCAAGGTGAGGGTGACGAATGTGGAGACTGACGGCTTCGGCTTGAAGTGACATGTCTCGCACTCGATTTGCGACTCGATTTTGCCTTCGAAGGGAAAGCCGTCTTCGTCAACCGGCGGCTTATCCTCGTCTTCGTCGTCATCTTCCTCCTCCTCCTCGATCGTGTTGCTGTCCGAGGCTGCAGCGGGCGCGGTGCCAAACTGCTCGATGATTTTGCTTCGCTCGGACGCTGTGTCGCCGTTCGCGACGTTGATGCCGCGCTTCAGGGCCTGCCGCCTGGCCTTACTTCCGGCGTGGTATTCGTCGCATAGGCGCTCGGTGACGATCTGGAGAAATTCCTGCGCATCCTGCTGCTGGCGACTGATGCGGGTGCCGAATGCACGCTCGAGCGAGCGTATGAAGGGCTGCGGCGAGATGGTCTTCTTGTAGATGGGCCGCTCGTTCAGCGCATCGAGGACATCCTTCAGGCCATAGGTCAGCACGCCCTGCTGCAGGCCCTCCAGCTTTCCGGGCGTCACCGACGAGTTGTCCGTGTTCAGTCGTCCAGGGTCCACCTCGTACACTTCTGGCCCGTCGAGCTTCCGCCTGTGGGTTTCCCGTATGAGGTAGATGCGCAAGTCGGGTAATCCTGCCAGCGCCTGCAGCACCGAATTTATGAAGCAGTCGTTGGCGGCATTGCTGAGGCCGACGACGCTCTTCTTTTTCGTGCTTGAGCCGTCATCGTCGATGAAGAATGTCGGCCCAAAGACGTAGACCAGAGTGATGGCCGCAAGAGAGGCGCCCGCTGCATAGGTTGCGATTGTGAGGGGCTTCTCAGGCATTTTGCGGCGCTGTAGACTTCCGCTACGTCGGGATTGGACGGGCGGACGGGGGTTGTGCGATGCTTTGGGGCCGTTGTGGCAGGGCGGAACTGCCGGCGTGGGGCGAGAGACGCTGGTGCAGATGCAGATGCAGATGCAGCAACAGGGGAAAAGAGCACGGGGGAGCAAGTGCTTCTAGGGCGCCATTGTCAGACCGTCGCCCAGGTTCCGAGGCATCCCGCTGGGCAGTCATCTGCGTTTTGCTTGGGTATGAAGCTGTAGCGGGCGCCAGGATATGCCGCAGAGCCAACGGCGAGGCGCCAAGCGTGGCCCGGCGATTTGCTGTTTCACGTCCGCCGCCGCGCAGGGATTCGCAACCATCGCCATATTTGCGGGTAGACTCTGAACCACGAGCCTCTTTGCTGCAGCGAGACGTTGGAGCCGAGCGCCGAGCCATCCTTTTCAATGGCATCCGTCAGCAGGTCATCGCTGCTGCCACAGTGCACGTCATGCTTACGGCGGGTTGCGCAGCAAAACCTGGGCGGTTGGGGGTCGCAGCAAGCACGCAGCATTTCGAAGAAGGCAAAGGAGGAGGAGCGGAACATTGTTGTTAAGCTGCTGAAGGACGTGCCAAGATATGGACGCGCGGGTTCGTCTTCATTCAATCATTTCTTGGGCTATCAATTGACTTTGCCCAGGCTCATAAGTGACCGCTGAACCCTTCCTTGATGCGCAATCGATGAGTTCCCAGCCCGCGTCGCAAACTATGTGACCGCCGTACAGCTCAAGCAATTAAAAAAACAGGACCTCGAATTCGCAAGAGACTTCTCATACGGCGTGCGGGAAAATCTGGAGGAGGCAGAAGAGGACGAGGAGGTGGTGGCACATCAGCGCTATGTGCGGCCAATTGAGATTGACGTCCTGAGTGTGCGTGCTGATCCACCCTTCTACATGACGAAGACTGACAAGACCAGCCCGAGCGATCCATGGAACTCATCAACACCTTTGTCCCACCCACCATCGACTTCTTCCGCCAGCGCATCGAGCAGGACAGGGAAACGAGACAGCGACCCGGCGCGTCAGGCGCAGCTGATGTTCTGACTGCAGCCGCCATGGCGAGCAAACCAAAGGCACACGCCGATGCCATCTACGGCTCAGTCTCGACTGCAGACGTCGTCCAAACCATACGAGGAGCTCTGGCGCACAACGACGAAGCAGCTCGAGTGATACTCAACGAGAACGATATAACCTTCGTCTCGGGCCACGAGGAGGGTGATGCCTCGCGCGTGAAGCAGCTCGGCGTGTTCAAGATGGAGATACAATTACCGGGCGCAGCGGAGCCCCTTGTGAGAAACATTCGGGTCAGAGAGAAGGCATCCGAGGCATAACTCGGAGCCTGGAGGTTGCGGACATAGTCACGAGCTCATGTTAAGGAATCTAGAACCTCGGAAAGAGCCCCTGTATACATATCCGTGTAACAAAGCCATAGAATCACGAATCCAGCATAGCATCTTCATAAGCTTCGGGAGAAAGGCGCTACAGTCACGCGTTCGGAGTGCATCTTCACATGATCACATGATGTGATTGGCTGGGCCCTGTCCTACACATGGCGTTTGGAAGCTCGGTAAACGGAGGCACAAGCTGGTCACGATCTGCGGCGAGACTCGGACAGACAGGTCTGCTTCAAGAAAAAGACGTCTCATGGTATCCGCTTGCCGAGCGCGGGCCCGCAATGACTTCAGAGCGCGGCCGTGAATGCTTCGGCGCTTTTACATCATATCTTCACGCTTCATAACCCACGCTGTCCTCCCAACAGAAGCAAACAAGTGAGGCAATTGATACCGAGCAACATGTAAGTAAGACTTATTTTCTTTGCATGAGCTTGATGCGGCTTATCCGATATCGGTAAGAAGCAAAGCTGAGCATGCGCTTTGCGTGAGTGGATGCTGCTGCGTCACAGCACGTACGGAAACAGCGGGGTCACCCCACTAAATAGCTTGACATTACCTCTCAACGAATGCGTCGCAAAACTCTACAACCTCACTGTCTCTTCATAAACCTGCCATTCCACATCAATTGACTGTACAAATCGCAGAAACCACTCAACTTCTACCAAACACACATCATCAACAGATCATCATGGGTGCCAAGGACGTTCTCTCCCGCAAGTCAGGTGTATGTCAAACCAAACAACAGCTCTTCAGCTCGGGCTAATGAACATCAGGTCATCGTTGGCGATGATGTCCTCGCTCTCTTCAACGACGCAAAGAAGCAGGGTAAGAAACACATCAAGTACTATGTCAAGTACAATCTTAACATTCGTCTCCAGGCTACGCCATCCCCGCTGTGAACGTCACATCTTCCTCCACCGTCGTTGCGACTCTCGAGGCCGCTCGCGATGCCAAGTCGCCCATCATCCTCCAGACTTCCCAGGGAGGCGCCGCCTACTTCGCCGGAAAGGGCGTCGACAACAAGAACCAGGAGGCGTCCGTCGCTGGCGCTGTTGCAGCTGCTCACTACATCCGCTCAATTGCGCCCATCTACGGCGTTCCCGTCGTTCTGCACACCGACCACTGCGCCAAGTGAGTTGCAACAATCTCATCAGGGTGAGAGCATTGATTGACAATATCAGGAAATTGCTGCCATGGTTGGACGGCATGATGGATGCCGACGAGGCCTACTTCAAGGAGCACGGCGAGCCCCTCTTCGTAAGTCGCACTAGAAGAATTACAAACTCGTCTTGAAGCGCTTTTGCTAACGTCTGAATAACAGTCTTCCCACATGATCGACCTCAGTGAGGAGGAGAAGGACTGGAGTGAGTAACAACATCATCTATTCTTCTGCTCATGCTGACCATCATCAAGACATTGCCACCACCAAGAAGTACCTCGAGCGTGCTGCTCCTATGAGTTCGTATCCCTGAAAACACCTTATCAGCACAGAATGCTAACAATTTGCAGAGCAGTGGTTGGAGATGGAGATCGGTATCACTGGTGGTGAGGAGGATGGTGTCAACAACGAGGAGGTTGACAACAACTCCCTTTACACCCAGCCCGAAGACATCTACGACATCTACAAGGCTCTCTCTGCAGTTTCGCCATACTTCAGTGAGTTCAATGAAAGAGGCTCTCTTTGAAGCATGCTAACAAATATTTCAGGCATTGCTGCCGGCTTCGGTAACGTGCACGGTGTCTACAAGCCTGGAAACGTCAAGCTCCGCCCCGAGCTGCTCCAGAAGCACCAGAAGTACGTTCAGGAGAAGGAGGGTCTCAAGGAGTCCAAGCCTGTCCACCTTGTTTTCCACGGCGGTTCCGGATCCAGCGTCGACGACTTCCGCGAGGCCATCTCATACGGTGTGGTCAAGGTCAACCTCGACACCGACATGCAGTGGGCTTACCTCAGCGGTGTCCGTGACTTTGTCCAGAACAAGAAGGACTACCTCCAGACCCAGGTCGGTAACCCCGAGGGCGACGACAAGCCCAACAAGAAGTACTACGACCCCCGTGTCTGGGTACGTGAGGGAGAGAAGACCATGTCCCAGAGGGTCAAGGTCGGTCTTGAGGACTTCCTTGCCGCTGGAAAGTTGTAGATGTACAAGTCGAAATGCAACGTTAGCGGGGCATGGCGTTTGCGGAGTAGTACGATAGAGGAGGTGACGCATTAATGCACAGGCGCGAGTGTCAGAATATGAACTCTGTGTAACGAGGATGATAAGAATGTATGCCTACAAAGGAACATTTAATTCTGAAATGAAGAATATGCCTAAAATAAACAATATCCACATCGTGAGGCCTGCTACTTGGTTTCTACATGTAAAAAATCAAACTAATCTGCAAAGGTACTTTTTGACCTAAGGGCCTGATCACCTGTCATGCGCCAGACCTTGGAAAGGCCCAGAAGGTGACGACATAGCCATGAAATGCCATGACTTGTTCTTCGACAGCCAACGGCATATCTCGTCGCCGAAAGGGTGTATGACGAATCGAGCCTAGCTCAGCCCTATAGAGCTCCTATGCCACGGTGACATCATATGTATGCTGTGCTGCTCTTTCCAATTTCATGATTTGCGCAGGCATGTGAGCAACTTGACATAGCGCCACATATAAACAGATAACGTCACTTATATACTGTGCCCAATCCTCTCCTACATTTCTCCATCATATCTCAAACGACCTCACCTTCAACAATTTATTCGTATTCCACAATCTCTACACCCACAACACCACAACACACATCACAATGACAGGTGGACTCGGAGATTCAATCCGTAAGGGCGTCGGTATGATCCACGGCACTGGCGAAGCCATCCGCGGAAACATCAACGCCGCCGTCGACCAAGCAGCTGGCGACAAGGCCTCCGCAACTAAAAACCAAGAGATCGCCCAGAAAGGCGTCGATGAATGGGACCGCGGATATCGTGGCCACGGTAAGCTCTAAGCCCTCCATATATGTCAGAATATAGCTAACTGTACAATCACAGCCCTGGGAACACAGCCCGCGCACGGCGTAGGCCACAACGCTCCCTCCGGCGCAGCAGCCGAGTACCAAAACACCACATCTTCATCATCGAACTACGGCCCGCACTCCACCAACGCGGGCAATAAGCTCGATCCCCGCTTCGATTCAGATATGGACCACCGCGGCACGGCGACTAGTTCAACGAATGTTGGCCCGCACTCGACTAATGTTGGCAACAAGGTGGATCCGAGATTTGATAGTGATATGGACCATCGCGCCAACCCTGGTAGTGTGGCTGGACCGGGAAATGCTGGACACCATACCAGCAACTTTGCGAATAAGCTAGATCCGAGGGTAGATAGTGATATGAATCATCGCGCGAATCCCGCGAGCAGTGTGGGGATTCAGGGCGCCGGGGCTGGGGGTGTGGGGGGCGTTGGAAGTACGAATGCGGGACCGCATGCGAGTAACGTGGGGAATAAGCTTGATCCGAGGGTCGATTCGGATTTGGATGGGAGGTAGATGATATTTACTGCGATGATATGATACGACTAGAATGAATATACCCTTTTCTACATTCACTTATCATTCCTGCAATCGAGTGTGCTCCCCCAATGCCCCTCAGAGTGAAGCAAGCAATATCAATTCTAAGATCCCAATTCTAGCCATCCTCTGTCTATAGCCCTTCTGTATCCATCCACATCCTCACACATCAGCACCCCCATATCTTGACGTCGTATGCACCAATCTCCCCCTCACCCAAACTGCCACAGTATTCCTATCATCCCCTGAGTACACCCACTTCTCTATCTTGTCTCCAGTCTTTTCCCACCCGAAAACATCAACCTGACCCTCTACCACCTCTCCCTCCTGCACCTCCCCAAGCACAACCATCTGCGCATCCCACTCCATGCCCACCTCAAACCCTCCGACCTTATCTTCCAACCCAACGACTTTCGCGCCGCCGCGCGTGGCTAGATACAGCGCTTCCTCGGTGGCCAACTTGTCCGATTCCTGCGAGGTTTGCAGCGACAAGTGGCGCGAGACCCAAATCGCCTGCCTTACATTTTCCAAGATGGAGGGGGAAAACCCTCCAGACACATCTGTCCCGAGACCGAGCGTATGCCCTTCATCAAGCAGCTCACGAACAGGACACAGCCCGGACGTAATCGCCGTATTACTCGCGGGACAATGACTAATCGTACTCCCCCTGCTTCGAATCGTCCTGCGCTCTTCCTCCGACAAATGCACCGCGTGCGCGAGGATCGTCTTCGGCGTAAGCAATCCATGCGTATCGTACACGTCCGTGTAACTCGTGCTCTGGGGGAACATCTCCTTCACCAGCGCGATCTCGCCTACGTTCTCGGAGATGTGGGTTTGCACGAAACTCGCCGTCTCGCGCGCCACGTCTGCAATCGCACGCAGACACTCGGACGTGCAGGAGGGTGCGAAGCGCGGGGTTAGGATCGGCCGCACTATCTCGCCTGCTGAGTCGATGGAGCGGATGTACGAGATACATGCGGAACTATCTGCCACGCTGCTCTCGACGCTGGCGTCGCGGTAGTACGAGGGGCTTAGGTCGCTGTCCATGCATACGCGGCCGACGAGCGCGCGCTGGCCGCGCTTCAGACAAATGTCCGCGAGCAGGTTGGTTGCGGGGACGTGGATGGTGGCGTAGTACGCGGCGGTCGTCGTTCCGTGGGACAGCGTGCGGGAGACGAAGTTTGAGTAGATCTTCCTTGCCCGGTCCAAGTCCGTGAAACTGGCTTCCATGGGGAAAGTGTACGTCTGCAGCCAGTCAAGCAATGTCGTCTTGCCGAATAGGCCTGTGTTTGGGTGTTGCGGGGCGTGCGTGTGCGTGTCGATGAAGCCGGGGAAGAAGAAGCTGTTCTTGTACTTGGGTATGATGGTTTTGGCATTTTTCCATTCGGGCTTCTGGCTCTTGATATCTTGGACATTGGCGATGTCTTTTTCTATGAAGGAGATGATGCCGTTTTCGTCGACGCCGATGGCTGCATGTTCGTATATGTCGAGTTCGGTCAGGGATTTGCTGTGCACGAAGGTGCCGAGGTAGATTGTTTTCTGGATGGGGGCTGAAGCTGCCATGTTGGACGAGGTCTTGTACCACTATCGTTTCCTTCTCTTGTGATTATGCGATGTAGTTCCTTAGCCACTGCGAAGACGTGATCCGGCCTTGCTGGTAGATAGGGTCTAGATATGAGCGTTAGACAAGCGCTGCGGAGACTTAGCAATTATCTACGGAAGCCTTCTTTCCTATAGCAATTTTTTACAGAAGCAATCCCAAAAACACAAACAAGTCTCCAACAACCATGGGGCACAGTACACGTTTTATCAATGCTCCAAGCCGTTCGACCCGTCGCGGCTAGCGTCTCGCTAAGAGTGGAAAGTGCCTGGCACGTGGAGCGGACCGAGTCTGTCGGCGGCCTCCGATGTCTTACTATCAGCAGAAGCAAAAGTCAAGTCTGAGACAGGTGGTCGGCGAAGACAGACAGAATGTATCAAAGAATCTGATTCGAATTTCGCCGCTATCCTATCTGGCCAAGAGACACCCAAAGCCTCTGCTGAAAGCTCGCTTTTTCCTCGCCAGGTGCGCCATGCCGCGAAAGGGATATCCTAAAGTTACGCAAAACTCCGCATCTAGGTATACAAGTTCGTTTCCTAATGTCCTGCCTAGTGATCACTGTCCACATTGAATAAAAACGGCCAAACACTGCTCATAAGCTGTAATCATGGATTGCTTGCGGACCCTGGTCGTTGTAATCGGGACGGGTCATGTAGCCTTTGCTTTGACCTTGATCCACAACGAAAATCACTTTTGCTGCGACTTGTGCGCCGAGAAAAGCTGATTCTTCGAATCCAACGTCTTTCCACTCTGGAAAGTACTCCGGAGGCTTGACGGTCTTAATGTTAGTAGGTGTCTGACCATGAGCTGAGTGTGTATTTTGTGACATGCCCATGAGCGGGTTAACCCCATGTGGAGTGAGATGCTGATTCTGTCCTGCTGTGGCGGCAAACAGCAACGGGTTGACTTGAGAGCCACCGTGCGGTCCTAGCTGGGGTTGTGGTGTGTTTGTGCCTGTACCGGTAGGTGTAGAGATGTTGGATGGTATCTCAGAAGTAAACATGGTTGCTGAAGAGGGTGAGATCAGGTACTTCTGCTGAAGGGTCTGAACCAAGTTTTCTTTGAAGCCTGTTAGGATGTTAGCATATGCTCAGCAGCATGTATGCAAAAACAACTTACCTCGTAACCGCGATCCGTTACCGCAAATGATGAGATTATCCCAAAGATCACTGCGCTTCTGTACTTCGTCTACAGACGATATAGCACGATGTACAGCTGCCGCGATTTTGTCTACTGTGCCGTCACTGTCGGCCTGGAATCGCTCGCTACCGACCTCGATCTCGCGTCTGATGGAGCCAGCCCTTGAACCGCCTTCGCCAGTACCATTTGCATCGGTTGCTGAGCGGTGTTCACTATTGTCATTGTGCTCCTGGGCTTGTTTGCCGGTGATTTCGTTCAGAGCGGACCTGGCATCAGCCAATCCTTGGGTACCGAGTTCCATGTTCTTCAAGGTGTCCAGGAGAGCATGGTCTTCAAAGAGGAAGGTTGCTTTCTCGCGCTTGGAGTTGGGCAAGCGTACCTGCCTGTTGGCCGTATCTGGTGCTGGGGCACCCTTCTTCTTCGCCAGTGCTTTCTCCTGCTTTTCTTTTTCCTTCTTCGCAAGGTACTCGGTCATCTTGCCGCCTGCTACGATGCTTGCTACGTCAAGTACGCCTTCATTCTCCTCGAGCCCTTCGTCCTCGCCGACCTCAGTATCAGGGCCTGGTCCTCGCGGTCCATTGCCGATAGTGGCAGCTCCTGCGGGCCCTGAACTTGTGGCACCTGTCGATGCAGCAGCAGCAGGGTTCGTCACAGTTTTATCGGCACCCGCGCCCGTACCGGGCAGCGGCATCCCGGGCGGGAGAATTTCGCAAATCTGCGACCTCTTCAGCTGCTCGCACATGTCCCGGTTGAAGCCTTTAGATTTCAGCCTGGCCAAGAGACCTGACGTAAATGCTTCTCCACCACATCCTGAAAGCGAGATAACCCTGCCCTGCGTCTGCGGAATGAACTCGCTGACGGCGGTCACGTCAGCCTTATTCTTGCCAACGTCTATTATGGTTGCGGTATGCACTCCATATGCCCACGTTGTCGCCAGTGCGGCATCCATGAGGCCGAATGCGGGGGTCTTGAATTTCTCGAAGAAGAATTGGGTGAGTTTCTCGTGCTCGCGCGGCGTCCAGGCAGGTTGTGCTATGAGCAGGATGGCGGTGTGGAAAGGCGGGTTCAGTGTGTTGTAGACGTGCGTGAGGAGCGCATAGAAGCAGGGCCAGTCGACGATTCTGCCGTCCTGTATGGGCCATATGGCTCCCTCTTCGGAAATGCGATCTTCCTCCCACAGGATCTCGTCGTCCTCTCCCTCTGTCACTGGCTTCGCATCTTCCTGTGCCTCGCCATTGGCTTCGCCGGCGGGCCGTGCGGCGTTCGCATTCTTGCGTCGAATCTTGTAAGGCTCAAACTCTCCCTCATTTTCTGCGGGGAACATGCGCGACCGGAAGCGCAGTTTGCCCGGGGTGAAGGACTCAGGCAGGCCGAGCTGCGCGACCGTCGTCTCTGAGCCCGGCGCAATGATCTGGCGGCGACATTAGCTCACGTGAAGCGCAGCGCGTAGTGCACGTGATCGCATACTATGATCTGGTCATCCTTGAAGGGCGGCATGGTTGCGCAATTGTGAAAGAGCTTCGAGCTTCGAGCTTCGAGCTTCGGCGCGTCTGCGATGGAGCTCTCAACGCGCGAAGCAGCAGGAGCTCATGCGGCTGACTAAGCACGGACCCACTCCCTCGTCCCGCAGACCTGTCACAAGCCAATGGCGCGCTCAACCTGTCCAGTGTGTCCAGTGTCCAGTGTGCCTGCAGCTTCCCCAAACGTGCTCGACCACACAGCACCATGGGCGACATTCCCCGTCGACACATCTGTGCGTACATTGGTGGGCCTGCAAACAGCTCCGCGTGACGTCTCAACATTGACCGAGCGTTCTTCCCCCATCACGACAACCCTACCAATCATGGCCGCCCCAGATGCCATGACATCGCTCGTGAAGAGCTCCGTTGCCCTCCTCTCGAGTGCACACGAGTCTCTGCCGACATCACTTGCCGCGATGAAGACAGCAGAGACTGCGCCATCGTCAACGTTTGGCATACTCGGCCGCGTGATACTCTCGATATTGAGCGTGCTTCCAACTCTGCTGTTCTGGGTGTCATATACACTGCCAACTTGGCTGTTTACGCTCTTCTCCATGAGCCTCACATTCACAATGAACTTTACCACCTTGTAAGACTATTCTGCTCACGTTTCCGTCTCTTCTGACAATGGCAGGATGCTGGTGCTTGTGTTCGTTGTCTCAACCATTAGTTACTTTGTCAGGTACCGTTACTTGACCATGTATGCAAGACTTCCGCCAGAGCCGCAACGTGAAGAACCCCAGGTTGAGGTGTTTCCGGAAAGCCAGGAGGGCGACTCGAAACGAGGCCTCTCCAACTACCTCGACGAGTTCCTGAGCGCCATCAAAGTATTTGGCTACTTGGAGCGCCCAGTATTCCACGAACTCACACGGACCATGCAGACTAGGCGTCTTGCCGCAGGCGAGACCATACTTCTTGAGGAAGAAAAGGGATTCTGCTTAGTAGTAGACGGACTTGTCCAGATCTTTGTCAAATCAAATCGAGAAGAGTCCGACTCTGATGAGGATGACGGCGAACTTCAAGGTGAATCGGGTGGCGGTAGTGCTCAGGCTCATCGACAAGGTTATCAATTACTTACAGAGGTCAAGAACGGTGCACCGATGTCTTCACTGTTCTCTATTCTCTCGTTATTCACTGAAGATGTGAAACTTCGCCATGACGAAGATAGTGGTCCCAGTTCGAGCACACCTATGTCGCCTCAGCATCGTCCGTCTATGACTAGGAACAGCAGTTTCAACATGGACGATTCCCGGCCAGAAACCCCGATCGAGGCCCAGGAGGCCACAATACGCCGCCGCAGAACATCAGCGCTTGCAAGTCCCACGGCCGGAGGGCGATTGTCAAATGTACCGCCTCTATCCCTGGACACCGACGGCTTCAACGATAATTTCAAACATTCCAAGCAGCGCAGATCGCCGTCGAGAAGTACAAAGCCCAAGTCAGCCCATCCAGATATCGTTGCTCGTGCAACTGTTGATACCACCATCGCAATCATTCCGGCAACTGCCTTTCGTCGGTTGACGCGCATCTATCCCAAAGCGACAGCGCACATTGTTCAGGTCATTCTGACGCGCTTGCAAAGAGTTACCTTGGCCACCAGCCATGCCTATCTCAGTCTGACGAATGAAGTCCTGCGTACTGAAAAGCTGATGAACAAGTACACTACCTACGATCTCCCTGGATTCTTGAGAGATGCTCCTCTGGAAAGGCTGAAGGAGAAGTTTACGAAAGAGACGGAACGTCTTGGGTCAGACGAAGGGATGAAGGGCATTGCCCTGCACAATCCAGGCGCTGGTCGTCGTCGAAGAACTAGCGTATCAATAAGAAGTAGCACCGCCGCCCAAGCCCGACTCGCAGCAGCACGTGGAACTTCTATCGGGTCTAACGTCGAAGCCATAAGCAGGTTGACTTCTCCAGAACAAGGAATGCGCAACGATCGAATTAGCGCTGGGGACCTGTTGACCAATACTCAAATGTCTCGCGGAACTGGCCGGTCTGGACGTAGTAGCTTCTCACAGCCTTACCAGCACGATGTTCGTCGAGATGCCCGCACACCTCTCGACGCTAGTGGCTTCAATCCCTTTGCTTCACCTTCTATGCGTCCTAATCTACACCGACAAGAGTCCATTGATGAAGCCACTGTTTTCCGAGAATCTGTACTTGGCTGCATGTTCAAAGCCATTGGACTGACTAGTCCAGAGAACCCCGTACCGAGACCGGCGGCATCCGTGGAGCAATCGCCGCGCCTAGTGTCCTTCGATGCAAAGCGACAGAAAGCTATCTTCACAAGCGCTTTTGGCTTCATGGACCCGTATGAGGCATCCAGGGATGGCGATGCTGATTCAGTAGCATCTGCATCTAATCTGTCTACACTGAGTGCGTCTGGTAACGGGAACCTGCTCGAAGAGGTGGTCAACGATGTTGAGATTGTGTTCTTTCCGAAAGATGCTGTACTTGTTGAGCAGGGTGAAAGAAACCCAGGCTTGTACTACGTGATCGACGGATTCTTAGACGTCAGCGTCGCTGTTGAAGAAGATAGTTCTGAGAGCAACGTGCTCGGAACCTTACCTACAGGCCCGGCCGTGACGGAGGACGACCTGTTTGGACCACCGCTGCAGCCCACGGCTACTAATACATCTTTGCGCAACGGCGAGAATTCCAAGAAAAAGCGATCCCGGAAGAGTTTGTTTATGACCAGACCTGGAGGTCTCGCCGGGTACCTTGGGACAGTCTCTTCGAACCGTTCGTTTGTTGACGTTACAGCCAAGACTGATGTTTACGTTGGCTTCTTGCCTAGAGCCTCCATCGAGAGGATCGTAGAGCGCTATCCAGTCGTTCTCTTGACAATGGCAAAGCGGCTTACTACTCTCCTTCCCCGTCTCATCCAACATATCGACTTCGCGCTGGAGTGGGTTCAAGTCAATGCTGGGCAGGTGATCTACAATCAAGGCGAGGAAAGCGACGCAATCTACATTGTGCTGAACGGTCGACTGAGGGCCATAAAGGATGCCGAAAACGGCAAGGTCACAGTCATTGGAGAGTATGGACAGGGCGATAGCGTTGGCGAACTCGAGGTCTTGACTGAAACCGCGCGGCCAGGGTCGCTGCATGCCATTCGCGACACTGAACTGGCGAAGTTCCCAAAGACCTTATTCAACAGCCTTGCACTCGAGCATCCCGGCATTACAATCAAGATATCAAAGATCATCGCCTCTCGTATGAGAGCTTTGGTTGATGATCCGCTGCATGAGCAGAGCAAAGAGAGGAGTAACAAAGCCACACGAACCAATGTATCGTCTACGGTCAATCTGCGCACAGTAGCAATACTTCCAGTAACTGCAGGCATACCGGTAGTCGATTTCGCCAGCCGACTGATGAATGCTCTGAACCAAATCGGTGTACCGCGAGGAGTGGTGTCCTTGAACCAGGCGGCGATCCTAAACCATCTCGGCCGACACGCTTTCAATCGGATGGGGAAGCTCAAGCTGTCTCAATATCTTGCCGATCTTGAAGAGAAATACGGCATGGTCTTGTATGTTGCGGACACACCTGTAAAGTCGCCATGGACACAGACCTGCATCAGCCAGGCTGATTGCATCCTTCTCGTTGGTCTTGCTGAGTCATCACCAAACATCGGCGAGTACGAACGCTTCCTGCTGACGACCAAGACGACTGCGCGAAAGGAACTAGTTCTGTTACATGCAGAACGATACTGTCCCTCTGGACTGACGCGGAAATGGCTGCGCAATTGGCCTTGGATCAACGGCAGTCACCATCACATGCAGATGTCTTTCCGTGCAACAGCTGAGCCAGTCCATCAAACAGGGCGAAGACTCGGAAACGCCATCAAGCAGCGGGTGCAAGTCATTCAGGCGGAGATTCAGAAGTACACATCCAAAAGAGTCAGGCAGACACCTTTGTACTCGGCAGATACGCCCTTCAAAGGTGACTTCCATCGGCTTGCTCGTAGGTTGTGTGGCAAGTCTGTGGGATTGGTGTTAGGAGGTGGAGGTGCTCGTGGTATCTCACAGATTGGTATCATCCGAGCACTTGAAGAAGCTGGCATACCCATCGACATTGTGGGAGGTACTTCTATCGGCAGTTTCATAGGTGCACTCTACGCCTGGGATGCAGACGTGGTTCCAATGTACGGCAGGGCCAAGAAGTTTTCCGGTCGTATGGGCAGCATGTGGAGGTTTGCTCTCGACCTTACGTATCCTTCGTAAGTGAACGATATTGTTTAGAATGACGGAGCTAACATGGCCAGTGCTTCATACACGACCGGCCATGAATTCAACAGAGGCATCTTCAAGACATTCGGCAACTCTCAGATTGAGGATTTCTGGCTCGAATTCTACTGCAACACGACGAACATTAGCAAGAGTAGATCAGAGATCCACACGAGTGGCTATGTCTGGCGATATGTCAGAGCTTCCATGTCGCTCGCAGGCCTGTTGCCACCGCTTTGCGACAATGGTAGCATGTTACTCGACGGAGGCTACATCGACAATCTCACGGTCGCGCACATGAAGAGTCTCGGTGCCGATGTCATCTTCGCGATCGATGTGGGCAGCCTCGACGAAGACACACCACAGGCTTTTGGTGATTCGCTATCTGGCTTCTGGGCCACGTTCAATCGCTGGAATCCCTTCTCCACACACGCCAATCCACCCACCCTGTCCGAGATCCAGTCGCGTCTCGCATACGTATCGAGCATCGACGCGCTAGAACGCGCGAAGAACACACCTGGCTGCAGGTACATGCGCCCTCCCATCGACCCGTACGGCACGCTCGACTTTGCCAAATTTGAAGAAATCTACGAAGTGGGCTACAAGTACGGGAAAGGATTCTTGGCACAGTTGCGCGAGCAAGGCGTGTTGCCCGTGACTGAGGAGACGGAGAAAGAAAAGAATCTCCGACGGACAATGGCGCCGCGACGGGCCAGCATTTGAGCGAGATGGCGCCGCACATGGTCGGTGTGCGGAGTCGGCGGCTGTGATGTGGTGGGTATCAGGTAATAAAATGCACTACTTGGGTGCTTAGTTTTGCCCAAAGGGTGGTAGAAACGCAGGCGGCTGCAAGGCAAGTCGGGTTGTGGTTAGCGGTGAGGCGCCGTTGGCTCGCTTGAGTGGCGGCAGGGGTCTTATCGGACGCGATGCCCTTGTCGCGAACAATTGTTAGGTATACGCGGATAGAAACGGGTTATCGCCGTGAGGAAAGATGGTTTCCGGATATGATTAGAGCTGTCAGTCTTGAAATTTGACCGTCTCTGACATGTCGTGAGCTCCCTCCTTTCTTTGTGCTACGATTCGTACCTCTGCATTCTTCAGCGCGGTCGCGAGATAGCACACGACGTCACACTGCGCAGTGGCGAGCTTCTTGAATTGTTGAGCACCCCGAGCAACAGTTCGCTGACCGGCCCCCGAATCCGATCCACGGAGGCATAAAAGCAAGTCTCGCGTCTTTCCCGCGCAGAGTTGCTTTCCATAGACCGCCAGGATGCGCACAGCTTGCTTGAGAGCAGCTTCCTCAGCGAGCAGGCTCGCCCGCTCCACATGCACAGCGCAGCTTTCGCGCCCACAGCTCGCCGGCAGCGCACCACGCGCAATTGCCTACACGAGCCAGAATTTCCTCCAGAGGCGGGCATTCCAGCAAAATGCTTCAAGTTCACAGCAGGCAGCTGCGGCTGCCGAAGCAGCAGAGGACCTATTCGACACTCCGCCTCAGCAGACCGAGACGGCGAAGCCAACCGAAGCGCTCGACACATTCCCGCGACGACACATCGGCCCCTCCGCAGCTTCCACCGAGGCAATGCTCAAGGCGCTGGACCCTCCAGTGAGGAGCTTAGATGAGTTTGTCAAGCAGGTCATTCCCGCCGACATTCTCAACTCGCGCGATCTCGAGGTCGGCAAGCTCACAAGCGAGCACCCCGAGGAGTGGCAGCTGAATGGTGTTCCTGAGTCTGTCTTCCTCAAGCGAGCCAAGAAGATCATGGATCAGAACAAGCCCGGCAAGAGCCTCATCGGACAAGGGTACTACAACACCAAAGTCCCCGAGGTGATCAAGAGGAATGTGCTGGAGAACCCGCAGTGGTACACCAGCTACACCCCATACCAGCCCGAGATCAGCCAAGGGCGTCTAGAGAGCTTGCTCAACTTCCAGACCATGGTCTCCGACTTGACCGGCCTGAGCATTTCCAACGCCTCACTCTTGGACGAGCCGACTGCTGCTGCTGAAGCCATGACTTTGAGCATGGGTATGATGCCCACCAGCAGGCAGAAGAGGCCGAACAAGACGTTTTTGGTGTCCGAGCGCTGCCACCCACAAACTATCGCCGTGCTGTACTCAAGAGCTGAGGGCTTCGGCATCAAGATTGAGGTGGCGGATGTGCTCAAGGACGGCAGCAAGAGGGTTGAGGAGCTGGGCCAGGACTTGGTCGGTGTTCTGGCACAATACCCCGATACGGACGGAGGCGTGCACAACTACAGGAATCTGGCAGACAAGGTGCACAAGACTGGTGCGCTCTTCAGTGTCGCGACAGATCTGCTGGCCTTGACACTCCTCACACCACCTGGAGAGTTCGGTGCCGATATCGCCTTTGGAAATGCGCAGCGATTCGGTGTCCCTCTAGGCTTCGGAGGTCCTCACGCAGCCTTCTTTGCATGCGACGACAAGTACAAGCGCAAGATTCCTGGACGTTTGATCGGTCTTTCCAAGGACAGACTGGGTAACTCCGCGGCGCGGTTGGCACTGCAGACACGAGAGCAGCACATTCGTCGTGAGAAGGCCACTAGCAATGTCTGCACAGCGCAGGCACTTTTAGCCAACATGAGCGCGATGTATGCTGTCTACCACGGACCAAACGGCTTGACACAAATCGCCAAGCAGGTCGTTGCGAAAGCTCGACTTGTGCAGGAGGTGCTTGTGCAAAATGGTTTCAAGACTGGTCAGCGCGGCAAGCTTGACAATGCGCCAGTACTGTTCGATACCGTCGTTGTTGAGACTGGCAGCAAGACTGACAGCATCATCGATGAGCTAGCGTCACGGGAGATTCTCGTGCGAAGAATCGACGATAATCATGTCGGTATCTCTGTCGACGAGACTACCACTGGAAGAGTCCTCAACAACTTGCTACAGCCATTCAGGGCTATTGGCAAGGGTGATAATGTGGCTTTCGACAGATCCGTCAACATTGAGCTTCCAGAGGCATTCAAGAGGACTAGCGAGTTTTTGACACACCCGGTCTTCAACTCACATCACTCGGAGACGGAACTTTTGCGATACATCAACCATCTATCGTCCAAGGACCTTTCCCTGGTTCACTCGATGATTCCTCTTGGATCATGCACAATGAAGCTGAACTCGACCGCCGAGATGGCACCTGTCTCATTCGACGCAGTCTCAAACTTGCACCCATTCCTGCCTCTGGAGCGCGCGAAGGGCTACATTGAGATGATCAAGCAGCTCGAGGACGATCTTGCCAATATCACTGGCTTCCACTCCGTATCCCTGCAGCCCAACTCTGGTGCTCAAGGAGAGTTTGCTGGACTTCGTGTCATTCGCAAGTATCAGGAACAGCAGCCTGGCAAGAAGCGCGACATCTGCTTGATTCCCGTTTCAGCCCACGGTACCAACCCTGCCAGTGCTGCAATGGCTGGTATGCGAGTCGTGCCAGTCAAGTGCGACACCGCAACTGGTAATCTTGATATCGCCGACCTCAAGGCCAAGTGCGAGAAGCATAGCGAAGAGCTCGCGGCCATTATGATCACATACCCCAGCACGTTTGGTGTGTTTGAGCCCAAGGTCAAGGAAGCTTGCGATCTTATCCACCAACATGGCGGCCAGGTCTACATGGACGGTGCAAACATGAACGCACAAATCGGTCTTTGCTCTCCTGGCGAGATTGGCGCGGATGTATGCCATCTCAACTTGCACAAGACGTTCTGTATTCCCCACGGCGGTGGTGGACCGGGTGTTGGACCCATTGGTGTCAAGGAGCATCTCACACCATTCCTGCCAGGTCACTTGCGAGGTGAGACTGGCGGTGCACAAGCCATCCACCCCGTTTCCGGCGCTCCATGGGGATCCGCCAGCATCCTGCCCATCTCATGGGCATACATCAAGATGATGGGCGCCGTGGGTCTGACTCAAGCCACCAAGATCACCATACTCAACGCCAACTATATCCTCTCGCGCCTCAAACCACACTTCCCAATCCTCTACACCAACGATCAAGGCCGTTGCGCCCACGAATTCATCCTCGACGTCCGCGGCTTCAAAGAAACCGCCGGCATCGAAGCCATCGACATCGCCAAGCGCCTCCAAGACTACGGCTTCCACGCGCCCACCATGTCCTGGCCAGTCGCCAATACCCTGATGATCGAGCCCACCGAGTCCGAGTCCAAGGTCGAGCTCGATCGCTTCTGCGACGCGCTGATCAGCATCAGGAAGGAGATCAAGCAGGTTGAGGATGGAACGCAGCCCAAGGACGTGAATGTCCTCAAGATGGCGCCGCATAGTCAGATGGATCTTATCACGGGCGAGTGGGATAGGCCGTATAAGCGTGAGACGGCCGCTTATCCTCTGTCGTATCTGAAGGAGAAGAAGTTCTGGCCGTCGGTCACGAGGTTGGATGACGGTATGTCTTTATACTCTCCTCTAAAAAAATCGGCTCGATCACTAACGCAAACACAGCATACGGTGACACCAACCTCTTCTGCACATGTGCGCCCGTGGAGGCTGAGGGCTCTGATATCACCGGCATGGAGGCGCCTACTCCCACATAGACTATCATGGTGGGACAGCGACCTTTTCTTTCCTTGCGGTCTTGGAAATTCTTGCATTCAACACCAGCGATGGAGTTCGGCGCCGATGGACTTGTGCTCGGCTTTCAACACTGCTGGCATCTTTTTGAGGATGGGATGGGATGGGATGAATTGGTTTGTGATGGCATATATGGCGTATCTTGGAACTAGAGAGTATTGAAACTTGTATGCGCTCTTCACAATGGGAGACGTTTCTGCATGTCGGACATGTCGTGATCAGCCACGTTGCATGGCGTGTATGTAAAGATCTTTGAGATGAATTCGCAGTGCTCCTTAGAACAGGTTGTAAGCTTCTGACTGGGTCAGAGAACCTCGGGCTTCGAAGACATTGGGAGATATGTTTGTTGGTACAGCGAAGCTTCATATCTACACAATAGCTCATGCACATGCCCGGAACGCGCTTTCTATTTTACCTAATCATTATGGTGCTTTTCGTTTCGTGATAAGACAAAAAGGTCGAGATGCAGAGTGTCTTCAACTGAACTATAACGTGCGAACTGCGATAATATGTTTTTCTGTTATCGCATCAATTGACGTTTGACGAGTCACATGTTCTAGATCAGTTGCAGCCGAAGCAAATGTGTCACTCAATGACGTCACATCCAGCATCACGATCCTCATTCTTCGTCACACAGATCGCATTCACGCGCAGGATCTGGCAAACCTCGCTGCACAGAACTGTCACAGCAGGCTGCTATATGTAAAGTTCCAGACACGTCGGAGGCTCTGCGGCTGGGCCAGCTGAGAAGCGACCGGACGTCCGCCGGTCGCATGATGGACGCCCTCGTAGCGGTGTGATGGGTCGAGCAGATCTAAGTTTGCCGTGGCGCATCCAAACAAGGAATAGGGAATTCCCACGTATTCAAGGGGAGGATCAGCATATACATACCGGTACCTCAATGTTATAAAAATACTTCATCCCTTCGCTCCCCCCCACGCGTGCGTGCTAGCATTTCCTGGCCCTGATGCGCCTGCCATACGCACTTTTCGCGCTCCTCCTCGCCGCAACCTCCACATCTACATCGACCACCTCCGAACAGCAACAATTCGCTGATGTAGCTTGGGACGACGATAACTGGATCCTCTCAACGCGCACGCTCGACCAAGGACATTACCAATCCCGGCTCTCCCTCGCCAACGGGTACTTCGGCATCAGCGTCGCATCAGCCGGACCATTCTTCGAAACTGACATCCAAGATGGTGCAAAAAGCGTGAGCGGCTGGCCCTTATTCACACAGCGCCAGACATTTTCCACAATCGCGGGCTTCTACAATAACGAGCCCAAGCCCAACGGCACGAATTATCCATGGCTCGAGCAGTATGGCTGGGACAGTGTGATTGCGGGGATCCCGCATTGGAGCGGGTTGCAAGTTGACGTCCATGGGGAAAGACTCAATGCTTCTGTTGATCCGAGCAGCGTCGAGGGGTTTGAAGCGAGCCTGCATGTCAAAGCGGGAATTGCGAATTGGCGGTTCGTGTGGAAACCAGCCGACGAAGAGATTGAGGTCGAATATCAAATGTTCGTGCATAAGCTGCATGTCAATCAAGCGGCGGTTAGGCTGAGGCTTACGTCGACAAGAGATGTGGATGTCACGGTTTATGATGTGCTGGATGGCGAGGGGGCGGTGAGAACACGGGCTGTGGGAAAGGGATGTGAGGAGGATACGCCGACGATTTGGAGCGCAGTCAGGCCTGGAAACGTGGCGAATGTCACGGCGTATGTATATTCGACGCTGGGTATGGACGAAGGGGCAGAGAGGAGGAAAGTCGATGCTGGGACGTTCAACGCGGATAACTCAACGATCGCTCAGGCTGTGAGGATCAGTCTAAAAGCCTCGAAGTCGCACGAGATCAAGAAGTTTTTGGGTGTCGCGTCGAGCGATGCATTTTCGGATCCGCAAGCAGTTGCGAAGCATGCGTCGGTTTCGGCGGTTAAGATTGGATATGAAGAATTATTGAGGGAGCATGTTGAGGAGTGGACGACAATTTTGACAGAGGATTCGGTGGATAGCTATCATTTACCGGATGGTTCGCTGCCCGCGGATCCGAATATTCAACAGCTTCATATCTTGTCACGGACAAATCCTTTCTATCTGTTGTCGCAGATGATTGGACCGAATGCGATCGCTGCGGCAGGAAACAATTCGAGACTGGATATTGAGAGCCTTCCGGTTTGTGGATTTGGATCGGACTGCTATGGTGGACAGATCTTCTGGGATGCGGACGTGTGGATGGCACCAGGTGTGCAAGTCTCGCATCCGCAGCATGCGCAGAGAGTCATCAAGTACCGCGTCGAACATTTTCAGCAAGCGCGAAGGAACGTTGAAACAGCGTTCACGTCGAGCAAGAACCAGTCTGATAGATTTACCCCTGGCGGCGCAGTCTTCCCGTGGACGAGCGGACGATGGGGCAATTGCACTGGTACGGGAGCTTGTTTCGATTATGAGTACCACATCAACGGAGACATCAGTCTGGCGTTCAATAACCACTTGATCATTACTGGAGACAGCGACTATTTCAAAGACACGCTGCTGCCTATCTCGAATGCAGTGGCTCACTTCTACTCGCAAGCGCTGGACTTCAACGAGACGTCGGGCGCCTACGAACTTTGGAACGCTACCGACCCAGACGAATATGCAAACATGGTCAACAATGCTGGATATACGACTGCTTTGATACAACGGCATCTGATCGAGACAAACGAGTTTAATGCATGGTTCGGTCTGCCCCAGAATTCTACCTGGACTGATAGGGCGGCCAAAATGAGATTGCCAATCAACGACAATGCTGGCATAATCGTTGAGTATACTGGCATGAATGGATCTGTCCAAGTCAAGCAAGCAGACGTTGTGCTTGTCGATGATCTACTCCATTATCCGAATCCGTACAGCTTGGCCAATTTGGACTACTACGCCGGCAAACAGTCGCTAGATGGGCCTGCTATGACGTACTCGAGTTTCGCAGTTGTTGCAAACGAGGTCTCTCCATCTGGATGTTCAGCACTAACATACAATCTTTACTCATCTTCGCCATATGCTCGAGCTCCGTGGTATCAGTACTCTGAGCAGCTAGTTGATGATCCTGACGACAACGGCGGAACACATCCTGCATTTCCATTCCTGACGGGTATGGGAGGAACGAATCGCGTCGCAATCTTTGGATACCTAGGCCTAGGGTTATACTATGAGAGTCTGGATATCGACCCATCACTGCCGCCGCAGATCGAGTATCTCAACTATCGCACCTTTTACTGGATGGGCCACGGCATCAACGCCACCTCGAACACAACTCACACCACACTTGCTCGCCTGCCACGCGACATATATACCCTCCCCTCCGCAAACTCAACATACTTCGACAAGCCCATCCCCGTCACAATCGGCACCCGCAACAACCGCAACAACCGCACCCTCTCCTTGACCTACTCGACCCCACTCATCGTCCCCAACCGCCTCATCGGCCAAACCCTCACCGTAGCTAACAACATCCTGCAATGCGGCACCCTCCTCCCTCCACCCCAAGACAATCAGCCTGGCCAATTCCCCCTCGCCGCCATCGACGGCGCCTCCAGCACAAAATGGCAGCCCGTCTCCTCCAACACAACATCCTACCTAACCGTCGACCTCGGCACCACCTACCACCTTATTTCCTCCATAATGATGGACTGGGCGAATCAACCACCCGCCTACTTCGAAATCTCATTCACAAACACGTCGCTCCCGCCATTTACTCCCGCTGATGATGTCAGGATGCTCGCGTCCGGGCAGGTGAGCATTAGCGCGCCCTGGGATCCGGTGAATGCTTTCGAGATTAGGACTTATGTGGGTAACCAGACGAATGTTACGCTCGAGGAGGGGGTGTGGAGTGGAAGGTATGTGCATTTAGGGATTAAGGGGAATCTAATGGGGAAGGGGGTGCAGGTTGGGGCGACGGTGGCGGAGTGGAATGTCGTTCGAAAGGACAGAGGGGTTGAGGGGAATAATAGAAAGGAAAGAATAGAGTTGTAGTTGTTAGAAGCGGAGTGTAAGATGGTTTAATGGGAGCATAAGATAATTGGATGTGTGCTGATTAGATGGTGTTGTATAGAGATGGATTAGAGTATGCTTTTCGACGTTCTGGTTTCATAGAAATGAAAGCACTCTATTGGGTTGACCCATGGCCAAATCCATCTAATAAAATGCCTGCGTGAATAGCTGTCCATTCATTTTCACTCGAGCCATGCACGGAACTCTTCTACGTGACCCATTCTAGTAGCCTTCTCGCAGTGATTCAGAGCACTAGTGCTAACTAATACTTCCCCATCATATAAACATTGGCTAGCTCTACACCGCTCTCGCACTATCTGTAGGTACTTTGCCAACTCAACTCATTCGACATGGCGCCCATAACCCCTACCCGCAGCTCATCGAAAGCACCTACTACGCCACGGCAAAGCACCCTACGACGGAAAGGCGCAGAGGCCTTCGCTCGCTCTCCTTTTTCGTCGAAAAATACATTTCAACTGGACGACTTCAAGACCGAGGGTCGAGGGTCGCCTTCGAAGTTGATGCAAGATCAAGAGCTAGAGGCTGAGTATGTCGCAGATAGCTCGCCACGGGTGGCATACACATCGTTCGACCCGTTCGTACCTAATAATCTCGAAGCCTCAAAGCCCCACTCTTCGGTCGAAGGGGAAGAGGAAGATGGGTTCATATTAGTAAGGTCGCCACCAAAGAGCGCGAGACCAATGTCACCGTTCTTTACTCCGACGAAGTTCAATACCCCGAAACCATCTACTCCTATCTCGCCACGCATCAGTACGTTACGGAGGAAGACTGCCGAGCTTTTCGGTAGCTCGGAGAGTCCTTTCGATGCAGATGATGAAGAAGGGTATGATCAGTCTCCATCGCTACGACCAAGCACGCTTCGACGCAAGACAGGCGAACTATTAGGTGGTCGCCCATACTCGTCCAACCCGTTCGACTCAGAAGTCTCCGAGCTTGATGAGCCATCTCCAAGCCAGGTTGCACGCGGAAAGCCTCTCTCGTCACTGCTAGCACGGATAGCGCCTACAAAGCGTGCCGAAGCTTCAGTTTCGGCAGTGTCAGCAGAGACAGATTTTGGCGATGCCACACTTGAGCAGACTTTAGCGGCAGAAGCTCTGTCGAAACAGCATCTGGCTGCGTCCATGTCGTCGCCGGGTTTGAGTACGTTGAAGCGGAGGTCAGCCGATCTTTTTGCGCAGGACAGCTATTTCCCGAGCAGCGCTTGGGATGAAGATGATGACGAGCCCACCCAACGATTTGAGAGGGTGATACTTGATCCGACTCAGCGTGAACGAGGTCTAACGTTCAAGTCGTTGCGTACTTTGAAATCACCCAAATCTTTGAGTGACCCGCTATCGACTGTCAAGACTGAGGTTCAAGATCATGACGAGTCACGGGTCATGCCATGGTCCAAGGCCGAGTACAGAAGTTGGCCTGACAAGAAAGACCTCGAGGCCAACATCCAGGAGTTTACGACGAACCGCTGTACGTTCGAGGGTCGGATGCACTCCTCTGAGGTCAGTGTACAGTCATTTGAGTCGCCGCCCAACGCAAGTGCAGGCTCTAGCATGTTAGAAAGAGCCTTGGACAATATCCACAAAATCCGTGGAGCAAACATGACCAAACAAGAGCACGATGATTTCCTGCACGAACTTTTGGATAAAGAGTGGGGTGATCCGAATGGCCTCGATGCGCACGACGAGGTGATGCAGCAGTTCTACCTTCGCAACAACGACTCACTGCCGGCCTCAAATCCAGCTGGATTTCCTCATCTCATCAACTATCTCAGCTACACGACCGACACCGACTCGATCGTACAGAACGCTCGCCCACGACTCGCCGACGCAGTCGCCACAACACTCTTACAGACGAGCCATCGATGCCTTGCCGACTTTCTCGACCCAGGCGTTCAAGTCTTCGAGTGGTGTCGCAACAAACAACACATGATGATCCGCCGCGACGGCAAGCATGTGATCGTTGGCACATATCAAAACTACGGCACCTGCTACGTGTGGAATTATTTCGTGCGGTCTGAGATCTCGGAGACTGGAGTGTGGAAAGAGGTGTATGCTGGTGCGTCACAGGTCATCACTCCTGTGTCGGCAGAGGGCATTGAGTTTGACAAGCTTGTCCCGGGCGAGAGTATCCAGGGTATTGATCCGACGGACGAGAAGTACGCACTGTATGTTGGTCGTGCGTTGGGCCAGTTCATGCTCTTATGGGAGGTGTGGGATTTTAATGGAGGATATCTGATTGAGTGGCAGGCGGACGGTGCAGTGAGAAATGCGCGAGAGATTTTGTACGAGGGTCTTCGCATGGCGAGAGAAGAGACGGAGAAAGACTGAGTACGTCCCATAACCTGGCATAAGAGTATAGTCAGCCAGAATCACTCTTGATGCCGTTCTGCCATGGAGAAATGCAACATTCAACTCACTTACCGCGTGCCTAGGTGTCTACATAACATGAGCAGCTTGCAATGCAGATGCCTGAAAGATCATAGCAAAAGTTTCGGGCGTGCTAAAACACCGTGCTCTGCACCTTCACTTGTCGCACCACGTGCCCTGCGCCGTTTGCGATTCTTCTCTCACCTTTTCTCTCCCGCTCTGATCAATTGGATTTCCGAACCTTCACCTTCTGCTACCCTAGGCTCCCTCCACACGCCCTTACACACTGAGACTAACCTCGCAATACCCGATATAATCAAACCAGTCCAAGGGTATTCTATCAAATTCCCCGGACGCTTTGGAAGAGGCGCGGGGTCGGACGAATCTGGCCGGGGCGTAGTGGAGGTTGCAGGTTCGATTCCGTGATAAAACACTCCCGAGTAGTTTTCAGCAGTTCAGATATATCAACGGTCCCTGAGCAATTCAAACCGCATCCAGGTCTGCTGTTCTTTTTGCTGGTTCTCGCGAGAGTGCGGAAACTATGTACTATCTGTATTTTTGCACAACTTCTGTCTGTCAAGTTATACTTATTTGCTGTACCTATTGCGCAAGATGCTAGTTATGAGAGGTGAAAAGCCGTGCAGTGTCGACTTGTCACCAAGATTTCCGTCAATGAGTCGCATCGTTGACTCCCGCATCGGTGAGTCGAACCTACTATATAAGCCGTCAACATTAGCAGTCTCCTTGTCCTCAAACCGTGCATTCAAATTTCATAGCTTTGATCTACCTTAACTGAGCGAATATCTGCACCATGACAGAATACAGACGCGTGTCCGACCCAGACTTCATCAACAACAACTCTGACGACCAGCCCCGTATTTTAGAAAAGCTAGTCGCTGGCGGACCCCAGGAAGATGATGATCGACCCACTATCTCCAACCCCAAGATATGTGATTTCATTGCGACATACCTCGTCGCCTTCGACAAGCAGAACCCGGAGCAGCCGATCATGAAGCACTTCTTCGACCCTGAAGTAACGCATCTCTACCTCATTGCATACTGTGCCGTGCCTGATGCTCAATTCGTACACCCTAATTTCCTCATCTGGCGTATAAACAAAATGGTATTTGTAAGTCAGGAGTACAATACAGACTATTATCTAAGCTGTGCTTACGAGTGTTTTTAGTGTGGCAGGTTTGAAATCAAAGTATCACAAACACGACATACCATTAAGTGGATATCGCTCCTGAAATCAGAGATGGACACAGTGGCGACAGACAGCAAGTGGGATACCTTCTGGGCTGCGCATGACATTCACACAAACACACCCGTGGCTAAAATTTGGGATGAGACTTGGGAGGAGACTCTTTACGGCAACAATGAAGATCCTACGGTCGATCGCTATAGTGCAGAAGAGATAGATCGCGTCTCGCAAGAGTTTGGAAGAGTTCTAAGCGACCAACGTCCATGGGACCCTAATCTGTTCAGCGAGTTCGCCTTCGACACTCAACCTGTAACGATTCCGCCCAAGGCATATGCATGGTACGATCCCCGTGAAAGTTTTGGAAGCATTTGTAGTATACTGGAGTAGTAGAGCTCTGACGTGGATAATCTTATTTGCACAATACAATCCAACTCCCGACTATAGAAGATGCTGGGAGAAAATCTTCACTTCGGCCAGTGGCTTTTTCTACGTGGTGCAGACTGTTATGAAGCCCACGAAGAGGCCGAACTTTTGTAGAAATTCGATAGAACAGTGTGAGATGAACAAGTGTGATCACCCGAGAAGAGGTGCAGGAAAGTGATACTAGTGCCCTCCCACGGATCGATTTAGTTCTAAAAGGTTCTTGGATGCTTCACTGAGAGTTCTTGGTCAATACTTGAAAAGCAAAGAGGCGGATGAGTGATGACGAGCAAACAAGAAGAAGACCACCCGATGGAGCTTTGGCACCTCGCATGATGTCGAAACATTTCGGAGTACTCGCTAGCCACGCATCACTCTTCGCGATAAACACTGCGCAAGCCGAGTACCAATGAAGTCCGCAATTTTGTCGTGGAACCAACGAGCGTGTCACAGTGGAGCTGTGCAGTGCCATAGCGCCACGGGTTGCGTTGATCAATGATGCCCCGACTTCCCATGATTCACCTGTTACTCACAGTCGCAATCGCTGAGTCAAATAACTGTCCACCAGCCTATAAATAACGTCAGTACTTCTCTAACACCCTGCTTTCCTTTCATATAAACGTTTACCCACTACATAACTTACTTGACCCGAAACAAATCCTGTCCAATCAATCAACATCACCATGCGAGAATTGAAGCACGAAGAGATTGCGAACTTCCCTAAAGACGCTACTGTCGGCGATATCGTCGTCACGTTGCTTGCGAAACTCGAGCATTGCCCCACCGCGACTGCCGACTTCTTCGACCCTAAAGTGACATCAATCCGTATTGTTGGTAACCTATATAATGGCAGTGGAGAGAAGCATGAAGACTTCTTGATATGGCGCAAGGGCAACCATGTTCATGTAAGTGATGGCACATGTCTATGACAATGCAGATAGAAATGCTTACACCAATGAGTGCGGCTTCTTCGCGTTCGCCAAAGATAAAGGTAACGACGAAATAACAGCTGAGTGGAATTGGTTCACCAGGTCCAGTTTGGAGCCAGTGTCGCGCGAAGGCGAGTGGAAGATGATCTCTGCGTTCAGAACAACGACTTCAGATACGCCATTGGGCTCTATGTGGACCGAAAACACTACTATGCTTGGGCCTGGTAACACAGAGGGAAATCCGATCGACTCTAACGAAATTCTGTATGTGTCATCGCAATTTGCGGAGAATCTGCTCGGTGGCGAAGCATGGGAGCCAAAGAATCATAGGGAATATTTGGTGCACGTCTTGAGAAATCCAGGTACGCCCGGGCAGCCTCCGGGTGATAAATACCACTGGGAACACTCAAGTGTAAAGCCACCATCGTTATACACTTACCATGAGAACGACTTCCCCAAGAGCGAAAATAAATAGTTCATTGGTCTAGGTTTTCAACTTATTTGATAAACCCCTGATGCACAATAATATAACAAGCAGCTGAGTATTCAGCTTTACTTCTCCAAAATAAAAATAGGAAAGTACAGAATTCATTTGATGCTTGACCTTCACTTCGTGACGACTATGCTCGTGCAAAATCCTGCACCTATGAAGTCTACCTCCACTGGAACGTCAATGTTATTCCAGATGCCAGTGATCATGTCGTTTTTCACCTTCTCTTGCAAAATTGAGAGATCACCACAGTTTCCATGCTTGCCCCAGCCCCATGAGATGAGCTTGCCTTCCTTTGTCACAGCGAGCACGTGTTCAGAGCCAACTGCAATCTTGTCGATGAGCGGCAAATATGGTGGAATGAGCTCCCACATGGCGTTCCTGCCCCACGCAATGAGCTTGCCGTCTTCGAAGAGCACAAACACGGCGTGCCACGTTGCGCCGATATCTTTGTAGCCTTTGATGTTGTTCGGCATGTTTGAGACAATGTCGAATTTGTCTTTGCCGAGGATTGTATGCTCGCCAGTCGATGGATCACCGACAAGATACGTGAAGTCTTTCCCGCAGACGACTTTCGACGGCTTGAACGACATATCTGCGATCCTTGTCGGCATCATCACCTTGCCAGAGAGCTTTTCGCCAAGTTGCCCCAGTCGCGCTTTACCCCAGCCATATACAGAGCCGTCCTCGAGCAGCGCAACATAATGCCACACTCCGGCTGCGAAATCAACGACTTTGCCAGGTAATGCAATGAGAATGGGTGGCGGTTCAGCATCTGTCGCGGCTTGATCCGTGTTGGTGTTGTCGTACCCCAACTCACCCCATTGGCCTGAACCACGGGTGTGCACCATACTCTGCTCGAGTGTGTCATGGCCGATGATGAATGCAGATGACTCGCAAGTAGCAGCAGCGAAGCGAAACCCACCTCCGATCTTTGTGAACGTGTCGAACCGCAAGACCATTCCTGGGCCGGGTACTAATTGTGATTTGCGATTATCACCGACTCCGTAGACATCGCCTTCGCTCGTCAGGAGCAGAGTGTGATTGTCGCCTCCGGTAATGGCTCGCAGTCCTTCCAGCGGCGGGGGTTCAGACACGATAGTCGGAGTGCTGACAATGTCTGCGGCGGGGATGCCAAGTTGACCTTCACCATTGCTGCCGAAGACATAAAGTTGACGAGTCATCTTTATATCGAGGTTGGGGGACTATCTTCAGGAAAGTGAAAGAAGCTCGCCAAGTGCCCTTACCTTCGCAGTGGCAATTCAGTCAGGCTGCAAATTCCACGTGACATCCTCGCACATAAACTAGATTGCTCAGATATTGCAATTAATTCTCTGAGACCAGAGACGTAAATCTGCAAGATTGGGTTCATGTTCAGAGTCGGCGTTGTTGAAGTTGACGTGCTTACATAATGGCCGCATGCACGCGGGGGTCGCTAGCGCGGGTGGTCCGAGCGGCACTCTCAATTTCGCATCTCGGTGAACCGAGCAACTTCACGACGACGAGACAACCCGCAACCTCACGCCCACCTCCACACGCACGCATACTAACACAGTCGCCCATCATGGCTTCCCAGAGCGTGCAATGCTTCGGCAAGAAGAAGACCGCGACTGGTACGACCGCCACTGCCCCGACCTACCACGAAGAAAGATGCTAACAAAATCACCAACAGCTGTCGCCCACTGCAAGGTACACCACTACTGCCACGAACGCACGCGCACTCGAACGATATACTCACATTGATATTCTAGGCCGGAAAGGGTCTCATCAAGGTCAACGGAAAGCCTCTTTCCCTGGTCCAGCCCGAGATCTTGCGATTCAAGGTCTACGAGCCTGTCCTGATCCTCGGTGTTGACAAGTTCGGTACGCACACCACCAACATGCCCTACGAATAGAGAGGGAAGTGTCACAACTAACACGTCACACAGCTGACGTCGACATCCGCGTCCGCGTCTCCGGCGGTGGACACACCTCGCAAATCTACGCCATCCGCCAAGCCATTGCCAAATCCATCATCGCCTACTACCAAAAGTACGTCGACGAGCACTCGAAGAACCAGCTCAAGCAAGCTCTCGTCCAGTACGACCGCACACTGCTCGTCGCCGACAACAGGCGGTGCGAGCCCAAGAAGTTCGGCGGTCCAGGTGCGCGCGCCAGGTACCAGAAGTCTTACCGTTAAGCGGTTCGCAAGGGACTTGCTGGTTTGGCAAAGGGTGTATGGGGAGCATGGAGCGGTGTTCATCCGGGGCTTTTTCATGGGTCTTACTACTACTCTCCTGCGCATTCGAGGTTACGTGACATGGTGCTCTGCGGGTTATTGCGGGCAGCCTGAATGGATCGGATCTCGGAGCTTGTGACGATAAAAATGAATCAATTGGTTGCAAGACAAGGAATGCATGGGCGTGGGAGTATCACAGCATATGTCGATTTCGGTGAAGATGAATGATGGTCAATCGATTGGTGATGTTTCGACACAAACACTTAATCATAGGTTCTAATCTAGATACCCTCCCAGCTCCATCGCTCGCTGCCATGCATTACGAAGACAAACCCAAAGTACGAATGTTTCCCGAAAGCATATCCGCCAAGCCATTCCGAGCTCAGAAGTAGCTATCTAACCATCACTTCCGCTGCTCCTGAAAGCCGCACATAACGCCGCATACTGGTGCGTCAAGTCGAGAACGTGCTGTGGTAAGCTGGTACCCTGGATGATGCTGCGGATCTTGACCGCGCCTTCCTCTTCGATGAGTTTGCGAATGGTGTAGAGCAGTGAAGGTGAGAACTACAATATGGTTAGCGTGGCTCCAATATATGCAGTCAGGACGACGTCAACTCACTTCAGAATACCATCGATACTGCCACGTCACCAGCCTTATCAGCGCAGCACACGCATCCCTTGTCTTGCCCCTGTCCTCACCCACAAACCCATACTTGAGCACGCCCTTCATAGCCTTCGGACTAAATCTTATCTGCAAACAGCTCTCATAGGCCTCAAGCGCGTCGTCCTCGTGATGCAAGCGCTCTGCAAGTTCACCGAGGATTTCCCACTCCTCAGCCGACTTCTTGTAGAGCAACTGCTGCTGCCTGTACTGCGCCATTTCGGTGCGCCAGATGGTGTAGACGCGCAGGTCCTCGTATAGTACCATGAACAGATTGTCGAGCCAGCGCTCACACAGGCGCTTATTTTGGAAGTGCGTGTAATTTGGTTGGGAGGGGTCGGTGGTATTCGAGGTAGAAGGAAGTGGGTGGGGATCTTCGGAGCCGGCTTTGACGACTTCGGCGGCGACGGTGTGCGAGGGCTTTTCTATCGATTCCTCTGCAGCTGCTACTGTTGTGGGGGTCGAAGACTCGCCGTCGGTGGATGGCTGTTCGGTTGAGGGGCGCTCTTCGGCTTCGCCGTGGCTTGTGCCGTTTGGTTGTGCGCCGGCGCCTGGAGATGGTGAGTGAAGTGCGGTGGTGCTAGCGCTGCGGGAATGTGGTTGCTGACCAGTCTTCTCATGTCGATATTCCTCTTCCATCACGAACACCTGAGACCGTATCTTTAGCAGCTGATCCCATCCAATCTTCTTCGTAATCTCCGTAAGCAGGACATAGGCCTTGAGGAAAGTGCCCTTGAAGCCGGCCGCATGTAGCTTCCTTAGCGTCGGGTGTACAAGCTCCATATCGTCCAAATTGCTGTCCTCAATCTCATCGCACATGGCTTCTGGCATGATGGGTAGGAAGACCTTTTGCGGCTCGGGCATTCGTGGCGCATCCTTGTCCTGGTATGTGAACATGGGACACGAGTTGAGAGTCAACAGCGCAAGGTCCCATTGCTCCAAGCTGACGTAGATCTCTGCCAGACGTGCCCAAGTGCCAAACTCACTGGGCGCGGATACTACGCTTCTCTTAGCAATTTCCAGAGCAAGGTCGCCGCGGTTCTTCTTGTTGCAGAATTCGGCCTGGCAGTCGAGCAACGAATAGTCCATAGGCAGGTCCTGGATCGCCTCATGGAGCAGCTGCACTGCCTTGACCTCTTCATCTGCTTCAATGTAGACGCGTGCGAGGAGGGACGAGATTTCTGGGTCGCGAGTCCGTAGCTTTTCGAAGAGATTGATTCCCGATGCGTACCGCCCCGTAGTTTGAATATAGCTCAGCAGCCCGGTCGTCAAGTGGTTAGAAACGAGATTTGGAACCTGAATCTCAGGATCAGAGCCAAGTTGCCAGCCTGCCAAACGTCAGCTTGCAATAGGTCAAGGCACAATCATTACGCACCGCTGAAGAATAAGCGCTCTGCCGCGTCTAAGAACTTGTGCTCGCTCTCTGTGCTCGTGATGGGATTGAATCTTCGGACGCCCACGATTTTCTTGATTGTGTCGCCTGAACCGTCGTCGGCGTAAGAGTACGCGCGGAGGACACTGCAGAGGTAGGTTTCCAGCCACAGCTCTTCTGTCGCAACACGCTTGTCACCCCGCTCGTCTATGCAGTAGCTCTCGACAGTACCTGGAATCTCAGACTTGAACACGCATGTCCAGCTCGCGAAAAGGGCATTATAGGCAACAGTAAATTCCCGACACAACTCTTGTGTTGTTTGTCGTGCTGAGAATATGTCCAAAGTATTGATGTAGGGCTGCCAGGGCCTTGCTGAGGGAGGGATGCATCGATGCCTTGAGACATGGTGGATATACGCTCGATTCTGGCTTTCGTTCGTGGACTTTGACAGGGGCTGGTTTTATGAGGTGGGACGAGGTCTGGCGGGCCAAGTTCGCGGAGCGTTTGTAGAGACTCTGAGCGAGCTTCGATTGCGGAGTGTAGTTCATCCTCATAGATTCTGTGGCGCGGTCAGAATGCGGAGACATGGTGAATCGAAGTTGCGCGTGGAGTAGTGAAGACATGAATGTTTAATGCAAACATGCAGACATATGTAAGACATGCTATAGTCTGGAGCTATGGGGAGTGAAGCATACTCAGGAACACTGGGGCTCGTGACCATGGCTCAATTGATACCGCGCTTGGCGGGGCTTAGACTACAATTGAAGGCTGTTCGCGGCGGGGTGGTGTCCGTGGAGGGGCCGTGATGTGCGCGGAGGTGTCTTTTGGTGGGCGAGATGTTGGGGTGCGGCATGGACAGCTGGAAACAGTACCTAGCTTGCGCGGATCACTGCCGTTGAAGCTAGCCCCAAGAACCGCGACGCGCACCGGCCTCACATGCATTCACCTCCGCGACGCGCCCACGTCACAGTGCCGCACACCTTGTATAACACACTAGAACGGCGCATAGCTGCCTGATGACTGAGCTAGAACTGCAGAACATGTACAATAGCTTCTCGCTCGCCTCCAGGCTCTTCGTAATAACACCAAACTACCTTCTACCGCCCCAATCATGGTATGTCCTAACCTGGCATCTGTATAGCTCCAGGATATGCGCCGAATGCGCAAAAGTTCCCAACCCCCATCATCACGTGCTGACATGTCGCAGTCCAAGGTCTCTTCATGGCGGCCACTCAACGTCGAATACGAGCAGGAGGCCGAAGATGAGGTCGACGACACCCAGGAAATCCAAATCGAAGAAGCTCTCAAGCTCTACCAGACCGCCCTAAAGTACCATTCCGAAGGACCCGAATCTTTCGACAAGACTGCTGCAGCCTACCGCGAGCTGTTCGCATCCGAGATCTTCAAATACAATGAATCCCTGTCTGAGTATCAACGACATGAGGCCTTTGGCGAGAGCTTGGTCTTCGACTCTATACTAGAGGAAGATTTCGAGGCAGGGCCTGCGCAAACCACCGGCGCGGCCGATTCTGCTCCCAATACCCTCCCGCAGATATTACATCTATCGTACAAGAATCATGGCCAGTTTCTGCTCGAGTCGATGCAGTACTGGGTCAGCCAGCATGGCGCCATACCGCAAATGGAGGGCTGGAACAACATTCGCGGAGCCTTGAACTACTTTTCAGAAGCTCTGGACAAGGAAGATACGGACCTGGACCTGTGGCTACGCGCTGCGTCGGTCTCTGCGATGCTCGGCAGCAAGCGCTTGACGCGTTACTGCTTGGAAGCCGTCCTGGACGGAAATGATGAGCTGTGGGAAAATCTCCTGCGGCTCCCCGGACTGGAAGAGGGCTTCGCTGGCCACCAACTACGCGAGCTCGTGGAGCGCTTGGAAGACAACGTATCCCTGATGCAGGCGCCACTGTCTTCAATGAAGCGCAAGAAGCTGTCCGACACGATCAAGAAACGCTTGAATCCCTTCTCATTCGCGCCTCTTCCAGCCGATGTCGCCCATGCCGATGTGCGACCGATGCTCACCCAACCGGCTCAGCGCGTCGTGTTGACTCCAACGAAGTGGGACTGGGCAGGTTTGGGTGAAACTATCTTGCAGCAGTTCATGGCAGAGTCTCAGGGCATAGCCACCAACATGGCTTCGGGATCGAGCATAAATTTCAATATCCCGCCAGATGATCTGACACCTGAACCTATCGAGCTGGAGCCAGCAGCGGCGGTAATCACCCCGTCCTCACTCCTTGAGGCTGCAGAAGGGGTAGAAGTTGCTGGTGCAGTAGATGTGGCAGCCAAACGGGAGAAGTCAGCGGAAGACGACATCGACAAGAGCATCGTGCAGGCACAGGAGGGTGCACCCGAGACTAAAGATGCGGCATCTTCGTCTGCCATCGCACTGGACGCCGTGCCGGCTCCATCGCGAAAGCGCTCCACCGATTCTGCTGGCCTGCCCGAGACTGCTGATGGCGCTCGCTCTAGAAGTAAACGTATCCGAGCTCGTGACACAATCACTGAACCAAGTGCTGGAGGTGATGCTGTCGCGCAGGAGGCGAACAAGCAGCTGGACGAGCAGCTCGAGCAATACACTCACGCTGACCAATGCCTGTACGAGATCGTTAAGGACATCTACGCACGGTTAGGCGTCGAGGACGTTCAGGATCCTACCAACTTGCGGGGTCTCCTTGCAAATCTTCCGCCGCCTCCATCATGCAGTGCGTTTGACAAAGCAGCCTGCGACATGTTCTCGGCCCTTCAAAGTGGAAACGGCAAAGCAGCACAGATTTTGCTCAGCAACGAATCCTTCGATCTAGTCGGAGTCACGCGTGAGGCCGGTCTGAATGCCTTCCTCGGCTATGCAAAAGCTGGCACCGGTCAGACTTCCAGTAAACCGCCTCTAGAGAATCAAAAGCTAGGGACGTTCGCTCGCATCGTGAACGAAGGGTGGCTTTCTACCAAAGAAGTAGCATTCGCCTGGGTAGAATTTCTCCTCTCTTGCGACCGATTTCCAGCGCAAGAAGTCGAAGACCATAAAGTGGCTCCATCGAGCTACATGCAGTTCAAATGGAGTGACGAACTGAAACGTAATTTAGTTCAGATCATTGTGAACTTGGATGATTACATACACGAATGTATGCTAGAGCGGATCGCCAGCCTCAATACCCGCATACTCGCGGAAGAACATCAGTCTTGCACATACAATTTCACAACTTTCGATGAGTCGCAGGCCGAGATTATAGAAACTCTATTCGAACTGCATCTGGACATCTACTCCCTGATCAAGCACCCTCACAGTCAGGTTGACAGTGCAACTCAGATCCTGCAGAGCGATCGTTTAGAGCGGTGGTCAACACTTGCACGAGAGATTGTGCAACTCCGTTCTGCATGCCGCTCCAACTTGAACATGGATGATCTCAACATGCGACACATCTGGGCTTCGGTGTTCCAAATGAGCGTCAACGATGACATACCTCCGGAGCACGTTGTCTCCGCTATTGCGGAGCTGAAGGCCATCCTTGACGCGCAAGGTGATCGTACGATCCAAGTCCAAAACAACGCGATCATGCCGGAGATGTGTATCGCCGCGGTAGAACGCGAATTAGTCCGTATCAGCATGAAAGACTTTTTCCTGAAAGTCTTCGACCATGATGAGAAAGATCCTGTGACTGTTATTGAAAGCTTGGAGCCGATACTGGAGGAAAACCACGAGCAGAACACGCCAGCGGAGGCTACAACCGAGTCCAATGATCCAGATGGTGATGCAGCAAGCTCCTCGACTTTAAGCAATGGCACAAACGAGCAGACGGCAGTGCTGACTGATCAGCCTTCGCCTATCGTTGAAATGCGGAAGTTTCTGGATGCAGCCAACGTGAATGTACGTGTGTCGCTGTGGCACCGGCTGCGGGAAGCATACGAAGCGATAGAGTACTCACCAAAGGTCTTATCGTGTTATCTGCGAATCATTGAAACCTTCGTGACGGATTTCAAATCGACCAACTTCCAGGAGCTATCGGATGTCGAGCGGCAGGTCAAGCTTTTGACACGATTTCGCGTTATCGATGACCTGATTACAAAAACTCTACAGATCATCAAAGACGACAAGTCTGCATTTGATTGTCTCTCCTATGAGCATGTGCAGTCCTCGATGGCCTCTATCGTGCAGCTCTTGCATATTCTGTCTGCCGCAGACATGTTCAGAGACATGATCCGTATTGGCCATGTTGCGATGCCCCGGGTTGAAGCTCTTCCTGCCCAGGCCTTTGTGAACATGTCAACCAAACTGGACGATATGCACATTCGACTCTGGATGGTGCAGTATCACCTGCTCAAAGAAGCATTGTCACAGAATGCCGAGAACTTCCCTACTCCTTCAGAGGACTTGTTCGAATTCTTGAGACATGTACACCACGCCACTGGCGTTCGCCGCTTTTGCCATCAGTCCAGCCGTCATTTCTTACGTCTCGCAAAAGACGAGATGCTCCGTCTTGACGATGTCATCGATGCGAATAGCCGCGATACAGAGCTCTGCCAGGTGCTGCACGATCTGTACGGTCTCAAACTATTCATTGAGCCTCTCGAGTGCCAAGATTTTTCCTCCACTCCGGACATCCTCGACAAGAAGACTGCATTCGGCATCTTGCCCTTCGTCATGTCACAGGTTAAGAAAGTGGATCTCAAGGATCTACCAAAGACCGAGCTCAGAGGCACAATCGACAAGGTTCACGCGGCTCTTGGTAGACCCAAGCAACACAAAGACCTATCTTTTAACCACAAGCTCATCACAGCCTGGTTCAAATCACCAATTCATCCAGCCTCCTTGCTTAATTGTTTGAAAGGCGTTGGCTCGCTTTCTGCAAAGCATGTTCCAGCTGAAGAAGCTGTGGCTGCATCGATGGGCTGGTATTATCTCATGGGCGACATCAGCCTGAGCAAGTTTCGTTCGCAGAAGCGAATGACGCAAGGTCCAACTGAAGACCTCAGCTATGCGCAAGCATTTTTTATTCAAGACCTCGAGTATTCTACCGATCGCTGGGAAACATGGTACCGTCTTGCACAGGTCAACGATCTGCAGCTCGAAGAGGTAGTCTCGTGGACTGCAGACAAGATCAATAGTGGTAGTATCGAATTGATCAACCACCAGCGTGGCGCCATCAACTGCTATACTATGGCAGTAGCATGTGCCGTCCGCGAGGCCGATGCCCAATCTCAAAGCCGAGTTGGGCAAATGTATACCGAGTTTGCAAACCGCATGTATGCCTCATCTCGGGAGCCTTTCAGTATGGAAGCATTCCAATTCAGGGAAAACGAAAAGAAGTTCTGCAATCCGCAGTACCAGACTGGGGTGATAAAAGAGCCCATGTTTCAACCCCTGTATTTGTACACCGCCTGGAAAATTGCGAATACACTTTACAAGCGAGCGATCCAGGAAAACCCCAACAAGTGGTGGAACTACTACATGCTTGGAAAATGTAGTTGGAAGATGTGGAGTACAAACGAGGACGACAAGAACTACACGGCCGCCATTGGGGCGCCTCCCTCTACCAATCGCGTGCAGCCAACATGGGTCTCAGTCACCGACGCCATCATCAACGCTATTGACACATTGCCCAACAAGAAGGGACGTAGCAGTGAGCCTATTCTGGAACCGCACTATAAGCTTGTCTCCATTGCACACAAGCTCTTTCAAAAACGAGCAATCGACCATGTGAAAGGGGTAGAGCTGTTATCACACACGTCCTTTTCGAAGAATGTCGCTCCACCTGAGAACGCAGAGGGTTGGGAGCGCTACATCCTTGCAGTACTGAAGTCCTTGCGCTCAGCCGACAAATCGAGCTGGCACCATCGCATTATATCTCGATCAGCACATATTATCTTCGACGAAGGCAAAGATAGCATGATGGCCCATGGCGCAAAGCACGAGCTGACGCAGCAGATGTTCACTAAGACAATGGCCGTACAAGTTTGGAAGCCCGAAAACGAGCGACCTGGCAGGCATTTCGTGTATACTACCCGCTACACCAGATTCTTCGTTGACCTTCTAGACTTGACGGGAGACAAGGCCAACTTCGAAGCTCTAGCGAAGCGAGTGCGGAGGAAGACTGCTGACTTTTTCGAACACTCAAAACTGTGGCAAGATCTGTGTATGCGGTACCTGAAGATGCTGCGAAAGTTGGGTAACATTCCTGAGGGCCAGGAAGACTCTGCGTTCAAGTCGGTCAACCAGGAGGAGTTTAACACCCTCGCTTTACGGATGGAGGCTTGGTGCCAGAACCCGCTCACCCAACATCCAGTGTTGGACATTCTGCGCGACGCCATCGAACTCAAGCGCCTCAATAACGGCCTCATGAAGCCACTACAGATCGATGATCTCATTGGGGATACTTACGCACTGTTGTATACGACTATTGGCCCCAGCCTACCACCTCTGCCGTCAGAGCAACAGCAACAACAACTTGTGCCATCCACGCAGCCTTTCATCGCACAACACGGCGGTGCTTTACCGATATCATCATTGATGCAAGTACAGGTAGACGGGGCTGGGGATCGCACGAACCAGACTCCATTCGCAATCTATCATCCGAGCCAGCTTCTAGGTCCACAAATGCAGGCTCCACAACCCGAGCCAGTCGTGAAGCCACGAGCAAAGGCTGTCGGACGCAGAGAGATTGGTCGCAGGGCAGAGGCATGTGTACAGAAACCCGTCACCAGCGCTGCTGCCTCTCAATCCACTGCTATGCCCATTCGGTCGCCGCCTCCTCTCAACGCCACTATACCCACCTTCTCCCCACGCAACTTGTCGCCAGACAAGTCAGCCCAGCCGACTACAACTCCAGCTGAGCAACCCGACCTCTCTTTCGACCAAAGCGGCTCGGCCACCGCAGCAGCAAGCGTCAACAACGACGACCAAGAGCCCGAGGTCAGCGCTCCACCCTCTGCCCACTACGACGACGCAGACGATGAGTCCGAACTCAGTGAGCTCGACGAAGAGGAAGTCCAAGAAATCGAGCAAGAAATTATAGCGCCCCGACGCTCAGTATCCATCGCGGCAAAACCCATGTTCCCAAACCTGTTCGCCGAGCGCAAGAGCACCGAGAAACAGGCTGAAGGCAATGATGTCAGCGATACTATCCACGTCCAGCGACCTGGTGCGAAAGGCAAGGAAGCTGGGAATGGAGACAAGATGGATGTAGAATAGGTGTCTGCATCGCCGTATTGGGACCCTGTTCGCGATGGGACTTCGTCTTATTGGGATATCGTTCGCGGCGGGGCCTCTCTTCCCGAGGGTTCTTCGGCTCAGTTCTCTCTTGGGTACTGGGATCCTGCTCGCGATGGGTGAGGAGTTACTTGTTTTGTGGTCTTTCTGTAATACCAGTTGTAAAGTAGCATGGTTTTGGAGTAGGGGTTAGCATTGCGAATGAGGCGTGTAGGTGGATAAATCGTCTTGTATGTTTAGATACCCTGATTTGCTAGGGCTTGTAGATGTTATTGCATTGTGTTACTTTAAACTTTGTAGGTGTACCTCTGGGATATGTGATGTTGAGAGCGTCTTTTCAAACTATCATCACTTGATGTTTTCCTTGCGCTACGATAGACGTTTCCTCGGTAGTCGTTGCCTAAATTTCGAAGCTTCGAATTAGGACACACGACATGCAAGACTCGGGTTTCTCTTGACTTGCACTGCGGGATGGACATTGGGGCGTAGTTTTGTACTGTGAACTTATCTTACCGTACATACATCCAGATATCGAGGGAGTCTCTGTCCCAGAGCTCAATTCGTTAGAATTAGAAATAGGGGATTCAGATAGAAAATCGACTCGCTGCTCCGCTTGCTGCACCAATGTTGCGTCTCGAGGAAGGTTGCGCAGAGATGGCTCAATCGGGACTCACTGCTGCTCCTGCTACCAATGATATGACATAACCACAATCTTACTCATTGCTGCTCTGTGCTTTTACTCTTCACACTCATCTTTTATCGTTGTAGCTCAGTTTCTCAGATACTTTTCACTCACTGGCGCGTACTAGCGCAATTGTAACTTCTCTCTCTATATAAGCAAAGGCCTGCTCCTCACAAACAAAACATAGACGACTCAATTCTTCTCTCCTCTAATCCATCAGCCAAATCCACCTCCACCAGCCTTCATCACCAACAACCCCACCAACAACAAACCAACGAATCTTCAAGATGAAAATCTCCCAGCTGCTCGTGGGCCTCGCCATGCTTGCCTCTCCCATCTTTGCCGCGCCCACCGAGGCTGTCTCCAAGGACTTGTCGAGCCCTCAGTGCGTTTCGTGGATGGTGCGCTGTCGTATTTCCCGCGGCATCCTTGAGGACTGCGTCAACAACAAGTGGCACGACAAGATCAAGTGCATTAAGGGCTGCTATGCCGACGAGACCCGCTGCAACTAGAGGTTAAGGACTTGGAGGTAATTGGTTGAGAGGAGGTTTATCACACTCTTGGGTGAGTGGGAAGGGGAGCGAATGCTAATTGCTTCTACAGGACTCATTACTGCTTTCAACATTGATTCTCGGAATTTTCTGTGCTTGACGGATGTGGAGATGGAACTTTGGAAGCCTCGAGCCTTGACTGGGTACAGCAGGATGGATATGGAACAAGGGCGGCTCCTTAATACGTGACTGATACCATGTTCAATGGACGGCAATACTTCTTCACTTTTCTGCCATCTACGTGCCCGTGACGCTATGTGCCGACCAGATGAGAGTAAATTCTACATCACTTCACAATCCTGCATTGCGGTCATACTTGTGTTTGGAGCACTTATCCTCAATGTTTGTACGAGTCACAGGCTCAATTGTCCTAAGCTTCCCACGGTCGGGTAACACCAACAGCCTCCCGTCTGCACGGGCTGCAAACTCCCTTCACCTGCGCGAACACTCAGTCACTGACTCATCTGTTTGCAGACCTTAGTCCCATTAGATAAAGCGACCGATTCCTGCCTCACCCATACTCCCTCTTTACCCACCCCGACTCCTACTCTCAAACACCACCCTCTACTTCAATCGCCTCAACCACAAGCAACATCCCAGGAGCCTCCATCTACCTAGCTCAGTATGAAGCTCGCTTTCATGGTCGTCCTCATGGTCGTCCTCACCCTCATGATTGTCGCTCCAGTTTCCGCTGATGCCATTATGGCGCGTAAGGGGGGCGGTGGCGGCGGTGGCAGGGGGGGGCAAGAAACCGAAGCCCAAGGGCGAGAAGCCCGATGAGCCAAAAACCGACTGCAAGGCAGGATCCAAGAAGTGTGGTTCAGGCGACAATGCCGAAGAGTTCTGGCTCTACAATTGCAACAGCGCCGGCAGTTGGGAGCAGGGAACAGACTGTACTAACGGATGCGTCGGCGGCCCAAATGATCCCCACTGCTGGTAGAGACATGGCTTGATACTCTTGCGGGAGTGTACTCACCGGGGTGGTGACTTGACAACATCGGATTGACAGTGAGTGGACAGTCTAATCACACCCCTTTCTATAGCGCTGATTTTGTTATAGGTCATCGAGGACATTGACCTTGAGCAACGAGAATCGGAATTGATACTGGGGGAATGTGGATAGATGGTGGGACTGAGTACAAGGGATACTCCATTATCTACCAAACATCATGGTTCTCATGTTCAAAGTGCCCTTGATGTAATAATGACAATGTGCGTGCGTTCGTCCTCCATGCCCCAAGGTGATCTGCTCTTGCTGTTACTATCTGTCCCGTCTAGAGGCTCAAAGCGTTTGTTCCAATCACCACAGAATCCAGTTAACTATCTGATCTTTGCTCCCATCCTCTACCGCTCTTTTGAAGGCAGCTGACTGCTTCAGACGCATCAGCATCCCGCTTACCTGCCTCACCTGATCACACGAACCTCTGAAGATCCCGCGATTGGGGTATTATGCGTATATAGCCAGACTTCTTCTCCTCGACTACTACTCACCTCCATCATACTTCCCTCACACTCCAAGCCCACCTTCAAGCCCACCTTCAAGCTTCCTCTACGCTCCCACCACAGTCTAAGACAACAACGAAAAGACTCGTCCTCATCAATATCACCATGAGGCTGTCGTCTACCCTCGTTGGCCTCTTCATGCTCGCCCGTCCCATCTTGGCTAAGGACCCCCCCAAAATGATTCCCGGCTGGAAGTGCCGCGACTACGACTTCAAGTGTCTTGATGGCGCACAGATTGGTTACTGCATGGACAAGGGTTGGCACACCAGTGAGGCCCGCGTTGGTCCTTATGCCAAGTGCGTCATGCGGGAGGGCAAGCCTTACTGCACGCATGGCTAAACGGCGTACGCCCTGGCGAGGTGTTGGGTGTGTGTCCACGCACATTGATGGCTCGATGTCACGGAGAGGTCGAGGTAGGGGCGCTACAACATTAGCAATCGAAGCTTTACTGAAAACTTGGTAGGATCTATCTCGACAGGGTGGGTATGGTCTACCATTTTTTCGATTACTGGGTCTTCCAGATACTGGAGTGTACGGGAACAGACTGGAGTGTGTTTTGTGTGTTACTAGTGATATATTAAACACGGCTTTGGATCTATGTGCACTGTGAAATATTCTTAAAGGACTGACATTTCAACTACCAATATACATTTCACAATTCATCAGATTTTACTTCCTCAAACAGCCGACCTATATTGATTCGAGTCTTCAACGTGGTTTCTAAGACAATATTTCCAGTGGCAATATGTTCATGTTGGCTACCATCCTCACCAACTTGCTTCATCAGAACCTGACATGGATGTGCTTATTCTGAAAGGGCCTTGGGTGCATCCATTATGAGGCAATCATCGCTAAACGTGCGTGCGGCGGCTGTATTGGTCATTACCGCTTTACGAAACTTCTCACAAGTGGCCGCATGGATAAAGCCAAGCACCTATTGTAATTGCAGTCATTAAATAACTTCTTGAATATGTGGTATTGTACCTTGCGCCACTTTATGCAAGTCAGAAGGAAGGGGACTGCTTCATTCTGATAGAGAGCTGAAAGATGTTGCAATGAGCCACGAATAATTTGGTCAGCAAATTGGCCGGACTTTTCTGAGAGAGCGAAGACCATAGTGTGTACTGTGCGGGCGACTCGGCAGATGATCATTCTTAAGAATGTAATCCCTGAAGCTATGCTCGAAAAATGTGAAGTCTATAGTCATGGTAGCCACTCCTCCAGACTGCAATCACAATAACCATCCAGTCCGCGATGACGACTCACGTTTCAAAAGAACGACAAAGCTCTGAAATGGAAAAATACTTCTTCACTAAAACAAGGTACGCTCAGACGTCCTTTGCCTGATTGTATCATCAGTGAAGAGACACGCGTTGGTAAAACCAACTATCGACGTCACCTACCTATCAGCCGTGTACGTGCTCTCACTCGTTTACCTCATCTTCGTGCCCATCTCCACAGCCACCTTTACTCCTGTTTGCTTCCCGCGCGTCGCGGGCACTAGCTTCCCAGACTGAGGATTGAGCTTATATAGCTGATGTGAAACCCATCTTCTCCTCTTCTTTCCTACACGCACCTCATCAACTTCAACTACTCGACAAAGCAAACTCGACTACTCCTTCAAACCAAAATCCGTCACCTCTGCACCTTCAACATGAAGTTCCTGTGCACCCTCATTGTCATTGCGGCCTATGTCATCGCCGTCTCCGCCAAGACCGACTGCGCAGCCTCCGACCAATGCAGCCCCAACGGCTCCATGCGGTGCGGTTGGTGTTCCTAGCTACGTCACTATTATCATCCTACTTCTAACGCACTGACCAGGCGTTTTTCGCCGTCGAGGCGCCGTCATGCATTGCGTGAACGGCTGTTGGGTGGCCGGAGACATCTGCGGTATCGGACATTGTAAGATTGCCCTCGCCATAGGACATGAAGGGTCTCGTGTGACTTCGCTAATTTGTCAAAAGGTCAGAACAGCCCGACCCCTCACTGTGACTGAGGTCCTCTCTTGTGAAAGCGGGAACATTTCGTGGGATACTGTGACAGAACCAACTGGATGGAGGCAGATACAGAGCCAGGGACCAGGTGGATAGTGAATAATGAGGCTTTCATGTGCCAGCCTATGGCACCTGAACTTATGTCATGATATTAAATCTATCTTTGTGGTCCCGTAAATGTTCTCGCTGTCGTGCCTCACTTACTGCACACGGTTGGTTTTGTGATGTGAAGAGCTAATTGGCGTTTGCGCGCCCCGCTTCATCTCTCGCAGATTACGGCGGGTCCGCTTCCGGCCTGTCATGTTCCTTCTACACCTGTTTAACTGTAATGTTTTTTGCATTTGTTCTTCTCCTGTCCCCCAAGCTTGAATCAATACACTCGTCTTGGCAGGACATTGCTCACGCTTCATGCCCCACTCCCTGTGAACCTTCAACAACGCAAAAACTGACAATCCTTACACTACAATATGAGGCTCATACTTACCCCTCCAAGATAATCTCCTTTTTGAAGTCCATAATTTCTGTGCCTGCTAATCGCGACCCATGTGCTGCATCCAGTATCTACTGCGGCCACCCCCGTGTGACACCAGGCGCGCAATCACTTGCAATCACTTTCTCCGAATTCAATGTACTTTATAGAAACCTCCTGTCGAAAATTACGTCTAGACCTTCAAGTATGGGGTTTGAAGATATTGGCGGACAATATGGATCTCGCGTCGGGCATGAAACAATGTCGCATCTACTGATGCTCCTACCATGCTGTAGGAAGGTATTCAATTGCAAATGCAACCCATGCTTAATGATTGCCCATCCGTCCATTCGAGGAGATTTAAATCTGTAACAGTATATTTTGACTGATTTCAGTGCGCTAATGTTCGTAGTGTTGTGGCATCTAGCAGCGTTAGCGTACCGTATGTAGCTCAACCATGGAACAACGAAACCGCTCGGGCAAGGCTCGATAATGTCGTCAAAATTTGGTCACGATATAGTTTCAAAATTACACTAGCATATCAGGCCTTATAGTCACTTCAAGCGATCCATGGATGCACGAATGATCCCACTTTTATTGAAAAGCCTTGTAATTGTAAACTCGCACTCGTTCCAGCTCTACCCACGTCTCTGTTTTCCAGCATCCCTCTTCAGAGCAAAAATCATTTCACAAACTCGTCGAATACAACTACTACACCCAAGATGAAGCTCTCCGACACTGTTATCGTCGCCTGTGTGACTCTTCTCCCCGTCGCCCTTGCCGCGGACTATAGTGCTGGATGCAGTGACAAAAATATGGGCGAGTCCATGTGCGGTAAGTACATGCCCTCCTCATAATCGTCACTGAAGGAATATGGTGACTAACCTTTGCATAGGTGGGATCGGTCACAGACGCCTCAGACGATGCTACAAAGGCTTGTGGAGAAACTTTCAATGCCCGAGAGGATGTAAGTTATACTCCGATGCTGTACTTGCGCGATGTTGATTCGATGTAGGCACTCCAATTCCTTTTGCCCAGTGCTCGACATACGAATTTACTTGGATGGTTGACCCACCCGTAAATCTGACTGTCGCCACAAACATCACCGTGCCCGCCGATTTGACTGTCGCAAACAACTCAACGGAGCTGCCCGTTCACTAAATCTTTTGAGATGCAATGATCATCGGAGAGCTCCGGCGATGTCGCCTGCTGCTAACCGAAACTTCGATAGGATCGAGTAGCAGAAATATTGGCATCCTGCCGGCAAAATTATAGACTATTGATTGGTAGAAACACTTGTATCGAGTTACTTCTTAACATATGATACCGCGTTCACTCTCAATTCATCCATTTAATCACTGCTGTGCGTGGAATCATTGCACTGTGAAAATACTAAGCTCTCGAATAGTTCCAAGCAATCGCGGAGATTGAAGTGTGAGCTGAAACGGAAATATAGGTGCACTCTGTGCGACCATCGTTTGTACACAAGTGACTAGCTGTGTCCCTGTTGTGTATCCATTGGAAGCCGCAGCAAGCCGGACAATATCCAGACTCGACAAAATGAGGCTTAGCGGCGATGAGGCTGAATAGACTTATTGCACTACTTTAATTGTGATTCTATGAGCCTCGAGTGTTCATAATATATGGTTACCATTCTTTACTTCTAATACTTATGCAGGCCCCATGATCGAGGTTCATGCTCAAATATAGCTTGGCTCATTGAGCCATTTCAGCGAAGCTTCAATGGACACTGCCGCAGAGTAGACAAATGGTCCTACGATGTCACCACGTCGACATCCCGTTACCTGGGAGTGACACAAGAAAGCTTTTAGTAAGTCTCATCGCCCTATCGTGTTTCACTTTTCCCGGACCTTGAACAGAAGCCCGACCATGGAGCTACTACATATGCTACTGGCCCCCATATTTCCTCGGAGAATCGTGGTTGATGCTAAAAAAACCACTAGATTCAATACGTCCTCCTCCCGATATTTCACAGCCGAGACTGCCATCGCTTCCACGAAAGTGCCAGCATGGGTGTTTGGCAACTCCAGGTCGAATTTCAAGAGGACGCTCACGTACGAGGTATCAGATAATTGGCTGCCAATGCTATGTTGTTACGAAGGTAGCCATCTAGATCAGTGCATTGAGCAAGAACATGTCATTTGCTGACTTGATCAATTGTCGTTCCCGATGGTCCTTCTGAAAACTTCAGTATGTATCACCGTTCCGCTACATGCGCCCTAGAACTGCTGTCCGAATTTGCGCTGTTTCCCGCTCTTGTCACTTCTTGCGCAAGAAGTGACAGAGCGAGACGGGTAACACGAGGCGGACCATTAGCCGCTCCGACTTTGACTCGCCATTGCCACAAGACACAAATTTCAGCACAATATCGCAACCGTAAAAGTTCTTGCCCTTGATGGCGTAAGCTTAGACCTCTTTGAAAGAATACATATTCTGCCCTCCACTTCCTGTTTTACTCTGGACCCCACTTTCCAATCGGACAACTCCACTTTTACTCCTACTACCAATAATCCCTCGAACAGCCACTACATAGACAGCCCCAAGATGCAGTTCACTAACTTCGTTGCCGCTATGGCATTCATCTTTGTCGCTTTCGCGATCGACCCGACGGCCCGCTGCAAGCCTTGCCCCATCCTCGATGGCAAGCAGTGCGGTCCTCCTATCAACAATAACGTTCAGCAGTGCAAGACCACGAAAAAGGGCCTATGCTGGGAAATCATTACACTGCAATGAGCAGCAGTATGAGACTTGTAAGCCGATGATGTACTGCTGCTGCTCTTGGGGCGCAATTTCTGACTGTGCTGGTATAGGTGTCGAGAACGATGGATTCCACTGCGCCGTTGTGACTGGCATTTAACTCTTCGACTGGCTTCACCATTCTGCGTGGAGAAGAGAACATTCCATTTCACAACGCAGCCGTTGGGGCCGGGTAGCAAGCAGAGAAATGCATTTCGCGAAATTCAACAATATTTTCGCTTTCGCTGGTCCCGACACCGCTTGAGATTACTATAGGTAGCGAAGAAGGTGGTACGCAATACACATAGATGTGGTAAGCTAAGGTTCGGATAATCGGGAAGTTGGTCACTGTGGTATTGTCGTTTCCAAGGTTGCGTATCCAATAGACCCCCTCTTTGCCAAAAACCCCTTCAATTTACTGGTTAAATGATTCCTAACTCTTTATTAGCTGAAATTTTTATGGCTCATAGACTCAAGGTCTAAAGTCGACCGTGGTAGCCAGTACTGTAGACTTTTGCCTAAGCACTGAGCGTAGGAGCTTCGGATCGAGGGGCCGAAGATACATACATATACAAGCATAAATCTACTTTGAAGGGAGACACATTCCGTACGCAACGCACCGATATCAAGAATCACAGGCTTCGTTCAAACCTTTCTCCGAGGCCTACGACACGCTTCAATCCATCTACACGTCCCCTGCCCAAGCTCCATCCCCCATCAACCAGCAGCAAATCATGCACTTCTCTAGATCCATCACCCTACTAGCTCTCGGCGCCATTGCTGCCGCCAAATATCTACCTCCACATTGCGATAGGATATGCCCCAGTTCCCATCACGGCAAGAGAATCTGCGACGGGCCCAATTTTATAATGGAGTGTCAACATCGTGACAGGCGTCCGCCTGGCGGGTGCTACAAAACTATACTTCTCTGCCTTGAGACCTTATGTGAGCGAATAATTGCGCTGATCAACTCCAAGTACTAAGGGCCTAACATTTCGACAGGTAAAGACGACGATGGTGAGCAGGCGCGCTGTACCAACTGGAATGCGACCTCGGCAGGTGAGTCTTGAGCGACGGTGGTATGGTCACGGCTGGACCAATAAGCGGATGGTGATACAGAAGAAGATGGTCACTGCTGAACCGACGAACGGATGACGATCACGGAGGAGCTAGTATTAATACACTCAAATTGCCATTTCCACTTGCCTACACCTCACCAGCTCAAGCTTCGTTTGTCAAAGCTAAACTACAGTGCCACGAATCCAAATATGTACCTCGTCACTCTCCTTGCTCTTGCCTACACCTTCTTCAGCGTCGCCATCGCCAAGATCCCGCCCCCAGACTGCTCGAATTGTCCCGACATCGGCGCCAAACGCTGCCACTACGCAAACTTCAAGCGTCAGGTCCAGGAGTGCAAATATGACACGAAAGTAGCCCATGGGTGCTGGAAGACATTCCAGAGTTGTGGCCTACATACCTGTAAGTCACAGTTGGTCAGGTTTGCGCAACAGAGGGCTGAAATTGCGACAGGTACCGAAGATGGCGGAGCACACTGCTGGGAGAACTAGATGCTGGGATGGGATTGGGCGAGCGTGCGCAGATAGCGGTCACCGCTGGACCAATTAGTGGATTGTACAAACGGAGGAGATATTCACATTCTTGAGCGTTATTTCCTGTCATTCACTTCAGCTTCATCTCCATCCTACTTTAGTTGATCTACCAATCATCCAGCCAAGCTGCACCCCGATCGATCAACCATAAGAATACCCCATTGATCTCACAATGCACATCCTCAACCTCACCCTCTTCTTCGCTTTCGTCGGCGCCGCCGATGCCAACTTCCAGGGCTGCACACCTTGCCGCACGGTGGATGCCAGGCAATGCGCAGGACAAGGCTCAGAGCAACGGCTCGAGGAATGCGTATCTGACGGAACGCCCTACGGTGGATGCTGGAAAAAGCTGCAACAGTGCTCGTGTAGGTTCACTGCGCCTATACGGTTTGAAACAATAAAAACTAAAACGTTCGCAGGCAGTAAGGCAGGTGGAGCGCACTGCACGTAGTAGGTGTGATAGTACTATGGGCAGGAGCAATACAGAGAGAAGGCAGTCACTGCTGGACAAATTGGGGGCTTGTATAAAGGGAGGAGCAAGATGGTGTCTCTGTTTACCCTTCATCTTTTAGCAACTCTACTTCTGCTTCTTCTACCACACAATACTACATGTTATCCCATCACACTGCTGCACAAAGTTCGCCTTTCCTAAATTGCAACTCACGCTACAATGAATGGGTTGGCTATTCGCGCTGTTCTGGCCCGACAATCACGATTGTAAGTTACGCCCAACGACCTGGGACTGAGACAGTCAAACCGTGGTCATGCGTATTGCGAGAAGAACTAGATGATGAGGTGAGAGCGTGTGGGAAGGGTCACAGCTGGACCAATACGGAAAGCGGCGGAAGGTGTGGGAGTCACTGGGTGAGACACTGTTGTTGTTGGTTTTTTTGCAAATTTCTGAACAGAAGCTTCGAGTTTACAGTCCAGCTACTTGTTTTTGCATATTTGTAACGTCTACTCATATTGCGTATGTCACAATGGCAGAGAACTCGATCAACATATCGTTTGCAAGACCAGAACTCGTGTTTCCACAATCTGCCTAACCTGTTAAGTCTGGAGAAGATTATGACAGGACACCGCATGTCGCCTCTCACCTCTCACCTCTCACCTCTCACCTCTCACCTCTCACCTCTCACCTCTCACCTCTCACCTCTCACCTCTCACCTCTCACCTCTCACCTCTCACCTCTCACCTCTCACCTCTCACCTCTCACCTCTCACCTCTCACCTCTCACCTCTCACCTCACTCGCCTCTGCCCACGTAGGTATAAAGAGCCTCTGCTCCAACTGATGTCTTCCTCATAAACCCTCGCCCTCGACTCGACAGACGACGATCCTCGAAATAAATAAACCGCGTCTCAAACAACCGACCGACCAACAAGAAACAATGCAATTCCTCATCACCATCCTCCTGGCCCTCTCCGCCACGGTCCTCGTCTCCGCCAAGCACCACCCCAACCCCAAGAAACCGTGCGATCACTGCGAAAGATGAAGGCCAGACTTTGTGTGGCAACAAGAGCGATGGATCGTCCGTCGGTGTCATCTGCACCAACCACTGCTGGGTGGTCAAGTAAGTGCTTACCCTGGTCCTTGTGCTCGCGTAGATGTAAAAGCTGACGTTATGATAGCCCTGACCAGCACTGTTAAGTGCGAGATGGAGTGAGGTGGAGATAGATGACTTGGTGGGATACTTTAGTTGAAGGTTTGAGGTGTCGATGGAGCAGTGGATGGACCTGTGGACTGTGAAGTCGGGAGAATTGAAAGTTCTTCTTCGAAGTATTGTGTCCTTTGGGTGATACATTCAGTTTTGAAATGCGTGATTTGATGTTGCGAAGTTTTGGCAAGCAACTGATGTGCAGATAGAGTGCTGACATGAAGTTCGTGTGTCACGTGATGGTGCACCCATCTATGGTCGGGATCTTCAGTCTTCGATCGATCCTGATCTACAGAACTACTAGAGCAGCTTCTCCATGCAGCGAATCTTACATTTGGATGATATTTCTGCTCGCGTGAGTTCAATGTTTGGATGTGTTTTGATGTTGTTATTGGTCACGGGGTCTACCTAGTCTCAAGTCCATGGATGCAGGTGCGCCACATGTGCAGCGTACCTCGAAATGCGGCCTGTCGAAACCTTCTGAAACGAAATTTCAACGGCTCTTCCGGCAAGCGCTCACCCAATCAGACCTGACGCCTCGCGCTTCTTGACAGCATAAACGTTTTGATTAAACGCTTCCAGGGACCAATTATGTGAAACCACGACGTGGAGCGCCCATGTTCACGATAGGTAAGGCGCACAGCTATGCCAGCTGAAAACGAGAGATAGGATCGGACCGGAGTATGCGATGCAAGAATAGCTCTGAAGATTCGATAATACGAGCGTTACGTACCCCAAGGTTGAAGAATCCACGAGGTCCCAGTAGCGTTGCACTCCGCAAAAGGTCCGCGAACTGGCCTAGGCGATCTTCTGCAAAACAAGGCAAACGCACGGGTTGTCCCCTGGTCTCGACCAAAAATACTTTGCCGGAGCCCGCGTTGACAAGCACCGGCGTCTATGCGAGGAGCTGCCTGGCCAATGATGGTGCAGGATCAGGGCTCATAGCCAAGCACTGGCGGCGTCATTTGGCGTGCCCTTTTGTTCTGCGCGGCTTCTTTGAGCGCTGATCCCGCGACCACTTTCCTTCATCACGAGCCCATTGTGCGCTTTCCTCTCCGTCATTTTCCTTGCATTGTCTCTGATACACTTTATTGCCTGACGCTCGCTAGAGTCACTTGAGATCGTCTTTGCCGCCGCAGAGAGATCCTAGCAGAAATGCACTGAGCACCTGAATCCCTAGCTTGCCTGTCGTTACACACATACACCACTGCAACCACTGTAGCAGGTAAAGCCCGCCACATCACACTCGCTCAACCCTCCGTACACATCTCGCTCTGCAATGAACACGCTACACAACATGCTCCCGCGGGACGGGAGCGTCGGGGATAAGTTCAAGGAACTGCTCAATAATGACCCATTAGGAGCGAAGGTGCGTACCTGCCCCAAGCTGTGCAGCTTCCAGGACAGCAGCTAACGACAGCAGGTACAACAAACATCGGTCCTCGTCGCCATAGGCACAGCTCTCGGAATCAGTGCCGCCATCTTCCTCGTCTTCCTCCTGTTGCGCCCCTTCAACACCATCGTCTACGCGCCCCGTCTCCGCCATGCCGACGAGAAGCACCGCCCGCCGCCCATGGACAAAAGTCTGTTCGCCTGGTACCGGCCTGTGTTCAAGACCAACGAGGATGCATACGTACACATGATTGGACTAGACGCAACCATATTCCTGCGCTTCGCTCGCATGTGCAGGAACATGTTCGTCGTGCTGTCCATCGTTGGATGTGGCATAATCATCCCTGTGAACGTCATCAAGGGAGTCGAGTTCAACAAGAAAGGCAATTTTGCTGGTGTTGAGGCCATCATGCTGATGACACCAAAAAGCCTGTTTGGCCCCATCTTGTGGGCTTTTGTTGTTGTTGCCTATCTTTTCAACATCATTGTCTGTGGGTTTCTGTGGTGGACATATCGTGCAGTACATCGCCTGCGAAGAAATTATCTTGAGGGATCAGAATACCAGAATGCGCTGCACTCTCGCACGCTTATGATTACCGACATAAAGAGGAACTTTCGCTCAGACCAAGGCCTTGTCGAGATCACAGACAGCCTGCGTACCACGCCTGAAGTTCCGCGCGCTACCGTTGGGAGGAACGTAAAAGATATTCCCGATCTCATCGAAGAACACGAAAAGGCAGTCATCCAGCTGGAGTCTGTGCTGGCAAAGTACCTCAAGAACCCGAATCAGCTGCCCGCTACACGTCCACTATGTGCACCAAGCAAGAAGGACCCCGAGTTCACCGACAAGAAGCAAAAGGTGGACGCAATCGACTACCTCACAGCCCGCATCCAGCGCCTCGAAGGTCAAATCAAGGAGGCCCGTGAGACAGTGGACAAAAGAGACGCCATGCCATACGGCTTCGCTAGCTACGAGACAATCGAGTCAGCTCATACCGTTGCGTATGCAGCACGTAACAAGCACCCCAAGGGAACAACTGTGCGTCTGGCTCCCAAGCCAAAGGATGTCATCTGGAAGAACTTGCTCCTAGACGCAAAGACAAGACGCTGGAGACGCTTCATCAACCATGGATGGATCTCATTGTTGACGATATTGTACTTCATTCCCAACGCCCTCATTGCCATTTTCTTGTCAAAGCTTCCCAACCTGGCCTTGGTGTGGGAGGCGTTCAGTGTAGAACTGAACAGGCACCCGGGGTTCTGGGCGGTCGTGCAAGGTATTCTAGCACCCGCGCTTACCTCGCTCTTCTACTACTTCCTGCCCATCATCTTCCGTCGCCTGTCAATGAGAGCAGGCGATTTCACAAAGACCTCACGAGAGCGCCACGTCACTGCTCAGTTGTACAACTTCTTCGTCTTTAACAACCTCTTCGTTTTCTCGTTGTTCAGCGCAGCTTTCGGCATGATCACTCTCGTTGTCAAATATGCCAGGGACGAGCACCAGCCATTCATGCAGATCATCCGCGAGATTCAGATTTTCGACACGATCATGCAGACCTTGTGCAACGTCTCGCCTTTCTGGGTGACATGGCTTGTGCAGCGTAACCTCGGTGCGGCTATCGATCTGTCACAGGTTGCCAATCTCGCTTGGGGTTCCTTCTCACGCAAATTCTTGAACCCTACACCAAGGGAGCTCATCACCCGAACCGCCCCACCTCCATTCGACTACGCCAGTTACTACAACTACTTTCTTTTCTACTCAACCGTAGCGCTATGCTTTGCGCCCTTGCAACCTGTCACGCTTGTCGTCGTAGCCTTCTACTTCTCGATCGACTCGTGGATGAAGAAGTATCTGCTCATGTACGTCTTCTGTACCAAGAACGAATCTGGTGGTCTGTACTGGCGTATCCTTTTCAACCGAATGTTGGTCGGTGTGATGCTCTCAAACTGCATCATTGCACTACTGTGCGTCGCGCGTGGCTTTGATCTGAAATGGACAATGCTCGGAGCCATGGTTCCACTGCCGCTTGGACTAGTGGCTTTCAAGTTCTACTGCAAGAACACTTTCGACAACTCCATCAAGTACTACACGATTGGCGACATTATCAAGAAGGGCTCCGAGGCACCGCCTCCTATTGACAAAGAATCGCGGAGGCGGGATCGCGTCGCTGTGCGCTTTGGGTAAGTTCAGCGTGAAAGGACATCACGTGATAATTGCTAACGTTCGAATAGCCACCCTGCTCTCTATCAGAAACTCACCGTTCCGATGGTTCACGAGAAGAGCAAACATCTTCTGGCCGAGGTTTATCGCGGTCGTCTCGATGGCGATCTCGGTGACACAGCCGCTTTCAGCGATACTTACACCATGAAGCGCATGAGCAAAGACCACCCCGGCAAGACAGCTGCACAAACAGGACCGTTCGAGTTCGTAGCCGAGGACAATATGGATTTTGAGAACTTTAAGAACCGCCCTGAGTTCAGCGATGAGCATGGCGGCGGCGGTTCGGTGTACGGCGATGCCAGCACAATCGGTCGTCCCGATACGCCTGGCTCGGCTTTCGGTGATAGAGGAAGAAGCACATCGAGGGACTCCGCGCGGACATTGAACGACGAGCCCGGTATGACTTACCCAGCTGGGTACCACCAGACACCCAGCAACCTTCGCGAATACAGCCCCAGTCCCGCTCCTATATCGCGAATCGAGAGTAACTCGTCACCGTATGAAATACCTCCACAAACAAACTTGCTGTCCGGTGCGGCGCCCATGGGTCACGACCAATACACACCGTACAGCCCCAATCGAGACGGTCAGCAGGACTATTTCCGGAGATAATGTCTGGCACTTGAAGTGGCAGGAGAAAAAATATGCAACGAATTTCTTATGTAGATTTAAGGCATCAGCTAGCCATCGCATCGCATTTTAGATGGCGTTATGCAAGAGCCATTGAGCCTGCAAGAGGTTGTGACAACTTGTTCGCGATTCAGCGACTTGAATAGAATTATTTAATACTGCATATTCCTAACGCACCTGTAATTTCCCAAGGCGTATATTGGTGATTGATGATACAAAGCCACGATATGTCGGTTGGCGTGGGCATATGCCTGTGACTTTCAAAGCCGGTGCGAAACCACGTACCCATCCCATCATTTCGCACGCAGATGCAAACATAAACTCGATCACTCATCATGTTCCTTCTTTCCTCAAAATACCTGCGCAGTCCCGGCGTATCTCAAAAAGCCATCGAGACAGAAGATCATGTCTTTGCGCTCGGACAGCCACCTCTTCCAATAATGAAAACATCCGCACAATCGGCATATGTGCTTCTTCCCTCTACTCACTCGTCAAAAACACTTCACTTCCCTAGATGCTTTCCAAAAGAGTCGATTTGAAATCGGATGGCGCGTGGCTCTGTCTGTCTTTGTTCCCTTTGTTCTTATCAAAAAAAAACATATTTCTCATTGGATGAACACCAAAACGAAAGTACACTGCGGGCTATGGTATGGTTTTGCTGTGAGTGCTGGGAAAACCCAAAGAAGTACGGTGGAGATATCCATGTCTGAAAGAGAGGGTGTCGCGTAGCATGCGGCGCTGCTGTCTGGTGTTTGAAAAGTTACGGCGCGCCAGTACTATGTTCATTGACCGGTGGTGAGAAAGACATTTCTGGTATGGCTTTCCTTGGCTACAGGAGCTTGAGTGTATGCATACTTTAAGTTTTGCTTCTGCTCGATATAAACCACACATCTTTTGCTTTCATCACAAATCATCGAAGCAAGTGTCATGTGCTCTGGTCGACGAAAATAAAGATCAGAGAACTGGACGTGTTGCCGGCGTGACTTGTTGCCTGGACTTCAAAAACATGTCACTCCATACGTATGTGTGGCGCGCCAGCGATGAGTGGCAGTGCGATAGAATGGAATGACTCCAATACACCGAACAACTATATGTCCAAAAGAGTACAACAGATTTCCAATATTCAACTCTTCGTGAGGCGCGATTCATTCAAAGTGCTATGTATGCGAGCTATAGAATCTCTCGGGCACAGTCAATTTGAAAATGACTGGATCAGTGTGCTCATCTTAGGATGAGGCAACGTTGACATATTTTCGCGCAGCAACTATCATAAACGTCTCTCTGATGTGTTTGCTGACGAAGTATTTGTTCAATGAACGCGACAAAGCGTGTGCTCCAGCTTTATGTACACTGAGTCATATTCTTTACATCCTTCATGTCATGAGTCTCCCCATGCCGCGACTTCGTACCTCCCCTCATCTCTTCTGCCCATCCTCCTCCCCAAACCGCATACACTTCCACCGCCCTCTCCAAATGCTCCAACAACCCCATCTTCTCCTCATAAATCTCCTTCTTGTCCAGCATCTCGTCCCTCAAGACGCCCACCGTCGCACTAAATCCCTCCAACGCTCCCAGCAGCGCAAGCGACGTATCAATCGTATCCAAGTGACCCATATTCGCGCTCTTGGCTTCGTTCAGCGTCGCGAGGATCAGCTCGCGCGTACTGAACGTCTGCACGTCGATGGAGCGGAGGGTCGAGGCAATAGAGACGGTGGAGTGCAGGCTGGGCGATGGGGAGGTGTTGGTTTCTTCGGCGATATCTTCGAGGACGGAGGAGGCGCGGCTGTTGGGGCGGTCAGAGGGGTGTTGCTGGTGCTTGTAGGCCAGCGGCGAGTCTGGGATCTCGGTGGTTCGCACGTTCTGGTCATACCGGACAGTTTCTTTCGATGTCACGGCGGTTGTAGTACTGTACGGTGCAACAGGCGCGACTTGGGGAGGTGGTACGGCATCGCGCGATTTGCTGTTTGGGCCGTGGCGGAAGATGTAGCGGAGTAGGCTCTTGGGCGCCATCGTCTTGAGAATGGCAAGGTTGAGTAGATTGGGTAATTTAGCTGGACTACTATTGTCGCGAAGTTCGTGAGGAGCGAGAGTCTCGCTCAGTCTCTCACTGTAGCCCATGGGTGTTGCTGCAGAAACGCGAGACAACAGCGTTTGCGCGGGAGACAAACAAACGGAGTTCAAACATCGGCGGTGAAAGTGAAAAAGCAAAATCGATCAGATAGAAGAAAAGTGAAACTTTTGTAGGTATGGTGACGCAGTGAGGGGCCATCATGTCTAATTTGCTGTGGAATGTGGTCTTCACCAGATGTTGAGCGCATTAATCTTGCAGTCATCAAAAAGGTGACACGACAGATGAACACAAGCGATTTGATGTCATTCTTATAAAAGTTAGCCAGGTACAATAAGCTCTATGGTACTCATGTGGTTCTAATATGGCTGTTGACGTACGTTTATCGTCGACATAGCGCTCGTCGCATGGAATGTAGAGGCGAATTTGCGTAAGAAAATGGGCCACAGTAGCTTCCGAAAAACTCATAGTATGATTGTGCGTCAAGGTATCATGATTCCACACAAGCACAGGAGAGTTAAAGACGTACACATCACCTTTCCTATACACCAATATCCTCCACCCTCAACAACCCATCCCCCATGCCCGCAACGGCCCAATCCCCAAACTTAAGATTCGGATTCCACGCCAACGCCGTAACAGCAGATGGCTCCTCATATACCGTGACACCCTTGCCCACCTCTGGATTCGGGTTTTTCTTCGACATGATAGAGTGCTGGATGCCTGGCTGAAGCGCCTTATAGCCCTCCGTAATGCGAGCGAGGGGCTGGTCTAGGAAAGACTGGGGTGGCGCGTTGGCATCAGTGACTGGACCACCGTCTGCCATTTCCACATCTTCTTCTTCGTCTTCCTCGCCGGGTTTTGTCCGAACGAGATTGGATATGGGACCGCGCCATTCGTGCTTGAACCAGGTTTGCTGCCAGGGGATGATTTTGTAGTTACATATTCTTCCGACGGGATTGCTGGCTTCGACTCGTCCGTCTGCGCCGCCAATTAGGATGCCGGGATGAACCGGGCTGGCTGCACAGCGGGTGATGATGCTTTCTGCTCGCATGGTGTATAGGTTGTGGTAGTAACGTCGGATTGGGTTGTGTCTGATCATGTAGTATTCATCTGGTGCAATGAATGATTGAGTCTGTTCGTGCCAGTCTTGGGTCACGGAGAGTGTGCGACCACGTATTGAAGCTGTGTTGTCCGCTTTGGGTGTACGAATGTCATAAAGGCGACCGAACCCGTCGGCAGTAGTGACGGAGACCAACTGTGGCTGAGAGGGATAGCCCGATGCGAGAGTGAGAATGTATGTGTCGGCGATTTGTTCGTAGAACCATGGTCTGGGAGAGCTTTGTGTTGCTTGTTGGTCGGAGAAAGTGTCTGATCGCGTCAGAGTCCAGATGGCCAACGTGCCGATCGCAGTTGCTACACCAAGTGTGGTGCCTGATAGCCATCGTAGACATGTAGGGACGGTCTGTGGAAAGCTGACGTCGAAAGCTGCTTGTGAAATGTGAAGGTATTGTGTCTCTGAAGAGTTCATGGCCGACCGAGGGCAAGAAACATCGAGAATCCGTACTCTTCCGTCCGACCATATTCCTGCTAGAAGTCCGATATGAGCATTATCCTGCTCTTCCGTACGACCCAGTTCGTTGCTTGTATCTATAGGGCACCACCTAAACTGTTTCGGTGCACCCCAATCCGTGCAGATGACGAGCTGAAGTCGCGGCTGCTTCGATACATCAAACTCCCCTTTTTCGTTCGCATCGAATGCCCAAAGCTGAATCGAAGCAGGAAACGGCTTCGTAGCAGAAAAGGCAGGTGCTTTCGGATTCTCCATCGGCTTTGGTCGAGGCATCGCCATAGACTTCTGCTCAACAGCGACCGCAAGGTACTGCGTGCTACCTTCCTCGTTGGCCGACCACTGGGCATCTTGTATCCTTGAGCCAAGATTGAACAACCACCCTCGCCTGCCTTGCTTTTGCTTGAAAGGCTCTGCCACATTGAGGTATGAGAGCTTTTTCAGCGTGTACACTTCGGGTTTGTCGACGGGTCCGCACAACACGTTGAGCGACTCTGCGCCATCATTGACTAGATAAGATGTAGCTTCCTCTGCGGTCAGGCTCCTACTCTCTTGGACCTTTGCAAATACCTGTCGTCCAGTATCTGCATACCAAGTCCTCGTAGTCTTGATCTCCTGTTCCCTCGCCGCCGGACTTTCAAAGAAGCTTCTTCGTATGCTGCTCTCTCCTGGACGATAATCCTTCACCGGCAAAGTCTCCTGTTGTGTCAATAGTCCCGCCCAAAAGTCACGGGTCTGTAGAACCGCTGTTAAGTCATCACTTTTGGGCCCAAATAAGTCCTTCAATCGCACTTCTTGCCCTCCGGACTTTGTGAACTCTGGAACACCTCGAGTGCGTAGCGGTGTGGCTGCGACTGCTTTGGCTGCTGTGCCGCCTCCACGGGTGATGCGAATGGGCACTTTCATTTTGTTATTGCCCAGCTTGATACGGGGTCCCGATCCTTTTCTGCGCTTGCCATCCGTGGTATCAGGCGTCGGAACGGAGTCTATCTCGATAATGTTGATTTCGGGTGTCTCGGGTGTTTCAGGCCTTTCTTGCTCTGAATCGTCATCTTGGTCTGAGTCGCTGGTAGCTACCATGTCCTCATCGTCAACTTCTTCTTCCACCTCTTCCTCAGCATCGGGCATGAAGTCGTCCTCCTCCTCTTGTGGCTCAGTGAAGTCAGGCGACTGTCGGCCAGAGGTCACGGAGTCGGCATCTTCGTCGAGAAAGCTGTACTCATCCTCGACGCGATAGGACTTGCGCTGCGTGCCACGTGACTGGCGGCGTGGCCCTTCTGTACACATATTGTTAGCATATTGCAATTGGACGTAGCGCGGAGAAGGTACCGTCAGACATCCTTACGGGGATTTCATCCAGTGGCCAATGCACAGGATGTAGGCTAGACTTCCCTTTTTGAGCAGAAGTAGCGATCGGACAGGAATCAGCGACATGGGCGTCGAACGAGTTCCCCACCTCTAGCGCTGCGCACAGACCTTCACTCAAAGAGCCCCGCACACAGCCAAACCAAATGACATCAAATCTGGTCCCGTCGAGCGCCCACGCGTCTTTGCATCATCATTCAAGCTTTCATTCTTCCTCAGGTATAAAGTATATATCATAGCTATTTTGAGGAGTGCTCATCAAATCAAATACCACGGTGGTATGGTCTAGTGGTATGACGTCGCGTTGTGGTTGGCGGACTCTATGAGTCTAGATCTGCGATCCGCGCCAGCCTGGGTTCGAGTACGTTACCTGACACACGAGCGGTCCTGAGATATTCTAACATATCTACAGTTCCCAGTACCGCCAAACGTCAAGTTCCTTTTTTGCCATTTTTGTCTCCGTGAGAAGCACTGCCAACCTCAGGTTGCCTGCGCTCTGTAGAACTTGCATTCATCGCTCGTTCTGTGCTTAACCTTTCTTTTGCTCGATGGTCGGACACGCCCGTGACTTCGCAACGGTGTTGACGAACAAACTGGTGATCACTCGGTCGACACTGGCACCAGTCCTAAGAACGTTTCTAAATCGGTGACTGATCAACGCAGTCAACGTAGACTTGATAAGCCGTGGAGGTAAACGTACTATAATACACTACTCCGATTCACGTTGTACGATACCGTGAAGGATGATCGCTTGCCGCATACAAGTGATAAAACATTGTTCCATCAGGGAACCATGACGCCCTGCATCCATTCCGCAAAGCCACCCTCAACCACACTCTTACTAAATGCTACCCAAAAAGCCTGCTTCTCGCTCACCGGCCTAGCGCAATGCTCCACCAGCGCCTGCACATTCAATTTCCTCAGACCCTTGATCTCCATCAACTGTTCCGCCCACTCGAGATCCATGCCTCCAAACACGCCACTAGCACCCCATTCCTTGCGCATGCGCACCATGGTGGTGTAGTCTGCCGCTGTGATGGGTGAGATGGTATCCCAGCCAAGATCTGGCTTGCCGGCGATGATGTTCAGCTGGAGCGATCGCAGCGAGAAGCCGAGTGCATCAGGGATGTCTGGGTTCGGCGCGCGAGCAGCTTCGTGGTGAAGTGCTATGTATGCGCATAAGCTGGACCATTCTGCGCGATCGAATTCTTTCGTGTATGGGAGAGCTTTCTTGGTGAAGCTCATGTGTCGAATGTGGCTTCGTGCTTGGGGCGTCAAGTCGTTTAGAAACGGCACGGCGCCTTCGATACTGGTATGGAACGAGAAGCAGTACGTCGAGTATAGCACTTTAGATGCCTCTGCATGGATTTGCCTGTTCAGACCTAGTAGCGAAGGTACCGTGCGTCGCAAATGGGCCGTATATGGTGAAAGCAAGATGCGGTATGTTGTCGGGGTCGTTGTCGTCAGGAATGGGCCTTGTTTGCTAGTCAGCAAGAAGTAGACTATCATGGAACGCTTTTTGAAGAATCGAGGTTCGTCTGCGGTCTCAAGAGACTGCCCGGGGCAATACTGTTATAACTCACCAGTCCGGATGTGATATGTACTTCTGCGCCTCCACGATCTTGAACCTTGCGCACCCAGCCAAGGGTCCATTGTCCTCACACTCAGTGTAAATGGGTCGTTGTTGGTATCATCCGAGTAGTACGTGTGGAAGTCTGGAAGTAGATTTGTGACGGACGTGCTCGTTCCGGTCGAGGGCTGCGTGGACGGATACAGGAGATACTCGTATATCATCAGGCGGATCTCGAAGGGCAAGCGAAGTAATGGCGATGTTTGAAACCCTTCTTTCTCTACGAGCTTTGAAGTCATGGTTGACATGACTCTCGAGTGCGACAGGGACTCTGTGCTAATGATAGGTAGGTTGGAAGCTTTCTAACAATGACGAAGCAGCTATTGGAGTTCTTCTTCTCTTGCAAACCGAGACTGTCGCGCTTTGGAGCTTCTCGGCTTCTTTTGCAGCTGTCACTTAGATCCAATCGGAGGGTATAATCGACCACTTGCAGCACGCTTCTCCTCCGATGTTGCTCTGCTGTGCGAAAGAAAAGCAAAGTGAGCGAAAGCTCTGTCTCGAGCAAGGCGTGAACAATATGGGGACCCGAGATTTTATTGCGACAGCGCAATGCGGGATGTCACCATCAGGGTGCTGCTTATCAGCATTCATCTGGAAAAAAGTAGCTAGCTCCGACAAACACCGGCCAGTATCATGATGGTTAGCCGAAGATGCCATGCGCGCCATACTTGCCCCGGCTTAGCTGTGGATCTTGGGCTGCTAGCGTCTTTCTGAACGCTAGGAGAGGGGAGTGACGTTTTAGGAAACTTGGATTGAAGTGTTGATGATAGCGGGGAGACTGCGGTGATGCTGTTTGTAATGATCGGACCGCCGACGGCCTTGGGCAGACAGACGGCAGACACCTCGATTTCTGTCGATGAGACGTGTTGTCGTGCTGAATGGTACAGGTGTGTCTGATCAACCCCTGCAGTGAAAGTACGCGCCATCACAGACTCGTCGCGTTGCTCGAACACCTGCAATCCTCAAAACTCCACAGCCATACTGTACGCGACGCAACATAATAGTCTTACCAACCCTCGAGGCGAGCATCATCGCTACTCCGATAGCACATTGCCGAGTGCTTGCCGAGCCCTTCGCGATTGTTGCGTCAGAGTATGTTCTATCGGTCCTTCTAAGCACGAGACCAGCCGATCCCGCAGCTGCAATGGCTTGCGCCATGGCCCAAGAAAGTGGCTCGCACAAACCTTCGTGCGCGGGAACCGCTGCCAGTGTTGATGCGTGCCGTTGGTAACGTGCTTCGAACGTCGACGTTCGAGAGTGGAGACGTGATTGCACAGATCTGAGCCAGGAAAGATACGTACCTGCGTCTCGCCAACCGAGCAAGCTAATGAAGCATCCCTGTCGTGCGGGCGACATTATTTCCTGTCAGCACCAAAAAACACGTAAGATATTGCTAACACGTGCGAATGCGAGGCTTGATTCTTGCAGCAGCACAGAAGTGCCGTGTCTGAGATGTAGCAGACGCGGGCTGTGTAGAGGAAAGCGGTGAGTAATAGAGCCGCGGAAGAAGTAATAAGCTTCTAGTTGAACTTAGAAGTCAGGTATCCCAACCTAAATGTACTGTGTAGGTATGTGTAGATGCCACCATCGATGCGTGAAACATACCGAAAACTATAAATCAGCCGCAATTGTGCCTTGATCGGAGGCGGTCCGCGTCAACGCTGACCTAAGTTCATACCATACATATCAGTCAGTTTCCTTTCCTTTCCTACACCACATCCCTTTACTTCCTTCTAGTACTCCAAAATGGTTCAGTTACAGCGTCTGAGCCTCCTGGCCGTGGTACCCAGTCTCCTTTCCGTGGCTGCTGCCATTGAGTATGATGTTCTCATCGTTGGCGGAGGTTCTAGCGGCACCCACGCAGCCATCCGGTTGCAGCAATTAGGAAAATCAGTTGCTCTCGTCGAGAAGGAATGCCGGATAGGCGGACACACCAACACATACAAGGACAATGCGACGGGCACTACTTTCGACTATGGCGTGCAAGTCCTCGTCAACACCACCACCGTGCGAAACCTCTTCGACTCCCTCAACATCCCCCTCGCTCCCTATGCACCTGGCGGCAAGCCCGTACCTGTCGACTTCCGGAACTCTGTCGCTGGGCCCTCATGGCCCGTTGTTGACGCCAATGCCTCTGCAGCAGCGCTAGTTAAATACGAGGCCATCCTCGCACAATACCAGGACAACTTCTTCCGCGGCTACAACCTCCCCGACCCCGTCCCTGAAGACCTGCTCTTACCCTGGGGTGAATTCCTGAGGAAACATGACCTGGGCGCCCTCGCCTACGATGGCTTCCTGCAGTTCCAAGGCATGGGCAACATCCTCGCCCAGCCCACTTTATATGCGATGAAGCTCTTCAACCCCATGCAAGTCGCCGCGCGCAAAAACAAAACCAAAGTCGCAGAAGCAAACCACAACATGCAAGCGCTCTGGGACGCCGCCGAGCAAAAACTCACCTCCGACACCAGCGCCGTGGTGAAATGCGCTACCATCGAATCCATAGTCCGCACATCCTCCTGCGTCACACTCACAGCCCACACCCCCTCCGGCCCGCAAACCCTCCTGCGCGAAAAAACTCCTCATCACCGTCCCTCCCAAACTCGCTCTGCTGGACCAATTTCTCGACCTGACCACCGAAGAAACCGACGTCTTCTCGCGCTTCAACAACAGCTACTACTGGAACGCCGTCGTCTCTAACACGGGCTTCCCTACCGGCGCATCGCTGTACAACTACGACGCCGCCGCGCCCCTCGGCGTTCCCTCGCTGCCTGGCGCGTACTACTTCAACCCGCAAGTCAGCGACTTGTACTCCGTGCAGTACTCCAGCCCTGCAGAAATGTCGGACGAGGAGTTCAAATCCGACGTCCTCGCGTCGGTGGAGAGAATCCGCAGCGCGCTGAATTTAGCCGCACCGAATAGCTCCACCGCTGTTGTAGCGAGCAACAACCACTCACCGTTCGGATTGACGGTGTCGGTGGACGAGATTAAGGCCGGGTTTTATAAGAAGTTTGTGGGATTGCAGAGCAAGACGAATACGTTTTGGACGGGGGCGAATTGGGCATCGGGAAGTTCGAGCACGATTTGGGATTTCTCCGAGGTGGAGATTTTGCCGAAAATTCTTGAGAGTTTGGGGTGAAGAGGATTGGTTCAAGGAGATAGATGATGTAGTCTAGGTGGTAGGTGATGGCAACGAGTTGAACGAATTATGCTACAAGGTCATAGCATAGTCCTCTCTCCTATGTTGAGCTGAAGTGACTCAGCTATGATCACCTATGCTCATCGAGCTTTCAGAAACCGCAAGGTCTCCGTAGATAGCAAAGCCGCGGAAGAAGTAGATATACGGTTCCAGCGCCGTTCTGCGTGTTGTAACGGCGGTAGGCAAGGCCATCACAAGTTCATCATCAACGAACACAACCACATCCGCACAAAAGGCCGTCTGCTTCCAATCATTCGCATTGCTTAGCTATAGCAGGCTGATACGCAGCCGCATCTGACTCCAACTCCACCCAACCAGAGAGCATGTCCACTCTCTACTTTGCCCCATTTGCCGTATTCATCCCAGTTCCCCAAGTGCTAACACATTAACCACAGAAAGCAAATCTTTTTGAGTTTGGTACCCTCCCTTGCGAATGTAGAACGCCTTTCGCATCTTGCGCGATGGAACCAGCTTAACCAAGATGTGACAGAGTGAGAGGATGCAAGAGGAGAGGAATGCAGAGAGGAAAGAAAGGAGATTTCATAGTACAAAGTTGTGACTGAGGCGTTATCAAGCTTGCCAAAAGATGCTTTTAAAAGGAGCCGTCAGCCTGTCAAAACATGGTCGGAAAAGAAAGACCCCTCGCCATACCACGTGATTGTTGATACGACTTGGCCTCTTTTCCTGGGGCTAGAAGTCATGGAGAGAGCGCTAGTTGTGCCCTCCATAGTTTCCGCCCCAGCCGCCACGGCTGTAGCTTCCACTTCCATAACCTCCTCCGAAACCACCACCATAGTTGCCATACTGGCTCTGCTGCTGGTGGCTTCCGGCGCCCTGGTGGCCGAGGCCGCCGAGACCCCCGCCATACTGGCTGTTGCCACCCAAATGGCTAGGGTAACCACCGAAGCCTTGCTGATGCGATTGTTGAGGACCAGCCTGGCCAGGGGTGTTTTGCGTAGCAGATCCGGGTCGGCCTTGCTGAGCACCCAAAGCAGACGGGCTAGGACCGCCATTCTTAGGGTCGCCAAAAGGCTTCAGGGAGTCCTCGCTGGCTCCTGGCTGACCACCTTGCTGTTGGGCATAGGAACTCTGGCCAGAGTAACCTTGTTGGCGTCCGAACGAGTCGGGGAAGCCACCGAATCCGCCAGCACCTGCAGTTGCACTGTGGTTCTGAGAAGTTCCAGACGCCGAACGGCCGTATTCACCAAGTCCACTAGACCGCTCGTGCAGTGCAGACGCAGCGAAGCCACCAGCGTTGGCTGGAGAGGACGAATGCTGTTCGTAGGCAGCTTGAGGAGACATGCCATAGTGGTGGGGCTGACCGTACATGCCCTTTCCGAAGGAGCCATAGCCAGCTCCCTGGTTATAGCCACCGAATTGGTTCATGTAGTTAGCATAGTACGGGCTGGTATAGTACGGATGGTTGTAAGGGTAGGCGCCTGAGTGTCCCTGCTGGCCAGCATGCTGTTGCATGTTGTGGCTCTGCGAGCCAGGAGCACCAGGTTGCTGTCCGCCCAAGGCGGGGTTGGGTGTGTTGTGTCCGCTGTTCTGGGCATCGTATCGACCCTGGCCCTGTTTGCGTTCATTAGAAAATTGTCGGCCCAATGGCTGCGACTCCGTCTCATTCGTCGACCTGACCTTACGAAAACCACCAAACCGACTCTCGAGAGGCATCTGCTCAGATGCATCGGGAAAGGCGGTAGCTGATTTCTGCAAGGCAGGCTTCGACAAATCCTCGAAAGAGAAAGACGATGGAGTGTCGCAAAAAGGTTGGCTTACCTGCTGCTGCTGACTCTGGGAGAAAGCTGAGTCGTTCGGGCCGGAGCCGAAAGCGCTGCCTGTTCGCTGCTGAGCGGAGCCAGCCTCCTGCTGGCTTGGTGCACCCTGCTGTCCGTAGCTGCCGTAGTAGTTCTGGTATCGCTGCTCAGAGGTGAGGTACTGAGAGCCGAAGTTGTCTGGTGCGGAGGAGAAAGCGCCGGGCTGTGACTGGGCCTGGCTCTGTTGACCTTGCTGACCAGGGTAGTCGTATTGGTTCGACTGTGATGGGATTTGTTGACCAAAAGGATCGTAGGCCTTCTGGGGGGGTGCAGCAGCATCCGACTGTAATCCTGGCTGACCATAGCGTCCGAACTGATCGTAGCGCTGGTTGGAGCCCTGGGGCTGCATCGATTGTCCACCGAGCGAGGCGGAGGGCGATTGCTGCGAGAAGGGTTGCTGCTGCTGGGGTACAGGAGGTAATCCTGGTGCTTGCTTCGGGGTGGGAACAGATTCTTGCTGTGTTTCGGCCGCTGGAGGAGCCTGGCGGGGTGCGGGTGGTAGGGCGGCACGCGGCTGCGCGACTGGCGAATGCTGAGGTGGTTGTTCCCGAGTCTCTGCTTCTTCCCTGTCCTCATCTACGTCTAAATCAGAACTTTCGCCTAGACCCAAGCTGCCGAATTGCACCGCGGCCCTGTCCACAGCGTGGTTGCCGGGCATGACGACGGCCTCGTGCTGTTCCATTAATCGTCGCTGGAAGCTTGCGCTTCGGTGTCCACTGGTGGAGGTGGCCTTCAGTGCGCTCGTGGCAAATCCTCCAATGCCGGGGCGGGGGACAGGTGCCTGGCTGGTGCCCAATGGGGTTGCTACAGCACTTCCAATGTCCCTGGAGCTGGCGACGGTGCTGAATGCTGTTTCTGTAGGTGGCGGATGCGACTCGTCTGGGAGATGCTCGACATTCTCCTCGGTGAGCTTGTCCTTCGAAGGTGTCAGCGTGAGGTCTGGTCCAGATCCTACTCCAGACTTGTCTGGCGTCAGCTTCGAAGTATCATCGACCGCAATGGGTGGCGTCTGCACGGCCTCGTCTGCAATTGGGGGTATGGGCAGCTCTTCGGCTTGAACTGCGGGCTCTTGAGCGACTTCATGCGCGGGGATCTCGTCAGGCACAGCCTTTGACTCTTCCGTGGCTGGAGCGGGCTTCTCAGCCGGTTTAGCAGGGGCGGGTACAGGTTTGGGCGCAGAGAACATGCTGGCCCATGTCTTCTTCGCAGCACCCTTGACAGCGGTCGCAGCTGCCTCGACGGTCGATTTGTGCTCTGAGTCGTCCTTTGCGTGCTCTGTAGCGTGGCCGTTCTCCTTGGGCGCTGCAGGCGTCGTGTCCCATGCAGCGGACTCGGTCGTCGGGATTGAGGCAGCAGCTCGGGGGCCACTGGTTGCGCCTCCACGTCCTCCGCGAGTCGTTCCTCCAAAGCCACCGCGACCACGATCGGTTCCACGTCCACGACCACCACGAACGCTGTCCGTGCCACGTCGGGGAACTTCGCCGCGAACACCGCGCACGCTTGATGTGCCATCTGTAGGGATCACATTCTCCTTGGCTGCCTTGGAGCGAGAGCGGTCCTTTGCCTTCTTGGGTACTTCAGCAAATTGAGAGACGGAGCCTGGCGTTGTTATTAGCAGACGCGATTGCTATGACAGTGCGACATGATGTGCAGCGATGCATGCGCACTGTGATGTGACGTGAACGTACCCTCACTGATCTTCTCGATGGTCCTCTCTAGGTCACCGTCAGAATCCTCAATTGCGAGTACGAGATCTGCGTCGGTCCAGTCGGGGAACAGCTCCTTCAGCATGGACAGCTGTCCCTGGTAGCGCTTCTTGAGTTCCGCGAGCTCGCCGGCCTCGGCTGATGTGTCGATGGTTGACGATGCGCCGTCGCCGTTTGTCTGTTTCCGCGGGCCTCGTGAAGCATAGCTGCCTCTGCCGCCGCGGGCAGTGCTCCTGCCTCGCGCAGGCCGGGACTGTACTTCAGACATGTGATTTGTGTGTTTGTGTGCAAGCCGCAGGGGACTCGGGGCGTGTTTGTGGTGTGGGAGAGGACGTGCGTGGGGATGATGTAGAGAGGGAGGTAAAGTCGGGGAAAGCTAAAAGAAGCAGGCTATGGGTTGGGTTGCCAAGGCTGGAGCTCCAATGGCGTTCGTGACGCGGCAGTCTCGCGTCTGGAGGGGATGCACGGCTGAGAGACGCAGATGGTGAGAGGAGTATTGGGCAGCGCAAAAGCAAGGGCGTGTCTGTTGTGCTTGCTTCGAAGCTCCAAGAAGGCAGTCACGTGCGGCTGGTGCCGGCGACTCCACCTCGCCTCGTCATCACGAGAGGATCGGACTACGCTACACCACACCACACCACACCACACCACGTCTGTAGGAGATACCAGACGCACACAATGCAGTCCGCCGCGAGTAAGCGCATGCTGAGCTCGCTCGCATCGAAGCTGCATCCCCAATTGCCACTCTCACCCCGCGAGAGCCAGCAGCTCCTCAACTTACTCACTACCTCGTTCCGCGCCCACCTCGACCGGGAACACCCCTTGCCTGACAGCAGGCGTGCGCAGAAGTCTGCTAGCACTGGCAGCAATGCCCAAAGAAGCCCCTCGCCGACTCGTGTCCCATCATCTTACGCCTCGGCTACACAGCACATCGACTCGATCTTGACCAACCCGTTGTTTGCTGTAAAACCACAAAGGAGAGCATCGGAGCCTGGTGCCGTGGATGTGCTCCGGAGATCCTGTGGCCTGGTTTGTGAACCAAATCGCAACAGGCGCTGCTACCCTTCCGCGAGCGGCCATGTGCTTAGAACTGCTGGATGGGGCTTCAGAGACACCTCCACGTCTTCACAATGGAAAGACTACAGCATTCGTACTCGCCGAGTGGCTACGTACCAGTGGTGCAGACCTTTCGAGGGAATTTGTTGACTTGCACAACACCAAGCAAGGCTTCGGGAACAAGTCGATGGACAAACTAGTGGCACTGATGTTCGCTGATGGAGAGAAGGCCGCTCCGTGGCGATGGTTCATACGATCTCAGGAGCAGCGTACCAAAGAGACGAAGCTTGACGCCAAGATTGTTTCCAAGTTCAGACAGCAGTTGCTATGGAAAATGGTACATACGCAAGCGAATCGAAGCCTCGACAAGGGCCTCGCGGTCTTTATGCAGGCATTCCGCATGGCGCAAATTGAAGGCATCGAGGCAGCCTACGTCGTTCTCCGGCCTGCTGGAGCTCATCTCGTGAACCGCATCATGTCTACACCAGAGCACACAATTGAACGCGAGCTCTATCAATCGTTCCTTGTCTCGTCGCGTCAATGGCTTGGCAGCTGGAGTGAGGCAGTCGAGTCGATGCTGTGGCTGCATCACCCTACACAACGGAGTGCAACACCTGGCCTTGAATTCCTCCGGAACTCCGCAGGTGCCATTACCCACGTTCAAAGTGCGCAGAGTCGACGGCACTTTCTGGTTCAGCTATGTCTTGGAGTCGCTCGTCAATTGCTGGAAGAAGAAAGATATGTCGAAGCGCAAATTGCAATGCAGTTCTCCAAGGAACATTTTGCGGACCTCGTTCTTCCCAGGGCCCCTGTAACTGCTCCAGCTCCAGCTCCTCAGCCAGCAGCGCGACACAAACAGCGTCGGGAGAGGGACAATTTGGAACTGCTTGATCAGCTAGCCTTTGGACTTGAGACTGTTTTCAACAACACGCACTCAATCCTAACGAGCAATAACCCCGACTCAATTGCCTTCCCGGCCTCGGACGCTGCTTCGATGATCACGGAGTAAGCGGGTCCATGCGGCTCATGACTGGACAACGAACTGCTTTAATGGGAGTCTCACTGTGGTGAAGTGTAAAAAGAGCGACGATCGACGGGTCAATCTGCATGCATCTGTAGGATATAGCCGTAGCGGCACTTCAACGCTGCACGCCGATGTATCTAGCAAAGCAGGACCCATTCCACACTGTCAACGCGATGTCAGTACCGAGGGAAAGCGGGGACCCCACATTGCACGTGAACGAGGTGGCTCTCACGTTGCAAAGAAAGCGCTTCAAAATCATATGCTGATTTGTGTTCCTAGCCGTTGTGCAGACAGCTCTACTTAGTCATGTTTTAGAAAGTGAAAAGACTTTCCAGAGTAATTCGCAGCTTCATGTAGAGATTTTGATCTCTATCTTAGACTGTCGTCGCAGTCTGGCTGCATTAGTCATGTACCACTTCTTCTGCGAGTTGAGAGTGTGGACCATGAAAAGCGGGCACGGTTCCGAAGAGTACCTGAGAGATATCTCGATGAATTCAATATATACACAAGTCTATGATTTGACTTTTTGGTATCGCTAAATGTTGACATGATCTTCGTAACGCTTCTGACTCAAGCCGTCGTAAGCCAACAGCTTTATGCCTTGAGCTCCCCGTTGGCCTCCTCTGGCCAGACATCGTAACCAAAGGTGTCCTTCATGTTAACGAAGCGGGTATGTCTGCCCTTGGCAACCTCATTCACAGCCTCAAAGTCCTCCTTGCTCAGCTCGGGAATGAGCCAGTTGCTCTCAATACGCTTGGGCGTCGAGCTCTTCGGCAACACGACGTATCCGCGCTGCAAGCCCCACGCAAGCAGTACCTGTGCGAGATCATGTCCGCTGCGCTGCGCAACCTCATTGAGCTTCGGGTTCGTCCGGACCTGCTCGCCGGTGCTAGGCACCTGGTTCTGCGATCCGAGCGGCGAGTAAGCCGCGGGCATGATGTCGTTATCCAGACAGAACTTGACGAGCTCGGTGTTGGGCAAGAAGGGGTGGATTTCGATTTGATTGACCGCAGGCTTGATTTCGGCGAACTTCATGAGCTGCTTCAGACCCTCGATGGTCCAGTTGGAGACGCCGATGGCCTTGGCTTTGCCGGCTTTGTTGAGCGCCTCCATGGCGCGCCATGTGGGCTCGGGGTTTTCGGTCAGGTCTTTCTTGATGATGTATTTTCCGTCTGCGCCGAGCTTGGGCATGTGATCAGAGTTGCTCTCCGCGGCGATTGGCCAATGAACAAGGAAAAGATCTTGCATAGTATAGTCAGCGCAAGAGTTCTGTAGATGTCTGTTGAGAACTTGTGTAGCACATACCTATGTAGTCCATCTGCAGTTTCTGCAGCGAGCTGTTGAAGCTCCATTCGACCTCGTCCGGCTCGTGCAGGTGCTGCCACACTTTTGTGCAGATGAAGAGGTCTTTGCGTGTGACGGAGGGATTGGCCTTGAGAAAGTCGCGTACTGCATCGCCAACTTCTTCTTCGTTCTGGTAAAACCATGCGCAGTCGAGGTGGCGGTAGCCGGTTTCGAGCGCGTGGGTGACAGCTTTGTAGGTCTCGCCCTTGGAGCCTTCGTTGGCAAAGGTGCCAAAGCCAACGGCGGGGATCTCGACGCCGTTGTTGAGCTTGTAAGTCTTCTGGTTCGCGAGGGGTGCCATGGTTGCGGTGGTATGAGGAGTAAGTTTATTCAAAGTACGTGAACCTTTCAGAACAAGATGATTTTGATTGTGTGATGGTTCCAAAAGCTCCGAATCGCGGGTCAAGGTTCCAGTTCTACATATATCGCATCTGACGCGCTTGCCTCCGCCGAAATCTTTTCCTCTGCCCGCAACCACACCTCGCCCATCGCAGTACCTTCCAGTGACCTCACAGCCGCGCCCACCGATCCCGAGTTCTTCTCGCATCGCTGCAAAACTCCCAGAGTCTCCATAATAGTCCCATCCAACAGTTTCAACACAGGGTGCTGCTATGCTGAGCGTCCGACAACATGACATCACAGTGGACTCCGTCCCACAAGACGGGCCGAAGACTTTCTCGAAGGTTTTGCATCAGAGACGCCTCAAGCGAACAAATGAAGGTGCGGCTCTGCGGTCCCGCCAGACACATTAACCACTTGCGTGCTCGGCTGGGCTGATCTTCCATGCTTGGTGGCCCAAACTCGCCGAACTGCGCTATGAAATGATCCACATGCGGCACGTCACAGCCACTCGTTGCTACGGACCACCACCCTCAGCCAACCACATCTTCTCCAAAAGGGTTGTTGAATGAACAACGAAACATCCTTATCCAGCGTCAGCTAACAACAGCGGTGTGTCTTCGGCTGTCTGCCGGCCGCGCAGAACAGTCCGGTCGAATGAGCTTCCCAGCCAAAAATACTGGATCGGCGAACTCGCTGCCTCAACCGTGGCTGCACGTTCTCCCGTGTGGAAGCTGTGGCGACTCACCTTCCCACGTTGTTATCGCAAACCCATTTTTCTGTAAATACTCCACTATGACGGTATCCAATTCTCTTTCTCTGGTCTCGCAGACTTCTCCACTAGCGCTGCCCTGCACGGACTGAACCGAGCTTACGATGATGTCGCAGTGGGTACAGAGGTACTTGTTGGATGTTACTCGAGAGTGCATGAGTGGGGAGAATCGGCTTGGATCGGATTTGGGATAAGGGTCCAGCGAAGTTTTCCAAAAGTATGATGCTATCTGGGGTTATGAATGGAGTGACCCATGGTTCGAGAAAGAGATATATACCGGCTCCCCCAAGACCCTGAATCCGTTTAAACCATCACTATCACTCATCTCTTTCCTTGAGCATCTCACAACAGTCTCAAGAAGCGTCTCATATTCTCATACTACCATTTTGATACCCCATTTGCTATCAAGTTTTATATCTCCCAACATGTCTGCCATCAACAACGCTGAAGCTAGCGTCGGTCAACCTCTTGACCAGACCAAGTCTTCCAACAACCCATCCCTTGCCATCCCCGGTGATGCTGTTGATGATGGAACCGACAACGCTGTCGAGGTTCCCGCAACTCGCTCACAAGTCGCCGATGTATCAGGATACATGCACAACCTCTCCCTCTCGCCATCCATGAAGGAGAGGCGAGGCTCGCGTAACTCTTTCGGTGCCTCGCTTCCCATCCCACGGTCAAAGAGGCAATCAAGGTTGTCATCTGTCCACTACCCAGACGGCCGCGGCGCTGCGCAGCGACCCGGAATGCCTCCCATCCAGCCTTCCCGCGACATCATTGCTGCTCAGCTCCAGGACCTTGCTGGCGAGAAGGTCCGCGCCGCAAAGGACATGGCATTCGTCTTCGATATCGACGGTGTCCTCGTCCACGGTGACCGCCTGATCCCAGAGGGCAAGCGTGTCCTTGAGATCCTCAACGGAGACAACGAGCTCGGCATTAAGATTCCTCACATTTTCCTTACCAACGGCTCTGGTAAGCTTGAAGGCCCTCGTTGCGAGCAGCTTTCCAAGATCCTGCACAACCCAATCTCCACCGACCAGTTCATCCAGTCGCACACTCCTATGCGCGCTCTGGCAGAGTACTACAAGACCGTCCTTGTCGTCGGTGGTGAGGGCTACAAGTGCCGTGAGGTCGCCGAGGAGTACGGCTTCGAGAACATCGTCGTCCCCAACGACATCATCGCATGGGACCCTACCATCGCTCCTTACCGCGTCTTCACCGATGAGGAGCGCAAGACCTCGCGTCCCCGTGACTTTTCCAAGGTCAACATCGACGCCATCATGGTCTTCTCCGACTCCCGCGACTACGCCACCGACATGCAGATCATCATGGATCTGCTGCAGTCGGAGAACGGCCGCTTCGGAACCCGCGCCAAGGACCCCGTGTCCCAGCGTATCCCCATCTACTTCTCCCAGGGCGACATGCTGTGCCCCACCGAGCACCCGTTCCCCCGCATGTCGCAGGGCGCCTTCCGCATCGGTCTCGAGGCCATGTACAAGTCGCTCACCGGCGTTGACCTCGAGCGTGTCGTCTACGGCAAGCCTGAATTGGCTACCTACAAGTACGCCGACGAGGTGATTGCCAGCTGGATGGAGCAGATCCACAACGATGAGCGCCTGCCCGCCAACATCTACATGATCGGTGACAACCCGGCTTCCGATATCATCGGTGGTAACATGTACGGCTGGAACACTTGCCTGGTGCGCACTGGTGTGTTCCAGGGCGGCGAGAACGACGAGGAGAACCCCGCTAGCTTCGGCGTGTTTGTCAATGTTCTTGAGGCTGTCAAGACGGCTATGAAGAAGGAATTGGGCCAGGACTTCAACTTTGAGTTTGACGAGAAGATCAACCCTGTTCTTCACGGTGATCCTTCTGCTTCTGCTATTGCTTAAGTGGGTCATGGATGGAAAAGATAGGATAGGATAGGGAAGAGCAGGACTTTAGTACTTCCTAGAGTTGCATTCTACGGCGTTTTCGGGGTGGATTTTCTTTCTTTCCTTTGTTTCTTGGGATAATATACTCCGCATAGCTCGCGAGCTTGCTTGCACAGCATAGCATATAGATTGATGAAGCTTATGATTCAGACAATACTAAAAGTATTTCTTACCTTTCAATATGCTGTTTCACACTTGACTTGATGTGACACTCCGATATCTATATGATGCTCTCGACATCCTTTTGTCAGTGATTACATTCTTAAAATACTAAATGCTCCATTTTGCTCTAACTAAAGAGGAGACATGCCGGTTTGAAGTTCGACAGCTGCCCTAATCACCCACTCGCATCACTCGAGCCCTGTCAATAGTAGATGAAGGGCACTTCGGACGATGGATGCCTACACGATGGTGCTACACGCTTCAACGCAAGCTCATGTGACCACAACAATGATGCTCAATAGCTAAGGCAACAGTTCCATCGCCAACTCACTTACTTCGCTGTACATCCTACCAACACCCGTCGACTCCCATACCTCACCTCCAATCCCATTCCACCTCACCAGTAAGCCTCAACATGGAGAGTATCGAGAGCCTCCGAGCCATATTGGCAAACTCAGCACGTACGCCATCATCTACCTCTACATCACTAAAGCGCTCTCGTCTGGAGCCACTTCCCTATTCTGGCTCTGAAGAGATGCTTCACTACCCAGCAATCGACGTCCCTGGCTCAGACAACTTCTTCCGCGCATCCATTACTAACACCCGCGCGCTCAACAGACACCCCGGAGCCGACATGCACACCGTTGACAGTCTTCGCAAGCACGACGCCCCGACGTCTCCTCCCGGCTTCACCACCACCACCACCACCACCACGAGCGTTTGCGCTCACACCGCCAGAGTCAGACACCCCACCCTATCCCCTCCCACTCTGCGCGCCGAAAACACGGGCTCGACACTCTCACTCGCCTCAACCGCTGATACTAACAAAAATGGACGCGACATGAGCAGCATCTGGGACTCCGAGGACGACGAGTGGATGGACGCAGGCAACGTGGCAGCGACGTTTAAAGCGAGCTATAATATCCCTGCGCCGCGCGGATGGGGCGATACGATCAAGAGTGTGTTGGTGGCGAAGAAGACAGACACAGAGGAATGTGAGAAGGTTCAAGAGCTGGGAAATACGTGGGGATATGACGCAAACGGCGATGCGAACGACGAAGTCATCAAGACCATCCATCTCCCGCCGACGCGGGATTTCGCTGGGCAGTCGCCGAGATGCATGCGTGTTGTCGATCTGGAGGCGTACTTCACCGCGACTGATCTGCTGGTGCGACATGCGAGGCCGAGGCTGTGCGATGCGGTTGCTACGGTGCTGTCACATACGAGTAAGGCGTGCTTTGCTTGGAAGCGTTTCTCAACCCGACTGTCAAGGAGTTTGTGTATCGCCGCAAAGTCGACAATAACGAGGGCGGGCTGATTCTGGTTATCCGGCGCGAGGGCAACGAAGTCATCTGCGGCGCGTATCACAACCTGGCGTTCAAGAAATTGTGGAAGCTGTATGTCAAGTCTGTGGTTAGCGTCACGGGTCAGTGGCACGAGGTGTTTGCGACGGTCAAGACGGGCGAGATGGCTGTCACCAAGGGCATGCCGGAGTGGAGCACTATCCTACTAGAGGTTCAGAAAGATACGTTGGGTCTGACGAGGACGAAGAGCGCGCAGCGAAAGCTCCAACTGTCACCAACGAAGAAGATAGCCAAGGCCGCGGAAGACGTGATGGAGACGGATCCCAAGTTCATGCTGTTCCAGAGCCGGGTCGTCGCTCTACGTCTCCTATGGGATATCTGGTATCTGTTCGACAAGAAGTATGACTGTCGGGCAACTTGGGCTACAGACGGAGAAGAGTCGGAGGTGCGTCTGTCGCGGGCATTGGTGGGTTCCGGAGATCTAGAGGATTAAATGTCATGCGCCAAACGGATTTGGTCGAGATGCTCCTATTTCAAGGCTTAATGCAAGAGATAGGTCCATGCGTAGCTCGTCCTGGAATTGGGCAGTTCGGTCTATAGCTGTCAGCTTGTCTGCCAAATGTCCTCAGTCACATCAACGACAGCGTTTCAGCCCAGGAGCAATTTGAGAGGTCGAATGGTATTGATTTGGTCCGGAGTGAACCCCATGTCATCTTTTCGTGATGTTCGTATCCGAATCATCTCCACAACCCCCCCAGGCACAGCGCTTTCTCAGCGCCACACCTGCATCATTCCGTCATGTAGTAGTCCGTATCGATGCCCATAGCTTTCGCAAGAACTCCGTAACCGAAAGAAATGCCGCTCCTTGATTCCCGACTGGTGCGCGCTTATCGCAGACGCCTGGCCTCACGTTCGGACTCGAGCAGGCAGAGGATGTCGTTCTCGCGGACTATGTCTGAGTCAGCATTTCGTTGTTGCTGCAAGGTTGGCGTCGTTGTGCGCATACCTGGGCCCTTGACGTTACGGATGATGGAACGGGTCTGGTCGTCCATGAACTCGACACGGCATTGGGTGACACCACCACGGGAGCCTGAGAATTTCTGTCAGCATGCCGTCTTTTCCGCCAAAATGTTGCATCTCTCCGAATGCCCCTCTTCATCCTCCGAGCCTTCAGCACATTGTGGGAGTTCGCGTACCGGTTCGGCCAAGGACACGGGTGACCTTGACGAGCTTGACGGGTGCCTTAGCGGTATCCATGATGTGCGATTGTGTGGTTAACGGTAATCGTTCGTTGTGTGGAGTTCGGCGTCGGTTGGAGTCGTTGCGGTTGCTGAGGCCTGCGAACTTTCGATGGGCTCGAAATTCAGTGGGCTAAGCGAGCACGTGAGTGCCAAGGCCGACCTACAGGGATCCGCTGTCTAAGTACACTTCGCGACTGCGACCTTGGCGACTTTACTATCACAAATGCACATCATAAGTTTCGATATGAATTGATTGGCATATTAATTATTTATACTTGTACCATTATTGATCACAGTACCGCTCTTCGCGTATGCACATCACTCATGTACGATTTTGCCACAAATCACATGGGAAGAACAGCTTCAAGCACAGATAAGGTCCAATAGACAACGGATGTGAGTCTTTCATGCCGCATTACGAATTAACCCGTGTCGCCATCTCTCTCAAGATTTCTATCAAACGAATTTTGCCTTCATGTTCACCCACCAATTCAAGCATTACTACTTCCATTCCTCAAACTCGGCCAAAACTCTCCCAACCATGGGTACGGGTCCTCAGGCACATACTGCTTCAATATCGTCCCGTTGAATATTGTTATATGATCACGCGTCATGTTGTATAACGCATACTTCTCGTCTGGCCCAGTACCCACCGTGTACGGCACCGTTTGAACGTTGTTACCAATCTCCTTGTCGACCATGAACTTGACGTCTTGGATCTGAGCATCTTTGATACGGTACTCATCGCCGTAGTTAGGGTTGATCTAATGGAGAGTAAGTAATAATGTAGGAAAGACGACATTTGAAGAAGAACCTACTATGCCCATTCGTGTGCCGTTGATTGCAACGACGTTTTGGATAGTGGCATTGCGTTTCGACTGGTTCAAGCAGTTCCCACAGGACTGGTAGAAGGTGCCAAAAGTGTCGGCGACGAAGCCGGTGATGTTGTACTTTCCGCCTAGGGAGTTGTCTTGGAAGATCTGGCATCGACAGTCAATATGCATTTCTCATACCAACGATTGTTGCCCGACATACCTTGTCTTGTGCATTTCGAGCGCCGCCGCCGATCACGCGAAGTTGCGTATTCAAGCCTTTGGAGGTCAGGGCGTCTTCACAGACGTCTTCCCACCAGACTTAGAGCTATCAGCAGATTGTTTGAGATAAGCGATGGGCTCCTTACCATTCTCGACCCAGGCATCTCCAAGAGCATGGATTCCCTCAGATTGGTGCTTCCCAATGATCACATTCCGGATCGTGCTGCCAGGGAGCAAGTTGAACACAGCATCGGCATCCGTTCCTTCGGCTTGCTCGTTGCAGCTCCCCTCAACACGCTCATATCTCTTCATCTGACCGTCCCAGACCTGTCCTGGCTGGATGTACATAGTCTCATTGAGTACAATTGTTTCTTTGGCTACCGGGAACTCCAACATGGGAAAAGGGAACCGTGGTAAAGGTCGACCGCCCAAGTCTCCTTGAGTCGAGTCGGCACCGCCTTGTGGGCCGTCACCTTGTTGTCTCCGCACTGCTGCTGCTGAGCATAATGATGCCAGGAGGGGTAGAGCAAGGCTTCGAGTGAGCTTCATTTTGATAATCGAGGTAAGAAGACAATCGATCAAGCCGAGCTGATGGACAATAGCCAGCTTTCTTAACTCTTAAATACTGGCTCAAGACGACTCGCATGCCCAGCCGCTTCGTCAGAAGAGGCGCATCTCGTGGTCAAGCTCGTACTCTCCTACTGCAAGTACAGTCTGTGCCAGGACTACCTGTGGCCGTCCCAGCCACAAACATGAACCGGAGTAACGATCATCGTATCTTTCCGTCAATGAAGGTACGAGTATACTGCCGCTGTGCTCTTGGCGCGTTCTTCGCCAAGTACAGTCCACCCGGAAGAATATTGCCGGCTATTTGTCCACGAATGAACGTCTGCATCGCGAGTAAATCTTGAACCTCGCTTCCCCAGATTGTCTGCAAGCGGTATGCGGGTCGGTATGGGGAAGCATCTGTCGGCTATCTACTCGATCGCCGCGGCTGTAGGTTGTAGTCTTGGAAAATTTCGGGTGAGCTTCGCCGACAGGATACAAGATCCATGGTACGCCTTACCACCAACACGCAAATGTGGTAGGCGTTCTTGAATTTGAGTACTAATGGTGTAGCAGTCAGAGCTAGAGCTGTACAACATACAGCTATTTCAAAAATTCTTTGTTTGCTAATAAGTGTTTGAAGATATATCGGGCTGTTCTAAAAGACGATATTCTTCTCGAGTAGTG